GATATTCCCGTCCAGCTCTCTTTAATCCCACTCTGAGCTCGACTGCCTTGTTCTAATTGTAACAAGCAGCAGTTGTCTCTGAGTGACCCCAACATCTCCTCCATGCTCCTTTGAAAAGCCGCCGGTGCGTTGGAGAGGCCAAAAGGTATCCGCACCCATTCATAAAGCCCCCAGGGAGTGACGAAGGCTGTAAGGTGAAGGGACCCTTCTGCCATGAAGCCCTGGTGGTACGCCTTTCCCTGAACCACGAATGCCCCCCAAGGGTGTCGGTTAGGTCTTGGATCCTAGGGAGGGGGTGTTTATCAGGGATGGTCTTCTGGTTCCGTAGGCGGTAGTCTATACAAAGGCGTAATGAACCGTCTTTTTTTCGAACACAGACAACGGGAGCTGCATACGGTGACCTGGATTTAACAGTCCACCCTTTTGCCAGGAGGTCCTGAATGTACTCCTTTACTTCAGAAAACAAAGGCTTTGGGACAGAGGAGTAGGCTTTTTGCACCGGGATGTCATCATGATTAAAAAATGTACAACTACAAAACATGATTTTATCTTATAGTAGCAACATTTTTTACTCATGACAATTTAGCAGATGCCTATGTTGCCTTTTTTGAGTGCGGAATGTTGAGGTCCGGAGACCCCAAAGGTACCGAAGTCTGGAGAAGAAACCAGTGCCGACTTTCCCGGTCTCGAGTTGTCTTCAGGTCACGACAGTTGTTATTTGCGTCTTAGGAATAACTCTTAAGGAGTTGAAGTTGGTTCAGCTTTGTTCTGAAGGAACCATTTGCGGTCAGCTGTAGCTTGCAACAGGTTTTTGACAGCTTGTCAAAAGATGCTCGGGGTTAAAGAGGTTTGCCCCGGATGGCCGGTCCGGAACTTTCTCAAGAACTCACAAGAACTAGAATTAGAACTGAATCATGGTGAAGTGAGTCCTGTTTTAGTAATCATCATATTTTGATTTTCTAACAAATCGGAATTTGACATTAGAAGGGTTGTTACCAACAAACCTCAGAAAACACACCTCGCGTCAGATACAGGAGTTCTGATTGGTGGAACAGAAAGCAATGTGTCAGGATATTAGCTTAACCTTGTCATTGTTACGTGTCTGAGTGTGTGAGCTGTCAGAGATAGTACTGATCATAACATCATAATATTCATCCACAGTAATTTAACACAGATCAATCAAAACATTGTTATTATCCTTCAATCATTATTGTTCATTCAACCATATGATTATTTACTCGTCCTGTTCATTACATGATTTAATTTTGAAAGTGCATCCGTTTTGATCTGTGAATAAAAACCAGTCTTAGATAAGAGTGAGCTTGGAAAGACCTTGCCGAGGCAACAGTATCTTCTGGCAGATTAAAGCACCAGTTAAGACTTATGTCTCCAAATGACCCGATACTGAAGAGGTGACCTGTAGATTGAAAAACAGACCATTTCCGGAGACTACACATGGCATGGTGTGAAGTCACGTTCCGTTGTGTTTTCTCTGTCACAAGCTCCTCCGCTACCTGCATAACTATTAGGCTCACGTTTTCGCTAAGAAACTTCATTATTTCACCCCTTTCCCACCCCCTTCACGCAGCAGAATTTACCCCAGAAATTATCTGGAAAATCCCACCTCCCCCACTCTCACGGAGACCCGAGAGAGGGGAGCGACACACTCCACCCTCTGTCCCATATTTCCAAACCCAAAATTTGGGGCCCCCCGACTGAGTTTGCCTATGGCACTAAACGGTCTGGGACCGCCCCTGATTGTACAAGACTAAGTTTGTTACCTCCTAGAAAAATACATATTTGTCTGTATTAATCTCTTTATGTGCCCTGGTGCATTATAATTAAACTCAGTGTTTAAATTAAAGACTGAAATCAGAGGGTGAATTTTAACCATTCAGACATAATTTGTAACATAGAACCAGACCCCTCTTTATTCTAAAAATGTTTTGGGATTTTTATTTAATAACAATGGTTACATGATCGTGAACAAAGGATTAAGGAACAGTATCTCTGGGAATTAACTGATAATGGGAGCAATTCACACAAAAGCTCATTGAATTTTCTGAAAGTGGGAGACGATGTAGAGCAGATGTTGTCTCCTGTAGCCAAAGCAAGAGTCTGTATGGTGATTCATAACTTTTCTATTGAGGCTTGTTGCATCTGACCTGAGTGATGGTTTGAATTTAATGCTGAAATCAACAAAGTTGTGTTTCAACACGTAAACAGGCTTATCTTAGCCAATCAGGACTAAACAAGCTGCTGACACAGAGAAAAAATTGTTTCTACCACCAGGTGTTTGGTGATAAACTGATAATGTGTTTAGACATTAACATCTTTTTTCTAACTGATGAAAAAGGAATTACAGGCTTGAGCTAAGTTACAAGTCATCTTTAGGGTTTTGGGAATGAAATATGTGTAGTCTAAAGCATCTGGGATGGGTGGTTCCTACCTAAAAGATGAGGAAAAACAGCATAGCCACAGTAGTTTCATCTGCATAATAAAACAACAACGACATCATCGGCTATAAAAAGGAAAGAGTAAAACACATTTAAAATATAAACTCTGAGTGATGTTGGAGGCTTTTCTCACAGGTCAAACGTGAGAACATCCATGCATCTGTGCCTCTAAAGCTGTGATGTTTGACTTGATCCACAAGGGAAAAGCAGAAATTTTAAAGCATGTATGAACATTTTTTCAAAGGAAAACAAATTGTTTGGTTTAAGAAATCAACTCTATAAGTCTTTCATTGATGTGATTATTTTTTATTATTAAATATTATTTCTTGCCCATTGAGAAAACCTGAACAAATAAATGATGGAGATGCTGAACTAGCACTTTGTTATTATTCATTTATTTGTTTGTTTATCATTCATGTGATTGCTTCATAAATTTTCACAAAAACTAATTTATATGTCAAATATAATTTTTTTTTTTTAAGCTGCACATATGACAACACGGGAGGGATATAAGCTGCTTCCACTGGTTTTATTTCATTAAATGATAAAAACATCAGACTTGATTGGACTGTCATACAACGGTCATCACACACTCTCTCCAGGCCCCTCCAGTGAGACCCCATGTGTTTAGTCCGCCAGCCATGCCAATGCTTCCTTATGGGAAGCAAAGTCCTCTGTGTGGAATAGACAGAGAGCGGGTCTGGTAGGCCAGGCTACCATGTGTTCCCGTTTCAAGCCCAGTGTGTCCTGGGTTGACCCATGTACCACCAGAACATGTCCATGACACCCGAACCACCTCAGCTTTTCTGAGTCCCCCCTCGGATGTTTGAGCTCCTCGCCCAATCTAAGCTTCCTTAGACTGATTATGCTGATGTGTTCAAATTGAAATATGCCGTTACTAGATTATAAACAAAATAAATTAAATCCCACTTTGAAATTAAACAGCAAGACAATATGTGGTAATCTGTGAATCACAAACATTGCTTTGTTTTACATTTCCTGTGTGTGTGTGTGTGTGTGTGTGTGTGTGTGTGTGTGTGTGTGTGTGTGTGTGCGCGCGCGCCTGTGCTTCATACAGATGTGTGTGTGTGTGTGTGTGTGTGTGTGTGTGTGTGTGTGTGTGTGTGTGTGTGTGTGTGTGTGTGTGTGTGTGTGTGCTTCATACAGAAGTGTGTGTGTGTGTGTGTGTCAGCCAGGCTTTAAAACATCCTCCCACGGAGAAGAAGGCATGTAAAATCTAGCCTAAAGAAAAGATCATTATGATGCGTTGCACAACAACCGGAACCGTAGCAGCCTGGGCGCCACTTTCTCAGTGCACTAATCCAAGCTGGATGCCAATGAGATCACTCCTTTACCAGAATCCAGTCTTACAATGAAACACGTTCAAAGGAGCTCCTTACTGCAGCCACCCGTGACTTCAGTGAACAGGTGGAACTTTTTTCATTAGCAAAGATCAAAAATGCTAATGAAACTACCAAGTTTACACTAGAGCGATGGTTGCAATGTTTTATTTCTACCTTAAGATTAGTAAACCTTACAGCCTGTGATTAAGTCTATATGTAGCTTCACTTAAGAGCAGCATGTTTTACTTCCTTTCAGGTCTACTTTGTCATAAGTTGCTGTGGAAACATGCAGAACCTCGTCTAATAAGATAATCAGTTCTGAAATAAAAAGGTTTGATTATAAATAATTGATTTATAGAAGCCATTCTCTAAGGCTCTCTATATTATTATTATTTCAATTTTTATCATTATTGCTGCTGTTTTCTCAGAAATGAAAAATCTATAAAGCCTTTGTCTTTTAAATAGAATAGAATAGAATAGAATAGAATAGAATAGAATAGAATAGAATAGAATAGAATAGAACATCCCTTTGTTTTGGTGTCATAGCAGCAAACCAGATTCATACCAGGAGCAACAAAATAAGAACTAAAATACAAGTATAAATATTAAAAGGCTGTACAGTGAAAAATACAAATATGCAAGAAAAACTTATGGATTAAATTGGATTTACCACATTTAAAAATATTAAAATACTGTATAAAACCTGCAGAAGAAAAAGAAATCCCCAACTTTTTGTGGTGCTGACTGAGTGAGTAGATCTGTAAAGATGCCCCTTCCCTGGTACTTCCCCTGGTGTTGATGCCACATTTGAAAAGATTAAAACAACATGCCTACTTATCCAGCTTTACCCATAAAAGGATTAGAGGAGAGAAAGTTCGCCCCGTTTCATGCCTCTGCCACAATGGGGTCCAAGCGGAGGTGGAGGGAGTCTGTAACAAACACGTGTGCATTCCTCACCCCCCGTCCTCTGGGGCTCTCATAAACACACCCAAGTGACCCCCAAGTCCAGCTTTTCTTCCACAGAAACACCTGCGGTGAAGCCAGGCGCTTTAGCTTTCTACACAAATAATCAAACACAGACTCATTCTGCAACAAGCACAAGCATGCCTCCCTCTGCAGCTCAGCTAATTCAAATTCTGAACAACACGCACCCTCGTGGTAACTCTCCCCCCACCACTGCTGTAATTAAAACACACATCTACTCACAAGTTCCAGACCCAAAAAATGCTTTCGGAGTCTGAGTGGGAAAGAGACCGCAGAGAGGAGGGGGAAGCACAAAGGGGAGAAAAGAGGGGGAGGAGTGAGAGAGAGGCAGCTACTATAACAGTGAGAACTGGAGATGTTTGTGAGCACATGGAAAGAGCTGCTGGAGCTGGAACGATCACCAGGGAGAAAACAGACTCATCCATCAGCGACAAACAGGTACGGAGAAAACAGACTCATCCATCAGCGACAAACAGGTACGGATTCATGTTTTCACAACTTTTCATTCGTTGTCATCAACATTGTAGCGTCCAGATTATTATGTAGAATGGTTCCTCTTTCATAAAAGAGCTAACAACCATTACGCTACAACATAATGAGTAATAAACTTCTGCTAAAGGCTGTCTTCTTAAAACTCTATCCGCATGCTGTAAACAACTTAGGAAACTGTTTTGTCCTAAGAGACTGAGTTTCAAAACCAAACCTTAATTTCAGTTTGGTTCTTGTTTTCAGCAGAACTTGTTTTGATTGGCTGCCAGGAGAAAATGGAAGTGCTGATCGAGGTCACCTCCAAAAAGCTCTCAGCACTCAGATTTATTTATCTTAGGCTGTTTACAAGATGGAAACTCGACTATTGCAAAGATTTAAGAGTATTTGAAGGATTTTTTTCAGCTGGAAAACGTGGCTTGAAAGTAAAAAAAAAACTACATAAAATTGAACATCCGGTGTTGAAAACAGAGTAAGAAGAAAAAGGAAGAAGAAATGGACAGCTGTCTTGTTTTTACTGTAAAAAAAAAAAGAACAAGAAATGTAAAGTTTTGCGTTTTTACAGATATCTTCCACCTATAATATGATTGCTTTTACTTTTCTTTGTGGCCGTGTGAGTGATGATGTTCTGATTCTTCCACAGAAATGGACCCCCTCCTCAGGAACTTGACTGCACTTCTTCTTTTCGTCTTGCCTCTCCTTAACACCCACCTCTCCACCCATGCTGCCACTATCTCCCCGCCGCCCACTCGCAGACGGATCATACACCTAGCCCCCATGGGCTCAGATGATGACTATGAAGATTATGAGGGGGAGATCTTCTCTAGAGTCTTGTCTTCTTCCATGAAGACTCCCCTTCTGCGCTCTGAGCTGTGTAACCATGACCCCTGCAAGGAGAACCAGGAGCCCTGCAACGTCCTGAAAGCTCAAACTGGGTGCCTCTGTCCTGGGAGGAGTGGAGTTGACCAGCCTCCTCACGCTCCACGCATCCAAGCATTGATGCCAGTCACTGAAGGGGACAACACGGGGGATATAGAGGTGCGGTGGTGCGCTCCGTCCTCTGTAGTGTCTGCCTACAGGGTGTCTGTGGAAGGAAGAGAGGGTGATCTCCTGGAGTTTGGAGATTCTTCGCGTCTGGGCTTGGTGGGACCTTTGGAAGTTGGGACAAAAGTGTGTGTGCAGGCGGTGAACAGTGCAGGACAAAGTAGTCCGTCAGAGTTCTCCTGTATGCGCTACACACACTCTGAATCTTCTGACCATAAATTGTTGACCTGGATCATAGTTGGTGGAGTTGCCTTAGTTCTGCTTCTCGTTGCAGCCGTGGTGACCATCTGCAAGTGTCAAAAGACAATGTGGCACAGTCATGAGGAACTGGGAAACCTCTCTTACAGCAAATAGGGAGGAGGGTGATGAAAAAGCAGTGATGCATGAACGAATCAGAACGAGATAGTGGATCTGTGGGACAGAGCACCATTCTTATTGTGGGCAAGTTGTTTAAACTCCTGTTTAAAGGAGCAGGCACTCATGATCCGGACACGACTAACAAAATGAACTAACAAGTGTTTTAACAATGGGGTGTCATTACAGGTTCATTTGCTGGCAAATTAACGTCTGTAGACTTAATATTGACTATTCTCTGTTGCATTTAAATTTAATTGTACATAATAGGTTTTGGCGTACAAGCCACTGGATGAAAATGTTTTAATAAAATTATTTTGATTAAAAATGTCAGTGGTGGTTTGCTTTTATTACAATTACTTAATTTTCTTTTTTTGTGGGGCAAACGTTTGCGGGTTTAAAGACGTCTGTCTCATACCTGCTGACAGTTTTGACTGAAGCCTTCAGTCTTCCTGAGAGCATCATCTGACTTCCGCCATTGAGTCATTTATCTGGTCTGGAAGCGCTGTTGAACCACACCTCCAGGCCAGCTGAACCACAGACATATTTACTGATGTCTATGTCTATGAGCTGAACCCCCTCTCGCCGGTTCTGGAGGATGGAGTCCCAGGTGTGTGAAAGGGTGTACGCCCCCTCATCCCGGTTAATGGTGTCAATACCCTGCCCCCCGATCTTCATGGACTCCCTCATCCATGAAGTCCACAAAGACAAAACAAACTTTTTTAATGCTTTTATTATACTTTGAACTTCCACACAAGGAAATTTTTTTAAAATCATATTTGTTTTTTATTCATTTACTTATTCTAGATCGGTAAATTAAGTCATTTAATTTATAAATAAATTTTTATTTTGGATTATTGTGATATTCTAACCTTCGTTTTTAACCTTGTCAGTCATATTTTGAGTTTTATTTTGGAAGTCTTAAACAATGCAGCTCTTGTGAAGTTGCCTGAGCATCTCACCCTATGTCCCGCCCACTCCCTGTACAGGAGCTGATCACGTGTCATCACTGAGCAGGAAGAAGGTGCACTCTTGAGGCTCAGGAACCACGATGACAAGCACAAGTGAGCCTGATTTACTTATTATAACGATACAATTTACCTGTCGATCATTAAAATATCTGGTAGAATTTTATTTATTTTACTAAAATCTCAATTGTTGCAATAACACAAAATGTATCATGTAAAAATATTTAATTGTAACTTTATTCTGTTTTAAAGATAACCTTTTACAGCTGTAGGGCCCAGAAGTCACATTTTTACTACTTTTTCAATCAAAGTTACGTCAATGACATAAGTATATATAGATATAATGAAATAGCGTTTCTGACTGACTCAACATAAGGTCAACACAAAGCTACCTGCCATGTAAATGAATGCACCTGGTTACCTGGGGGAAACAACATCTTCAAATGTGTGTGACGTTTGTAACACGGTGTTGCGGCCCATGATGGTGTTGTAACACCACAGTTACACGTGTTGAAGTCTAGCTTTGCAGGAACTATTTTCTCACTAGTATTTTGTTTTTCTGTTTTTTTTCTCACGCATTTCTCATTCTCACCATAATTTATGACTGTATTCCATTTTACAAGTGCACATGAACTCAGATTTTTTAGTTTGCCTTGGAAGAAACATGTCTGTATGTGCAGCTGCAGGCAGGAACTCTATAGGTTACCCTGGTGTTGCGTTACACACAACCCATCTCAGGCACAATTGAAAACTGACTCTTGAAGCTCATCAAGATAATACTAAGAGTGTGCAAAGCAGTAATCTGAGCAAAGAGTGGCTGTTTAGAAGAAAATAGAATATAAAACATGTTTTCAGTTATCTCACCTTTTTTGTTTAAGCACATAACTCCACATGTGTTCATTCATAGTTTTGATGCCTTCACGAAAATAGAGACAACACATTGAATGAGAAGGTTTGTCCAAACTTTTGGCCTGTACTATATATCGCTCAAACCTGTCGATTACAGATCTGCTTGTTGGAGTTGACTTCAAATAAAAACTCAAATGTTTTCTCTCTTTTATTCTCAGTCAGCTACAACGACTTGAAGGAACTTGTGGGAAAGAGCCCAAATCTAGTTCTGATTGATGTACGATCCACAGGCGAGGTGGCTAGAGGATGTATTCCTGGGTCCATTAATATTCCAAGTGAGATCATTTTTATTATTATTCAAAATTGCTGCATGTGGAGGGAAGAACTAAAAAGATACTCCCATTGGTGCACTGCTTCACATTCTACTAGGCTGGTTTTTCAGGTTTTGCATTATACGTATGGTGATGAATTTTTGTCTCTTACTTTTATTCCACCAGTTGAAATGATTGATTCTGCCCTCTCAATGATGCCCCAGAGCTGGTGTTTACATGCCAGTCAGGAGGCAGAGCAGCAAGAGCCACCACCAAAGCCCGTTCCCTCGGATACACAAAGTAAAGGAGTTATTGTTGACTTTTTTTAATTTTCTAATCAAATTCACAACATTTAGGATTTCAGTTATTATAAGAACTTCTGTGTTTTGGTTTTCTGTTTCAGCGCACGCACTTATCCAGGCGGATATGGCGAGTGGTCTTATAAAGACGGGATGTGATGAAAATCGTTATGTTGTGCTTTATAATTTATTTAAAGAGTAAATTTTCATGTTTAAGTGATGAACAATTTTCATTTGGTTGGTTTGCATACATTGTGTTTTATGTCTGAATAAATAATATAACATTTAAATAAATTATGTGATTTATGTTAAAGACTGAGTTTGTTGAGATTATTTTATAGAACTGAGTATCTAGAGCTTTTGCACATCATACACAAGCTTTCTCATTCATCTGATGGACTGAAAGTGTGGCGTATGAATGGTCTGTATTTATAACAGGCATTAGCTGACTAATATTAAGACACAGAGGAATTGTGGAACACTCAAAAAGTGTTTGAAGTTTTAATATAATTTTCAGGATGTACGGTGGACAGTGAGGGTCATATTAGTTTCAGCCAGAGCACATAAACAAACCCGCTTTGTTATTTCTAATTATTTACAGGCCACATGCCATGGCCCCAATTAATTTATGCTTCCACACATCATCTCATTTGATTGTTGGATAACATGTTTGGGAAAAAAAAATCTGCAGATCAGTTTGATTTGTTTTATCAGAAATCATCATGAATGACTAGATGTGTTTGTGTAAAAAAGTGACATTAATGCAAATCAACCCACAGTATAAAAGCAGCATGACAAATACAGTCAAAATAATTGCATTATACCATTTACATAGATAAAACATTAAAGACATACACTCTCCATCAAGCTGATTTTGAGTGAATAAGTGCATCAACAAATTTGAAAGTATGTGTGAAATAAAATAAACCAAAGCTGTTCAGTTTACAGGTACTCAAAGCTATACTAATTTTAATGAAAAGATCGTTGAGATTGGTCTATTTTCCTAACTTTACTGTTATAGCCATGCTGTCAAGTGTCCAAAAGCCTTTTTTTTTACAAAGAAATAAATGTAAAAAAAATAAATTCATGATAAAATACCGGTTACTGATATTTTAACCCGGTGATTTAGTATTACCACAAGTTAATTGTGGGAAGCCTCAAAAATCCGTACCGATTCAATAATATAACCTAATCTTGCACCAAGCATTAACTCACGCTGTTCGAGGGCATGCGCGGCTATTTTTATCACTAAACAATGAAATTGCTTAGAGAAATACGGCAGGTAATAGAATTATCACAATTATTACTAATTACTTGTAGTTTATACGTGTAAACATTATTTGTTGTCCTATTTTAACGCTGTTCTAAAATAAACTTGAAATAATAGCGGGTGTTTAAACTAATGCTAACATGTAGCATTAGCGTGCTAATGAAACTAAATTAAGCTAGGTTTTTGTTTTTATTACTCACGTCTTCAGGCGCTTCAGCTGATGATGCAAACGAGCAGACAAAGAAAACAACAGGGTTTGAAGACGACTGGAGGCCTTCTGGTTCTTTTGTGGACTGAAAATGGGTTTTCTGCTCAAAAGTTAAACTGCACTGGTAAGAAATAACACTTCAGCTGACGTTCCCATCTCTTTTTAGCTGAAAAGTGCAATAAAAGTGACTGGAGGTGAGTAGAAATCATTTCGATATTAAAATGTGATCTGACTCAAATTATTTTTTTTATTTATTTATTTATTTATTTTTGCTTTTCTGTCTAGTTCTAAATAATTTAAAAAAATTAGAAATAGGTATCGCCATATGAGAACAGCTCATTTCACATCAAAATGAATGAATGAATCAAAAATGGCACTTGAAACTTTACAGTGTGACAGTATGAATCATTCAAATGATGATTTATTCGGAGTTTTGTGCATTTTATTTTTATCAGCAATATTATTTCACGTGTTGTCTTTATTTGAGCATTAGTTTCACCAGTCTCTCTGGTACAGTTGCAGCTGCTGGTCTCTGGTGCGCAGGAGCTGACTCTCAGGCTCTCTACGCTGGTGTGTCAACACAAACCAAAACATGGCTATTCACTTCTTTATTTCCTGCATAATCTCATTTTTGTTGCAATTTTCTTCACAGATTTAAGGACAACGTTATTTACTTGCATTCGGGCATGTGCAGATCCAGACCCTGAGGAGCTGAGCGCTTTTACAGATCTGTATGGGTCACTCGGCTTACTGCTGACTTTTCAGGTAATGCTCTACTTTTAGCGCCTACTTTGTAAAAAACTAAGTAGATTGAGTCTAAATTAACTAAAGATTTTCTTTATTGTGGTTTGTAGATGTATAGAATTATTCAAATATCAACTTTGGCTGTTAGGTTGTTAATTATAAGCATATACAGGGATTGACTTGTATCCTGTTTGCAGGTAGCAAATACAGAAGATTGCACACCAAAGTTGCAAGCTCACGTTGAGGAATTTCTGCAGACCTTTGGTTTGAGTAACGCAGAAGTATGTAAAGTTTTCCACTGAGTCATGTGTTGTGATGGTAAGGATATACTGATTTGAATTTTCTCTCCTTTTTACAGATAAAAATACACCTCAAATTCAAATGGGGTCAACAGACTTTAGAGCGTGACCTCAGGTAATCCCACGGCTATGAAGGAAGCAGTCAGAGAGCTTCCTGGTAGATTATCTGACAAGATAACAACTGTTTTACACGCTGCTGTTTGTGTCGGCGTTAACAGAGCTTAAATGTTTGGTTTTTGCTTTAATGTTCTTTTACACATGGTTAGTCAAGTGACCCAACACACATACTGAACTGTTAGCTCATAGTTTTTAGTGACTAGTAGAACTTTCTTTTCTTTTTTTTTATCATTAAAGAAACATACAGCTGACCAAATTAAAACTGATGGAGGTTGTCTTGGTTTTCTTAGTTCATAGACTGAAAAATTACATTTTTGTCTGTGTTTTCTGTAGCGTTACTCCTCTGTTCATATTCCTACAGAGTCAAGAGGAAGAGTAGAGTTGCCATGGGAGACCAGCCACCTCTGACCTTTGACGTGACTTGTTCTGCACAGTCAGTAGTTTGTAGTTTTGTATCAGTTCAATTGAGAATATGTGAAACGTGCTTCACATGCAGTATGTTAAGTGTAGTTTTCTTTAAAGGCCTCCATGGGCTGTGAAAGAGCGCTGGTGTCACGGTGGACATCCTGTCAGAGGAGGTAGGTTGGCTCTCAGCATTCCACCACCAGCTATGGATCAAGGCATGTTCGGGGACCTCAGAGTCCAGTTTGTTACACTCCTGAGGCCCTGCGTGCTGCAGTACCCCAACCTGCCTACAGAGCTGACCCACATACAAATATCCTTCTTCACGATGTCATCCTAACTCTGTTATGCTCTCTCTGTGGGAATGAGTGGTGGAAAAGGTCAGAAGAGGCTGTTTCAGCCTTTCTTTTTCTTTCTATATTTGTCGTTCAGCTGCTTTAATGACGCGGGGACTTCCCATATGCTGGTCTGTGTCTTAGGACACCAGGGACAAGAGTGGACACCTCACAGCCTAAGGCCGTGTCTCTTTGCTCGAAATAGGGTGAAGAGCTCCCTTCGGATTCAGTCATGTGGTTGTTGATTCACACGTAAACCAAAATAACTTTCAAAGAAAGACGACAAATGTTTGTTTTTACATTAAAATAAGGGTTTGCTTTAATTCTATTATATTGCTACTAATTTACATTTATATCTACGGAGATCAACTGAAGTAGGAGTTGTTACATTTATAGGATTACCAAGCTTATAAAAAAGCATAAAGATGTTTGTTTTTTCTAGTTTGTACCAATGTGTGAGGTCTTGATAAATATGTCTGCGTCTTGTTTTGGCCAGAGTACCGCACACGTTCTATGCAGCACCTCGGTTTTAGGGGTGGATGATTAGCTCCACCCTTCCTGCTCTTTTGTGGGTGTGCCTTAATCAAGAAAAGGCCTACAGTTTTGAGCCAAACATAAATTTAGTCAAACGTTACACTTCATAACCCTAAAACCAGATTATTACAGCCAGACAGCATCTCGGCTCCAAAATAACACAATTTAATTCCTTCCTGGTTAAAAAAAACTTTTTGTTTGAAATGGTTTATGAACGTGTTATGACTCACCTAGATCAGTTTAGTTAGAAAAATACAGAAAATTATGGGCATCTCCAGCCAATCATAATCATTCATAAGGCTCCATAACCAGAGGAGTCACTCCTGTTCCTTTAGGTTTTTATAGGCTTTCATTATGAAACTAAAATACAATAGTTCTTTATTGTCATTACACCCGAAGGCTCACTCCTTCCTACATTGAACGACTCATGATTGTTGTCTTTTCTTGTGTGTTGTATGTACAGTCTATGGTGTTGTCGCAGCAAAGCTAAAAACAAAAGGGTTCACACTTCAGACAGTAAAGTAAAATCTGCATAACTTGACTGTGCTGCAGGGAGGGGACAGAGCAGAGGAGGCGTGGTCATTTTGCTGTGAGGTGAAGATTTGATGAATTTCTTTTTTTTGCAAGTTAAAACTGCTCACCGGATTAAAAATATGACTTTGATAATCCCAGAGAGAAATGATAAAATGGATGAGATACTTAAAAACCTATAGAGGCTTAAACACAGAGCCAGGGTTGCATTCTGGCTTTTTTGTGGTATTAATAATAAAATATCTCAAGGAGAAATAGTTTTTTATTTTATTTTACCGTTTCTTTGTTCCTCTAATATTTTTAATATAAGGAAAGCTATTTATTTATCACCCATCTTACTTTCCTCAGCACGAGTGACCAACAACCAGATTAGTCAGTCAAGGATATGAGAGTTTAAAAACACAGACTAATGCTGAAGGGTGCAGATCTCTAATGAGACCTCCCGGTAGGTCTGCTGCTTCTCTTCTGTGATTGAGCCGATTTATCCTCCTGATCTGAATTATTGGTCCTTGACCTGACGTGTCTTCAGGTGCTGGTGTACAGCCCCAGTAATGTCCCTGTGCCGGCTCCGTTCCACTTCTTCAGCAGCCTTCCTGCTGCGCTGGACTGTCAGCAGCTGGGTCTGGGCAGAATCCACTGCTCCTCATATAAAGGTAAACAACAACCACTGCTGGGAACAGCGTGTTCTGATGGCCCAGATGCATCGTGGGTCTTTGTAGCTAGAGGGCCTGGTCTTCTAATGAAAATGTGGAAATTGGAAAAGTTGGACGTTCAGGATAATTAATGCTATCTTGTAAAAACACATTTTGAAGTAATCAAAACACATATTTGGGTCTGAGTTTGGATTCCACTCAGAATGTTTTATTTGTAAGAAAACATGTACAGGACTCAAGCTGCAGTTAAAAAAATGATTCCCATGAGCGTGTAGTTAAACTAAAAGGAAAAAGTAAAGAATGTAGAAAAGTATTTAAAACACAGACACAAGGAGAGGATGAACGATAGGCTTTCTTCTTGTTTTTAGCAAGCACATGAAATTTACTGCCTTTGAAACGGCCGTCTTGGCTCAGAAGACTTGTGTGTTACATCTGTAGTGAGTTCCCACCATGGCTGGAGCATGTGATCACATCCCTTCAGTTGACACTGTTGTTTTGGGAGGAGCAGTGTTTCCTTTGGCTCTGTGGTAATGTCAGTGGATCTACATCATCATCACCACCATAAAAACGCTGGAATGATGATGTTTAGCATGACGGATGCTCTCTTAGTTCAGATTTGTGGTCATTTGTGGAGCTAAATAACAATTCAGAGGAAATTAAAGTTATTTCAAACCACATCAAGGGTGGGAAAGCTTGATGTCAAACGACGGTCATCCGGAATGGTGATCCGAAACAGGTTTGGCTCAGTGAAACATCATCTAAGAGATAATTAAACACAGTGTGTTTATGGAAAAGGGGGAAATACAGTTAGGAATGTCGCATAAAAGTGTATTATAATGAGGCTAAATGCAATTTATTAGGATCACTTTAAACCCAACAAGAAATATATTCAGTCAGGAAATCTTATCAACAAATATCTGTTTTTACATCATGCTGGCCTCATATTTAACTCATGTGTTTAGCCTTTGTTGTGCCTGTCAGCCCAGTGAACATTATTATAAATTCACTGTTAACTTCCTCACAGGGTTTCTCGTTTATTATACAAACAAATATACAGGAATTTATTTTGTGGGAGTTTAGAAACAACTCTTAAATCTCTCGTTCTTATCTCGCAAATGAAAGAGGGATTTTTAATTTATTTATTTTTTACATAAGGGTTAAAAGGTAATAATAATCTAAATTAAATAATTATAAAGAAAAAATAAAGATTATGCTGAAATCTGGAGTTTTCCTCTTTCGGGTATGATTTAATTATGTATGATTTTTTTAGAAATACATAAATGTGATTTTCTACTGTGATATAATGTAGGTTATTCGTTTTTTTTTTTTTTTTTTTTTTTTTTTTTTTTTGGTTTGCTAAGCCCACCCCTGTCCCCTAGAGCTCATTGCTATATGAACCGAGTGCCAGTCAGCACTCACCAATAGCATTAGGCTGCCGTTTACCCAGACGTTAATCACATAGCGTTCTCGGGCGTTTATTTGCGTACCTCGGTTGATGCAGAGTTGGCGACCTTTCTCATGGACAAGTTAACATATAAATATATGAAAACACAACATAATGTGAACATAATAATTGTAAACAATGTGTTTTAGCTCTGTTTTGTCATTTTTTTTGTCAGCTAGAAGAGCACGTTCAGTAACAGGAGGCGTTGCTTTTGGCTGTAAATACGGAAGTGAAAACCACAGCTTGGTGCGATACATTTGTCAGCCACTAGATGGTGTCATCAGATCAAAAAAATAATGTGGATTTCATCTTTAAAGTCCCTTTAGTTGTCACACACACTGGTGTGCGGTGAAATTTGTTCTCCGCATTTGACACATCCCTGGGGGAGCAGGAAGCTACAAACACTCAAGAACAATTTCAGTAAGCTATAGGGACTAATATGTAGCCTAGTGAACTAGACCAAATTCTTGCTTTGCAAAGTTTGGTCTAGGCACGCTCCATTGGAACCTCCACAGCTCCTACCAGGACTCTGGCTTGCCAATCACAGCTCTCTAGAGGGGTTTCAAACACATAAAGAGCTGTGATTGGTCCATAATGGTGGGCCAATCATAGTGCTCTATCTACTTAGTGAACAAATCACAGAGCTTTATCCGCTTTGTGGGCCAATCAGGGCACTCTATATGCCTGGTGGGTGGGATGATGCAACAGAGTGAAACAAGAGTATGTCACATTCATTTTCCAGTGGAATGCAGAGATCATTTGAAAGACAACGGTAGAACCCGCCCCACAACCGAGAGCCGTCAATGGAGCGTGGCCAGACTAAATAATACATTTATTTAGTCTGACTAATACGTTCTCCACCAAGTTTATTATTTCTTACTCTCAAGTTCCAAAAAATGCAAAACATTTTGGACGTTTTTTCAATATGACAACAAAGAAGGGTTATATTCACAGGGACCTCACTTCTCTACATTTTTACGTAGATTTTCTGTGAATCACAACCACGATCAAACTGACACGTCTGCACGATTCGCAGTGTTTGTTTCTCCAAACTGAACCCCGACTGCTGCTGTGTGATTTATCTTACATTATAAACTGAAGTCTGGTCTGAAAAGAGATGTAACCTTACACCCCCCAATGTCTTAATCTCAGGTCTCAGATTAAGAGCAATTACATCAAATGTTGGGTAATTTGCCCAACCCAGAGATGAGTCTGCCATTGCGTTAGAGGTTAATACATGTGTAGGAAACCCTATGGATGTTCCATCAAACAGTATTTGGGTTTGTTTATTTAAATGTCCCCTAAAATATTAAAAATCATTATTATTTAAATGTTTCTGTATCTCATGCAGATCTTGTGCACAGTGGTGTTGTGTTCACTGTGGAACAAGAACACTGGGACGACCCAGTGCATGAATCAGCACACGTCCCGGTGCAACAGAGCCTCCAACTCTTCCTCTTCTTGCAGCACGATGACCCCTTCATCTCTGAGGTCACTGATTTTATTGGTGAGACATCACAACAGCATTGTGTAACCATGACACACCAGACAGATGAAAGGCTGTTCAGCTCCATTAATTGTATATTTATAGAGATAAGGGCTTCTTAAGGCAGATAGTATTAGTGGTAAGGGCCGTGCTGTTGACGTTTTTTAAGTTTTTTACACCTGTTTCCAAATCTCTCTCCTTTCAAGGATTTGATTTTGATTTTAGTTCAACTCAGAATCTTTATTAAACTATGGAGACTGTGCAACAAGAAACAAACATGGATACAAAAATGTCATTTTCACTGAAGCTGTCTCTTCTTCTAGCTGCAGAGATGTTAATAGAGCACCACCTGGAGGATATTCTGAGCAACAACAGGCAGGCCATCACAGCAGCTGTTCAGACTGAACTCTGCAACTGCCTGAAAGCACAAAATCGCAGAAAAAAGGCAAGATTAACACGCGATTAGTGTTTTTGCTTTTATATTTCAGCTATCTAGTTGTAATTATACGTATCATGTTTGGATTTGGAGAGGCAAAACAACAATATGGGCTTATGGAAACAAATGTTTAACTCTTTTTATATAAGAAATTTGTTTTGCTTTACTATTTGAAGACATCATTGTAAATAATAATAGAAATAGAAATAGAAATGGCAGATGGATAAAACAGCAGCTTGTGTTGTGTAATGCTTTAAGCGACAAGAGACGCTGAAATCGGCTGCAGCAGTGATTCTCAGCTCCACCATCAGTATTGTGAGCAGCAGCAGTAACACGGACTTCAGGAACACATGTTTGAACAGCATGAAGGTATGTAGGGGTTAAATATTGTTGCTTTTAAGCTTAATATATTACCTTTACTGAGGAAGCATAATTTAAACTTTAGTAAACTCAAAGATAAAAAATACAGATAAACTAACAGGGATTAAAACTCTGTTTTACCCCCAAAACTCTTCGTATAAAAAACAACTATACCTGCGTTTCTAGAGCTCAGGCTAATAGCAAACTGGCACCAAAATTCATGTTTGACAGCGGCAAAATTATTAATATGATTAATCAACACAGCCTTGATCTGTCACAAACATTCACTAGCACTAGTCCAACAGGGCCTTTTGTAGGGCTAGCCCTAAAACATACAATCTCTTAAAACGTGCTTTTTTATAATTGAACCATGATGGGCTGCATAAAAAGGACAGCAACGAGCATTGAACAAGGTCTGCTTCACAGGATCATTACATGAATTTAAACGTGTTTGCTTTCACACACAACTTACTACTCTGTCAGTAGACATCCTAATCATCTGTAAGCTGATCTGGGATCCAATGCCCAAGACACAACAAAATGCTTTATTCAAACAGAAGTATTAAAGTCATACAGCATAAATCTGACATGCATTTTGTTTGTCAGGTGTGTGACACTCATGAATTGTCAGCCTCCCTACGAGAGTCTCTTTGGAGGACGACAGCATGGAAATTTCTTCCCAAAGACAGGTGTTATTCTGCTTAGGTTAGTGAGGGTTCTGTTTTTCAAAATGGCTGGTATGTTTGGTTTTAGCTGTAATCTGCTTTGACATTATTATTGTTTTAACAGGTGGAAGAATAAACTGAGAATGAGGAGACTACGAGAACTGAAATCTGATTATGTCTTTGTTTGTTTGTTTTTTTGACTGTAGAAGTGGCTCATGATTGACAACATGTATGGGTAGACAGGAGCCTTGTATTCTTTTCTTTAAAATAATTGTTTAAAATGTATTGTTTTGGGGTAATTTAACATGTTTCTTTGTCTGATTCAAATTACAGATTCAATATGCAAATTTACCAAAATCATTAAACCAAAAAAATTACCCGGCTTACATTTTTGTTCTCAATTTACAAAAATGACATTTTGAAAATCTTTTATTTTGAAGCGCTTCCGACTTCTGTTTTTTTTTTTTTTGTGACGTAAATTCCGGCCGCCAACAGTGACAGCCCTTTTCGCGGTAAAATGAAATGGACGCTGTGTTGGTGAGATTTAGTGAACGCATGTATCCAACCCAAAGTTAAAGAGCTTAGGTGTGTTATCGCATTAGTGTTTAGATATAAGCTGACTCTGTGTTGCTATGAAGTGCGACAGCTAAGCTAACGTTAGCTAACGCTTGGAGCATAACACCGGGACGTCGGCTAAAAGCACAATTCCGAACGTTCACCCAGGCATCGGTACATCGTAGACAATGGATCCGGTGACTGCAGAGAGCTTAAAGGAGGAGATGGAGATGTTTAGTGTTTCCTACGAAGATGATGCTGTTCTCGACAAAAGTAAGTACTCTGTCATAAATTTACGAGACATTAAAACTAATATTAGCAGCATCTTTACGTTTAATCAGTGGGTTGTGCCAATATGTGGTATCCGTCATGTCGTTTTCTTCCTTTCGACATTTCTGTTGTATTTATGAATTATATTAGCTGATGTGTTTATCAAGATATTTGATTTCTTCCCTTCTTGCTGTTTAACCAATAAATAATCTTATGGCTCTCCACATCAAACTTTCATTCATGATTTATAGTTACTCATGTTTTAACTACATTATTTCTGGAAGGGTAACAACAAAATAATGTCAGATGTTACTTGCTTTCTCTTTTGTCCCACAGTGGTTGAACAGTGCATCTGCAACAGGCTAGAAGCAAATGAGATGGTGAATGAGTGGGTAGCTTTCAGCTCCACTAAAAAGGGTCTAAAACTCACCATAAACACCCTGCAGCAATTTGAACACGAGGTAATGCAAACTCCCAATGGCTCAAGTAAATATGTTGGGATTTTTGTCTTCCTTATTCCACAGCAACACAGTTCGAGTGAAAGCGTTATATATATATATTTATGTTCTTCGTAAAAGTAATGCTAAATGTCTCAAAATATTCCGTATTGCGCCATTTCCCTGTCATTTGTAACATTTAGTATTATGTCTGCATTTGTGGACACATGAATGTTGTTCAGTCCTTTTCTTCCTGAATCTGATCTTTTGTGTGTGTGTGTGTGTGTCAGGTTTTAAACAAGAGAAGCCAGTCTAAACCAAGCTCCAGGAAAGATGAAGCGTATAACAGACCCATGGATATTCACACTATACAGGAACTGTATCCTTCAGGAAAACCCTTCAAGATGATTTCTTAATCTTCAGTGACTGCTGATGTAGACCTTGACAAGTATTTTATTGCAGAATTAAAGCTGAAGAGGAGGAGGAGGATCTTCTAGACTCCTATTCTACTCCTGCAAAGGTAATCTTTTACCTCAGGCCTAAAGGCAGGTTACTGTACTGTTATAGCTCACCTATTGACTATTAATTACATTTAATTGTATGATTACACCTATTTTTAAATACAGCTCAATAAATTAGCTGTTTTTGTGCATGCGTTTGCAGGGCTCTCAGAAACGAGCGCTTACCACGCCAGAGCATCCTCGGTCCAAACGGAGTGCAGCTCTGCTGCCCAGTCCGAGCCTGCTGCTGTCTCCTGCCAGCTTCTCCCCAAGGTACTACACATCTCCCACAGAGGAGAGAATAAAATAAATAAATTACTTAACAGCTTTTAAATAGATTTTTTATGGTAACTGTTGATTTAAATGTGACCTTTCCTACCCCCATCTCTTTTTGGAAGTGCTACACCTTCCCAAAAGTACAGCCAGCGAGGAGCTAAGGGGGAGGTGGTGGTTACATTTGGAGCCGTGCAAGGGACCCGTTGGGTGGGCAGGAAGGATCCGGGTGCAGGAGTCCAGGTGGAGCTTCTGGAAGGACCTGAAAACTCACTATGCTGCAGCTACAAGTTTATGTTTCAGAGGCTCCGAGATGTTCACAATGGTACGCAGATCGGATCAGTGGAGTTTGACTGTAATAATTATGAATCTGTTAAACAGTAATGAGTTTGTATGGAGACATCTGTACCTGGATTTTTTATTTATTTATTTATTTTTCGTGCTTATGTGTTGAATTTCTTTCCAGTGTTGGCCGAGAAGATTGAAGACTTGGGGAAGAGCCTCATATCTCACTTTAAAATTGAGGAGTTGTCCTGCGCCTCTCTACCTGCTCAGGTTGGAATCGACTTAAACCGTCACCACATAAGTGTTCAAAACTGTCATTATGTTTTGCAAAAGCATCCATTTACTGCCTGTTACTTTGTAATTCAATTCAAAGACACAGAAAAACTGTTGTTATGGCTTTTTATCATTGGGTTTTGGCTAATTTCACTCCTAAGGTTTCTGTAGGCCTTATAATTGTCATTGAGCTTTTTAACTGATATTTAAATTATGCAAACGCAAAAGGCTCGAACTAATGTTATTAACAATTGTCTGTTAAAGTTTAATATTTTCTCTTACTTCTACAAGAATTACAAGGAAAACTGACCAAAGTAAAATAGCATCGACAGGTGATTTCAAGAGTTTCTGGCTGAAAACCTGTCCTACAGTAGCTGACCTAAGGGAATATGCAACTGTTCTCAGGTCTTTACTGGATTGTTTCAGACTTTTAAAGATATTTGTGTTTCAGATCATATTCACACTGAAAAGAGTAATCATTATTTTGGCCAATTTTGTGTTTTAAACACCCACTGGCCTTTTATCATTTGCAGCCAGAATTGAAAGTGCTGAACAAATGTGCTCAGGTGCAGTTGACATTCTTAGAAAAGGTCGTCCGAGCTACACTTTGAAAGAAAACAATTCAAAGGTCCGAGCCCTTTCTTTAGGAGTCTCATGATCTGGTGGCTGCACAAACTGATCTGAAAAACTGCACAACACCTGCCTGCTACACACACGAAAGCATTAGACGCCTCCAGAACATGACTCGAACGCCATCTTTTCTGCCTGCTCACAGCACACACACACACACACACACAGCACACACACACTCCCTCTCTCTTGCGCAATAGACAGAGTTGAGACCTAAGACATTCAGTAGAACAGTTTGGGATTCTGATCCAGTCATTGAGATCAGATGTGCACAGTGATTAGACGTTTTTCCAGGATTGTACATTTCAGACGTGATTCAAATTATGTGGGGGTTTTTATTCCACATACCATGGGTATGTGAAGAGCATTTGAAGCAAAATGGCAAAAATGTTCTAGAAAGACATCTCACACTGCATCTTTAATTGTATTTGTGTGCCTGCTGCTTTGTGTCCATCTCCTGTAGGACACTATAAGTGTTCTGGGTCAGGTTTGCTGCGACGGTAACGGCAAACTGAACGCAAAGTCGGTTCTGCTGGAAGCAGGACCGGACCAGGGAGGTCAGCAAGTACCAGTAGACCTGTCGGAGCTGAAAGAGTACTCCCTGTTTCCTGGTCAGGTGAGCTGAAGAACATGTCCTTTTCTCATACTTACCAGTTTTTACTGCTGAGGTGTTGGTGTGGTGGCCTCTCCTTTGCCTCTGCACCCAGGTCATTGTGCAGCAGGTTACAGGGTCACCAAGAGAAACGGAGCATGCCAAGGACGTGGGATTGAGATTAACCCCACGTCTGACCGAGAACTCTGACAGTCGTTCTCTCGTGAGAAAAAAAATCTACAGTTTTGTTTTAGCTTTAACCCTTCATTCTAAACCTTCTTCAGGTGGTGGTGATGGAGGGAATGAATGCCACAGGTGAACGATTTGTGGCTTCCAAACTTTATGATGTGAGTTATAAGTTTGTCAGAGAATCTCTGCTTTTATTATGAAGTAGTTGCATCTTTTAATATTTTTGTTTTTATTCAGGGTGTTCCTCTTCCGTTTTACACCTCCAACGTAAAAACAGAGAATGATGAAGGTAATGCGCCCTGCTGGCCTTTGAAGCACTAAAGCCATGTCTTACGATTTCTGTTTAACAGCCTAGTGTAGTGTCATTAACATAATAGCAGAAAGAGAAATGTTCTAGATTAATGAATCATTCTGAACTTATCTGTCTGTCTCACTCATTCAGTCTCGGAGCCGTTGAGCGTTCTGGTGGCCTGTGGACCGTACATGCCCTCTGACAGCCTCACCTTTGACCCTCTTCTGGACCTAATCAGTGTCATAGTCAGGGATCGTCCTGATGTCTGCCTGCTGGTAAATGTCATTATTAGCAGCTTTAAATAACTTATTTTTTTTACAATTTCGCATTTAGTCATCATGTTGATAGTTGCACTTTCAGATTTTTACAGTTTATTTTAAAACTTGGTGTATCTGCAGATTTTACACAGCTGTATTTCATCCACTTTATCTCACAAATGAGCGCTTACCTACGAATGTTTTCTTAAAAAACTCTCCTCCATCTTTGTTACAGTTGGGCCCTTTTGTGGACTCCAAACACGAGAAAATCGAGGTACTGTTCCATGTTTTTAGTATCGGACCCACATGCTGTTAACTCCTATACAGTTGTAGATGCAACGTGCACGTGTGAAATCTCTCCTTCAGTCAGACTGAACAGGTGTGACTCATTTCTCTCACAGAAAGCTGAGGTGACTGAAACATTTGAAGCCATTTTCTCCAGATGTATTGAAAGCATCGTTGATGGCACCAGAAGGTAGGACACGCCTTCCTTTGGTTTAAGACAATTTTAGCCGCATTGTTGGCATTCCTGCTAGCCTGGCAAGCCAGACTAAATAAATGTATTATTTAGTCTGGCCACGCTCCATTGACGGCTCTCGGTTGTGGGGCGGGTTCTACCGTTGTCTTTCAAATGATCTCCGCATTCCACTGGACAAAGAATGTGACATACTCTTGTTTCACTCTGTTGCATCATCCCACCCACCAGGCATACAGAGTGCCCTGATTGGCCCACCAAGCGGATAAAGCTCTGTGATTTGTTCACTAAGCAGATAGAGCACTATGATTGGCCCACCATTATGGACCAATCACAGCTCTTTATGTGTTTGAAACCCCTCTAGAGAGCTGTGATTGGCTAGCCAGAGTCCTGGTAGGACCTGCTGGGGTTCCAATGGAGCGTGCCTAGACCAAACTTTGCAAAGCAAGAATTTGGTCTAGTTCACTAGGCCACATTCCTGGCTGATTCCATTAACGTTGTCCGTGAGGACCCCACTTTGTCTGCATCGTTCCTAAAGCCTGGTTTATGCTTCTCCGTCAGCTCCGCAAGGGACAGACACGCACGGATTGACGGAAGCGTTTTGCTCTTTTACTTCTCCGTCTCCTGGAGAGTGTTGCAAAGCAATTGCCCGGCAGGACAACAGAGGGCGTAGCGCTGTTCTGTGGTATCCTGTCATGTATCGGTCCAAGATCGTGTGTTTATTTTGTGTTTTTTGTGTATATAAGAGACTTTTAACACGGACATATTTGTCTCTCATTCTCCCACCGCTTCATGCGCTCCCCACCTCTAAACCCACGTTTCCTGTTATTTCCGTCCACAAATAAAACGCTTGCTGCGCACCTTTTCACTCCTCCAGTCACGGGAGAATTAAACGTTCATGTTTTTAGAGTTTTTTCGCGAGGTATTCTTCAAGCTTCTCCGTGTCTGCCGCTAGTTAAACTCGGCTCTCTTTGCAATGGCGGCGCTGTAAACAACAGCGGCGTCCTGACCAATCACAAGCTTGCGTAATCCGTCTCGTTCGACGGATGTTTAAAAAAGTGGGCTCGACTCCGTACGTACTTGCGTGCCCTACGCAAGGACGGATAATGGCGTTGCGTGTCTCCGCACTGACGCAGACGGAGAAGCATAAATCAGGCTTTAGTCTTACCCCGGCTTTCCACTGGAGCCGTCAGCAGCGCGAGTCGGCCGCGTCTCAGGAGCAGCATGTCGCGGCCTTTACGCGCCGGTTCTATTTTCTACGCGCGACGCCTCTGAAACGCGTCAAGTTTGACATTTTTGGGGAAGGAAAGACAGGAAATCGGACGCGGAAATGGAGAGAAGCTCCCGAGATTTTCAGAATAAAGAACGTACTGCCTTCCGGTTGCTTTACTTTTAAAAAAAGTTACTAACTGTGCGTCCCCGTGAGAAGTTATCACCTAGCTAGCGGTCTCCTTTGTTTTTCAGGTCCGTATTGGCGATTATAAAACGGACAGAACATAAAACACAAACCATGATGTAATTTTCTCCTGCTTGTTGTTGTGTTTACTGACGAAGTCACTCGTGTGACTTCGTGCTCGGTCGGTGACAGCTGCTCCCCTGCTGCTTCGCGTCTCGTGGGAAGGGCCAAGCAGCAGCTTACGCGAGCAAGACGTGCTGCTGCAGTAACGTGCTGCTGACGGCTCCGGTGGAAACCCGGGGTTAGTGGTGAGCGGTGTGTTTGGTACCTGGGCTCCCACTGCGGGTTTGCCAACCCAATTCACCCCTCTGTTCTGAAGGCCTGGGGCAGATTAGACCCCACCTGGCAACAATAGAGCCTGAATTCTGATTGGATGAAACAACAAAAGTCCAGACATGCACAGGACGCAGCGGCGTTCGGAGAAACGTTCCCAAAATAAAAACTATTGGAAGTAAATTAATACAATTTTATTGAACAAAAGTAGTTTGAGTTGTAGAAATAACTTCTGATCATGTTAAAGCTACACCTCAGTGAAGCTTTGTGTTTCTGTCCCAGTGTCGGCTGCCACTTGGTGTTCGTGCCGTCTCAGAGAGACATCCACCATCATTTCATCTACCCACAGCCCCCCTTCACCCTGCCCAGCCTCAGGAAGGAGCAGATCCAGGTCACATACGGAGTTATTATAGAGGATCGTCATACTGCATCTGATCCATTGTAAACGAAGGGCGTTATTGTTGTTTCTCTGCAGCGTGTCACCCTGGTCTCCGATCCCTGCACCCTTCTGATTAATGGAGTGACCTTTGGCCTAACGTCCACTGACATCCTGTTCCACATCAGTGCTGAGGAGATCAGCAGGTGAGGAAGACTTGGCAGTAACAGAACCCCGCTCTGCATCAGTCAGAACTTTAAAAAGATTACAAACCTGTTATGTTGCAGCGGCACCGGCTCGGACAGATTCTCACGGATCCTGAAGCACATGCTGACCCAGAGGAGGTGGTTATGCTGAAGCTGTTCAGGTTTCTCTTTCTAATCTGAGGTTAAGAGTGTAAATGACTCCTACGTGCCGGTTTTGTTTTTCCCAGCTACTACCCATTGTACCCACCTGTGGAGGAGGTGAACATGGATTATGAGAAGTTCCAGAGCTTCGGTCAGATGCCGCTCACCCCCGACGTTCTCATCATTCCATCTGAGCTGCGTTACTTTGTGAAGGTGCAGAATATTCCCTCCGTAAAAACAAAAACACAAGAATGTCTCTGTCTTTGATCGTATAATTAAAAAAAAATCTCCCTTCATCCATCACCAGGATGTGGTCGGCTGTGTTTGTGTGAATCCTGGAAGGCTGACCAAAGGTCAGGTGGGCGGGACTTACAGCAGGATGTTGATTCAGCACGGCGCCTCATCAGAGGTCGGACAGAGAGTCAGCCCCTGTTTGGCTGCTCAAGTGGTGAAAATCTGACCAGAATGTTTTAAATCACCACTGGGACCTGAAATGAACTGTAATAATCACAGCCAGGAAGGTTTTAGAAATGTGTCCAGGAGTGCCCTTTGACCTTTAGAAACCATGAGAAATATTTGTGTGTTTTCTTATATTCAAGCATGGCGTGGTGGAGTTGGTTCAGCAGAGGAGAATAAATCAGCATTTGTACAGTTTTTTTGTTTTCATTTAAATAAAAAAATGCATTTTCTCAACTGTGTTTTCACATGTTTGAACAGATGAGGAACGTTTCATTTTCATAAAAATAAGACATGATTTTGTTCACCTGACTCCTGCTTTAATGAAGCCACGACTTGTTTTTGACACATTTAGTCATAGAAGTGATCAAACTCGTCCGAGTCACCGATATGATCCACCTTTGACGTGTCCGTCACTTGGAAGATGTTCATGTTGTGACAAGCAGCTGGAAAATAAATTCAACATTAATCAGAGGCCATCGTCACACCTGGACAGTGTCTGGTGGTATTTTGTACCTGTGGGCTCTTGGTCGGAGCGCTCATCCTCTTCTCTACAAAAGAAAAGTGACGAGAATCAGATTTCATGAAGTTCACCAGAGAAAAGCCAGATCAGGACTCACACTTTCCCTGCTCCTGGGGGTGCGAGGAGATTCTCGATGGCATCATCGGTGGATTCATCAGAAGATTGTGTCTTAACTTCATCTTCATCATCCTCAGGAATCGTCTGCATCTGTTCAGACCTAAAAACAAGACGCAATTCAGAGGAAGCCATGTTGGATCATTTAAATCTATTTTACCTTTTTTCTTGTGGAGAAATTATTTCATCCGAATCGCAGCTATCTTCTGCTTCATCATTCCTGTCCTCCTTATTTGACTCCTCATCGTCTTCGCTTCCATCCTCCTCTTCATCCTGTGAGGAGGCAGAACTCTCCGTTCTGATTTTAGTATCTTTGTTATTTAACTGTTCATCTTCCTGATGCTCCACGTCTTCTGTTGTCTTAATTCCTGTAGAAACCTCGTCATCTCCCTCTGCATCACCGACTTGCTCCTGACTTTTCCAGCTGTTTTCCTCGTCTCCAGCTTCCAAATCTTTTGTTTCCTCCTCCTCATCCCTCTCTTCATCACTGCTTCCCTCCTGACTAACTATTTCCTCTTCAGCTCTACTTTTATTTTCCACGTCTCCTCCTGATTCCTCTGCTCTACAGCTCAGTGATTTGTCATCATGACTTTGATTCTCCATCTTTTTACTCAAACTACTCTCCTCCTCATCCGAGTGCTGGCTCTCCCCATCATCCTCTCTCCTGTTCTCTGTTTCTCCTTCAGGTAGAGGAGATCCAACAGGAGCTTCTCTCTCGGTGCTGCTGTTGCTTCTGTCGCTGCCCACAGATGAGGAATTTCTTTCTGAGCTCTGATCTGCTGCCAACGAGGCAACGATGATTTTATTGGAAGTCCCGTACGACCTGAGAGAGAAGTGTGTAGCTGTCAGTTGTTTATTTCAAATACGTTGAAGAATTTCCAGCCGGGGGCACTGTTGCCTAGTCAGTAGCTGACTGATCCCTTGTGAAACCAGGAGTTGCCCATTAGTTGATATGAAACACAGCTGTGTTGGTAAAGAACAAACTTTCTGCAAGGAAACACGCCCTGGCTGAGCTAGGAGATGGAACTTTGCCTCAGACAAACCGTCAGAATGGAGGTACATGTTTAAGAAATGTTTGGACATAAATATTGAGTTTATTTTGACTGTGCACTGATGGTTGGTTTACCAGCCCGGAGATTCTGTATTACGTGACACAACATTCCAGTAGGATGGGATATTTGCAGCCTTGGGAAAGCGGAGCGAGGAACATGATTTACTGCTCCTGTGATTGAGATGTGGGTTTATTTTTGGCTTGCTGTGACCATTGCTTTTCGTTTAACTATTCATACAGTTTTCACGCTCTGATGGTTGACCTCATCACCAGAAGTAATTTCAGATGAACAGAATTAAAACCTCTGCACCAGTCGAGGCTCTCTAATCGCTTTTTCCTTCCTTCAATCCTGAGTCTGCCACAAAGTGTTTGTGTTTTATATTATTTGTGTAAAATGTAAAAAATCAAACATGTTTGATGCTTTTCCCCCTCTGGAACATGTTTAAAATTTGGACTTCACCTTCTGAAGTTACACCATCAATAAACAGGCAAAACTGGCTTTATGAAGGGTGGGTGTGGCAGAAATACACACTTAACAAACCATGTTAGGCTTCTGACCTGAGGGTCAACCTCTTGGTAGAGCAGACTTTAGTCCTTATGTCTTATGCAACTGAAAAGAAACTAATAAATCAAAATAAAATTTAAAACATTGGATTTTGCATGGTTATTAGTACCGCACATTAACCCATTTTGCTCCGAATGAATAAAAATACCAAACACTGACCTGTCTCGGATCAGAAGCAAACCAGACCTAACAAGCCTTTTTACTCCCAATCCATGAAAGTAATACTTAGGTTTGTAATCTAGACATCTGATCACCCTTTCTGGTCATGAAAACATTTAATTGTATATTACTTCAAGTTATCGGTGTCACCTAAAAGTTTTATTTAAATGATTTGTTTTAAGGTGAAATTAATATTTTAAAAGTAAATCGTTTAAACATGCGAGTTATTTGGATGAAGTTGGTCTGCACCTAATCAGAGTCAACGGCACAATAAACCTGTTTTCTTACTTCTGAGAGTCTGGTGATGATTGCTGCCCTCTTCCTCTCTTCTTCTTCCTCTTCCTCTTGTCTCTGCCAGCCAGAGGGGAACCTCTGCTGCTCCCACTGCTCTGTTCATGCCTGCTGGACAGACGAACTGCAAAAGGACGTTAACAAGGACAAGTTACTGAAATGCATCAGAAAGACAAATCTACTCAAAACTGAACCTGATTTTTATTCTCCTCTCACCTGGTTTAACGTCCAGACCAGGAGACAAACCACCATCTTTCTTCTTACTGGTGTTCGTTGCTCCACTTGTCTCATTTCCTTCCCCAACAGAAAAACTTGATGGAGGGGGGTTTTCTGTGTGGAATCGGCCCACAGATCCCGAAGAGCCGGGGTCCCAGCCTGATGCCTCCTGCTTGGACCACCGCTGATGACCCAGCGAGGAGGTTGGGTGTTGGAGTAAAAACGAGTGAGGGAGTAGGAAGTTGGGTGGAGGGAAGAAAAGGGGGCTGTGGGTGCGATGAAGAGCTGTGAGGAATCCTGGAAACCTGCCTGTGTGGGTCTGAGTGGAGGTCAGCTGGGAGAAGGGATGGTGGGAGAAGCTACTTTGTGGGTAATCTGAGTTTTCATGGGAAGGAACACATTTTTGATTTTGCATTGAAGGATCTGGAAATATAGATATGACACAGAATCTTGTGTGTGTGAATCAAACATATTTAAAACAAGAAAAAGTTATAAGTAAACAAACCATGTGACAGCGCAGGTGCATCTACTGTGGATGTCAACACTTCGTTTTCTTCTGATTTCTGTTGATATACCCTGGAACAATCTTCCATCTTCTGTTGAACAAATCCACATTTTCTCTTTTCATTTTAGGGAAGGGGAAGTTGCTTCCACACACACATTCCTATGACTGTACCTTCTGCTGAGCTGCCTCTTGTAGCTGCTGCTGCCAGCGGGGAGAGTTCTCCTCTAAGTATCTCTCATATTCCATCTGTTAAATGTCAAAATGTTGAGATTAACTCCAGAAAGTCACAAAGGAGAGGTCTGAGGAGCTGTTAAATCCTGACTGTAGCCTAACATTCTAGAGTTACCCCATAAATTTTATGTGTTTGTGTGTTTCTTTGTGTTTGTGCACCCGAATAGTTTTCATGGCAGCATTACGGGTCAACATCTCCTCCAGTGTGTCCTGAGCCTTCTCAAACTGCTGCAGCAGCTGCTTGTTGTGCCTTTGAGCCTGGTGCTCTCTGTCCTTCAGTTCCTGTAAACGCTGCTGAAGGAGCATCGCTCTACTACAGGAAACAAGGAGACATTTAGGTGGGATCTGTGTCATCTGTGGTCAGCGCATCTATTTATTTATTTTAAAAAATTTACAATAAAGCACTTTGTGCTACTCTGTTAAATCTCATTTGTTTTTAAAAATTGTTAGACAAATATTCCTAAAGTCAATACTATGATCATATCTTTTATATAAACACTGTCTATTTAAGTGTCTTACCTTTCCTTTAAACAGTACTCCCTCTGCTTTGTTAAAGTATTTTCCCTGGTTCTGGTTCGAAACCCAAGGGACAGTAAATTCTCTGTTGGTGCAGCCATGACTGCGAGCTTTCTTCAGATGAAGAGATTATCAGGGATTAAAGCCTATGACGAGGAGGGAACAGATGTATGCTGCCAATCACATACCAGCATTCTAACATGTGTTTATATATATATATATATATATATATATATATATATATATATATATATATATATATATATATAACATGTAGATGTGATTATAATGTACAAGTAAATACTATTTTTACATTTAAAAAAAGAAACATTATCTTTATGAACTTCATAAATAAATAGTTTTTTTTTTACATGTGAAATCAGAAGGATCTTCGTAATTATTTCAACAACAGAACTAAACTGCGTTGTTACACTCCGGTCGTGTTATGGTGTAACACACAAATCGCGGACGTGATTTCAGCGATTCACTTGTAGAGTTCATAGATGATAAATGATTAACTTCTTTCCCGTTTAAAAATAGAGTTCGTTTTGTTTAATCTTGCCAGCTAGGACATTTCCCCAAGAGGATATGATCGTTTACTGACGTCATACAGTTTTCTGTTATAAACTCGCGCGTGAAGCTAACTGAGGGTAGTTAGCTAGCTGTCAACTGTGCGTCTGTAAATTAATTCCTTCACACTTTTAACCACTTTTACTTCACGGAGAGTTGGCCGAGGTGACAACATGACGAGCTTTGCCAGCACCGTGTTCTGCAGAACTCAAAGGGTTTGTCAACACCTGCCAGTGTTTCTTAACACCTTCCTGGTTTTCTCCATTACTGGCGAGGTGAGTTACCTGGTGCTGGTCGAGGCTCCCCTGGAGGCGGAGCCGAAGAAAAAGGAGTGGACTGCCTGTTGGAAGGTGGTCCACTTGCTGGCCCAGTACTTCATGCTGGGGAACATCTGCTGGAACGCCCTCCTCTTCCTGAAAACGAACCCCAGCATTAAAGGGGTGTTCTTGGGAGGAGATGGCTTGGGACAGGGGTGGAGGTAAGACGAGCATTTTTTTGTTCTTACAGTAAAATGTATAGTTGTAGCGTTTTACCCACCACCACTGCCTGAGCTGTCAGAAAAATAAACTTATCCTGACTCTTACACCAGTAGGAGGGTTTACTGGACCGATACAAACTAATAACTTAGATTTAAAATAAAAATGAGATGTAAGTGAAGGCTATCTTTATTAAATATACTTAAAGTCAATAATCATTCTATTTTCATAATTTAAATTGTAATTAAACTGATTTAAACAAACACCTTAATTGTTTTACATATTTGTTTGAAGGAAACATTTCCATGTTTTAGTTTTAAAGGGGACATGTGACTTTTTCTCTTAAGTAATAATACTTCTGTGGTCGATATAAAACATGTTTATGAAATTCTTTGCACAAAATCCCTCTGACGCAAAGATTTCAGATAGTTTTATTTTTGACCTTTTCAGTTCTTTCCAGAAAGAGCTGTTTCAAGGCTCTGTCTCTTTATGAAAATCAACTGGAACTGGCCACACCCACCACCATCCCACTCAGGCTGCTATAGGCTGAGAAGCTCCAATATACGGGAGGGGCTTGAAGTAAAGCTGCTGCTCCTCTGGGCAGCTGCTCTCCATCAGAGAGCTGTTTCTATTCTAATTTCCCCATTTGTGACATCCCAAACAGGGACATTAGGCTTGTCTTAGACACGTGATTCCTAAAACCAAACACTGTCAGAAAACAGACAAGATTTTTATTTCCATATTTGGAATGTTAACTCATTCACTGCCTGATCGGTAAAGCCCTTTGCTGCCAGCGTTTCTCACCGTTTTTACTGTTTTTTTTAAGAGTCACAGAACGTTGAACGCTAGGATGATGTTGACGCCAAAACAACCAAAGCAAAGCGGAGACTCACCTCTTACATCAGGAAGAATCTGCGACTATCAAGTCCCATCGGGTGGAGGCAATGACTCGCTTCAACGCTATTGTCCAGGCGGCAAGCGGGCTTGGGTTTATTATCCCATTTATTGAAGATGTTGACGATTACAGTTATGCAGGTTCCAGAATAGCGATATTTTGTCAAGGTTATGAAAATGATGAAAATTACAACGGCAAATTAGTTATGCAATGAAACCAAATGAAGCGGTAAAAACCGTGTGACCTCCCGTCACCCCAAAACCCCAGTGCACTGCCACCCTGACACCTATATAGGCTCCGCAGTGCCACCAGTGGTCAAAAGAAATATAAACCATAGTGCAATAAACTGAAATATATATGAGACATCAAAAAGAACTTGGACCATAATATAATATAAACCCAAACAATATTGGCTCCTACACGCGCGTTTCGAGCTTTTATGTTCTTTCATAGTCCGTTGTTGAATTGTGATGGGCAGAAGCTTTCCCTGTTCGCGCCTCACTGTTTTTACAGCAGCAACCCAAAACGATCTCCTAGCACATGGATTTTCTGCTTCCTGATCACGTGACGTGTGATGTATGCGGATGAAGATCGGCTTTAGAGCTGAGATGTTTGTTCTCACAGTGCGGGGGCTTGTTCCGACGCCCACACAGTAAAAAAATGCAAATGACGACTTAAGTCGTCATTGGCAGTAAACGGTTGGATTTAAAATGACGACTTTAGTCGTCAATGGCAGTGAATGAGTTAAAAAGGCAGTAGAGACCCACATGGCGGTACCAAAGGTGAGCTGAACATAAGATGTGCCCTCTTAGCCAAATAAAAAGCATAAAAGTGATGACCAAATGAGCTCAATACTTGTTAGATAGGACTAATATTTTCTTACAGTTGCTAATTCATTATAATTATTAATAAATTAAAACTATGCCAGTATATGATAATATCTAACCCTTTTAATGCCTTTTATTGTTGTTGTTGTTATTAATAATAATAATAATAATAATAATAATAATAATAATAGAGTTATATGTTTTCTAATCGGTTACATGTGTTCAGATCTCTTTTCCAGTTGCTCCAGTAACATGAGGAATTTCTGATCAGCCTTACTGGGAGTTTGTGAAATATTTATTGACTTTTGAAGTTGATACAGAAACCAGTGTCAATGTTGATATTCTGTACAGAGGCATCTCCCACAGTTCCATCTTGTTTCCTTGGTAACACAGGTACTGTTACACGTGTGAGACACACACTCCCCCTCGCTGCTCCCACTGCTACGACTGCAAGGTGTGTGTGCTTCGCAGGGACCACCACTGCGTCTTTTTTGGCCAGTGTGTCGGCTTCCACAATTACCGCTACTTCCTGAGTTGCTTGCTGTTCATGTGGTCGGGTCTCCTCTACGCCGTGGTGATGAACGCAGAGGTCTTCATCGTCATCCTGAAAGAGGGCGTGACGTTGCACAGCGTCCTGCTGCTGCTCATACCCTGGATCATGCTTGTTTCAGGTACAGATTTGCATTTTGACTGCGTTCTCTCAGATTTATATCTCGAGTACTATTTTAATCTGCATCTTACTCTTCCCACATCCTTTAGGCAAGGTGTCAGCCCGCGCCTTTGCCTTCGCCTTCATCGCTGACACGTGTGTGGTGGGTCTCCTGCTAGTGTCTGCATTCTTCTTCTTCCATCTATTCCTGATGTTTCGCGGTCAGACCACCAGAGAGTGGTACTCATCTCGCCGTCCCTACAGCCTGGGGCTCCTTGGTAATCTGCGTCACATGCTGGGAGTTCGCTGGTACCTTTGCTGGCTCTCCCCACTCATCCCATCCCCACTGCCTGGAGATGGGATAAACTTCCAGGTCACAGGATCACTGGAGCCATCCCAGTGACAGCTGGAAGTCTGAGCAGGTGGCACGCCTTTACCTTAGTGGGGCTGGTTAATGTTGGGAGCTGCAGCAGCAGGGAAAAGAACCTTGGCAGCTTTGGGTGGGATGGTGCTTAAACATCGTGGGGTTGTTTTGGATCTCACTGGTTGCGATGATACACCAGTATGTAGCCTTGTGCTGTGCTGAGACCTGCTGGATCTGTGCTCTGAATGTGGCTGGCCTCAGGGTATTACACAGTAATGAGTGGCATTCCAAAGGTAGCACTGAAAAACACTGAAATAAAAATGTATAATTTAAGAAGCACTTGCAGGCTGACAGTGGCTCCTGGTGGTGATGTTAAATCTACTAATTCAGGGATTTCCTAGAACATTAAGATGCCTTGTGGGTTTTTACTGAATTCTGTGTCAGGATAAACAATGAGAGGGTCGCACAGCATCGTGCAAGACAATCATTCAAGACCCTCTCAGAACTAGTGTATCACTTAACTTGTGTTTCTCTTTACACACTTAGGTGATGTAATGCCATCTGGTTAAACACAGTATGTAAACCTGAGTTTTGAAGTCTTGTTTTGTTGCTGTTCCAGTCAGTCTGGGAAGCCATGCTGGTGTTTTATTGTTATTCATACAGATCAGTTGAAAAATACTCAATGCATTTGTTACATGTGTGTCGCCCGTCTCAGTTCAGTATGTAACATGCACTAATGTCTTACCTCACCTTGTTATGGCCACCAGCCATAACACACCTGATGCCATGGTCTTTCAGTTCTTCGCTGGAGTTATTTTCTTGTGCACTTTTCACTATCTGAATTATTGCCTTGAAACAAGATTAACGTCTTTGTTTTGGGAGGTTTTTTTTTTCCTTCTTGTTGCTAAAAATGATATTAAAGCCAAAATTTGTGTTTGTTTTGTTAATTGTTTTGATGCAAATTTTTGTAATGTTGGGTTTTACTGGGTTAAAGTGCATTATTGAACAGTTTGAAGAGCGATATTATACATACTTTGCTGTGACTGTTGCATTCTTTAAACTTGTGTTGTAAGAGGTGTTTTGTTAATTAAATTTTTTGTCTACCTGCATTACTCTCAACTTAAAATTTATAAGACATTAAATGTCACTCATTTACTAGATGATACTTGTAAAGTTATTCTCTCAGTGAAACAGTTATGGGTTAAATGAGAATAATAAGAATATGGTGCAAAAGTTGGGCTGCACAGTAGCACAGTGGCTAGTGCTGTTGGCTTGCAGCAAGAAGGTCCTGGGTTCAAATTCTATGTTGATGGTTCAAAATTGCTGAAGATGGGCACCAGCCACCCCCCTGCAATCCTGTGTGGACAAGCGGGTATAGACAATGGTTGGGTGGTGAAAAAGTAATGTCAGAAATTCAGCTTAGACTGAGAGACCATCTAAAGCAGGGATATTCAATTCCGGGCCAGGAGAGCAGGTATCCAGCATGTTTTAGTTTCAACCCTGCTTCAACACACCAGATTTCAATCTGCAGTTAATTAACAGGCTTCTGCAGAACCTAATCAGCTCCTGCACAGGTGATTCAACCACTGATGTGTGTTGGAGCAGAGAAACCACTAAAACGTGCTGGATACTGGCCCTCCATGCCCGGAATCTAATACCCCTGATCTAAAGGTTTAGGAACCCTTTGCAGGTGTGTGGATTCGTTAGCTGATTTGAGTCTAGAATATTGAACCTTTTCACAATATTCTAATTGTCTTGAGCCATAATCATCACAATTATAACAAATAAACTGAACTTGAATTAACTGGATTTGATGTTTGAGTATCTCATATTAGTTCCACCTTTTAAGGTAAACTACTAAATAAATTAACTTTTGCATCATATTCTGTTTTTTTAGTTATTCTAAGAAGTAAAACGATCGATTAAAATCTACCAGTAAGGGTATTAAAAGTTCAACAGGTAATTTATTTTGAGTCTTTTATATATTAGGTTGTTAGACTATGTAGAACTTTTAAAATGAAAGTTTTGTCAAAGGCTGAGCTGGAAGTAAACATGGAAACCTACAGTTAGTTGATAGTAGACTTTACCTTTTAAAACAGCTTCAGTTAAATGAAACATCAATGCCTTTTAGAGTTTTTTTGTATTCATATGAACTTTATCCCTACTTGGAGAAAGGTAAAGATGTTCCTCCCTCTAATCTGCCTCTTCCAGACATTTTTGTCCTGAATCATTGGCAGCATTTAGTAAACTTGACTGTCAAATTAGATAATTGTTGTGTTTGTTAGGAAAAACGGACATAATCCATGCCTTGTTTTTACTCACCCGTTAGCGTTGCAGGTGCTCGTTAGCTTGTTTGTTATAGCAGCCCAGATTTAGCCGAAAAGTAACGTTTCATGTTGGTAAGAAATTAGTTTGATATTTTTTATTTAGAATGAGTAAAATCAGTGCGGTAATATAACTTAAAGAGCCCCGTTAAACGAGATTTTACAGCTAATTGGAAAGTTTGAAGATAAGCTAGCTTTAGCATTAGCATAGCTAATAGAGTTTAAATGTTCAATTACAATGTTCTTTACTAATTTTATTCTTTATAGATCAATATTAATACATATAAACAACATTTTAGTCATTATGATAAAGGTTGCTGTGAGAAGCGCCATCTTTTGCACAGTAACTAATTTTAGCACCAAACGTTTTTAGCATTGAATTTTACTTGAATATATTTTTATATTTAAAAAGAAAAGCCATGTCCTCACATGGTGTTTGCTTCATGTAAATCTTGGCAAAGTATTGAAAAAAAAACGAAGTCATTTATTATTTGTAAATTTTTTGGATTTGTAAAATTAGAGATGGAGGAAATTGTAGTCTTTCTTGGTCATTTTAGTAAAACATAAATAATAATTTGTAGTTTCTTTGGAGCACAGGGGTACACCAGCAGGATGAGTTCCACAGAGGAAACTATGTGAGTGATGTCCTACGAACACAAAAAATATGAGATGTACTTTTGGATGATGGTGTTATATTCTCACTGGTGTGTGTTTTTAAAGATCAGTAAAGGAGCTGCAGGAGAGAATAGCAGAGTTGGACTACAATCAGAATCAGCTGAGGGAACTGAATGATGAGATGAGGTCCTGGCTGGATGTTGCTGATGATGACATAGCATCACTCCGCTCTGAGAACACCACACTCAGAAAACAAGTGAAAGAGTAAGCCATGGTGCATTTTTACCAAGTCTCTATAAGATCTGTGTCTCTATCTTGTCCACTTTTACCCACCTTCCCCAAGTTTCTACGTTAAAGAAACAGTCAGAAGCTGTGTGTGTTTGTGTATCTCCAGGCTGGAGAAAGTCATTTTTGAAGCACAGCAGGTTGAAGCAGAGCCCTGTGAGTTCCTGACGGCTAGAGACCTAGCTGAGAAAAGATTCAGTGTAAAAGAGATCCAAGATTTGGTACGTCAACAGGAAGAGGGTGGTCAACATGGATATACTGTAACTCTTAACTATCAGTGTTCACACCACTCCTTTGGCTTCACTCTGCAGGAAAGGAAATCAAACACCACGAAAGAAGAAAATAAGATGCTAACAGTCCTGGTGGATATTTTGTTGCTTTACACATGACTGCTTTAATCTGCCATCTGTGTGTTTTGTGAAAGAATTGGGAATTTAAATCAGTCCGATATATTCTTTGCGGGATGCAGCTAGTGTTGCTTTCACCCTTTCAGGTAAGGAACTTGGAGGAAGAGAGAGAAGAAGACAAGATGACTCTGAGCAACCTCAGGGCCTCATTTCAGAGCATGCAGGTAGCGCTGGGGCGTCTACTTCAAGCTGCCGACTCGTGCAGGGGTTACAGCATCTCATCCTCTTTTATAGATGGCACAACAGGTTAACAGATGCCTTCTAAATTAGCTCCTGGTTTGTTATGATGATGATGTTGGTGTGTTTTGTCAGATGGAAATGGAGGAAACTCAGTTAGCAGTGCAGCATAGGGATGAGGTTATTCAGCAGGTAGGAGCACCAGAAACACATAGAGGATTAGGAGTCAGGATTTCCTTTTAAGATATTCATCTAATTCAAAAATGATGCAATTTTATGTTTATTGTGTAAACTATTGTTATTTGTGATTGTGATAGAAAGACCTGCAGATAAAGCATCTGGAGGAAACCATGGAGGAATATACTGACATCATCAAGGTAACAGTGTTCACCTTTTAGGTTGGTTTTTTTTTTTCCCCTGTTGAGCTGTTTTAAGTGTTTCATTTAGAGTTTATCTGTTCCAGGATCTCAGAACGACGAAGCAGGAGCTGAGCAAGCAGCTGGAGGACAGACTGGACGAGGCCTCGTTGTAACTCTCACACACTGGTCCGCCTTTCTTTTTTAGGTGATTGTTGTGACTGTGTGTTTGTTTTTCCAGCCCTGTTCTGGCTGAGGTGATGGGAGAAGAGGAGGGGTTAGTCAGTTCTCATCTGTCCTTGGCAGAAGAAATCCAGCTGCTGGTCTCATCTGCTGAGATGAACCCCAGCAGGTCCAGCTTCACAGATCTCACTCTGGTGGCTTCTGATGAGGAGGTAAAACCAACTTGTAGTTTTTTATTTAGACTTTGGTTTAATGATAATGAATCCAAGTGGACATGAGCGAGGGTTCCAACAAAATCTGTCGAGGTTGAAGGTACTTGTTGCAAGACTTGAGTTTTCCTTGGCGTACCTTCCGGATTGTTATAAATGACATAGTTGGTGTGTTGAATCATCTCTGCAGGAGAACAACGGAGTTCTGGATTCTCCCAAAGCTGACCTCAGTACTGAAAGGTATTTAAGGAAAAACCGCTCCAAAACACTCGTTATTTCATTATTGCTGCGTGTCATGTGTCCCTGTGTTTTGTTTTAACTAACTTAGAGAGGAAGGACTTGCTGACGCCTCGAAGACCAACATCCACGGATCAAGTCTATTCAAGCTGTGCATCTTCACTCTTTCCTTTTTGGTCTCTGCGGTTTTGGGATGCGTCGCAGGAAACTTGTTTTCCAGTAACATTTTGCAGAGTGGTTCCCAGCTCATGTTACAGCCCTACATCAGCGTCCAGTACAACGCCTTACCTCCCGTTTGATCTCTTAAGTGGAGTTGCATCCATCTGCTTCAGCTCTAGAGTGCTGTTGGGACTTTGTGGGACACTTAAAGAAAACTGATATGAACGCAGCATGTTAAAAAAACAAATCCTCTGTTTATTTTGTCCAAAATTAATCACAGATGTGACACAAGCCTCCTCACAGCCTGTTGGTGTTATTTGTTTAGCTTTAATGATGGTTTAGAGTCATTAGTACAGTTGATTTCTTACCTCAGTCAGTCATTTCTTTTATTGCTGCACTTCTTCCAGTGTTCCATCATCTTTCTGCTAGTTTCCCATCATTTTTAGAGCCATTGTGTTTTTCCACATGGTCGATTGGCTTCTTGAAAATGTTCGTAATCTTTTGTTCACTATTCTTCACAAGCTTTTCAGTCCAGGTTTACACATTCACACCCATGCAGATGCAGAAACTTTTATTTGTGACTTTTTATCTCATAATTATGCGTTTACAGTCATAGTTGTGACATCTATGGGACCGTTTTTTGTTATTTCTTTCAAGGTTCTCCATAGTTATTTCTCTTTAAATTACACGGTTATTTTATTCTATCATAATTGAGTGCTGGCATGTTATTTTGGTTTAAAACATCAGTTGTTTGATTTTTATGTTCTTTCACATCAAAGCTAGATTATTTTCCCACATTTTGAAAGTCCTAGTTAGATGTTTCTCTCACTAAGAGTTGTAATTTGACATTTAAACTCTTAAGTATCCTAGGATGATGTCAGAAGTGTTAAAAGAGCATCCTCGTTTGAAGCGCACGTGCGGGCGATGAGAGGACTACCGCTTCCTGTCTGAAGACGTGTGAGTTCAGTCATGTTTTGATTATTTGTCAACGCCCAACCCACCCAGCGGAAGCAATTGGCGCTCGGTTCTGGAGGAAAACACCCCCACCCTCCTTCCTATTCCGGGAGAACCGTCAACCGGTTCCGATTTAGGATCTGTGGCTACCGGAGGCTGCTGCTGGACCACCTCTTGCCTGGGCTGGAGGCTGATGACGGGCCGCGCTGCTTCCACGTCCTGTGGAGCTCCGAACCGGAGCCGCTAAGAAACCGTAAATCAGAACCAGATAGAGCAACAGGCCAGTTCGACCCGGTTGTTAACGGAAGGAAACCTGGCATGTTCTGATCGGGGAGCCGACGAGCAGCTGCGCCTGTCGGGATGAAGGCTGGGAGGAGACCGAGGCGGACGCGGCTCCTTCCCCGGGTCTCCATCGGTGGAGCGGGGCTGCTCGCTGCTGCCTTCATCCTTTACTTCAGTCATGTCACAGGTACCGGTGTTGTAGAGATGCACCTGGTTTGGTTCTGGCAGAGAGAAAAAGATTACTAACTTAAATTATAATGCTGGAATGACTGGATGCTTTACTGCATGTCTAAATAATTGAGTGTGTGTTTTTATTTCTGCTTGTCAAGACTCCCATCCCCAAGCTGTGGGTCATGTCCCATCTTTATCCAAGAGAGAGCTCGTCCTGCAAAAAGAGGAAAACCAAACTGGATCTGGTGATTGTCCTCATTTCTCACATATATGTTATATAACCCGGACTACTGGCTTTTGAGTGTTTACAGCTGAGATGTTTATTTACCTATAATTACAAAGTTAGATATGCATGCATTAATAACAGACAGAACCTGAATTAACACTAGTAACTAGATGTGCCAACTTATCCATATCAGATAGTTTTCTTCTCCCCTGTGCACCACTACACCTCAGAGGTCCATTTCATTCATTTCTTCATACTGCACATCTAGATATTTAAACACAGCCATGCCTTTGATGGGCTCAGTTGCTAAGTAACAAAATGCTGAGTTTGAGGTTGGATGTTGAGCATGTACAGTGGTTCAAAGTGCCTACCTTCCCCATCGTAATGATTTGCTGATTAGAAAGCTCTCATCAGCATATCTCACTGAAGCCCTTTGAATGACTGAGAAGTAAATGTTTCCTGTTGGGGTGAAGATATCCAAACAGAGGAATCCATTGATTCAGGAGGGAAGAAAAGATGCTTTCTCATGCAGATTTTAAATTTAATTTTCAAAAAGAGGGTTGGAAATTGCTAAGAACTTGATTTTGATTTGAACCTGCACACATGCATATAAAATGAGAGGCAACAGAATATCAGAGATGCTGTGATTTAATTACATTTTTATATTTTGTAAACTAGTGAAACTACTTCCCTCAATCTCTTCATGATGAATCATACAGTTTAAGTAGAGGCTGATTTGGACTACAAGCTGGAAGCATGCACACACACACATACATTCTCGTCTAGCATTCATTGTGAGGACTGTCATTGATTTCTATTCATTTTAGTGACTGGATTGTGCCTCACCCTAACCCTAACAAAAAATAAATAAAAACCATTTTTGTGAGCACAAGCAAGAAAATGAATTAATCAAACCACATATGTGTCTACTGCATTTTGCTTTTTTTTTTTTAAAGAAGAACAAATGCATGATTCCCATTTCTCACATTTGTGTAATGGGCAGTGACCAAAGGCAGCAACCGTTGTGGTCTGATCTTTCAGCTGTAGAACCTAGCTCTCGGCACGTGGAATGTCACCTCTCTGGTGGGGAAAGAGAATTAACTGCTGTGTGAGGTTGAGAGGTTCCGGTTCAATGCATGACTCTGGCTTTGGTATCAGCACCATCTTGGTGCCGATATGTTGGATTTTACCCTGGTGAGTGAGGGTACTCGGGACGTTGTGGATCAGTGGGCAGAATACTTCGAAGACCTCCTCAATCCCACCGACATGTCTTCAAGTGAGGAAGCAGAGTCTGGGGACTTTGAGTTGGGCTCTCCAATCTCTGGTGCTGAGGTCACTGAGGTGGTTAAAAAGCTCCTCTGTGGCAAGGCTCCAGGGGTGGATGAGATCCACCCAGAGTTCCTTAAGGCTCTGGATGTTGTGGGGCTGTGTTGGCTGACGCGGCTCTGCAATATCGCATGGACATCGGGGGCAGTCCCACTGGACTGGCAGACCGGGGTGGTGGTTCTCTTATTTAAAAAGGGGGACCTCAGGGTGTGTTCCAACTACAGGGGCATCACACTCTTGAGCCTTCCTGATGAGGTCTATTCAGGGGTTCTGGAGAGGAGGGTCCGTCAGATTGTCGAACCTCGGATTCAGGAGGAGCAATGCGGTTTTCGTCCTGGCCGTGGAGCACTGGACCAGCTCTATAATCTTAGGGGGTCCTGGAGGGTGAGTGAGAATTTGCCCAACCAGTCTACATGTATTTTGTGGACCCTCGGGGGGCCTGTGGGGGGCACTCCGGGAGTATGGGGTACCGAGCCCTCTGATAGGGGCTGTTAGGTCTCTGTATGACCGGTGTCAAAGCTTGATCCGCATTGCCGGCAGTAAGTCGGGCTCGTTCCCAGTGAGAGTCGGACTCCACCAAGGCTGCTTTTTGTCACCAATTTTATTCATTGCCTTTATGAACAGAATTTCTAGGCGCAGCAAAGGTGAGGAGGGCATCCGTTTTGGTGGCCTGAGGATCAGGTCTCTGCTTTTTGCGGATGATGTGGTCTTGTTGGCTTCATCAGAACGTGATCTTCGGCTTTTGCCGGAGCGGTTTGCAGCTGAGTGTGAAGCAGCTGGGATGACAATCAGCTCCTCTAAATTTGAGACCATGGTCTTGATTCGGAAAGGAGAAGAATGCCTTCTCCAGGTCAGGGATGTGGCCCTGCCCAAGTGGAGGAGTTTAAGTATCTGCAGGGTCTTGTTCACGAGTGAGGGAAAGCTGGAGCGGGAGATCGATAGGCGGATTGGTGCTGCATCTGCAGTGATGCGGGCGTTGTACCGGTATGTCGTGGTGAAGAGAGAGCTGAGTCAGAAGTTGAGGCTCTCGATTTACTGGCCGATCTATGTTCCTACCCTCACCTATGATCATGAGCTATAGGTAGTGACCGAAAGAATGAGACTGTGGATACAAGCGGCCAAAATAAGTTTTCTCAGCAGAGTGGCTGGGCTCCCTCTTAGAGATAAGGTGAGAAGCTCAGTCGTCCGGGAGGGGCTCGGAGTAGATCCGCTGCTCCTACACATTGAGAGGAGCCAGTTGAGGTGGCTCAGGCATCTAGTTAGGATGGCTCCTGGTGAGGTTTTCTGGGCACGTCCAACTGGGAGGAGGCCTAAAGGGAGACCCAGGACATGTTGGAGGGACTATGTCTCTCACCTGGCCAGGGAATGCCTTAGGATTCCCCCGGAAGAGCTGGCCCACGTGGCTAGGGAGAGGGAACTCTGGGCCTCTCGACTTAGGCTACTGCCCCCGCGACCCGACTCGTATAAGTGAAAGAAAATGGAAGGATGGATGGATGGATGGAATGAGAAGGTAGGCGTCCTGACTGTTTTTTTTGTGATTATGCACCAAATTGCAAGTCTGACTACCCACCTTTTTTGGAGTCCTTGGAGAGGGTGCTAGGGAACGGTCTATCCAGTGACTCCCTTGTTCTCCTGGGGGACTTCAATCCTCACATGGGCAACAACAGTGAAACCTGGAGGAGTGTGTCTGGGAGAAATGCCCCACACTCCGATCTGAATTTGAGCAGAGTTTTGTTATTGGACTTCTGTGCTCATTATGGATTTTAGGGGCACCAGTACCTCAGGAGGCTGAGCGGGTTATCCAGTAATCTGAAGGTTGCAATTTCAATCCCAGCACCAGACAGAGAAATATGCTGTTGTGTTCTTGCGCCAGACACCTGGCCCACCTTGCCTGCTGGTAGTGGTCGGAGGGACTGGTGGGGCGTGTGCTCGGCAGCCTTGCCTCTGTCAGTGTGCCCTATTGTAGCTCATCACCATCAGTGTGTAAATGTGACTACGAATGATACACTGTAGTGTAATGTGCTTTGGAGTCCTCTGACTCTGAAAGGTGCTATACAAGTGCGGGTCATTTTTCCATATAATGAACACTATGTTCAGGTATAAAGGTGTCCATATGTTCTCTTGGTACCAGGATACCTTAGGCCACATCTCGATGATCAACTTTGTTGTTGTCTCATCTGATCTGCGGCCGCAGATGTCTTAGAGATTTGGGTGAAGAAAGGGGCGGAGTTGTCAACTGACCCCTACCTGGTGGTGAGTGAGTGGGCTTTGATGGTGGGGGAGGATGCCGGTCAGACCTGGTAGGCCTAAATGTGTTGTGAAGGTCTGCTGGGAACATCTGACAGATTCTCCTGTCAGACGATTTGATTCCCACATTTGACAGAATTTTGAACGCATGCCAGGAGAGGTGGGGGACATTGAGTTCAAGTAGGCCATTTTCCATGCTTCCAGTTTTGGGGGACTGACCAGAGCTGTGGCCCCGACGGTAACCCCCACACCTGCTGGTGGAAACTTATGGGCTGCTGTCAAGCTGAAGGAGTTCTTTTGGGTCTTTTTGGCCTTTAGGCCTTTAGGCCTTGAGACTCAAAAGAGAATCGGCTCCCCCAAATTCAAGACCATGGTCTTGAGTGGGAAAAGGGTAGAATGCCTTCTCCAAGTCAGGGATGAGGTCCTGCCCCAAGTGGAAGAGTTTAAGTATCTCAGGGGCTTGTTCAGGAATGAAGGAAAGATGGAGCGTGAGATTGATAGGCAGATTGGGGCTGTGTCTGCAGTGATGCGGGCACTGTACCAGTCTGTTGTGGTGAAGAGAGAGCTGAGCCGGAAGGCAAAGCTCGCCATTTACCGGTCGATCTACATTCCTACCCTCACCTATGGTCACGAGCTTTGGGTAGTGACCGAATGTATGACGTTGCAGATACAATCAGCCGAAATGAATTTTCTCTGCAGGGTGTCTGGGCTCTCCCTTAGAGATAGCATGAGAAGCTTGGTCATCCGGAAGGAGCTCGGAGTAGACCTCCTGCTCCTTCACATCGAGAGGAGGCAGTTGAGGTGGCTTGAGGATCTTGTTAGGATACCTCCCTGGTAAGATTTTTCAGGCACACCCAACCAGGAGGAGAACTAAATGAAGACCCAGGAGGTGCTGGAGGGACTATGTCTCTCAGCTGGCCAGGGAACGCCTTAGGATTCCCCCGGAGGAGCTGGCCCGAGTGGCTGGGGAGAGGGAAGTCTGGGCCTCCTGCTGAGGCTACTGCCTCCACGACCCAACCTTGGGTGAATGGATGAAGATGAATGAATGAAATGTGTTGTTCTGCTCAGTCATATGGCTTCCATCTCACAAAAAACATGATTCCTAGGTCCCTTAATAGTTTTGTGGTAGATGTTTCCACAAACCCTCTGCACCCGACCTCCACTGGGCGGACCTCCACATTCCAGCCATGATGTTTCGGCGGCTAGGTCAGCATGCCGCAGATGTTTCCGCTCAAAGGCCTCCTCCTTGGAATTCTCCCAGGGTACGGTGAGTTCGATTATGTGAACCTTCTTTATGGAGGAGGACCATAGCACCAGGTCAGGCCTTACGGTGGTGGGAGCTATCTCTGAGGGAAACACCAGTTGTTTGCCAATGTCTGCCAGCATCTTCCAGTCACGTGCTAGGCACAGCTGGCTTCAGAGCTGCTCTTAGTGGCTGCTGTGCCTTCACGGACGAAGGCAGTTGCCCATGGTGGTGTTGAGATGTTAGGTACTGAAAGGGCGTTGATGCTGGATCGTTTTTCCTCCAGTGTAGCAGCAAGGCATTTCAAAACTTGGTTGTGCCGCCAAGTGTATCGTCCTTGGGTAAGGCTGGTTTTACACCCAGTGAGTATGTGCCCGGGGGAGTCTGGCTTGGAGCACAGGACGCACCCACGATCTTCACCAAACCACCGGTGGAGATTAGTTGGTGTTGGTAGGACATCATATGTGGCTCTGATGGAAAAGCTCAAGTTCCTAGCTTCCATGGCCCATACATCCCTCCAGCACCTCCTCCTTTCGACACCTTCCCACCGTGTCCACAGTCCCTGTTTGCCAAGGGCGACTGCCTTGGCCAACCTTGCAGATTCCTCCTGACGTCGCACCTCATCCACCACCATCTTCCTCCGTGCTGGAGCAGTAGCAGTTCTCCAGGCTGGACGGCTAGTTTTTAGTCCAAGGCCTCCCCTTCCTAGGTTAACGTTCCCCATAATGTCAGCATGTCTAAGAGCTGCCGTTGCCTCCTCTACTGCTCTTGCTGGTCTCCACTTGCACCAGGTAACCATGCTTGGTACGTTTTCTCTGATCACCGGATCTGTGGTATCATTCAAGGTCATCTGCAACCGTGCTTTGGCACACTTGAACTCTTCCGTAAGGCTGGTAAGTGGCAGCTTGAGGACACTATCTCCATAGAGGATTGTGGTGGTGAGGCAATGTGGAACTCCCAGCCATTTCTTGATGTAGGCTGTGAATCTTCTCTCCAGCTTCTCTACCGTTGCGATGGGCACCTCATAGATTGCCAAGGGCCACAGCACTCGGGGTAGAAGGCCGAACTGGAAGCACCAGGTCTTGAGCTTCCCAGGTAGTTGGATTTTGTCAATTGCCTGTAGGCTTGCATTAATGTCACTGCATAGTAGTTTCACCTGTTGTTTATCTTTCAGGCTTCTGTCGTAGAACCTTCAGAGACTTTTGACTGGCTGCTTGGATACAGTAGGAATTGGGTCATCATCATGAAGAACTGCAAGTCAGTAAGCACTCCCTTCACCACTGAGATGCTGCGTGACTTAGACGGTTTAATCTTCATACAGGCCCACATGATGTTCTCCTCCAATTTACCGAGTAATCTCCTGGTGCATGGAACAGTGGTAGTCAAGGTGGTAATGTCATCCATGTAGGCTCTGAGGGGAGGAAGACGCCGGCAGGAGCCGATTCTTTGTCCACCTACAACCCACTTTGAAGCTCGGATGATAATCTCCATTGCCATGGTGAAAGCCAGGGGAGAAACAGTACATCCAGCCATAATGCCTACTTCCAGGCACTGCCAAGAGGTGGTAAACTCAGGCGTAGAAAAGCAAAATTGCAGGTCCTGAAAGTAGTTTTCGTCAAGGGTTGTGATGGTGTCCGGGATGTTAAAAAACCTAAAAGTAGTCCAGAGAAGCTCATAGGGTACAAAGCCGAAGGCATTTGCAAGGTCCAGGAAAATCACATGGAGGTTTCTTTTCTTTGTCTTTGCCATTTGGATCTGGTGCCAGATCATGCTAGCATGTTCTAGGCAACCAGAAAAGCCAGATATTCCTGCTTTTTGCACTGATGTATTCTATTACTCGTTTCTGTGCAGATATTCTGCCATTCTTTGTGCAATGACCCTGTAGAAGATCTTACCCTCCACATAAAGCAAGGCGATAGGGTGGAACTGATTGATGTTAGCTGCATCCTTCTCCTTTGGGATAAGGATCCAACCTGCCCTTCGCTATGCTTTGGGTATGGTTCTCTTCTGCCATACCATCCTCATGAGTCTCCAGAGAAACCTGCATACATCTGGTGCATTCTTGTACACTCTAAATGGGACTCCGTTTGGCCCAGGGGCTGATGCTGTGCGTGCCCGGTGGAAGATCTCCTCCACCTCCTTCCACGTGGGAGGGCCAATCTCAAATTGGTACTCTGTGGGGTTGATTGGTGGAATATCTGGAGGGATGGCCAGGTGTTCAAAGCGCTTTAGATCGCTGTGTGTTGATTTAAGGTGCCCCTCCAGGTCATCTTTTGTTGTTTTTAGAACTCCACTTTTCTCACTGGTAAAGAGAGTCTTCAAGAACTTGAATGGATCTTTTTAGAACCGTGTTCTTGTTTGTTCTTTATTCCTCCTTCTTTTCTGTAAAACCTCTGCTTTGCGGAGGGTTGCCAGCTGTGCTTTGATGTCAGCTTGGAGGGTGGTTATGCCCTCCTTTTCTGTTTCAGAAGCCTTTTTCCACAGTTTCCTGAGTTGCCTCCTTTCTTGAACCAGGCGCTTGATTTCTTGTTGCCTCCTGGAGACTGGTGGAGTAAAAGAGTTTTTAGTAGCCTGTGGCTCTACAACCCCAAAGTGTTCTGCTCCATATTGATAGATGATGTTTCCCATTTCCTCCAATTTCTTCTCCACTGTGCCTTGAATTTGTTGGAGGGACATAGACAGGTCTTTATTCACTGTTTCCCACAGCTTTTTCTCTGCAGCACCAGGCCATTTCACACGCAGTTTGTAGCTTGGAAGTCTCTGCTCGACTGCATGTCGGGGAGTTGGGGTGGGTTCCTCCACTGAAGTTTGTTCCACCACTACTTCTGAGCTTGAGTTTGTCTCTTCCCTGACGGGGATGCTGATACCCTCCAAATTATGGTTTTCATCCAGTTGGTGAGCTTCACTCGACTGATTTGACCCATTCTGTAGGAAGTCGTCAATGCGAGGCCCCGTCTCTCTTCCCTCAAGCACCTCTTCTTTCCCTGGTGAATCCTCAGACCCTGGTAAGTTGTTACTTTCCTCCATCCACAGCTACATATCTGCAGCTGTTGGACTGCTGCTTTGGCAGTGCTTGCGCTGTTTGCTGTGATGTTACCTTGCACTGTGCTGACTTTGCTCGTAGTCATTTCCAGTCCAGTCATTACCGTTTTATCAGCCGTTGTGTCTTCTTCCGCCCCCGCTCTCGCAGACTCTGGGGGTATTCTCTTTGTTCGCCTCTTTGTAGCTAATGGGGGTATCTGCCATGCTGCAAGGCATGAGAGACTACAGTTGTGGGCAGCTAACCCATGACTGACCCATTGGGGTCTCTCCATGCTGTCACAAGGACTTTCCTCTTTTGCCAGCTGAACTTTCCCAGCAGTCACTGGACAAGTCCAGATAATCGGATTCCAGAAAACACCGGATCAGATGGTATTTCCTTGTGCAAGAACATACGAGTGCTTGGTCTACTTAATGGTGGATGGTAGAAATGCAGGGGAAAAAAATATTTCTGGGACGCATCCTCAGTAGGATTCTTTGCTGACATAAAATCATACTTTTATTTAAATAGTCTCAGTACAAGTTTGTCTGCATTTTTTCCTCTCTAATTGAAGGTTTGCACTAATTGTATCTTGATTTTTTTGTTTAATTCTAGAACACATTTTTTCCACTATGTTAAAATCTTAAAATAATTATAAAGCAACAAAAGTAGCATCGTGTTTTTGATCATGAGATAAACTGAGTGGGACGAATTTCTGAAGAAAGTTTTTTTATTTGACGCCATAGTGTCTATTTTTAAACACGACGGACGCTGCATCTGCCCAGGACTACGTTGGTTTTATTCACACTTTTATTATGTTTGTAATGCTCAACTCCTGTGGAGGTTTCATTGATTCTGACTCACATCTGAACCAGGATAACTGGGTAGGAAGGTCAGTTAGCAGGTAGCTTCACAGACTTTTCTTTTTGTTGCCTAGAAAGCTTTTATCAGCATTGAGATGTGGTGTCTTTTTGCTCAAAGTACTTTTGGAAAGACTAAGTATGATGACTATTTGAATATCTGGTTGCAGCTGGCACTAGGAGAAAGTTTAAAGCCATAATAAGGATTAATTTTAGGTAAGAAGAAGCTGGGTTAATGCTGATGGGTGTTTAAAATGACTGTTACACAGTTTTAACCTTATAGCAGCATGGATGCCTGTTGCTATGGAAACAACAAGATGAAAAATACACCCAAGAAGACACTTCCTAGTTGAAGAATGATTCACAAAAATGTTTGACAGTAGTAAAACACAAAGTTGATCGGTCCTCACTAATTTCACCACAGAATGGTTTTTATCACTCTGACACCTTAAAGAGGCTGAAAGTTTACTGAGGAATCTGGTTCTGCAGCACCTTAGGCTTCTTACATCACAGCACAATGTGTTAATAACACCTAATAGTTGGCATGCAAAAAAAAACTTAGATTTGTGCTCTTTGCTCTAAGTCTCGGAGTGGACTGGCAGCTCTCAGATCAGTAGAATTTGGTGCTAAATTGCATTCTAGTGAGTTCATACTTCTAATATTAGAAGGAAGTAGATATTTCACTCTGTTTTCTCCCCCAGCCATAAACGAGTTTCCAAAGGACATCTTTACTCTGGATCAGAGGAGGCAGGGGGCTGTGCTGTTTCACATCCTCTTTGTGAGTATGAGCTCAGGCTCCAAATAAAGACGGTTTAATCCACTAAAATAACAAAATGTGTCTCCTTCCTCTCTTACAGGCTATCTACATGTTTCACGCACTGGCCATAGTGTGTGATGTTTACTTTGTGCCATCGCTGGAAAAAGTATCAGAGGTAAGGACTAACTTGGGACAACTTTCTGACTTTTTACACAAGATCGTTCATAGCAGAGCGTTCAAGTCATAAAAATAACTAAGTGTGACTCACACATGTGTGTCTAATGGTTTTTGGGATAACAGTGGACGTGTGTGGAGTCAGTTTTTCTCTTTTAACCCTTTTAAACTCTCCACCAGAACCTTAATCTCAGTCAGGATGTTGCCGGGGCAACCTTCATGGCAGCTGGAAGCTCAGCCCCGGAGCTCTTCACCTCTCTGATTGGTCAGTAAGGTGTCTGTCTAATTAATCACTCTTGGGTTCGCTCATCACTCAGCTCCAAACAAGTCCAGTCATTTAATTTGGATTAGAATGAGGGAGGATACCTTAGCTATAGAGGGGTCAGGGAGAGCTCATTGTATGGTGTTTAGCATCTCAGATTACCAACATTTATGATATTTTAGCATATTGTGGTCAGTAGGCAAAACAAGCAGCCTAGCGTCCTACTCCAAGGACCCAGACGTGGCTTTAATCTCAAATAATCTGATTTGTTCTCATAAATTAGTTTTTTTTTAGATAACAAGCAATAAATGGCTTGGGCAGCAACAAATAGCAGGCTGCGTGCAGGCGCAGTTGTTAGCATTGTTGCCTCGCAACAAGAGGTTGCAGGTTTGAATCCTGGCTGCGGCCTTTCTGCGTGGAGTTGCATGGTCTCCCCATGCATGAGTGGGTTTCCTCCAGGTACTCCGGTTTCCCCCACAGATCATAACATGCCCTATAGGTTAACAGTTGTACGTCGTTTTGGATAAAAGTGTCAGCAAAATAAATTATCATAAATAATAAAGTTAAAGTCCTATCAGTCATCACCTAATATTAATGTCGATGGTCATCACACACTGGTGAAATTCATCTCCTCATTTCACCCATCCCCGTGGGGAGTGGTGAGCTGCAGCAGTGGCTGTGCTCGGGAACCATTTGGTGGTTTAACCCTCTAATCCAGCGCCTTGAAGCTGAGTGTCAAGCAAGGAGGCATTGGGTCCCATTTTTAAAGTCTTTGGTATGACCCGATCAGGATTTGAACCCCGGTCTCCCAGACCCAGGATAGACACTCTACCAGTAGGCCACTGAGAAGGTTAAATGACATTTCTGCAGCGGAAGTAAAATGAAGGTATAATAACTCATTATCGATGAGTAAGAAGCATCATTACATCTGTATCAGAATCCTGGTGGCTATCATTAAAATGATTTATAGCTCTGGTTGTCTGGTTTCAGGGGTGTTCATCACAAAGGGGGACGTCGGTGTGGGAACTATTGTGGGATCAGCTGTTTTTAACATCCTCGTCATCATCGGCCTCTGTGGCATCTTTGCAGGACAGGTTTGTTTGGTTGTTATTCTACAGTTTGTGTGTTTCTGGATGATTTTGGCTACACACAATAAAATGCTCTACTGTTCTGTGTTTATAACCACCATTAACTCACCAATTTTTCATACTTTTAGATCATTTTCTTGAGCCAGCATGTGCTAAAATAGCTTTACAGGGTTAATAAAATGTGACTCAGATCCCCACCGCCCTCTGTGGGCAGAATATGATAAATGATAAATGACCCGCACTTGTATAGCGCCTCTCAGAGTAAGGACTCCAAAGCGCTTTACACTACAGTGTATCATTCATCCATTCACACACTCATTCACACACTGATGGTGATGAGCTACAATGTAGCCACAGCTGTCCTGGGGCGTGCTGACAGAGGCGAGGCTGCCGAGCACAAGCGCCACCGGTCCCTCCGACCACCATCAGCAGGCAAGGTGGGTTAAGTGTCTTGCCCAAGGACACAACAGCAGAAATCTCTGTCCATAGCTGGGATCGAGCCTGCAACTTTCCGATTACTGGACAACCCGCTTAACCTGTTGAGCTACTGCTGCCCCAATACCGCATTTGCAACTTCAGATTGGCGGCCACTTTGTTGGGACTTCGACAAAATTGAGCTGACCTACCTGGTGCTGCAGCCTGGTTCCAGCTCATTTCCTGTATGCTTTAGATCATGAACACGGCTGATTTGTTTAATTTAGTGATGAATCAGTCCTGTAGACACTAAAAAAGGCCGGGGAGACATTTCAGCTGTTAGATTAAGGTGTTCAAAGGCAAACGCACAGCGAGGTGATACAATCTGGTTTCCGTTTGACCACAGATAATTAATTAGGGTTACTAGAGGGTGCTAAAATCAAGCAAAAATGCCAAGTGTGCCTTTAAGTGTCTGCTAGGACGCTTGAAGTTTGTGGAATTGTTTTAAACCTTTGGGGAGGAGAGAGAAGAAATCAGTAGCTCACACAAACAGGCAGATTTTGACCAGAGCTGCTTTTGTGAATTGAGTTATAAAGATAGACTGGTTAGGGTTAAATGGAAAGTAGTCACCGCATTAACTCATTCACCGTGGGCAACAACAAGAGTATTTACTGTCGATCTAACCTCCTTCTTCCTTGTTTGGTGCAGGAACTAATTTCTAAGGATTTGTGTCATTCAGCCTGACTTCTTATACAAGGAGATAAACTCACATTTTACAAAATCCTAACTAGTCACTAAACCTTTACTAGTCCAGATTTGTCCAGGTAAAACTCCTCTTTTCAAGCTGTCCCTGTTCCAGTACTTGTCTCCTCTCTTTCTGTGCAGTCCATCTCTCTGAGCTGGTGGCCTTTGTTCCGTGATGCTGTTTTCTACATCCTCTCCATATTGGTGCTTATTCTGGTGAGAAAACCTTTTATGTTAGAGTTTTATTACCGGTCGGACCGATTTTCTACAGACATTGGGATAAGGGTGTGGGTTAGGGTTAAGTTAGACAGGATAAGTGAGATGAACCAAATCCTGTCACCTAGAGTTAAACTCGTCTGATGAAACGAGCACAGTCGGAGTTGTTTCTAAGATCATGCTGTCGTTTTATTTTCAGGTCATCTATGACGAAAAGGTCTTGTGGTAAGTCTGTCATTAACCCTGTTATTTCTAATAGTTTTTGTTTTAAGTGGGACTAAATTGGATGTAGGTACCGTGAGCATTGTGATGGATGTTGCACGTTTCAGGTGGGAGACCATCATCCTGATTTCCATGTATGGGATTTACATCATCATCATGAAGTGAGCTCCTCCTTCAGCTCGTTTCCGTTTTAATGTTTTATGTGAAGCGACGAACCAACATCTGTGTGTTTTGAGCAGGTTCAACAGATCTCTGTGCTGCCTTGTGGAGAGGTACTGCAGAGTGGACGGCCAGCCGTGCCTGAGCGGTCTGAGACGGACAACCGCCGTCGGGGACGCGGTGGACTGTGAAAACGACATGGTGCCACTGAAGCCAGGTGCAGTTAGCTCGCCTTTGTCGGTGCGCGTGTGCACCCGCCACATCAAAAGCTTCTCTCAGTGTCTGAGCAGCTCTCATCAGACCTCCTGACACGGATAACATGCCAATCAAAGACGTTTCTGTGTCCCTGTGGACTTCAAAAACACTCAAATAGAACTGAACCATCTCACTTACTTTTATTTGTATCCTCTCTGCTTTATTAAACATCTCTTCTCCTTTCTGCTGCTAACGCTCCCTCCGCCCTCAGACTCTTGTGTTGTGGCCGGTCAGGACTCTACTGTGGGGATGGTAGATGAGCTACTGAACCTGCAGCCCCACCAGCTCACCTTCTCAGAGGCAAGCCTTCATCTCCTCGTCACGCCGCATGTCCCCAGCCTTGTCCTACCTGTACGCAGCAGGACATACAGTCATCTGTGAGGCAGCGCTGATGGAACACCGAGCTCCTCTGGATTTAGTCAGCGTGGATGTTCTTATCTGAGAAAAAACTCCCGTTTTCAAGCAAATTAACATTCATCCTACCAGCAAAGATGATTAGATACAATCAACTGCCAGCTCAGGTTGCTTTTTGATGCAGATCATAAATCTGTGAGATGCTTTGAGCCTGAGCTGTTAGCATCAGCAACAGAAAAATAAAAGCTAGTCTGGGTGAGCTCAGTAACGTTCCCCAGACTTCCACTGACTCTATATGATAATAAAACACACAGAGTGCTACCTAATGTGTAATGTAGCACCAGACACCCGATTTCCTGTCTCCCGTTTCACTCACTTCTGCTGCATGTTTTGTTTCTGCTCCTGCTCAGTGCCCTGACTCCCCTCTGGTGAATACGAGGACCTGTTTAGCTGCCTAATCTCTCCGTCTGCCTCCTCTCGTGTCATTAGCATCACTTGGATAAAATCATTTCCATAAACCTTCAGCATTGTTGCTTGTGTTGTTGTCTTCCGTTTTTCACGTGGTTTCTCTCCCATCCCGTAGAGGCAGAGGCTGATTCGAGCCCAGGTGAGCCCAGAGGAGGGGGCAGCATCAGGGGAGCATGTTTTGGCTCCAAGTGGAACTTTAGGAAGAGAGAACGGGACGACGGCTGAGGGAGAGAGGCGCCCACAGGAGGGAAAGGAGGAGACCGGGAAAGAATCGGGAGGAGAGACCGGCGCGAGTTCACAGCCTAAAGAGCTGGAAGAGGAGGAGGAGGAAGAAAAGGAGGAAGGAGACGAGGAGAACACGCCATTCAACCCTTTCATCCTGCCAGGTGAGTGGAGGAAAAGCTCACAAAGAGACGTAGAACAGATGTTCTGGTTACCGTAACTTTATTGTGTTTTGTTTTGATTCTGCAAAATAAGACTGTAAAGTTTTTTAAATTTCATAATATTTCTAATGGAAGTTTACATCTCCTGTACAGAAGCATAAAAAAAAACTGAGCAGCATGGTTATATTTATGCACCAGTCTTTTCAAAATAAAAGAGCAGCCATGAGGCTATATTCTCCATGGGAACAGATGCCACCTGTTGAGCTAGGAAACATCCTGATCCTCACCGATGCTTCTGAAGCCACCACTGCTTCTCTGGTTGATGTTTGACTCCTGATAGGTGGTATCACAGCTGATGGAGCTCATTAGGAGAGGGCATGGACACACTCAGGCGGAGTCATGTAAATAATTTAATAGAGCAGATGAATCTGTGACGATGCCTTTGGAAGAACAGTTGCCTCTGTGTGTGTGTGTGTGTGTGTGTGTGCGCGTGTGTGTGTGCGCGTGTGCGTGTGTGTGTCGTTCCATTAGCTGGTCTGTGGGTACGACTGAAGTGGCTGCTGTCCTGGCCCGTGAGCTTCCTGCTCCACTGCACCATCCCTGATTGTAACCAGCCACGTTGGGAGCGCTGGTACCTGCTCACCTTCCTGTCCTCCACACTCTGGATAGCCCTCTTCTCCTACCTCATGGTCTGGATGGTACGAAACCTACACACCCAGCAGCACTCACAAACACACACACAGATCAATCAATCAATCAATAAACTTTATTTATATGGTGCTTCACAACAAAAAGTGACATAAAAGAGTTTAAACATTTAAAAGCAATTAAAACATCAGACAAAAACTTGTAAATGAAATCTGGGTGGGACAGTACAAGACTGCAACAACCCCCCATTAACGAGACTCTTCGTCAGTAAAAACCATTGAGTGAAAGTGTGTTTTCAGTCAGCTCTTAAAATTGCTGAGTGAGAAATAGAGTCACTTATGATGTTTCCTTTTTGTAAGGTGACTATAATCAGCTACACCTTCGGGATCCCAGATGTCATCATGGGCATCACCTTTCTGGCAGCTGGTACCAGTGTGCCCGACTGTATTGCCAGTCTCATCGTCGCCCAGCAAGGTGTGTGTGTTTTAAATTTAAGCCACATTTTGTTATTTTTCAAATAAAAAGTTACTACTTTTAATGAAATCCTGCTCCTGATCCTGCATGTTTTCACAACGGATGTCAAACATTGCAGGAATGGGCGACATGGCCGTGTCCAACTCCATCGGCAGTAATATCTTTGATGTGCTGCTAGGCCTGGGCTTCCCCTGGGCGCTGAGGACTCTGATCGTCAGCTATGGATCAGTGGTAATGCTTTACACTTTGTGTTCAAACTCATTGCTCAAAGAGTAAAAATACAATTAAAAAAGCTTCTGCCTTCAAGTTGTTTGAAAACTTGATCCTCTTGGTTCTGTCGTCAGCGGCTGCTGCAGCTCTCCTCACCTTTAATGCTTTTCATAGATCAGAAACACACATCCAGTCTTGCTGCTTTTGTAGTCTGACTTTTAGCTAAATAATGCAACAAAAACAAACAGAACATAACTATATGGGAGATGATCTAAAAATCTCAAATTCTGAAGCTTTTGGGTAAACGGGCATGTTTTAAATCATACATCACACCAATGACTTTAGTTTAAAAACTTACTAATGATCCAATGTAGAGAATGACCAATGTAGGTTTTTCTGTTTCTGATGAGTAGAAACGTAGAGGCTGACGCCCGATACGATTTTCACGGCTAGACATTTTCTGCCTTACCTGCATGCAAAAAAAAATTACCAGCCGTGGATGTTCAACATTTTTTAAACTGAATTTGTTTTTTTTAACACTGAATTTAATCAACTCTTCAGTCTTACTTTTGTGCACGGACAGTATTAAAATAAAACTTTCAACTAAAGCTAATCACACATCAATAGACTGAAATAGGTCAAATATTAAAGGCCAAGTTCACTGAAAAACTGCTTTTTTGTACTTTTTTATGTGAAAGGTCACACTTGCAGGCTAAATGTGAAAACAGGCTTCTTCTACTATTTCCTGCATTAGCCACCGATAGAAGTTAGGCAAGAGAATGCTCAGAAACGTCAGTGGCATTAGCTCGTGATAATGGGAAGTTAGCATCCAATCTTACCAATCTTAACTTGCGATGGGGAAGGCTGTTGTTGATTTAATGTCCAGGAGAGAGCAGAGAGCGTCTCAGCTAGTAGAAATTAATCGTTAGCGTTAGCAACTCCACAGTACAGCACAACTCCCTCCGGCTTATGTTATTTATGGAGATAAAACATCAATGTTGAAGAGCGAACATAGTTTGGTTGCTGTTAGCCAATCAGATGAAAGATGTGTGAAAATCAGGAAATAAGACTCCAAATCCTATCGTCTGAAGCTCACCTCTGCCCTGGCTTCTTCTACTTCCTGAAACAGGAGCGCCAGAGTTTTTTTTTCACACAGAGATCAAGTCACAAGGCAGCCATTTATACTGAGTCAACTGCAAATGTGTTAAAAATGGGTGTAATTGGTATTAAAATGTAAAACAGGCAAATATAAAGAAATGTCAGTTGACAACAACAGAGTATGTATTAAGCAGGAGTTTCTCAGGAACGTAAACATACAGTTAAATAAAAATCAACGTATTTGCCAAATGGGCTCTACAGGCCCATGTATCAGTCTATCACTAATCCAGTGTGTATTTTCTGAGTTGTAGGTGACAATCAACAGCAAAGGTCTGGTTTACTCTGTGATTCTGCTGCTGGCCTCGGTCACACTTACTGTGAGTAGACGTCCATGGGTAACATCACAGATCTGAGATTTCTTTAATAGACTCACATCAGCTCCTGGTCTTCCTCACCCACATCATTTTGATCTCATCTTTTTTCCATCACAACTTCAGAGCCATTTGATTGATGTTTACTAGATTTCTTCAGATTAAACTCATGACAGTGAAACAGGAAATGAAGGTTGGTCTTTATTAAATCATGCCTCTGTGTCTGTCCCTCTGCAGGTTCTGTGTGTTCATCTGAACCGCTGGAGATTGGACCGCAGACTGGGCCTCTGTCTCTTGCTGCTCTACTCCATCTTCCTTCTCTGCTCCATCGGCTTTGAAAAGCTTTAGAAGACACACACACACACACACACACACACACACACACACACACACACACACACACACACACACACACACACACAACACAGACTGGTGGCTTGATTTGTTTTAAACCTTCCCTGCAGCCATTAGTGTCCACAGATCTGAGTCATCGTTTTGTCCCACAGAGGCTGTCCCTGTCTGAGCAACGTTACTGTGACACCAGGTGTCTCTTAAGCGATGTTGTTTACTTTTGATAAATTAGTATTTTCAGCAGTTTTGTACTGAAGCACTTTCAGCGCACATTTTGTGAATTGAAACCCAATGCACTACATGTAACAACATTTTTAAAAGGTTGAATTTGTCCTTACGCCCCAAAGCGCTGGTTTTCTGCTTTCTTCATCACTGACACAAGTAACCTCAATGATTCAGTGTTTAAGGTGATGTTGTTGCTTCTCAGTTTGTGCTGTGATGTCCGTTTTCCTCCCATCTTTGTGGCTGTAAATGACGTAGCATAGCCGATCAGCACGCTCCTCGTGTTTGCACTAAGTCACGTTGTGCTGGCTTCCTTTGTAGTGCCGTCTTTTCTGTTAAACTCTTGAACAGGAAGTGTTTATGAATGTCTGTTTGGAGAGTCCTTTATCCAGTTTGAGTGCAATAAAACACTTTATTCTGCAAGTTTGTCTTTCTGCCTGAAAACCAACCAGCATGTTCTAATCTTTATTCAAATACTCACACCACTACTAAAGGCTGGATCAGAGCGAGAAAGCAGATTAAAGCACACATGAACAACTTTGCTGCTGGGAGCAGAAGATAAAGATTCAAACTCCAGAGATGGTAGTTTAACTAACCCTCATAATTGTCCTGGTTTATGGTTAAGTTAGTTAGGAGACTGGGCTACAGCGCCACAGATGTCCAAGTACTGCTCAATGACTCGTGATCAGCTGACTAGAAGCTAGCAATCACCAGCGTCATAGATGAGCTGAAACTGTTCTTAAAAAAATTTATCATTTTGCAGCTCAGGTGGATTTTTCTGCTACTTCTAAAATGTTTTACACGGCATCACTAATCCACGGTAAATGTATACAGACTTTATAAACGTTTAAGACGCTTTTTCCATCAGCTTCACTGCTGTGGAAAAACTTACTTTCAGAATCGGCCTAAATTTAAAATCACCTCATCAGCTTTTTCAAACAAATAATTCATGATCAGAAACTATTTTTACTTTTTCAAATAGATTTTTATTTTGGTTGGGCTAAATCAGCTTCAATACAAAAGAAATGTTAAAAAAAATTACAACAAAGTACATAGTTTTACAAATACGTATGATGAAAGTGTGACATATCTGGAAAACCAAATGATTTTAAACATATCACAGTCATAACAAAAGTAGAAAAGTCGATACAGTACATAGAATGCAATAGGAGATATATACTGAAGTGATACCAGATTTTACAAAATTCAACTAGTAAAAACTCCCGATTCTAACAGAATATGAGGCAATATCAAATGTAAGAAAAAAAAGAAACACTTGTGATATGAAACTGTCCGATCTACATGCAAACCAGCCTCCATGTGATGAGTTATAAAGCAGCTACGGTCGTCAGTGAAAGCCGCTGGGTCAACTGTCATGTATGAAAAAATACCGCTGCCAATTTATTCTTTTAAATGCTAAAATTCATCTTTGATCAGATGCTGCAACATGGTCAAAGAGTCAACTGAAAAATGAACCACCATCAGTTTCCCCGCTAATTATGGGTCTTCAGGAATAAAATTAAACATTCGGTTTTAGTCTGGTGAACTTGTCTTTCTCTTGTAGTGTTTGTTTTTAAGAAGCCTCATCACGAGCATTCGTGCTGACGGACCTCACCGTCTCCGTCCCACCACGTTCTCGTGACGAGCCACTGTGGTTCCTGTGGGAAACCGTTCCAAAAGCACTAAACGCTCAATTTGAATGGGACAACATTACACAGACGAAAGCCACTACAAAAACCCACTAGTAACCAGAAACCATGATCATTATAATAATAATAATAATAATATCCTTTGAGCACATATGTGGTGACGTCGCTCTCGGGGAGTAAAAAATAGATCATTTAAAAGAAGACAAACTGTCGTCTCAGCTCTCGCCGAGTGTGAAGGGTGCTGATAATTAGTTGTGATGCTAATCCTTTTTCTCCTGGGAGCTCCAATGGAGACAGCAGTTACCATGGTTACTGCATGCGCTCGGTGTGTGCGTGTGTGTGTAACAGTCCAGCAGGTGTGTGTGTGTGTAACGTATTTACACACGATATGTTACAGGGTGGACAGAAGGTCTCAGGGACTTGGTAGTGATAGTTGGATCCCGTGTTGGCTGATCTGAGGCGTGTCCCCTGGCTAACGCTGTAGCTGAGAACGCTTCGTAAAGCTGATCTGCGATCTGACCCAGCTACTACATCTGGACGGGGCCCAGCAGTCCGGACTGACAGGAGGTTCTGACCTGGGGGTGGGGTCCTGCTGCTGAGAGGAGGGGCTGGTGTTCTGGGGTCACTCGGGGGTAGAGCTCTGGTTCTGCTGGTATATGGAGGCCTTGTCCTTCAGCAGAGCCAGGCACAGGTGGCAGCTCCAGCTCCCTGGAAGGATCACAGAAACACGGAGGAGAGGTTTTACGTAGGAATACATTTGTCAGTAACACACTTAATCATGCGTTCTATGTAAACTATGTATTAGAAAAATAATCAGGGTTACTGCAACAAAAAATACACATGGATAAAATGGGGAAGAAAACAATTTCCAGAATTAAAAATGTTAATTTTCTCTTTAGGATGTTTATTTTCAGTTGATTTCTTGTTTTGAAGGAAAACAGTAATTTAAAGAATCTATTCTGTTCGGTGTTATGCCTGTGCTTCATTTTCAAAACTGGAGCTGATAAATTGACCGTAGAATAAAAACACTTCATAAGCAGGAAAATAAATCACTTATCTGTTTGTGAGAAAGCCCATCTTTAGTAGACAGACCAAGCAACAACGCTCTGATGACCAAATCATGTAGGGAATACCTGACCAAGACTTTTTCTCAGCATCAGTTTTATTTCATGGAGTCTTACTAAGAGTGTGGAAATATCTGCAAATAATCATCTATTTCTTTATCTTCTGACTTCCTAAATTCCACCAGAATATTCAACACTTTACTCCAGATCACAACGCTATTATCAACTCTTTCTGTAAAAATTATCATAGAAAAGAATAACCCACCAACAATATTTTATCTCTGTAAAAATCACTTCAAATGTTTGCCTCCTTCATATTTTTAAATAGGAGAAATTCTCGACATCTGCTTTAAGCTAAAAGGGGTGGCCCAGGAAGCTGTATTTCACAGAAAGTCGTGTTTTATTTTCAAAACATTGCTAAATGCTAACTAAATGTCTAACCAGATTACTCATTTGTCAAAAGCTTTTTTTTTTCTATTTTCTTCTTGTTGACCAGAATAAACGAAAACTACTTCTCCACATTTTCTAAAACTCCTCACTGACAGCTGAAGGAACTTGAGCTTAGAGGCTCACACACACGTCCTTGTGAAGATTTCTGTGACCTGACTCCATAGTCAGTGAAAGACTCAACCATGGACTGCTGTGATGCAAGTGACCTTTAAATCAAGCCTTTTGAATTAGCTGAGATCCAAGTGCAGAAGCAGCTTACCTTCCGGTGGTTCAGTCATGGGTGGAGTTAGACAGTACATGTGGTAGCCTCGATCACAGTCATCACAGAACAGCAGCTGGTCCTGCACAAAATACAAAACAGTGAAAAGCCATGAAGAAATAGGTGAAACCAGAATGTTTTCTGTTTCAAGTGAATCTATAATGTTCTCTTATTTAATCGCCTCTGTCAGTGCGCCCCAGGGCAGCTGTGGCTACATCGTAGCTCATCACCATCAGTGTGTGAATGTGTGTGTGAATGGATGAATGATACACTGTAGTGTAAAGCGCTTTGGAGTCCTTACTCTGAGAGGCGCTATACAAGTGCGGGTCATTTATCATCATTTATCATGGAAACTTCACATTTCAGCTTAGGATGCTAACTGAGCAACAGAGCAGAGAGAAAAGCCACAGCAGAAGGTGTGTGTGGAGTTGTGTGTAACATGCAGCACATCCTTTAAAGGTGTGGGCGACTTATTTTATCAATACATTTATAGTGGTCTCTAGTAGGAATAAATTCTTGTAAGTCATTCTCCGGGGGGGGGGGGGGGGGGGGACAATATACTGGTGGACCATTACCAGGAACTGAAGTTCGTAGACATGAATATGTAGAGATGCAATTGGGGCGCTGGAGAGTGAACAGCATTGCCACCATATTGGGTGGGTACCTCACTCTCCAAATCCGACTGGACTCAACACAGGGTGGACAACAATGCCTGCTTTTTGTGCGGCCTATGGCTGCAACAAACAGTGCACTATTGAAAATAGATCATGTGGGACTTTTCTAGTCTACCTATTGGGATTTTCTATTTGAATTAATTTTGTTTAACTCATTCACTGCCATTGATGACTAAAGTCGTCATTTTAAATCCAACCGTTCACCTCCAATGGATGACTAAAGTCGTCATTTGCTGCATTTTTTTTTTAACTGTTTGGGCATCGGAACGTGCCCCCGTGCTGAGAGAACAAACATCTCAGCTCTGAAGCCAATCTTCATCTGCATACGTCACACGTCACATGATCAGGCAGCAGAAAAGCAATGTGTTAGGAGATCGTTTTGGGCTGTTCCTGTAAAAAAAATAAAGTGAGGCGAAAACCAGAAAAGCGTCTGCCGATCACAATTTGACAACGGATCATGAAAGAACGGATAACGCTCGAAAAACACAGAATCTTCCTGATGTAAGAGGTGAGTCTTCTCATTGTTTTGGTTGTTTTGGCATCGACATCATCCTCGCGCAACATTCTGTGACTCTTAAAAAAACAATAAAAACTGAGAAACGCTGACAGTGAAGGCCTTCAGCGATCAGGAAACGGCTGGCAGTGAATGAGTTAATTGTATTTATATTTTAACTATCGTGCCATAACATATGTCTGACTTTGTGAAAAAGAATAGTAAAATGTTTTTTGTTGTTGTCGTAGTTGTTGGCTAAGCACCTTCCTCAGTAGAAATAAATGCACTGGGGGCAAATGAAGACCCATCCAAGATGGCGGTCAGCTACCACAGCAGCACCAATAGGCAGCGCCACTTCACGTCATGTCTACGTATACGTCAGTGCTGAAGTTACCACATCACAGCTGAGCTTCAGACAGTAGGTTTTGGAGTCTTATTTCCTGATATTTGGAAATCTGTCAGCAGAGTGGAAAACAGAAACACGACTCTGCTTCTGACTTGTAACGTGGATGTTTTATCTCCACAAATAACACAAGCCTTAAAGAGTTTTGTCAGGTAGTGGAGTTGCTAATGCTAGCGGTTAGCTACTAGTCAGGATGTTCTCTGCTGTTTCCTGGAGGCTAAACCAACAACAGCCTTCTCCATCGTGAGTGAAGATGGATGACTCCATGAATGTTAGTGACATTGTGAAGTAGATCTGTCAGGCTTTTCAAATCCTAGAGTTTCACCGTCTATTTTCTATCAGCTTTATAAATCAGCTTTATAAATAAAGCTTTAATTGATTGATTGACTGATTGATCAGAAGCTAATGCAGGAGATAGGTGTAGGAGACTATTTTCATGTTATGGTCTATAACCACCCCTTTAAATGACAAGGACTAGACATTTGATGTCCAATAACTAACTTATATTGTCTTTTATTTATTTTTGTTTTATGACTTGACTTTGTCCCACTGCAGCCATTGTGTGTCACAGCAAGCATTAACAAGTGCCTCACGTCATTCTCCGATGTGCCACAAACGTTGCAGCATTTGCACTCGATGCACTGCCAGCGGTAGGTCTTCACAGCAGCCATCATCACTGGTGTGAACTGCAGGCATGTCGGGTGGCCTACAAAGGAGACAAAGACAGATTTCAATTAAACATCAATATAACTTTTGCTCCACCCCCCTCTAACCTAGCACCCAAAGACAAATGTCTCTTTTTACGGTTCAAGCATGGCTACACAAATACGAATAGTGTTTATCTCTGATTAAATGAAAGCTTGTAATTAAGTGCTGGCACTTCTTCCTAACTCTGACACAACGGGAGGTTGAGCACAAAACAACAAACTACAACCACGTTTAAGGTCACAGATGAAGGTTTTGACCATATTTCAAGTAAAAACAGGGCCAACATCCCATCAAACACAGTTACGGTAACTTTATCTCAAACTAAGGAAAGTTTGCAACTGAAAAAATGAAGTTAAAGCATGCTTGATTCTCTTTCATCAGCTCTCATATCTATTAGTATCAGTGGTCATTCAGCTGATAAACAACTTTTGAAAAGTAATCCAGTTCTGTCTCGCTGCAACTGACATGAATGACTTATTCTAAATAAAAGACTCCCACCGGATCGTCCGCAGTCTGAGCAGGACACCAGTTCCTCCGACTGGCCAGTCTTTTGGTTTAAGGTGGAATCTCCCAGACAGAAGTCACAGTAATCATTGGGCAGTGCCAGTCCATTGGGACCCTTCTTGGTTGCTGAGCAGGAAAAAGGAATAAAGAATAGTTCGTGCACATTAGAAGTGTCGTTTTAACCCTGTAGGACGCAAAATTACACACACATTAACTATAAGTACACCAGTGTCCATTTCTAGATGATACTTCCAAGTCTTAACTAGTTCATCAGCAAGAAAAAGAGTTAACACAATTCACAGATTCACAACCGATCAACAATAAACGGAATTATGATTTAAAGAAATGAAGCAATGACCCCGAAATAAAAAGAGAAAACACCCACACGTGTATGTATGAATATGCGAACACCCCCTTGAGTGCATAAAAGATAAAAGAAAACACCCATGAGATGGAATATGTTGCTTGGAAGAAGAAAAACACAGATGGTGAACTGCCAGATGTCCCAAACTGTGCAAGCATGAAGTAACCATCAGTGTAAACCAAAAATTAGATTCAAAATAAAAAACACAAAAAAGAAGAGAAAAAAAAGAATGAGACACTTTCCTTGAACAAACACATGCTACACCGCATGCACCACCACCACCCCCCTCTTTCTCTGCCGCTATCAGCACTAGAGGGACTCACTCTTCTGTTCCTCAGGCTGGCGAGGAGTGGGTGGTGCCTCGATCTCCTCGTGGTCCTCGCCCTCCTCCTCTGCCAGGTGAGAGTGTGTATAGTGGTAGCTCAGGCCAGGACGGTTCTTGTAGCGCTTCCCACAGACTGATATGCACACACACAGTCATAAAAAAGTGTTATTGTGGTGGGTACCCCTGAAAAAAGGGCCCAAGAAGAAGGAACTTCCATATCAGCCTTTTATCTTTTCACATGACTCTTCTGCAGCGGACACACCAACAGCACTCACACAGCAGTTGCAAAGTGAGCTGGGGCTCAAAAAGTTAGACAGCACACAGAAAAAAGCATCATTGCAGAAAAAACAATTTACAAAATAAAAAAGGCAACACATCCAAAGTCATTTTTATTTTTGTTACATTGCTGCTAATTTTAGTTCCCACTCCAAGTGGGATCTTCTGGATCACATCATGCATGGCAGAAAGCAGAAAGCTTGTTTATATCTTTGAGGAGCTACAAGCAAAAGCTTCTTTAGCTGACATGCACGTGGTTGAGCTTCTACTCACTGTCACAAGCGTAAGGTTTGTCCCTCTCCTCCAGCGCTGCCGCTGCAGCCTCCGACTTCTTCTTGCCGTTCTTGTCACCCCGGCCCTATGTAGCCAATTCAAGACGTTTCAGACATTACCACAGAAACAGAAATACAACATTCTGGTACTTCAAAACTTCTTTCTGACTTGTTGGATGCTTTAGGGAACAGGGATTTTAAGAACTCACCTTGGTCTTGTTCTTGCCTCGCCTCTTTGGGGTCTCATCCTCAAAGTCTTCATCATCTAGATCATCCAGGTAGTCGTCGTGATCAAGGACTCTCTGCAGAGAGGATCTGGATTAGCTTGCAGTGCAAGGAGGAGGATGTTTTAGATTTGCAACAACCAGATTTGATTCTAACCTTACGGATGCGCCCTGAGGACGTGTGAGTAACCGTTGAAGTAGCAGGAGGCTCCACAGTGGCTGGATCATCCTCAGGTCCACGCAGCTCCGACACACCACCCCTCCTTTCAAGGGGCTCCCCTTTCAGCAACGCCTCCAAGCTGCTCCCATCCACCGCTCCTAAAGTATCCCGCTTCAGTCCCAGCTCCAAATCATCTGCATGGGCCCATCAAAACAGTAATGGATGCATCAACATTTAGGGTATCCCCTTACACTGGAACAGACTGTGAATAATAAATCTAACAATCCTTCAAATAAGTGGAGAAAAAAAAGAGACTCCATTAAAGATGGTACCTGCTTTGAGAGTTGGGAAAGCCAGGCGGGGATCCTCTGGAGGATGGGAGCGCCGCTTCTTTCTCCAACGACGGGCTGGATAAGAGTACAGCTGTCCTGGAGCGACACCTGGTGAGACACAGAAGACTCGAAGTAAGAGGAATAATAACAACAAGGGCTGTGTTGTTGTTATGTCTTTTGAATATCTTATTTATATATAATATTTATATATTTTGAATTAATCTTAAAAATGAATTTTTTCCCCCAATACTTATTAAGCCAGTCATAAATATATAGGCTATTTAGGAAATAATTTGGCTGAACATTTATTACAAAACCTAGAGCTTGAGAAAAGGGATCTGAGGCGCTCAGGAGGAGGATGATGATGATGATGATGATGATGATGATGATGAAGATGATGACTGAAAAGCCTTTATTTATCCCTGGCTGGTTTTTAGGGCCGTACATGGACAAGCACCATCTTACACAAAGGTTCAGAATGCCTGTGCTCTGCTTCTGACCAAGTCCTCCAAACACACCCACATCACCCCGCTTCTCCTCCAGCTTCACTGGCTGCCAGTCAACTTCAGGGTTCATTTCAAGATCCTGGTTCTGGTCTATAGGGCCTTACATGGACAAGCATCATCTTACATTGGTGATCTTCTTAGTCCCTACACCCCCAGCAGGTCCCTGAGGTCCAGTGATCAAAGCCTACTGGTTGTGCAGCGCACCAGGCTAAAGACCAAAGGTGACAGATCATTTGCTGCTGTGGCCCCCAGACTCTGGACCTCTCTCCCCCTGAGCCTGAGATCAGTGGACTCAGTGGTCTCCTTTAAAAAGCAGCTGAAGACTCACTTGTTCAAGCTGGCTTTTGTATGACCTTCTTCACCACTCTCTCTTTATTCTGCTCTCCCCACCTATTCCACCTTCCCCAGGATCCACTGATTTCCCTCTTTCCTATTCACCCTCTCTCTTTCTTTACATTTTTTCTTTTAAATCACAATTGCTTATTCTTGCTCATTTTAAAAATATTTTTAAACATTTTCGAAATGCTTTTTTATATTTTTACAATTTTTTATTTTTTTTTTGTTTTTGTGAAGCGCCTCGTGATTTTTATCTTGAGAGGCGCTATAGAAATGATACTTTCTTCTTCTTCTTCTTCATTTGCTGCTGAGGCCCCCAGACTCTGGAACTCTCTCTCCCTGAGCCTGCGATCAGTGGACTCAGTAGTCTCCTTTAAAAAGCAGCTGAAATCTCACCTGTTCAGGCTGGCTTTGGTGTGACCTTCTGTTGATTCTTCCTCACTACCTTCTCCTCATTCAGATCTTTCTACCAATTCTGCTCTTCCCGGGATCCACTGATTACCCTTTTTATTTATTTTCTCTTTTCCTTTTCTGACATTTTTAATCACAGTTTTTTACTTTTCCCAATTTTATGATATTTTTTAAACCATTTTTAAATGTTTTTTTTTTTTGTTCTTGTGAAGCACCTTGTGATATTTATCTTGAGAGGTGCAATATGAATGATCGCTTATTCTTATTCTTCTACTAATGATGTACCTGCACTTCTGTGTCTCTTCTCCATCCAGATATAGCAGTTGGACTGAGCAACGCCAGTCTGAGAGTCTAGGAAGGGCATGAGGATGCTGCGCTCGGCACAGAGACGAGCGTTGTAGCTGTGGCACTGCTCCATGGCATCCCTGTAATACTGCTCTCCTAGCCTGGGAAATGGAATAGTAACACACACCAGGACAAATCAGTTCCAGTCACTGCTGGAGATATACAAAGTAACTAAAGTGGTTAAAGATTTGGCCATTTCTTCCCACTCCTAAAATGTATCTGTGATGATCAAGATGCTCTAGAAATCATTCATTTTAATTTAAAATAAAGTGTATACACAAATGCTTCATTGCTTAGATAGTGTCTAAACAACAAAACACGTTTTTATGACACACCCAGCTTGTTTTTGTTTTGTTTTTAATGAACCAGGCAGTTTCCTAAGCAGGATAACAAACTGCTTATGACTGAATGTCTGTATTTTTTTCCCGACCAAAGTGTGTAAAGCTGCACACTTCTGGTAGTGTGATTAAGCAGACTGGAGCAGCACTATACACAAAAAAGCTGTAGAATCCTTTGAAATTATTAACTAAATAACCAAATGCTTATTAGCTTGAATCCTGGTCAACACGGTGGTGAATAGATGCCTTCTAAACCGTTTGGTTTGAGTTGATGTGCAGTAATTAGATCACATTATTTAAAGCGAAAGCAGTTAACATCAAGGACATGATCAGGAAATGTCGCTCTTACTTATTTTAATCTCCTTTCCTTTTTTTTGTTTTATTACGGTACTGCTTAATCGCAGGGTATTGATGTCACACATTACAGTAACGATGGAGGGCTGTCAGAACAAAAGGTTGACTGTTAGCAGAAAAGCGCCCGCCAGCCTGTCAGTTTACTGGAGCTTTAACACACTCTTTCCACACACAGACTGCTGACTAAACCCGGTTAGTGCTATTGTGTATAACACCGCCGTAAACACACTCACGAGAGATTGAGCTTGACACAAATAGTGGCTTCACAACGCTCGTTTTAACTCCCCACGGCTAATAAGCTAACTGTAGCACAACGATAACGTAATTCTCGTGGGGCAGTTATCGTATTAAAGAACAAGGGTGAGCTTTGTGAAATTGAACGAGGAGCGCGGAAAATGATAAGTAACCCAAAGAAAATGCACCCCTGTGTGACTGGACGTTTCACTCTAAGAGAAAATAAAGGTAAACTTACACTTTCACAACACTGTCGACCGCGGCTGCCATGTTTGCTTACTGCGGTTGTGTGATGTCCCAGTGCGCCTGCGCAAAAGATACTGACGTTATCGCCTTTTTTTTTTAATCTCAGGTGAAAACTTGCTTTAGTTTCATACATCTGCAACATGAATGTTTTTTATTTAAGCGGTTATTTGTTTAAATATAATCTCACCAAGATCTCACTTAATATCTAAATCTTACATTTGCCATCTTCTTCCTCCGCTTATCCGGGTCCGGGTCGGGGGGCAGCATACCACCTAGGGAGCTCCAGACCGTCCTCTCCCCGGCCACCTCCACCAGCTCCTCCGGCTGGACCCCAAGGCATTCCTGGACCTCCTCTCCAAAGTGTCCTGGGTCGACCCGGGGGCCTCCTGCCAGCAGGACATGCCCAAAACACCTCCCCAGGGAGGCGTCCAGGAGGCATCATGACCAGATGTCCAAACCACCTCAACTGACTCCTTTCGATCCAGAGGAGCAGCGGTTCTACTCCGAGTCCCTCCTGAATGTCCAAGCTCTTCACCCTATCTCTAAGGCTGAGCCCGGCCACCCTACGGAGGAAACTAATTTCGGCCGCTTGTATCCGCAATCTCGTTCTTTCGGTCATTACCCAAAGCTCATGACCATAGGTGAGGATTGGGACGTAGATTGACCGGTAAATCGAGAGCCTGGCTTTCTGGCTCAGCTCCCTCTTCACCACGACAGATCGGCTCTGCGTCCACATCACTGCAGACGCTGAACAAATCCGCCTGTCGATCTCCCGATCCCTCCTACCCTCACTCTTGAACAAGACCCCAAGATACTTAAACTCCTCCACTTGAGGTAGGACCTCTCCCAACCTGGAGTTGGCAAGCCACCCTTTTACGGTCGAGAACCATGGTCTCAGATTTGGAGGTGCTGATCCTCATCCCAGCCGCTTCACACTCGGCTGCAAACCTACCCAGCAAGAGCTGAAGGTCAGAGCTGGATGAAGCTAGGAGGACCACATCATCTGCAAAAAGCAGAGACGGGATTCTCCTGCCACCAAACTCGACACACTCCACACCACGGCTGCACCTAGAAATTCTGTCCATAAAGGTAATGAACAGAACCGGTGACAAAGGACAGCCCTGGTGGAGTCCAACCCTTACCGGGAACAGGTCCGACTTACTACCGGCTTTGTGGACCAAACTCACGCTCCTCTGGTAAAGGGACTGAATGGCCCTTAACAGAAAGCCACCCACCCCATACTCCTGGAGCGTCCCCCACAGGGTGCCCCTGGGGACATGGTCATAAGCCTTCTCCAAAAAGACAAAACACATGTGGATTGGTTGGGCAAACTCCCATGCCCCCCCCCCATCCCCCCATCACCCTTGCAAGGGTATAGAGCTGGTCCACAGTTCCACGGCCAGGACGAAAACCACATTGCTCCTCCTCTATCTGAGATTCAACTATCGATCGGACCCTCCTCTCCAGTACCTTGGAGTAGACCTTTCCAAGGAGGCTGAGGAGTGTGATCCCCCTAAAGTTGGAACACACCCTCAGGTCACCCTTCTTAAAGATGGGGACCACCACCCCGGTCTGCCACTCCACAGGAACTGTCCCCGATGACCACGCAATGTTGCAGAGACGTGTCAACCACGACAGCCCTACAACATCCTTAGCCTTGAGATACTCATGACGAATCTCATCTGCCCCCGGGGCTCCGCCGCTGTGTAGTTGTTTGACTACCTCAGCAACTTCTGCCCCCGAGATTGGAAAGTCCATCCCCAGGTCTCCCGGCTCTGGTTCCTCCTCGGAATGCGCGTAGGTGGCATTGAGGAGCTCCTCAAGGTATTCCTTCCACCGCCCGACTATAGCCCCAGTTGACGTCAGCAGCTCCCCATCCCCACTGTAAACAGTGTGAGCGAGTTGCTGCCTTCCTCTCCTGAGGTGCCGGATAGTTTGCCCATGAAAGAAACAAGATGGACTGTGAAGAGCTCATCAAAGAACAAGTCAAGCAACTCAGTGCTGGTAATAAGAAGTAAGACTCTAGAGATTTTGTATTAAAGACATTTATAGTACATATCCTAGCTAGAAAAATGAGCAAATCACCAAAGTCCTTTTGACCAAAGGACAAGATCCCCATAGATCAAGCTAGCAAAGTGGAAAACGGGCTGCAGGATCTAGTATAACTGATGCTGAAAGAAAAGATGATTCAGCTTCTGATTAACAATATAATTAGTTTTTATGAAGGGGGAATTAGTAAAGAACCACTTTAAGTATGAACTTGAATTGAAGAGCCTCGGTCACGCTCTCAGGATGAAAGTGAAAAAAGTATTTCTGAAGAAATACTTGAAGAACCAAGCTCTGAGGATGAACTTGAAATATTTTTTTATTTAACTGGAGATTCTGACAGAGAAGATTATTTATGTTTGTCAGGCTCTGATTATGAAATGAAATTAGTGAAAAATCACAGTCAGACTCTGAGGATAAAGAGTATTCCTAAAAAAATAAATGAAGAACCACAATCATACTCAAGATAAAAATCAAGAGGAACACTGGTCAGGTTCAGAGGAAGAACTTGACGAAAGTTTTGTGGCTCAAACTTATTCTGGGGTAAACAAATACCCATTAAATGGGGGCTGCAGAGAAAACGACGGACACATCTCCAATGAAACCTAAAAATGAAAATGAGTTGCATTCAACAGGGAAAAGAGCAGTCAGGGAAATTAGGAAATGGCAAAACAATGCTTGGAGGCAGGTGGTTGTTCTGATGTTGTTGTCAGTAAAGAACCGTGTTCATACTCACCACCAGGTCCCGAGTCCCAACCAAGGAACTCAGCTCTACATAATCTATTTTATTCATTTCGGAGTTGAAATAGTGTTATGAGGTCCCATGTCTGTTTACCACACTGTACAGTTTTTGTAGCCTGTCTAGCCAGCCCCACGCTTCCTTATAGGGAGTTCTCTGTGTAGAATTAAACAGAGGACGAGTCTGGCAGGCCAGGCTAAAAGGATAGACCATCAATGCTGCTCAACCATTTCCTATCCTGGACTGTTATAGAATTTATTTGTACTGTATTGTCTCTGCAGGGTAGCTGGGCTCCCTTAGAGATAAGGTGAGAAGCTCGGTCATCCGGGAGGGGCTCGGAGTAGACCCGCTGCTCCTCCACATCGAGAGGAGCCAGGTGAGGTGGCTCGGACATCTAATTAGAATGCCTCCTGAACGCGTCCCTGGTGAAGTTTTCTGGGCACGTCCAACCGGGAGAAGACCTAAAGGAAGACCCAGGACACGCTTGAGGGACGCCTTAGGAATCCCCAGAGGAGCTGGCCCAAGTGGCTGGGGAGAGGATAGTCTGGACCTCCCCCAGTAGCTTAGGCTACTGCCCCCGAGACCTGACCCCGGATAAGAGGCCAGAAATAGATGGATAGATGGATGCATTGTTGCCCATAAGTATTTGAACGCCTGAGAAAATCAGTGTTAATATTTGGTACAGAAGCCTTTGTTTGCAATTACAGAGGTCAAACGTTTCCTGTAGTTCTTGACCAGGTGCGCTCACTGCAGCAGGAATTTTGGCCCACTCCTCCACACAGATCTCCTCTAGATCTGTCAGATTTCAGGGCTGTCACTGAGCAACACAGAGCTTTAGCTCCTTCCAAAGATTTTCTTTTGGATCTTCTCTTGGATTTAAGTCTGGAGACAGGCTACTCCAGAACCTTGATTCTTCTTACGGAGCCACTCCTTGGTTATCCTGGCTGTGTGCTTCAGGTCATTGTCATGTTTGAAGACCCATCCGTGACCCATCTTCAGTGCTCTGGCTGAGGGAAGGAGGTTGTTGCACAAAATCTCACAATACTTGGTGAACCCATTCATCCTCTTCTTAAGACAGTGCAGTCATCATGTCCTCTTAGCAGAAAAGCACCCCCAAAGCATAATGTTTCCACCCCAATGCTTCACAGTAGGGATGGTGTTCTTAGGAGATAACTCATCCATCTTTAGTTTTGGTTTAGACCAATTGGTTCTATTTTGGTCTCATCTGGCCACACAACGTTGTCCCACACCTCCTCTGGATCATCCAAAGTCATTGGCAAATTTCAGATGGACTTGGACATGTGATGACTTGAGCAGGGAAACCTTTGATGCAAAGCATGATTTTAAACCGATGGTGTAGTGTTCTACTGACAGTGACCTTTGAAACTGTGCTAGCTCTCTTCATGTCATTGACCAGCTCCTCCTGTGTAGTTCTGGGCTGATTCCTCACCTTTTGTATCATCAGTTGTAGGAGCCAATATTGTTTCGGTTTAGATTATATTATGGTCTAAGTTTATTTTGATAATGTTTTATGTACATTTCAGTTTATTGCACTATGGCTTGTATTTCCTTTAACCACTGGTGGCACTGCAGAGCCTATAAAGGTGTTGAGATGGCAGTGCACTGGCGTTTTTTGGGTGACGGGAGGTCACACGGTTTTTACCGCTTCGTTTGGTTTCATATGCCACATCTAATTTACCGTTATAATTTTTATCATTTACATAAACCTTGACAAGAAATAGCCATTCTGGACCCTGCATAATTGTGATCGTCAACATATTCAATAAATGGGACAATAAACCCAACCCCGCTTTCTGCCTGGACAATATTGTTGAAGCGAGTCATTGCCTCCACCCACACCCAAGGGTGATTAAAAGTGAGACTTGATAGTCACTACATCAGTGTTACCCACTATGTGAGATCTGGCGTGGAGTCCCCGTCCAATGGAGACTGACAGTCGTCTTTAGCGTTTTCTATTTTCTAAAAATTGCTCCAACAATTGATCTGTTTTCACCAAGCTGCTTGGTAGTTGCCCCATAGCCCTTTCTAGCCTTGTGAATGTCCACAATTCTGTCTCTGGTGACTTTTGACAGCTTTTTGGTCTTGTCCATGGTAGTAGTTAGAGTCTGACATTCTTCTTCTTCTTTGAAAATAGGCAGGCTAGACGCCCATAAGACGTATTGCTGCCACACCAGCCAACACACTGAGCCAGCATAACCCACTGCACACAACAGACAAACCCATCCATGTTCCCACAGAAACACTATCAACAAAAACCCACCACCCGCACACACCCCAGTGAAAACACACAACCACACACGGAGGCTCACCCCATACTTACACTCCCACCCCCACCATCAACACCCACCACCAAGGGCGTCCCACAATCCACAGCAGACCCAGAACCCCCACCACCCCACAAACACGTTGCCTCACAAACCTCCTTGGGGGACACATCAGAAAAACCCAACAAGGCCCCCGCCACTGCTGTCACTTCACGAGCTACATCGGACTTGTTGGACGCTCCATTCTTCACCCTCCACAAGGCCTCAACTAGAAACGCCACAAACTTCCTCTTATCCCTCACAACCACCACACCTGCCCCCACATCCCCACCACCAGTTGACAGACACATTACAAGGCCTGGACGCACCTCTATTCCGCACCCCCGTATGATGTACTGCCTCATCATACGACACCTTATGCTCAGCCTGAACCTTCCCCACCTCCACCGCCGCCCTGTACGCCACACAACCCCTATAAGCCGCTTGATGGTTCCCACCACAGTTACAACATCAGAGCGGTAAATCACAACTCTTGCCGTCATGGTCACCCCCGCACCACCGACAATGCACCCCCACCACACAGGCACCGGCCACGTGACCAAATCCCTGACACCCAAAACACCTCAGAGGAGGTTCCTCGTACACCCTCACCACAAAACTAAGGAAGCCCAACTGGACACAAGCAGGGAACTCCACCGAATCGAAAGTAATCAGCAGCGGAGTGGGCCCACGTGCGTTAAACCTCAGATGCTGAACAGCCACCACCGCTGCCCCACTCAGGGAACCAAACACCTTCGACTCAGAGACCTCGTTGGAAATTTTGTACACCACACCCTTAATCATACAACCAGACCTCGACTCGGAAACCACCACGTCCACCCCCAGAAACTTCTCAAGCCGCAGCGCTTTGTGGCACTGGGACTTATTCCGGCACGCCACCACCAACAGCCCACTGAACACCATGGTAGCGTCTAGCTAGCACATCCCCTACCACGACACTCAGCTCCCGGGACACCGCCAATGGATTAGAGGTAGCAAAACGCCCATCTCCCACTGCCCTGATTCGCATCACAAAGCCAGCCTCTGTTGCTTCAGCTGCGCATCCCAGTCACCATCTGACGCATCACTGCCTCTCCCACGGTTCCTCTTTGCCAACCCCACTGACTAAACCGCTACTCCAGCCCTACTCGTCCCCTTCCTCCCCATTGTCTGCAACAGCCGAGGCTGCGCCAAAGCGAAGCCGGGCCACTGTCTTACTGTGCCTGTACAGGCCGTCGGCCAACCACCCAAAAAACCCTCGAAGTCAGCCCAAACCCCAGCCTGCTGTAACGCTCCTTCTCCTCAGCTCTCCTCCCAGCCCCCGAGCTGTCCGAGTCTGACTTTGGGGTGGACAGGTGTCTTTAACAAGCTCAGACAGGTGCTACTAATTTAGATTAATAAGTGAAGTAGAGGTGGGCTTTTCAAAGGCAGAGTAATAGGTCTTTAGACTGCTGATTTCCAGATCTTCAAATACTAATGTGCAGCAGTGCAATACAAATAAATTGTGGGAATGTTCCTACAATGTGAATTTCAGACCTTTTCATGATTCCTAAGTAGGAAAACGTGCAAAATTGCAGATTGTTAAAATGCTGACATTCCTCATTGTACGGGTAGTTTTATTTTATTGTCTGGAGTTTTTGTTAAGTGCACTCATTTATTATTTCATTACCTAAAGTCAAATGAAGTTCACAAATATTTTGTATGGAATCTGATTGTTCATGGTTTTATTATTAGTAACATTATTGGAAGTAAATCGTGTTTTTTGTTGCTAAAATACTTTGCTTTACAAATTCAGGGTAGTTACAAAAAAGGGAAGTTGAGGGAAGAGAAAATGTTTAATAATTGCAGAACAACCTTCTAAATTATAACAAAGTCAAATTGTGAGGAGTCTAAAGTGAAATGAACTATTTCCATATTTCCACCTTTAATGCTGATAACAGGTTCAGTCCTGAGTTTGAGGGGAATACCAGGGTTTTTTCTGACAAACGTACTTTGCCATTCTCCAGTTTTTTTTGTTTTTTTTTGGCTTGTTTCATCGCTTTCTCTTTTTTTTCTTGTGTACCCCAAAAGTGCTCAATTCAAACCAAATGGGACAACTTTCTTGGCTGGGTCCTAGTTTTTCCTTTTTTGTTCTGATGAAATGCTCGTGGGATTTAGGGTGTTTTGGTCATTATTATGGTGGATTATTTAACTTCTGAAAATGATGTCTGCAACGAAACTGAGCAAACAGTTTGTCCTTTTGCTTAACTTTCTTTAACATAAGACGATGATGAAATGATGCCAAAATAGGAGAAATGTGAGCTAGACACCAAGAAGCCATCCACATAACATGCTCCTGAAGTTACTAGTGATGTGTCGGACACAAACGAATCGGCTCTAAGAGCCGGCTCTTTGAAGTGAACGACGGGAGCCGGCTCATCATTGGGAGCCGTCCTCTCCCCCCCTCTCCTCTTGCTTTGGTGAAAGCTACAGGCGATTGGTCAACATGTGTAACTGCGTGTCCAGACTGTCCACACACAGAGCAGTAGGGGCGGGGAAGAGGGAGGATCAGACTCAGACACACAGCAGAGCACATGCGGATGGAGGGAGACGAGAGGGAATGAGGAAGAGGGAAAAGGCGAGCGAGAGAGAGAGGAGAGTGCGACGAAAATGAGCGCCAGCAGTCGGAAAGTGGAGATTTCTTAAAGTGTTCAGTTACTGATAAATATTTGATATATTAAAAAAAATTTTACATTAGTAAATCATTTTACATATAGTTTTGCATTATTTTGGTTATAAATGTACTCTACGCAACAGAAAATCTGAGGAGCCACTTGGGAGCTGAAAGAGCCGGCTCTTTCTGGTGAGCTGAGCCAAAAGAACCGGCTCTCTAAAACGAGCCGGTGTCGGTACAAGATCTGCTCGGGTGCAAAATCGGCTCGGGGTCCTTGGACAGTTATTTGATGAAAAATGGCTTTCATACAATTACTCTGAATCCCTTAGGAAATACAATATACCAATAACACCTAGAGAATTCTCAATAGTGTTTGATGCCATCCCTGTCTATGTTGTTCAGATGCTCACACAGCACTCCACTATCAGTCAATCGCCCGGATGTGTTACATTCTTCTCTTGGCAATGTTTGTTTTTCCTCACATAAGTCGGTGAATAACAAAATAAGAACTCTCTTTCAGGATAAAATGATTTCTGTTCCATCAACCATATCTTATTGGGCTAATTTTGTAACAGATATTGAATGGAAAAAAGTTTGGACCTTACCACAAAAATTTCTTTTAACGAACAAAGTTAAAGAGATTACATTTAAATTGATTCACAAGTTTTACCCTACCAAACAATATTTGTCAAAATTTATAGCTGATATAAATGTAAATTGTACCTTTTGTCAAGAGCAACCTGAAACAGCTTCTCACTTGTTCTGGTCATGTAAATTTACAAGTAAATTCTGGAAGGACTTCCACAAGTTTATTAATGACTCTGTTCTCCCTAACTTTCAACTATACTACAAAGATGTTATTTTTGGTCTTCGTAATTTTAATAAGAAGGACAACAATGCTTTCTTCTTCATAAATATGTTTCTATTTTTGGCTAAATTTCACATACACAAAAGCAAAGTCCTTGGCAGAAAACCTGAACTTCTTGTACTAAAAATGGAACTTGAACAATATATAAGGACGATCTCCTCATCAAAAAACACCAAGGCTCTTAAGTCTGTTAACATTTGTAACCATCTGAAACTGTTCGATTGACTTAAGTCAATCCTCTTCCAAACCTTTCTTTTTTTTTCTCCATGTTTCCATCATTTCTGTCTTTCTTCATTGTAATACCACAATGGTATACTTTATGTGTTCCATGTCTTACAATTGTATGTTCACAATGTGCTAAATAAAGTTATATTAAAAAAAAAGATCTTGTACCGACACCGGAATTCCCATCACTCGAAGTTACACCTACAGCCGCTAGAGGGCAGGAGTGAGCAGGTCTGTTCTGAACGAAGAAGAAGAAAAGGAAGGCAGCGTGAATGCAGCAAGAAACAACAACAGTCAGCTGTTTAAATTCAAGTAGCTCTATCGGTTCGTCTGCTTCTTATCCACAGGAGGTGAGATAATGCAGTTATTTAAACCTATTTCACATGATTAGGTGAAATTAAATGATACATCTTAAAGTTGAGACTAAGGAGACGGAATTAGCGCGTGAACATTGTTAGCTTGTGATAAAACTTAAAAGGCTTTGTTTATTTAGCTTTCAGTGTTCCAATTTTGTTGTGAAATGTTGTCCTACAGACTGATTTTGTTCAAATGCTTCATTACAATTGCGTGTTTTTATTTTAATTCACTAAAACATGCTAAAATAATTCATGTTTACGTCTTAGCTGAGTGTTTTCCTGTCTGTACTGTCCTGCATGTTTCATGTTTTCCTGATTAAACACATCCAACAGTACCTTTTGGATTGAATAATTGCTTTATTTAAACATGGATGAAGACGATATGATTAAAAAAAATAACAATAATGCATTAAAAATCCTGATATAAATAAAATGTTTATGTATTTAGCAGACGCTTTTGTCTTAAGCGACTTACAAGTGATAATCAGCATGTTGCCCTTGAGGCTAACAACAATAACAACAACACTATTGACATCAGTCATGGAGAGGAGGGAACAAGAAGTGGACAGTAGGGGGGGGGGGGGGGGTTGCAGGGAGGGTGCTAGTTTAGAAGATGCTCTCTGAAGAGCAGGGCCTTCAGGAGTTTCTTGAAATTTAAAAAGGAAGCCCCGCAGTTCTGGTAGTGCTTGGAAGGTCATTCCACGTTTGTGGAACGATGCATGAGAAGAGTCTGGATTGTCCTGAGCGTGGTGTAGGCACTGCTAGCCGACGATCCTGTGATGACCGAAGCGGCCGGGCTGAGACGTAAGCCTTTGCAAGAGGATTCAGGTAGATGGGAACCGTACCATCTCGGACTTTGTATGCTATGGGCCATTCCCATCTGTACCGGGTCGGCCCGGGCTGGGTAGCGTAGGTTGTTTACATATCTGGGTGGCCTGGTATTTTTCCGGGCCAACCAAGACTCATTCTCAGCCCTCTTATCAAGGGGGTCTGCTTCAGGCCGACCAGGGCCAACACACCCACTGCTGACTGCAAATTCACACCTTCCATTAAAGCAAGCCTCTGATTGGTGGGTAGAATCAGCCCACATGGGCTTAAGACAAGGATGTGTGGAATCAACCAGGCCAGGCTGGGGCCGACTGGGGCTACCCGGCCCGGGCCGACCCGGTACAGATAGGAATGGCCCACTAGTGTTAGCAATTTTAATTTGATGCGTGCTGCTAGCGGTAGCCAGTGGAGCTCAATGAACAGAGGGGTGACGTGTGCTCTTTTTGGCTGATTGAGGACCAGACGCGCCGCTGCGTTCTGGACCATTTGAAGAGGTCTCACAGTACAGGCTGGAAGACCAGTTAGAAGGGCATTGCAGTAATCGAGGCGGGAGATGACAGTAGATTGCACCAGGAGCTGGGTGGCATGTTGTGTTAGGTATGGTGTGATCTTTCATATGTTATACAGCGCAAAGCGGCATGAACGAGCAACAGAGGCAACATGATCTTTAAAGGTCAGGTGTTCATCAATCATAACACCCAGATTTCGAACTGCCTTTGAAGGAGCCAGAGATGGAAAGTCATTTTGGATTGAGATTTTGTGCTGTATGTACCAACTATAGCAATTTACCTTAATATTTGAAAAAAGATTAAGTCTAGACTTACTGTGATGCATTAATAGAGTATAACAAGGCCACCAAGTTAATCTTACCATGCATACATAAACACACACACACTCCTCTTAAGCAGCATGTGTTTTAATAGTAGGCACCGGTTTCATGGCTGTGTGTGTGTTCTATTTTAGCTGCACGTCTAGAAAGACCTAAAAAGCTCATATCAGGTAACTGAAGCGTCATCCAGGCTGAATGGTATCTGATCCAGATGTTTTCCTCCTTCTGCACAGCTGATTAACAGATATCGTTAGAAACTCAAAAGACATGCTGAGCATGTAGTTCAGCCATTAAAACAGGTGTGTTAGAGAAGGGGAATAACTTACGCATGCTGGATAGTGTCCTTCAAAGGCAGGATTTGTAAATTCTCATCTAAGTTTGAACACAAATTTCTTTGAACATCTTAGGTGTGTTCTTGCTGTGTCTTTCTAAATCCATGCTTTCGTTCTTTTTTAAACACAGAAACAGTTTTGTTTGCCTGTTTTGTAGCTACAGTTTCGCCGACGGCTGCCGGCTTCTTCAGGCTGACGCTGATGGTGGCGCGTCACTTCCTTCTCCGTTTATCTGCGGGCAGCAGAGGACGTTGTCGCCCTCTACTGCCCGCTCTCCCCTCTCCGACGATGCAGTCCCATGCGTGGTCCAGCGTGTAAACTCCGTCTTCCCTGTTCATGGTCCCACATCCACGTCTCCTTATCTCGATTGCTTCCTTGATCCATCTTTTGTATTTTTGTTGTTCAGTGGTTATGATCCGTGTGCTGTCCCAGTCCATTATATGGTTTTCTCTTAAGCAGTGATCTGTTACGGCTGACTTTTTTATTGTACTTTCTGCTTCTTCTTTTGCTGCTCTTGTGTGTTTACGATTTGCCTCTTTCTCACACTCCTTTCTGTGTTCTATTGTCCGTGTATTGAGTTGGCGTCCGGTTTCTCCTATGTATGTTTTATTGCATATTTTGCATGGGATTTCGTAGATGACTCCACATTTTTGTCCAGCTGATATTTTGTCTTTTGGGTGTACTAGTCTGTTTCTAACTGTTGTGTATGGCTTTTTTTATCAGCTTTCATAGTGATTTGTTTATTTGGCCTCTCTTTAACAGCCGATGAGCACCAACACAGAGATAAAGACTGATGGAGCTGAGGACAGTTTGGAGGAGCAGGGAGCCATGGCAGCAGGACCAAGTTCTGCTGGACAGAAAGGGACGTCTGCCAAGCCAGTTTGGACGTTGCTAGAAGAAGCAGCTCAAATGAAAACGGAAGGGAACGCGTTCTACAGAGAGAAAAACCTTCGCTCGGCCATTGGCTATTATCATCGCTCTCTGCTGGTGCTCAGAGGCCTCGATGCTGACGTCATGGCATCAGTGAAAGGATTCACACCTGAGAAACCTCCTCTCACATTCGAACAGGAGGCTTTACTGAGAAACACACAAGTGGACTGCTACAACAATCTAGCTGGTAAATAGTAATATCTGATTATTGTTTTCTATTCTGTTAGGCTCAAAGTGGATTTATTTTTAGTCAAACGTGTCTCTTTTAGCATGTTTACTGCAGAAACAGAACGTTGATTACACTCGGGTGCTGGAGTACAGCCTGCGTGTTCTGCAGTGGCAACCAGGAAACGTTAAAGCGATGTACAGGGCAGGAGTAGCCACTCTGGAAATCGGAGACGCTCAGAGAGCCAAACAGTACCTGAGCCAGGCCTGCAAAGAGCTTCCTAACGGTGAGATTACAGCGGGATCTCCCCGGTTTATAATAATGTCCAATAGTCCCATCATTTTCAGTAGAGATGGATGGAACCTGGTTTTGATGGCTGATGATGTTTTTTTTTTTATTCCTGTACCTTTCTGACCTGCTGGTACTGGTTTTGGCTTATTGCAGCTTATTTTAAGAACCAAAATCAACAGAATATGTATTGAAACTTTCAGATTAACGTGACATTTACGATTCTTAAAGTAAAAATGCCCACGTGTAAGATTTGCTATGGAGCCCTGCTGCACCTGTTTTAGGAACTAGAAGTGAGCCGGATCAGAAGTGAGCCCAGTCCCAAAACTCTACTTCCACACTTGCACATTCCTGTCCAGGGGTGCTAGTGCGTTGGGTGTCCAGATTCTCAAGTGCTGAGTTTGGCCACACCCCCTTTGCACCCTTGATCGGCGCTCGCCAAAGTTTGCATCGATGCAGACTTGGGCAAAGTGCATTACCCATAATCCTTTGCTGTGTGAGAATTATGGGAATAAGGTAGAGCTATGGCTCAAGTGCCCTTTCTGAAAAATATGTATTTTCAAGTATAATTATTGAAACAGTGAGTATTGTGTTATTGTGTACATTTATGGTTACAATCAGATGTTTGTTGATAAATATTGTTAACTGATAACAGCTGGTGTGTATTTATGGACATGCCACTTATTTATTCACTTGTTTTAATATCATTCAGTACAATTTTACAGACTGCAGAGTCAATAAAAATTTTGGATTAAAAATGAAAGATCATTTTTTTCCCCTTACAGTCAGGAAAAAAACATTTGGAACGTGTACGGATAATCAAATCCCCATTTTTATCCTTTTACCCAAAATTAAATGTTTGTTTCAAGATAATTAATGATATTATATCCATGCTCTGAATATATGAGACTGAGATTGAATGCAGATTTTGTCAAATAATTGTTTGAAAGTTGTTAATAAGTATTTTAGCGCAAACAGCGACCGGCATCCCGGCGTGTGGTGCAGTCGATGATGCAATGCTCACCGTGCCAGTTCGGCTATTATTTTCATACTCCAAGTCTTGCTGCACACTTTCTTCAAGTGTGTTTTGCTGAGAACTGTAGGGTGCAGTGTGAGTATTGGGACTGGGCCTTGAGCTTCACAAGGCAGGATTTGGAGTCTCATTTCCTGGTATTTGGACATCTCTCCTCTGACTGGCTAACAGCAATGTGACAACCACTGACTCCATTTGCTCTGCAACATTGATGTTTTATCTCCACAAATAAAAAAAGCCTGGAGGAGTTCTGCTGTGTGGTGGAGTTGCTAATGCTAACGGTTAGCTTCTGTTAGTCTAGACATTCTGTTTCCTGGACACTAAACCAACAGCCTTCCCCGTCGTGAGTCAAGATGGGCGAGTCCATGAATGTTAAGTGACAGCGTGATGTAGATCTGTCAGACTTTTCTAATCCTAGCGTCTCACCGTCTATTTTCTATCAGAAGCTAATGCAGGAGATAGGTGTAGGAGACTATTTTCAGACATAATTGAAATATGGTTTTTCAGTGTTCCACACCTTTAATTATTGTAGGACAATCGTTCTTAAATTGAAAGAGTGATGATACCTTTTTAATTTTACTTTTATAGTCCTTTTTAATTTTTGCACCCTGTGTATTTTTAAAATAGAACTTCTTTCACTTCTGATAGATGCTAACGTAAGGAAGCACCTGCAGAGGGCAGAAGAGAAGCTGAACCAGGAGCTACAGAGAGAGAGAGACATGTATCGAGGCATGTTTTCCTCCAGCCCTAAAAGCAGCACCTAACCAGAGGTGCACCGGCAGGAGTTCACACCGACGGCTTCATGAGCCCAAATAAAATGTTCAACCTCAGACTGAATGCATGCGGAAGAGCTTGAGTTTGACGTGGACGTAGAAAAGTGAATGTTTATGTAAGAGACAGACTACTGGAAGGCAGTCAGTAGGACAGTAAATACGCTGCTGCTGCTGAAAATAGAAAGACGAGGACAGAAGACTTAGTTTCCTAGCAACATGGATGAAAGTCCACTAATCTAGGCCTGTGAACTCTGGAGACGCTTCGTGCTACTACCCCGAAGCCTCCAAAATCGTGCATCTGTCAGCTCACCGATCATGGATTTCTGAGTTTTCAAGTAAAATATTTTTAAATCACTCCAAGTTTAAGGTGTTTTAATTAAACTCATGATGGTTGAAATAATACTTCATGCAGGTATTCCATTCAAACACAAAAAAAACAAGTTTATTTATTCATCTGCTTCTTTTATTTGCCACAAATGATTGTTATACAAGTCTTCAGTTTTTAATAATTCATTATTTATTTCAAAATCCTGAGGAAAATATCAAGTTAAAGAGTATTTGCTTGGTTTTTTTGGTCATAACCTGGCCAAATGTGATTGTACTTCAGATGCAGTATTGCCGATAAGAGTTCTCTCAATAGCTGTAATTACTGAACAAGTCACAGAGCAGCATGCAGGGGGTGGGAGGTGTTCTCACTCCTTCTGGGTTATGTAATTAAGCTCTTTATAGCCAATGAGGAGTTCATATTTATTATGTTAAAACGTTTATTTTTGTCACAGAACAACACCAGAGTGGAGTTTAGCTGGAAACGGCGCTCACACGATGAAAAACCGTCGTAGAAACACCTTCTGAGGAACATTTTACTGTTTTCAGGGCAGTGTTGCACGTTTGAGAGTGAAATTTAAAACCGATGGCACTTCCTTAACATCAAATATAATACTAAGCACATCTGGTGTTATGAGTGTAATGCAGTGGAGATTCGTCTATTTAAAGTTCGTCTTCTGTACAAACATCACTTCTTAGATGGCTTCTGTTTGAGACTCAGGGACCTCATTGAGCCAAACACCTTCCTCCCCAAGTCCCTCAGCGATCGGGAGCGCTGGAGGGGCTTTCGTGGAGGTGGGGACGGAGAAAAGGACGGGGAGGACAGAGGGGACAGGGACTGGCAGCTGCCCTCTAGGCTTTGAGAGCGGGAGAGGTTAAAGAGGCTGGCAGTGGAAGAAAGCCGTTTGTCCTCCTCCTTTGCTCTCAGCAGCCTGATCCCTTCATCCTTGCTGAGCCCCATCCCGCCTTGCGCCACATCTAAAGAGGACACCCAGTGTCCCCGCTTGGTCGACTCCTCCCTGTAGCTGCGAGGGACGAGCAGCCCCTGAGATTCGCTCCTGAACAGAGCCCTCCTTGAAAGCCTGAGGCTGGAGCTGCGTCTTTCCCCTTCTTCTCTTCCTCTCGTTCTGGAGAAGATGGGAGAGCTGTCTACTTTTGGCTTCTTGTCAGCACTGCTGGATGATGCCTTCACCCTCCGAAGCTCCCTCCTCCAGCTTCCGATGCTCCCCCTCCTCCAGCCATAACCATACTCGGCTCTGTCCAGCTCCTCCTTTTCACTCTCAGACTCTTTGCCCCAGAGACGCTCCTCGAACCCCTTCCAGAGCTTGCTGGAGGACTTCTTGGGTGTCTGGGCCGCTGCTCGTACCTTCTCCTCCTCTTCAGCCCAAACAGAGCTGTAGTTCTCTCTCTTGGCGTAGCTGCTAACAGTAGCAGCCCTCACCAACTTATGGGAGACATGCTTCCCTCTGTAGAGCCCCTCTCCCTCCACCTTCTTCCACCTGCTGGTGCTTTCACTTCCTCCCCCGCTGTGCCGAAGTGATCCACCTCTCGGTTGGATGCCTCCGTGCTCCATAGGGGAGGATCTGGTGTTGGCGTGCGGCAGGGAGCACTGGAAGGGAGAATCTCGCCGGAAAACCGAGAGGGGCGTGGCGCCCATCGGAGACGGCTGTAGAGGGCGTGGAGGGGAGTGCGCTCTCTGGGTGGGATGTGAAGCCGGGGAGGAGGCTGTAGATGAGGGGAGTTTGGAGGGAGAAGAGATGTGCTGGTAGTGGCTGTGTGAGGAGTAAAGGGGTGTAGGAAAATGGATGGACTGGTATGGGTGGATGGGGCTGCTGGAGTGAGAGAGAGGAGGGGTGAGACTAGACTGGGACTGGGGAGAATGGGTGACGCTGAGAGACAGCTGTATTGGTCTCTGAGGGTTCACCTCTGCCACCCTGGCGTAGTCATTGGACTGGTCCTTCTGGGCTGTTAGGTGACCCTTGCTGTGTCCCCTCACCTCACCAGCAGCATCTGTCTGAAAACAGTCTATATCGAGCTCCACGCCCTGCTCCATCAGCCCCACCACCACTGCCCTGGACAGACCAGACAGGCGGGAGATCTCCCCCACCATGGGGGAGTCTTCACTTAGTTTGGGACTTGAGCTGGATTCTTGGATTAAGCTGCCGCGCTGAGACCCAGGAGCTGACCCGGTACTTGATGTAAACACAGAAGGTCCGATCTCAGGGGGAGCACCACTGCTCCAATCTAGTGAGCGACAGAAGACCGATGATCTGAAACCAGAACCGGCTGCCAAGCCCGACGGGACTTCCAGGGAGCTTCGGTGACTCAGGCTGCTGGGACATGTTGAAATCCGAGAACGGGATCTCAGTCCTGGAGTGGGCGTAGCAGAGGACAGCGGAGAGGCAGAAGCCGTGGAAGCTGTAGGAAAGTCAGCCCTTAAAGCCCCACAACTGCCGGTTTTGGGGTTTTCTGTCTGCCCTCGGCTTGAGTTCAGACCAGGAGCCAGGTTCAGGTTCAGATTGAGATGCAGGTTTATGCTCAGGTCTTCTCCAGTCGCTGAAGGAAGATTCCCCAGGTTGATTGAGTTCCTGGTTCCCTTTTTACCGGTGGTGCTGAGGCTGACTCTGGCTGCGTTCCCCAGCAGTGACTTGCTGGGTGTGATGCTGCCCCCTGGCAGGGTGGAGGGAATACTACGGCTCTCAAAGGAGGACAGGGATTGGGTGGAGCCATGACTTTTACGGGGGGTACAAAGACCTCGGCTTGTGACTGGACCAGGAGTGGCAGCTAAAGTCAGATCGGAGGTGGAAGAGGTTACCCGACTCTGGTACTGGTGAGCCAGCCGGGAGATGTACTGATCCAAATGGGTGATGGAGGCCAAAGTGGGCGGCTGCTGAGGCTGAGGAGAAGCAGCAGCAGTGATGGGATCTAGCGGCTCTTCCTGATTGGTTTCATCTGGTGAAGGAGAGGTTGAATGCTCCTGATTCTGGGTGGTGAAGAGGGGGCTCTGGAGGGCAACAGCATGGAGCGGGCTCGGATAGGAATACACCTCTTTGGTCCGACGGGACACCAGATCTGTGCAGTAGCTGGGGTCCAGCTGGAGCTTTGAATTGTGGGAGGAGGAGGAAGACGCATGGTTTAGAATCGGCATGATGGAGGAAACCAGGGAGTCCCCAAGTACTGTGCAAAGTTCAGACAGGAAGCTCAGACGAGAGGCATCCTGATCACCTGAGATGGAAAAAGGGAGGGAAATTCAAAAATGTACTTTAATAATTCAGATCCTCCATCTCCTGTTGACCTGACTGCATTTATATTTTTAATAGGATTCTAAGCGTGCCGAGGTGGCTCAACATGTCTTTTTTACATCCATCTGAGTGTTTTGGATCATCCTACTATTAATTAATCTGTGTCCATCACTTCTCATCACTGCCATCGCTCATTTGTCCAAACCAGCTTAAACTGGGTGATGAATAATAATCTGTGATGGGCTTAAGACACGAATCACTGGTCTCACCTGGAGCCGGCTCTGGTCCTACTGCTGGTTCCGTATCTGGGCTGTTTTCTGATTCAGGCTGCGACTGCACTCCCTCCTCTGACCACAAGATGTCAGTGATGTCAGCAGATGCAGGAACCTGCTCCCACAGCTTTGGGGGTCTGGCAGGAGGCGGCGGTCCTCCATGAGCAGCGTCGCTGGACACGGAGTAGCAGGAGTCCGACAGAGAGCTCCCACTCACGGAGTAGAAACCTTAAAGAAGGAAAAGATTATTCTGCATTTCTCATACTCCGTGATAACTTACACCTGTGTGTGTGTGTGTGTGTGTGTGTGTGTGTGTGTGTGTGTGTGTGTGTGTGTGTGTGTGTGTGTGTGTGTGTGTGTGTGCACATTGAGTATCTGTCAGGAATTTATGATGAATGTCTACAAGAATAACTGAGTGGTTATGTGGACGGTAAAAGGAGTTAAACTAAAACTCAAACACGACTGTAGTAACTGTTTATCGAAGACGTGTCATGTTGGACGTTCAGTGGGAAACTCCTACCAGCGTTTGCATCTACAGTGGTGACGTCCAGGTTGAATTATTCAAGTTTAATAGCTAGTTTGGATTTTTTTTAAGTATCTGAGTTCATAGCAACAAAACAAAAGGGTTTAAAGAGTAAAAATGTTCCATCACTAAAGGCTGCAGGGCTGACGTAAATAAAAGCCTGAAAAAGTCACACAAAGTTCAGGTAAATAAACGTAAAAATAGATTGTGGTTAATGTTTAATGAGAAATAGCGATATCAGGAGGTGACAAAGCATTGGTTGTACAAGTCAAGGCTGTTATCGCACTTATACCTGCTGTTTCAGCTGCTGATGGTGTGTTTTGGAGTGTGTGTGTGTGTGTGTGTGTGTGTGTGTGTGTGTGTGTGTGTGTGTGTGTGTGTGTGTGTGTGTGTACCTGAACTCGGTCTGGAGTCGCCATCCAAAGGGACTGTGCCACTAGGGTCTGGAGTTGGAGGTGACAGCAGGTCAGAGGCGGCGTCCCAGGACAGAGTGGACCACCGTGAGTTACTGTCCCTGCTGGAGGAGGACTGAAGGGTCGCACCCCCCGAACTGCTGCCACAGTCCTCTGGACTGCTCTGACAGGGCAACGCCATAGTCTCCGTAGGAGATGCAGCCTGAGAAAAGCAACATGTGAGAAATTTGAACTGCCTTAGAGACAGCTGAACACCGTTCTGAGTCAATATGAAAACAGAAATAACCTGCATTTAAACTTTTAACTCAAGTCTGTGCAGTCTCTCTAATCTGCCTCATCAATTATTCGTTATCTATGTGGGCCTAAAAAGGTTCAGAGACAAACGAGCATCGTCAGACATTTGTGTCTGTGGCCTGGCCGGTGTGGCTCCCTCACATGATCCTGGTTAGATCAATAAACTTTTGGATTATCCTAAAGTTTTGGTCGCTTAATCCAGTAAACCACACCAAACAAGACTAGATTAACTTGTCTGGTGTTCACAGAGGAGATTTTTGTAGATGCTATCAACTAATTCAGCTCTGCTGAGCTCAGCCCACAGAGGCTTCTCCCTTAGAAACGTGACACTTTTCAGGGGATTTCCAGTGCAATAAGATTTATTACGAAGCTTTGACTCAACAAAGAAATGATCGACCAAAGAATAAGTGCAGTTTGATGCCCTGAGGAACAACCATCTGCCTTTAAAAAGCAACAGCACGAGGATCATCCCGAGTGTTCTTAAAGATGCCGAACCTTCTGATAGAACAGCCGGATAATTCGGCAGGCACATGCTCCCATGATGTCACGGCAGTTCTACCAGAACTAACAGGAATAATGACCCACAAACAAGCAGAGTGCCTCCATTCCCCAGATTAGTAATAGTTCACTGGAGTTACCCCTCCTCCTAAATCCCCGTCCCTCCGGGACAGCAGCCAGGAGCTCCTGGGATGAGCCTGAAACGTTGAGCGGCTCTGATCAATCCTGTTGTTACTGAGGAAACAATACAGGTAGTGACTCACTGCTGGGGCGACAGGATGGAGGGGGGGGGGGGGGGGATAATAGGAGAGGACAGATGATGTAACAAAGAGCAGCCGGAGCAGCAGAAGGGAGTGGAGGAAGGGGGAAAAGTGGGTGAAAGAATTTCAGACTTTGACCCTTTTCTGGTTTATCTCCCCCACCCCTGTCTCTGCAGCTCTAAATATCTCCAATGTGTTTTTTTTTCTTTCATTTCTGTGAAACCACAGTGAAGCGTGGCTGAGTGGGTGACCAGAATGAGTGCGAGGGCCAAAATAAAATAAAATACAAGTGAGTCACGGAGCGAGAGTGAAGGCAGTGGAGGGAGGGTGAGCGGGCAAGGGAGTGAGCGGTTGCCGGGTGAGAGAGACGGGCATCTTGAAGGACCCCAACCTCCCTCACATTCCCCTCCACAAACACCCCCACCCCCCACTTCTGTAACATCCTCATAGCCTGCTGCTCACCATAGCTACAAGCTGCCTAACTCTCACTCACTTCTCCTCCCACACACTCAGAACAGGCAAAATATTTAACTTATCCTCAGCCTGCACACACACACACACACACACACACACAAATATGACTCTCTGCTATAAAATAGCATAATTCTGCATCATAACCCAAGTTTTTAAGTCCACCTCTGAATCAAACCTAAAACATCTGCAGACTCCTCTCCCCATCATAAAGCACCACACATTACTGACCATAATGTTACACAGGGATCAGATCAGAGGAAGCGTGCAGAAAGAGGGTGGAGGTCTACTCAGGGCTCTGTAATGTGATATGTCTCTGTGTGAGGAGGAGGAGGAGGTGGTGGGGGAGCAATGTGGAGAAAATGTACAGGTCGATTGGGTAATGATGCTACAGCGATCGCAGCTGCACAGGCGGTACACCTCCTCTTTAAAAGGTGGATGATGTCATCCGCGAGACAAATTGAAGCGGAGGAATAATGTGGTGGCACCGGGCAGGAGGGAGCGAGGGTCTGGTGGGGAGGGCTCCTGGTTTTCTTGCAGCCTGTTATTTATTGTTTCATGCATTATTAATGTCGGATTGGAGTTTCGAGACGGCCCACGCTGCGTGTCTTCATCTCCAATAGAAGAAAAGAGTGATGAGCTCCAGCTCTTCTGAAACATTCAGATGGATGTTTCTCCTTCTGTGAGCTCAGAGAGAGAGAGCCTGAGGCGGAAAAATAAAAGGGGACAAGAGCTGTCTCACTCCACAAGTCAGGGTAATGGCCCTTCATGTAAGGAGATGCTTTCCACGCACACACACCACAGCTAATCGATGCTTCAGAAAACTAACACGGCCACAGCACAGTCAATTTGACAGATATGAGACTAAAATTTGGTTTCCCAGGCATAATGGAGTTGTACTCTAAGCACCAGCGATTCAAGGAAATATCCAGACACTGAAATATTGCAATATTTCGTGTTATGATGCTGAATCGATTTTTATAAACAGTGTGTTGATCTTTTATTGAGAATTCACATGTAAACATTTACAGTTTTTCTTTTGAGTGGTGCAGTTTGAACTCCGACTGCTAGGGGGCAGCAGTTTCACCGCCTTCATTCTGATAAAACAACGACAGTCTGCGTTTTCCAATTAAATTGGCCTGCCAGACTCGTCCTCTGTTTAATTCTGCAGAGAAAGAGTCTGGTTACTCACAGGCAGAGAGGCACTTGAGGGGCGGGACTAGCCAGCTCAAAAATAACCAATCAGAAAAAAGACGGAAATACCGACTGTACCGCGCAACGCTGTAGTAAAAAAATGCGTCTGGCAACGGCGCCAACATCTTTTATATTTTTTAGAAGAAAGGCTTTTAGCGGTTCTCCTTGTTATGGTTTTAAAGACGTGTCCAAGTCATTTAGAACAGAGGAAAGAGCCACAGAGAACTCTGCTTCAGTCGCCATGTTCGACAAACTCTGCGTTTGTGTGTGACGCACGGTACTCCGCGCTGATTGGCTCAGTTAGAATTCTCAGGGGGTGGGGCTATTTGAATAGGAGAGTTCCCAGACCTTTTCTCTGTGCAGAATTAAACAGAGGAGGAGTCTGGCCGGCCAGGCTAATTAAATTCACTCTTTAAAACGTCAATTATCGTTAACTTTTGCTATCGTAATACATCATTTCGCCAGGGTCTTGCCAATACACGCTCCTACGTAGCACCAACAAATGGCATGAGATCATTTTTTAAAACACACAAATTACAACAACTCTATTGTATTTGATGCCATGTCACTAGATTCAATCAAGGCAGCAGTAGCTCAGGTTGTCCAGTAATCAGAGGGTTTCAGAGAATGCTGCGGTCGTGTCCTTAAGCAAAACATTTCACCCTCCTCGCTTGCTGGTGGTGGTCGGATGGACTGGTGGTGCCTGTGTACGATAGCCTCGCCTCTGTCGTTGTTCCCCAGAGCAGCTGTGGCTACACTGTAGCTCATCACCACCAGTGTGTGAATGAGTCACTAGTATAAAGCGCTTTGGAGTCCTCTGACTGAAAGGTGCTATACTAGTGCAGGTCATGTATCACCATCAATACAAAACGTGCATAATGTTCGTTTCAACGTTTGACTAAAACTTGTAAAACTTTGTCGTTCCAACATAAAATGATCTCATACTCTGGCAAAAAGAAGGTGGGCGACATGCACTCCTTCAAGGAATGCGAGGCCTTTTATTACTGGGTTGTTTTCTGGTTTAAACGGTAATTGTTGGGTGCATAAAACCTTGAAAAATGCTTTCTCTTTGTCCAGCTCCTAATTATTGTTTCAAACTCCACAGATGAGAAAGGGCAACTTTCCTCCACAATTGAGAAACCAGAGAAAGGCTACGTGTGTGCATCGTTTCAGCTAAAAACAGTGAAAATCAACTGATTAGTTACTGCTAATCAGTCGTTCCGCTTTTCTCCAAGCGCCTTTCTCTGCAGTGCATTTCCTACGTCTCCCACGCCTTCCTTTTGTGTTATCTTTAGAGAAGACGCTGTTATTTCTGCACTCAGAGCGAATGGCAACACGGAGGATTCCACCGACTTGGCCTTGACTTTATTTTGAAGGCAAGAAGAGATGCTGCTGCAGATGAGTTTTTTTCTAGCTGGGGCAAAATTGATGGTGATTCAACTGATTGGTTCACGTTCTAGATATAAATGAACACACACACTCTTACTGCTTTTAAATGGCACCAGGATTTAATAAGTGTTATTCTTCTCAACATCCTGCTCAGAAGCTGGAGTAAATAGTCGATCTTCTGTCATGACTACACCATGTGGACACAGTCGTGACTAGTGTGAGTCTGCACTGTGATTACCCCAGTTGGAACATTTTAACTGCAAAATTCATCTCCATTTTACTGACTTAACTGCAGAAACTGCCCTCCCTGTTCCTTCTCTCTGCAGCTGCTGCAGCTTTTTTATTCTTTTACAAGTTGCAAACAACAAGAACAGCAATTATCTTTATCTCCAGTACATTTAAATGTGTGTTGGTGAGGGGCTGGCAGGGGCAAAGGGCAGTGAGCCAGACCGCTCCGCTCCACCGGCAGCTCCCTTCAGAGGTGAGAATGAACAACGCCGCTCGGCCTCCCGGCAGGACCTCTCAGCGCCACGGGGGAAACCACAGAGGAGATGTTGGCTCGTGGGAGGTGAGGAAGGCAGCACATAAGGAGACAAGCTTCCATGCAGATTGGACTGCAATATCTGTCCTTGCACTGATTCAAAAATAAAAAAAACACCCTCTCTGCTTTGTGCTGCTGAGTTTTTACCATTTTATACTAAAGTGCATCCCTGCAGAGGTGATCCTGTAGGCTGATAGCTGATGATAAAAATGCTCAGAATACCGGTGGATTGTTTTATATAATGTACACCTGTAATGTCAGATGTGGAGATAATCCAGGAATAATCCAATACAAATTGACGGGAGGCAGTGTTTTACTGCTGCGGTCGACTCCGAAAACTACATGTGAGAGGGAGAATCTGTCCAGAACAAGGAAACAGCGGACAGAAAGAGTTATTTACATATTACTGGAACATTTATGTTAAATTTTTATCTTTGAATCACATGAACTTCGTGTGATTTTTGATCAGAAAATGTCAGCATTGTGAATACTTTCCCAAGAGAATTCTAAGCATTTCATACTGAAAACAGGAAATCTTGTTCTGTAAATATTTACAGCTAAATTGGTACAATTTTTAGAAATAAAAAAGGGTGGTGTGTGTTTTCTAATTTTGGATAAAAATGTAAAATCAAACATTTAAATCTAAAAGTCACTCAAATCCACCCATTCATCGTTTTAGGGCATTTGCATTTCAAATGTCTGCAGTCATAACCGCTCAATTAATCTGCTCAATAGTCCCAAAATCTTTTAAAAGATAAAAATAAATAAACCCACCAATCCTTATACCTCAGAGGGGAGAATATTTTGCATAATTCTTCCTCAGACTGACAGTATTCTCATTCCAGATTCTGTGGTGCACCTTTTATCTTCACATAATCAACTGATCTGACAACTTGACGACTTTACAGATTCAGATTTATACATAACAGGAAGAATAAACCAGCCCGGTGACAGCCTCCTGGAGGATGGTAACACAGTGTTCTCTAGTGAGCCCACATCTCCCTCATTCTCACCTCAAAATGACCAATTTCAGGACAAAGTCTGAAAAAAATGACGTGTATAAAACAGTATGTGATTCGAACACTCCACACACTACAGCATGTCTGGTGATGGAGCAGGTCTTCATGGAGACATCTGGATGGATGCACACAAGGCTGAAGTGACCTTTAGAGGGGTTTAACGACAGGAGACTATGGTTCTGGTTTGGGTGCTAATCTGGCCTAAATGACATTTACTCCTTGTGAGTGCTGCTGAATATAATAACGGGACAGCATGCTAGGATGGCCTTTGGCACAATTTTAATCAAATGCTGCTCTGGGCGCAGCCATGCTCCACAAAGCTGCGCTGAAATCCGCCAATTTGAGCCACAGAGGGACCGGCGTGCTGGCAGATCACCATCAGCCTGCATTCATATTTAACCATCCCGTCATGTTTGGCATCTGGGAGCTGACGGACTGACCTGTTGCCCGCGGGATGTCGCAGAGCCATGCTCGGCGTCCGAGGCGGCGGTGGCGCTCCCGGGGGTTCCGTCGCCCTCCTCGGTGTTGGCAGCAGCCGGAGCTCGCTCCACCAGCGCGGCTCCAACCATCTCCAGGTGTTTGCGCCTAAGCTCCTCCAGCTCCAGCACCCCCGCCAGCGTGGCTTTGAGGCGCTCGCTAATGCGGACTCGCTCGGGGCCAGACCAGAGAGAGTTCACGCAGCTGCGGCGGACGGCCATCCTCCTCCACGTTGGGTTTCCAGCAGCGGGCGGACCGGGGGCTCACACTCACTGCTGGGTGCAGATCAGTTACCGTGCTGCGGGCGAAGCAGGAGGTGCACACCGCCACGAGTCCAGAGGACAGGTGTGAACATTGTGAATGAAGGCGACTATTTTTAACGAAATGTTCAGCCAGTCCACCTGAGCGGTGCCATGCAGGCTAGCACTGGCTCCAGGCAGCCCCGCTGAACGGAACAAGATGAATGAATCCACCGGCTGACTGGGGGAACGTCAACAACTCATCTCTCACGTGAATCCAGGCTCGCTTTTCTCTGAACATCCTCCTGATAAACCCATCAGTCTGCCGCGAGATGTGGACTCCGTGCTCTGCGTCCCCAACGAGACAACGAGGAGAACCAGGGGGTGACACGTGGGAGGAGGCTGCGGGGGGTGGAGCCGCCTCAGACGAACATTTCCCAGGAAAAAATGATCTGAATGCCCGGGTGCAGGAGGACATTACCTGCTGACTGTCCCAATGGGGTCGGCCATGTCTTTCTAGACACCCATAAATATATAATCGACACAGGAACTCTTTCAGAGCACCTGAACCACTAAAATCTCTCTCTCTCTCTCTCTCTCTCTCTCTCTCTCTCTCTCTCTCTCTCTCTCTCTCTCTCTCTCTCTCTCTCTCTCTCTCTCTCTCTCTCTCTCTCTCTCTCTCAGTGCTGGCCGGTGCTGGCGCCTCTTCTTGGTGTTGCTTTCACTGACACTCATAGCATAGGAAATTCCAATCACCCTTTTAAGAGAAGGATGACATCACTTAACCATTTACCTCATGCAATTAGTTGTTACTGTAAACATTAACATTGGCCGAACGTTAACCACGGACCGCCAAAGCATTAATTATTTTCACTTATACCCATTTTTAATCTTTATAAAAATAAAGATCCTGCTTAAACGTTCAATCACCATTATACCATACCCCATTACTTGTGATCAACATTTTTGCATTTTCTTTCCACATTTACAGAAAAATGAACTCATATCACAAGTTAAGTGTAGATGGTGGTTTATTCACTCACTCACTCACTCACTCACTCACTCACTCACTCACTCACTCACTCACACAATGGGAACATTCTCGGATGGGAAACTGGTGAATGTTAAGTGGGGCGACGGTGCCTGCTGGTGGTGGTCAGAGGGACCAGTGGTGCCTGTGTACAGTGTCCTCTGTTACTGTGCCCCATGGCACCTAATCACCACCATGGTGTGAATGGATGAACGACTGATTGCATTAAGTGCCTGGGGGGGGGGGGGGGGGGGGGGGGTTAAAGGCCTTTGGAAAGTACTGTATCAAATACAGGTCATTTACCAAGTGTTTGTCTCAGTCACCACCTCATCACTCATTTCCACTGGAGTCACGGGTCATGTGTGTACTGGTATCTGAAGACACCTGCAGAAGATGTCTATGGTTTTGCTGGAACTGTCCTTCAGCTGTCTATATGACATTGGGGTTTAACTAGGACTAAACAGTGTTCTGAGTTGTCCACTGTTTGTCACCATTTGGCTTCATGACAACTTTGGTTCCCTGATGGCAAAGTTGTTGCTCTGTTGCTTCTGAGCAATATAGCATCAGATGTTTTTGTCTCTGGCCATTTTGGGTTTAAGTTCTCAGGCATGATGGGCGGGTGATGTTCTTATCCTCCTATCATACCCTGCTCTGCTGTGCTAAACGAAGGCTGAGGATGGGGTAGCTCTATAAATCATCAGGGTTGGGGATGCGAGGACTAGATGTTACATGAGCAAAATCTTATTCCTCGCTGAAGTGTTTAAACTCACCTGAAACTATCTGAGGACCATTAGCAACTGTCTCAGTGATACAATATCCTTTAGTCTTTCAACCTTCATTTGTCGCTAAAAGACAAGAGACACTCCAAGGCACTCTCAAATAGAAAAAGTTAAAAAGCCTTTATTGTAATGGCTAGGTCACATGTGGCCTTTTTAAGACTGCAAAGCGTTTCGGCGAATGTAGCCTTCGTCAGGGAGTCAAACAGTTGTCAGCAGTACGGAGAAGTTCTTAACCAATACAAACACCAATCAGAAAGCTCCACATAGCAGATGTGTTAGACAGGTGGCAAGTGTCAACAATCACCAGCAGGTGTCATTCTTACTAAATTGAAAGAAACAGTAAATAAAATACGCCAAATATCATACATTATATACAAATGGTTAAAATGCACCCAATAGAAGTAAAATTATAATATCAAGAGCAAAAGGGACAAGAATAATGCCAAAACTTCAAACAGACTAAACCAATCAAAGACAAACTCTAAAGTCTGGGTCATCATTAATGCCTGGATGTTTAACAGCCTGCAGTTTAAATATCCAGAAAGTCTCCTTCTGATTTAGCTGTCTTTGCCTGTCCCCATGTCTCAAAGACTGTGGGACATGATCAATACCACAAGCCTGTAAAGTGGACGGGTCACTATTGTGATGTTCCATGAAGTGTCTTGCCATTGGGTAGTTAGTGTTACCTGTGCGAATAGCATATTTGTGTCATCAGCTGATCTAAGGAAACATATTCTTGCTGTTTTTCCTCTAACTGCCTGTTATTTATACTGTCCATCTCCACCATCTCATTCTGTCATGGTGCTAGCCCACCCTCAACCTGCTTCCAATAAGTATGTTTGTTTATTTTTCTTCCATAAGATTATTCACACTTTTAGTACAGTTATGATGACGTTACATTTGCTGCCAGGAAAAATAAATAATAATTCATTTTTACTTTCAACATTTACAAAATAACAAAGCATGCAGGGAAATCTGTTGAGCCAGTTAGCTCACTGACGAACCAAGTCCCAGTTTGTGTGTGTGTGTGTGTGTGTGTGTGTGTGTGTGTGTGTGTGTGTGTGTGTGTGTGTGTGTGTGTGTGTGTGTGTGTGTGTGTAGTTAAAGATGTGTTTTGTGGCTTCAGGAAAATTTTATGGGCCCAAATTACTCTTTCAATAAATGCTAATAATGGTTGTGTGTTTTATTTATTAGACAACCAGAAAGTCATCAGTAGAGGCGGACTTTGTTGTCTTGTAGACCTCTGTACTTCAGAAAGCCGGAACTCCTATATATAAAACACTATAGGTATATTAGTACCTTATAGACTGCAGACGTTATAAATTCTGATGAAGGTAAGGATCGTCTGTGAATATAACTTCAAAAAGCATAGCAGCACAGACAAAACACTTAATGACACAAATCTACACAAATGAAGCTCTAACCACGCCACCTCGAAGCATGGATTTCTGATGAGTGCCTCATATCAACCAGCAGAGGGAGATCTTTACCCACAACCAAACATCTGGTCATAGTTCTACACCAATGAAGCATTTTTAATAGAAGGATCCCAAAAACCATCAACTTTTCTCTAGATGAAGCTAAAAAATAAACAAAATCCTGACAATGTTTAGTGTCTGGTGCAAACTGACACTCTGACAGCTCTTTATCCTCACCACGTCATGTCTAAACTTCTCTGGAGAAGAATCGGTGTCTGTCAGAACAATTTGAGTGGTAAAACTCTCAGAAAAGGCTGAAATTTTGTTAAAAACTAACAAAATCTTTCGTGACATCACCACCACACAGGCTCTGGTGATTTTGATCGCTCTCACTTAAAGGAGTGAGGTTTTAGGTGACATGTGGCCTGTGCAGCTGGAGGTCAGAGGTCACTGGTTACTGATTTCATGACGGGCTGGTTGATGACAGCAGGGGTTTTTAAGCTATGGGACCTTTAGGTCGTGTTCTGTTGGACTGCTGCCTTCATGTGACTGTCTATTCACATATTGCATCTCCTTGTATCTGTAATTGTTTTTGAGTTTGGCATTTGATGTCACACAATCATGTTGTCAAAGTGAGGTGTTTTCTTAATTTAGTTTTATTGTTTTTAATTTTTTTAAATTTATTTCTTGTTTAATTTATTTGGTCTGTTTGTATTGGTTAGTTTTGGCTTATGCCACTGATAGTCTTGCTATCTCTTATTGTTTTGGTGTTTCAAAGGAGGACCCCCTTGAAAACGAGATGATGCATCTCAAGGGGTTTTATCCTCTGGCCATATAAGTAAATAAATAAATAAACGTTATGTACGTGACAGCAGTGCTGATGTCACAGCCACATGTAAAAATGCTTGGTGACAGCGGCGTGTGAATCCAGAGAGAGAGAGCTCAGGCCTCCCACCAGGATGAGGAGTGTGTATTTGTTTGCTGGGGTCATGTTTCTCCTCCTCCCAGCTTTTCTGCTATAAAACACCAGCAGCCCCAGAGCTTCTCTGAAGTTTACTCTCTTCCACCCCTGAGGGGACTCCACCATCAGCCTCGCCGCCTCCATCACAACTGGTCTCTTCCAAACTCTCCCCAAGCTAAAGGCGAACATGGCTCCTTTTGAGAAATCCATGGAGATGATGCCCTTCAAGCAGAGAAAATGTCTCGGTAAGATGGCCTGACCATCACTGATCATGTGCCGCAGTCAAAAACTCCTTTCCCTTTATTTCTGTTTAGCAACAAGAAAAGATGAAGTGTGCAGTATTCGGTCTAAATTTCCTAACAAGTTACCCGTGAGTTTAATTTCTCTAATGTATACAAATTAAAATGTTTTTTTTTTTGAGATTATAGTCTAAGATGCCTTTTTGTGCTCAGGTGATTGTTGAGCGTTACATCCGTGAGAAGACTCTCCCGCTACTAGACAAAACTAAATTCCTGGTTCCCTTTGAGCTGACTTTGGGTCAATTCCTGTGCCTGCTCAGGTAAGCCAACCTTCAAAGTCATATTTAGAAATGTTTTCTGGGTTTTCTCATCTCCCATCCTCAATCTGTCTCTCTGATTGCCCTTTTTTCTCAGGAATAAAATAGCTCTGGACTCATCCCAGACTCTGTTTCTCCTGGTGGCAGAGAAAAGCATGTCCTGCATGTCCTCCAGCATGGGGGACATCTATTCTCACCACAGAGATACCGATGGCTTCTTGTACATCACCTACGCTTCTCAGGAGGTGTTTGGAGCACCTCAGCTGGCAGCCAGGCTGCCCGGCTGAGTCTCAGATGGGTGAAAATGAACTGGAGCCAGGCCAGAATCACACAATTGCACTGTTTTTACCCATGGTGTTAGTGCCTACCTCATCCAGCCTCTGTGCAGGCTCTACAGCTGGAAACCAGAACGAGAGAGGACAAGGCGCTCTGAAAGATTTCTGCTTGGACCGATTGGATTTCATTTATGCAAAGAAATACTCACAGAAAGACCTGCTAATATACAAAATGACTTGAGTATTTTGTTTTTAAACTGAGTGTTGATTTTTTTCCAGATTTTTTAAAATTTAGCTGCTCCAAATATGTAAAGATTTTTTTGTGATATTTTGTCTTTTTAAAGGTCATAAATTAAAAATAGCTTAAATGTAACAAAAACCAGTCTCAAACCATGTGGTCAAGCTGTTTCCAGCTGAAAAAAAGTTGTTTTTTAATCTTTGTAGCACTTGCCTTCCTTTGAAAGTCGTCCCCATCCCTCAAGAATGTGAACTTGTCCAACAGACTCACCATCAAACGCCGAGGCTCTGTTTGATGTTTCTGCTGCTCTCACGCCTTCTGTGTCCAAATGACTAAAAATAAATCCTTCTTTGAAACCATGGAAGTGTGTCAGAGTTTTAATAACATTAATGTTCAAATAAACAGCATCTTTAATTAATCAAGACTTTCTAATGCCCTGCCTGCAAAGTGGATTTTTACAACCCAGATTTTTTTTAAAGTTGCTAAATGTACATGGAACAGAATAACCTAAAATATAACTTATATAATAGAATGTCCCTGAGGATAGTTTAAATTTAAGTTTAATCATATATTTTAATTACATTGACTATTTTTAAGACTGAGCAATCTGATGCTAAAAATATTTTGAAAGCAACAAAATAATTTCATTTTTAGAAATTCCTAATCACCGGTCATTTTTTTCACACAACAGAGAAACAATTTCACACTTAAATGTTGAGTCTAAATAAAAAAGATACAGATTATATAACTTTTTATAACATCTGTGTTCTTTGGCTTCACTGATGATGCTCTGAGGTGATTTGTCCACACACAGACAGGCGCTTCATTCCTCACCCACATCTGAGAAGTGGCACTCCCACCTCATGATTAAGTTTAAATTAGGCCAACTGGGTCTGCTCTGGGGTCAGTGTGCCAGAGGGATGGACACTTTTATTTTTAAACACAAACATAGTCCAAAACAGGGATGCACAATGGTGCAGTGGTTAGCACTGTTGCAGCAAGAAGGTCCTGGGTTCAAATCCTGGCCTGGGGTCTTTCTGCAAGGAGTTTGCATGTTCTCCCTGTGCATGGGTTCTCTCCAGGTACTCCAGCTTCCTCCCAGTCCAAAAACATGACTGGCAGGTTGATTGGTCTCTAAATTGTTCTTCGGTACGTGTGTGTGCATGGTTGTTTGTCCTGTGTGTCTCTGTGTTGCCCTGTGATGGACTAGCAACCTGTTCAGAGCTGCCCAGAGGCTGCTGGAGGTAGGCACCAGCCCGTCCATGGGTACAGAAAACAGATGATCCACAATACTAAAAAACAGTGTGATGTAATGAAATTGTAGAATGCCAGGAATACAGATGGAAAAACAGGGAGAAGCTGCTGCATAAACATGGAGCAGAAGGAAGGAAAAGAGATGAGAAATGCATGACGACGCGCTCAGGACAGGAAAAAGGAAACAGTGTTAAAGGAGATATACAGTGAGCAGAAGATATGGAGTCACACCAGCTTTCACTTCACACCAGCGTGTCCATTCCAGCAGCTTCCTGTTAACTTTAAAATATCCCAGAGAAAACCCGTAGCACATCAGTCTAGAGGATGAGTTTGAATCGTTTAACTTAAAGATAATTTTTTCTGCATCATCAGTTAGGCAGAACAGTTGGTTAAACCTATAACAGTCCCTATCTTGTAAACGCATTTAAAGTCCACACGGGACAGCGGGTTGACATTCAAAAGAACATGCTAGAAATAAATATAAAGATGCTGAGGAAAAAGTTAGTGCTCTCTGAACTAAGCTGTAAAAGCAGGTGAGGACACAAGAGGGTGCTGCTGAACTTCCTGATTAAACGTCATGACTGATGGTTCAGGGCGGAGGATAGTGAGCCTGTGCTGGATGAGAGCGCTGGTGAGACGGAGTCATGATCGTGAGTAGAACATTAGATTAACGCTGAGCTGCAGAAGGCGAGTCCAGACTCCCAGCTTCCTGCTGTCAGATGATGTTTTCGGGTTAAAACTGATGCTGGAAACAGTTCAACTTAGAACACAAGCAAATGATGAGCCTATATCATGCATCAGCCACCAAGAGGAAAACATTTAGGATTTATTGTTTCTTCGTTTTGCCTCATCGCTTGAGACAAGCAGGCTTCTGCTCAGGATCAGACTTTCATGAGCTTCCGGACCTTCTGTTTATGATTCATGCTGCTCTCTAAATCCTCTCCATGTGTGCCCAGTCTGCTCCAGAGAATGTCACAAGCGTCTGCATTCACTTCTGTTTTTAATTTACCCTCAAAAATATGCAACCAAAAGTGATTTGTTCTCGTGGGTAAATGAACTTATGAGTCCTGCTGCCTCTGGTTGAACTCAGTCTGACCTACAGAGGGCAGAAAACTGCACACAACCATGAAGATTCAAAGGAAATCACCTCAGAGACTGTGTCCTTCACAAAGAAACGGATCTACAAAACAAAAGCACAACAATGGATTCAGCAAATATTTATTTGTTTTTCGTTAATCATGTTTTCTTGGTTTTAAAGAATAAAGCTTTCAGTAAGGCTTTCTGATGACACCCCAACAATCATGGCTGTGTGACACGTCACTGAAAGATCGATTACATATTCACATACGTGTGAGTCACACACTACAGCACTCCTTTTTACTCATCTGGCAAAATAACAAAAAGGGAAAACATTTGGAAAGAGTCAATCTTAGTCAGGAAATACAAAAATAGATAAAGCAGTCCTAACAGGTGTTCTAGTGTCATTTCCTCGTTCTCTCCAAATGGAAGAAAATATTTCTTTGGATGAACATATTATATTATGGACTGTATACTTAGAAGTTATTTAAACACAGAATGCATAAATCTATGTTCCACCCCATCATCTGATAATCCCCCTTTTATTCTTTCATGTAGAAAGAACCCCCCCCCCCCACACACACACACACACACATATTCACCTGAATATTTGCCCTAATGCACAGAGTTGGACGCCCCCTCCCTTCCCTGAAACCCTCCAGTCTCTCTCTGGAAAAAGATCACAGATCTGCCTGTCCTGGTGTCTCAGGAAGCCTGGGGACCCGGTTTGGTTGGACAATGCTGTTCATGGTCATGGTTGGACTTTTGGCACCGAGAGTCCTTAACGTGAGTGTGGTCTGATGTCCAGGCTGCTCTTCCTCCTCTCTGGAACTCTAGTCGCCGTTCTGCACCGTCCCACGCTTGGATGGAGGCACCAGGTGTTCGGGCAGTGCAGGTGGCAGCTCATGGCCCTCCAGCTTCACCTTGATCAAGTGGTTGGCCAGGGCAAACTCCTCATCATCAAGGAAACCATCCTTATCCACATCTGCTAGCTTCCAGATCTTTCCCAGGACTGTGTTGGGCAGTTTGGACTTCAGCATCTCCTTCTTGGCCGCGGCCCCAGATACTTTACCGTTGATGGGCGAGAGGGTGTAGAAGATCTCATCGTACGTGGGCTTGTCGCGACCCACCACCCACTCCAGCTCATCGATGCCTTCGCTGGCACCTTCTCCGTAGCCGTGGCCAAAGGGACCACTCATGGTTCCCTCAAAGGCTCCGCCCTTAACAGCCTGACTGGGCATGGTTGCCTCCTCCTGACGCACCATGGCCATGAGACGGGCGATGTCATTGGCAAGCATGTCCTCCACTGCTTCCAGCAGTTTGGGCTTCAGCCCTGCAAATTTGGTGAAGTCCTGGCTATTCAGCAGTTCCTGGAGGGGGGTGAGAAAAAACAGGAATCAGTGATAGAAATAGATCAGTCTTCAATGGCCACCAACGGGAGCAGCATACAAGAAGCAGGATTTCCTGACAAACCAGGGAAAATAAATCTCATCCCCGTTCTGGCCCATCCTGGAGGGCAAGGGCAGGAAACAGGGGCGAAGATGTGACGAGTAAAGGTTGGGAGGTCATTGTACTCGTAGAGGTTTGTTTCTAGCAAACAAAAAGAACATTTTCATCTGCAATTTCCCGTCTGAACCTCCACATTAGTCTGCATACAACACTCGGACTTAGAAATGTCTGCTTTCGTCTTTGAGTGTTCATCGATTTGTAAAATCTCACCTGCATCTTTCCAAGGTTGGGAAAATCTCCAGGTGAGATCTGGTGCTCCTTCTCGATCTTGGTGTAAATCTCTCCCAGATTGGCTATCAGCTCCTTCTTCTTGTTGTCTTTCCCAAACACACTGGGCATCTCTTTTTTCAGAGAGCTGATGATGTAGGCCTGAACCTGGACACCATAACAGGAACAAGACAAACGTTTTCAGTGGTTACTGACTTTTTACTCTGGGCACTAGATGACTAGAAGAATTATAAATACTAGAAGCAAAATACAATTTCAAACTAGGTAATAAAACAAAAAAATAAGTAAAAATAAGATGAATACGAGTTATTAAACATGTCTGAGAAGGAAATATTAAAATGAAAAGCAGACACCACGCTATAAGAAAAACAATCCTTTTGGCATTTTTAAATAACGTTAAATGATTACTGCTTTCATCACAACAATACCGTTGTGTTTCTTTTAGCTCGTGGTTAATTGAAAAACAACCACTAAGTTGCACAATCTGTGGGTAGAACACAATGAGTGGAGGCAGGCAGCAAAGCTATTTTAAGTATTTTCTATACTAAGCCACACTTGCACCATTCTCATTTAAAATGTAAGGCTGTGTTAAGGCCAACCTTGGCGAGGCGTGCTCGTTTGATGAGGTCGTTGAGTTTGCGCAAAGCGGCGTTGCGTGGCAGAGACTGGATGTCCAGAAACAGATCCTGCTCCTCCGCCTCAAATAACTTCCTGTTATCAGGAACCAAAAGGGGCTGGGCCCAGAACGACCCAATGTACACACGCACCACCTGGAATAGAGTTTGCACAGGTTCATCTGCATTAATTGCCATTTGTCCGAGGTTAGTTATCTGCTTACACCCACACAAGAGGAAATGCTTTCACAGGTCACAAACAAGTTTAGCTGTTGCATAAACAGGCGCCAAAATGATTCTGCACACCTCAAAAATAGGATGTGAGACGATGAGTTCCCAGAACATGAAGCAAAAATACAGTTTTAAACCGTGTGTGTTGTTTCCCGTTAAAAGCTTCCATAATGTAATTCTGTGTTGATGAATAATGATTTACACGATCCAAAGGTTTCTCTGGGATCCGTGGTTGAATGAGACTCTGGATCAAACATTAACTGAACTGTCAGAAAGAATCAGAAGACCGTCACATGATAGTATGTGGGATTTGAAAAGGGTTGTAATAAAACCTTTTCACTTTCATTACATCCTTTCATTCTCTGAAGAGCATTTTTAACATCGTGTTACAACAAGGCAGGAAGACACTAATCTACTGAACTCTTCTAGTCTCTGTAGAAAGTCCTGCTCAGATCTTCCTCTAAAACCTTCAGTGACTGTATGTCGAAAAGATAGTCATTGCTAAAGATGCCAGTATTAATTATTTCTAATCATTTTCATTTTTACCTCAGGTGTGTTGATGATTTTTCCCAAAGACCACATCAGGGCTCCGTAGACCCTCATCAGCTGCTGAGTGCTGATCTGATCTGCCTTGTTCAGCACCACACGCATTTTGTCCTCGTGGTTCTTGAGAGCTCGGATCACCTCAGAGAATTCGTCTGAAATGTCGAGTTTGTGGGCGTCGAACAGGAGGATGATGCGGTCCACACGCTCAGCGAACCATTCAAGCACGGCGGCAAAATCATAACCTGGACAGAAAAAAAGAAAAGTAGACAGGCTCCTTATCCAACTGTATAGACATTTCTAGGTCATTATTTTTACAGTCCAAGGGATGGTGGTTTGTGCTCTGATACCTTTTTCAATCAATGAAACTTTATTTATAAAGTGCTGTTCATACAAAAAATGTAACTCGGTGCTTTACAAATTAAAAGACCCCACAAATCCCACAAATATCATTGACAATTAAACCCCCCCCCCCCCCCCCCCCCCAACCCAGTGACACGCACACACATACATATCCACATGCACACACAACACACTTGAGAACATATGTAAACACTGGGCTGAGCTCAGATGAGTCAGGTAGTAAGGAAATGCCATCAGGGAAGTTGTCTACCCCAACAGTAGCAGATCCATTTTTTTTAATGTCTGCGTTTCCCAAAAAATACTTAAATATTTCAGCTCAGAGACACGTGCTCCATTGTAGATGTGCATGTTACTGTGAAATATGTTTAACCTAAGTATACATGTTTTTTTAAGACTTTTGTAGGTTAAATGCTCATATTTATCTGGTGATGTTTAGAAAATAATAGGGATGGGCAATATATCGGCATCAATATCGGTATCAGTTGATGTTAATCATTTAACATATCTGTATCGGTTCGATAAAACCGGACTGATAATCACCAATATTTTTTCCATCTCGTCTCCATTTGTTTGCCCGTTTCAGAGGGCGAGGCGGTGATGTGTAATTGTGTAGTCATGTGAACAGTGAATGAAATCATCTCAGAAGCGTAAATGTGTGTGTTGTGTGTACATAATGTAAATTCTGCTTTAATAATTTTCATTCTATACAAAATCTGCTTATTTTAGAAGCACTAATGTCAGTATATCAGTTGTTGGCCAAAACAGTGAACTTAATATCGGATATCGGTTTCGGCGCAAAAATGTGAGATCGGTGCATCACTAGAAAATAACTTTTAAAATAATAAGTAGGAAAAAACATCTTTTAAACTGCTATTCACATTTTTAACGTGACAATAAAAAACAAAACCAACTCAAATAAAAAACGGGGCTTCTCCGAGTATTAACTTGCACTCTGTTGAGAGAGCAATGGGCGCTGTGGTTTTGATTAGTGACCGTGTATCTGATCAGAAATGCAGAATGCAGCTGGTATCTCAGCTGCTTCCACAATCACGGCCTCATCTGCTGTACATATATTTCAACATGGCTGACTTTTTTCTGAATATTTCAGGACAGAAGAGCAGCAAAAAGATACAATTGATTGAGACTAAAGGGCATAAAGACAGATGAGAAGGGAATTGGGGGGGGGGGGGGGGGGGTAAGAGGATGACAGAGCAAAAGTGAAAGTAAGAGAAAACTAAAAATAGAGATGGACCAAGGGGGCTGTCGCAGTAAAGAATTTAAAGCAAAAACAAGTTTGTACCTGCTGCTGCTACACATCACAAGTGAGGGCAGACAGAGGGGAAACCTGGGAATAATAAAAGGCTAAAATCCCAGTAGAGCCAGCAGCTGCAGCATTTTCACAACAGGGAATCAGCCAGAGACAGCTGATGGACAGGCTTACTTAGAACAGCAACTGCTACGCCTGAACAATATGGACATGCAGGGACAGAGCAACAACGTTATGATGACAAATATAGACAGAAACTGAACTGCTGAGAAATTGTCCCTCATCTCCATTTCTTGCTGAAGTTCTAACATAATATTTATTGTCATGTCATCAGAGGTAATTAGGGGGGAAAATCGGATCCCTCTGCTAGATCAGTTTCAGTTTGGCTTTTAGCTAGGAACAAGTACTGATCTGTACATGCAGGTCTAATCATAACTGAACACGGTCATAAAGTTACGTAAACCCAAGTATCTACCTCCTGTAGTTTTCCCATGCTGCTCTGCTATAAAGACGAACATTTTCAGCATACAAGTCACACACAGTCCTTTCTAGCTGATTAGCTCAGAGCAAAATTCTGATGTAATGAGTTTCTTATGGTTCAAATGAATTCTTGGCATTGCTCTGAGAGTACAGACAAGAAGCATATGCCCGTCACACTTGAGCTGCACAATCTAATCCGTACTGTTTATATATGACACAGCCTGTACAGTATGTGTGTGGAGTACAGTGTTGGATCTGTTTACACAGAAACAAGGCAGAGGATGGAGTGTGTGAGTTGGTTTTCTAAAGTCTGAGAGAAGAAATGCTTAATTAAATTTGTAAGTAGAAAACTAAACTAAACCGACATATATGCTTGGATTTAGTCAAACACACTTTGTTTCATTAGTGAGAAAGCATATTTTACTCTATTGGCAAAAAGATGAATTTTTCCTTCACGAAGAAAACTCCTCTGCACAATAAAAATATCTTAAATCTCCCATTTATTTCCTAGCAGATTTGCTTTTGGCTCTTGGTAAGTCCTTCAGGAAATCAGTCAGTAATCTAAAGCAGACTGATAGACCATGAAGTAGTGCTCAAAGGAACACGGGCAATGTTAGGAGGGAGTGGGCAGTTCTCGGAAATTCTGCTGTCTGCCATTTTACGCCACTTCCTTTCACAAAAACTCTGATGTTTGTGTGTGTTTCCTCTAAAACCGGCTTACATCAGGTAGCAAAAGCAGAAGCTATGTTCAGCTGCTCTGTTATCTTATTCCTATGTTTTGTAAGATCATCAAAAGTTTAAAAAAAGAAAATAAAAGCTGTCTAGGTGGCAATATGGAAATGACCTGGAAGGTCACATTATTGTGTAAGCGTGTGGAAAACGTGGAGCTTATTTCCAGGAAAATGGCTGAGGAGTGGTGATGGATAGAACAGCATATGATAAAGGGTCTTTCAGAGTCAAAGAAAAAAGGTCACAGAGCGAACATGGATGATGCTGTAGGAAAAGACAACTCCATAGACAGGAAACCAACTTCAAAGTGCTCCAAAGCTTTTTCTTACTACTTTCAAACTGTGAAGGCACACACTTCACATGAAATGTTTGGATACACTTTGCCTTGAGGGTGTAAAGGAAGTTAAATACAGGTTTGACAGCCCTGGGAGCAGGCTGCTGCAACCAATGCAGAAAACTCACCATCAGAAACACCAGAGGAAAGAGTTAGTCAGCTGTTTAAGCAGGTTTCTTTTCTGAACTGAATCCGTCCCTTCCTGTGACTTTAGTTTGCATTGCTGCAGAACTTATCATATTTCAGAGTTTCTCGACCAGAGGGTGTGGCATACAGCAAAGTAAACCCAAGATCTACCTACAAGTACATAAAACCGTTATGAGACACTGACCTCTGCTTATCCTCTGCTTTTCCCCAGACAGGATTCCAGGAGTATCAATGATACTGATGCTTTCCAGGACAGAGTTAGGCAACTGTGCACACATGAACCTAGAGGAGACAAAAATAAAAAAAAGACAAAGATGGGTGAAAAGAAAGCAGTTGAGAGAACATAATTAAACCGACACACTCACAAAAGGTATCAATTCTAGGGGTAGATGGAAAGAAGGAAGAACAGAAAACCGGTTGGGTGTGATTGTTTATACACAAGCTTGGCATTCAACAAATATTCTGAAGCTTATCAGTAACAACCTCCTCTCATGAGGATTTAGGCTCTCACACAATGAACACCTATCCAGTTTCATGCTGGAAGAGACAAGCAACTAAACACAGCAAAGAACAGATCCTAAAACAACCAAACAAAGCTGCACCAGTGTTAAAAACTACATTTAATTGTTTAAGTGCAACTGTCTGTTTTCTTATGTTTGGATGAAACTAGAGGTTCCTTGCAGTTGAATTCATGATCAATGATCACTCATGTCTTTATAAATGTCTTACTTTTTAAATTGCAGTTATGTCCAATAGATCAGGGTTAATAGTCATTACTGGCTGTTACCTACAACAATGCATCTGAAAGACAACTCCTGGTTTTTAGCTGCATTAACATGCCGATTCAGTTGGACAAATTCTACAACTAAATCTAATAAGATTAAGATGTTTCTGGGCTTGATTTTAAAACATTTTTTTCCTTATCTGAAATGGTCTGCTCACTCAGTATCAACATTAATGAGCTCCATCATGAACTATGCTTGTAGTTAAAAGTGGACTTGTGCTAACATCTGTTAGCATGATGTCATTCCCATGGGGAGACACACCTATGCGTGGGTATTAAACCTAATAATGATCATTGCAATATATTTGTAATTTCTTGCTTAGGCAACTGATTTTTATCAAGCACAAAATCATCAATCAAGCTCAACTGTAGGCTGAGCTAAAATGGACACCAAATGTAGTTTGGATGCTTTTTCTTCCACTAAGCAGGCTGATTTTCCCAACAACAAAAAAGAGGTTGTTTGTGGATGCATCAATTGGTAATTGAATGATAATGCAGAGAAATGCTGGGGAAACAAATTATAAGCTTTAAAAATTGTAGGCGTCAATCATTCCCAGAGCCACGTAATTCATAAAACAATAGTGGGTCAGGCTATTGCAGTGGCTTTAAACTTAAAAGGGAGTAACACACACTAGCAGAAATGGAACCAAGTCACAAACACAGAACAGCAGACTCATACACACACTACAAAGCATGAAAGAGGAAGATGTGTTTTACATAAACTGAGAATGTCCAACCCAGGACAAAGAGGGACATTGTTGAAGACATCCCACAGCTCCGAGGTTTACTTTTCACTCTGCTACCCCTGCACTCAAACTGATCTCCCAGCATGAGCTAAGAGGCACCAGGTCATAAGACTGGGGAAACCATGCTTTCACATTCCTGCTGAAACCACACACACACACACACACACACACACACGCACGCACGCACGCACGCACGCACGCACGCACACACACACGAGGGGGAAATGGAGAAAATCTACATGGACTAAGTGAAAGAACTTTTTTTTAAATGCCAGAAGGTATCCTGTGTATTGTATTGCATTGCAATAACAATGACCAACAAAGATAACCACCTGGGTTTTCCAATCTCTCCCTTCTACTGTCGGATATTCAGCTGGAATGTTGGGTCAGATTTTCCACTGAACTGTCTTTCCTAACATTTTTCCACATGGAGCTTTGAAAGACAGAATACTCTGATCAACATTCTCAAAAACAGAAAGCCCTGAGGGTGCAGGAGTCCAGGCACCAGTGTGAGAGACTTTAACTATGCAACGGTCTTAAAATCTGGTGATCCCATCTTTTCTGTGACGACAGATCAGCACATGGACACTTATCAGATATATCCTATTAAAATTCTCCAACTCAAGGGTCAAGGTCCTTTTGGCTCCACCTCTTAATCTACAGCCTTCCTTCCTAATGGAACCTCTGCTTCCCACCAAGAAGAGGAAGCAGTGTGGCCATCATTGCTGGACACTTGAACAGGAAGGTTAGAACTGTGTCACTTTATTCTCCCTTGTAAAATATCAACTTGTGTGACTGACTGAATGACCAACTTCTATAGATCTGCTGGTATTTGTGTGTATATTTGCCCTGTAAGGTTTTACAAGACTACCTCAGAAAATGCAGAGTCAGCAACACTGAATACCAGGACAGAGCAGAGCGGGACAATGTGGACTGGGGTGGGCCAGAGCGGAACCTAAACTTTGCTGACTCAAGTTTTACAAATGGCTTACAGAAAGTGTGCAGTAATACACTGGGGCCCCCAGCCTGCAATATCATACAAGTTATAAAACAAAAGAAGAACGTGAAAATATACACAAGAGGTATAGAACAAGATCAGATGTTTCTTTATTGGAAACGCCTGATAAAAAATGTTCCATCACAAGCAATACGAGGTAAAACTTCTACTAAATCTCAAAAAATATAAAAAGTTCACACATTCTCAGTTTCCCACAAAGACAAGTCAGCTAAAAGCACAAGGAGGATCCCATGACTGATCTCTGTTTATGGTCTTCTTCATAAATAACTGGTTATACTAAGGGCAAATCTGATTTGAGCCCAGTAGTTAACGCCTAATCTGCCGGTAGAATAACTATGGTTAAGAGCCACACAGAAGAGCTGCCATAATAGTTACCTCAAAACAAACATTCTGACCTGAAAATTTCAGCTGATCAAAAAGGGCAAAAAGTGTATTTACTTTAAGCAAAACAGCCTAGTTTTATATATTTCTATTTTGATCATTCCTTATTGTATAGAACGTTGCTTTGCTATGAGCCATTGTATTTGTTGGAACAGCGTAAACATGTAATTTTATGTTACACATGACGTGTATATTACATATACTTCTGAAAAAAACAGCAGCATATTAAATTCAAATGGTCACAAGTTCCATGACGCTAAAAAATTCTTCCAACAGTTTGACAAATTATGCTTCAATGAACAATAGCTTTTGTTTATACACAGTCTTATCTGGTTTCCTCTGGAGTCTTTAATAAAATCTGACATGAATCAGGTCTTGTGAAGTCAGACGCCCCCCACTCATTAAAAAGTTATTAGGGAAAAAAACATGACTTAACTTTTCTGACATGGAATGATGATACTTGGCAAAAATGTGCTCTCGTAGAAGATAAGGGCAACACTCCACATAATTGTAGGAAGGAATGTGAATGGATAATAGGAAAAGACCCAACTGAGCAAGTGTCAGTTTGACTGTCTTCCTACAGGATAAGGCAACTAAACAAACTTAATTATCTGACGCCGACAGCTGATCAGGACCACAACTGTCTAGTCATTTGTTTGGGCATTATTTGACCATCTGCTCAGCTGGCTGTTCCTCCGTGTGATACCACGCTAGCTGCCACAGAGAAGGGGACATCCCCACATCCTACAGGATGTGACAGCATCAGGATTCTCATGCTTAGACCTCTGAGGTCATTACAAATCCACACACAGTGTAATGGTATTTAAATGTTTTGGCTTCAATCAAACAGCCATACAGACTGAATTACATAGAATCCTGTAGTGTAAGTCAAACAGGGAGGAGCTCAATTCATAAAGTCAAAGGGGAAAAAACAGGGAGCCTCTCAGCTGTCTTTGGCCTTTTAAAAAAAAAAAATTCTAACACCACACCACATAAATGTAATCATTTCAGTCTCATTTTTGCCATCACCCTTCAGTTTATCCAATTAGTCAGTAAAACGACATGTTGGGAAATGTTGACTTATCTATTCATATCAGACACAAAAGTGAGTTTTGGTAAAACTTTAGAAAGGGCACAATAGTGTTTTCATTGAATCTGTATATTATGAATCATCCATTCAAATAAACTCCTATGAGCAAAAACATGTTAACACCAATTATGAAGGTCCTTCTAAATAACTAATCAGTGTGCCGCTTTGAATTGATCACACTAATACAACATAGATGGATGGTAAAACCTTTAACCCATCATGATGATAAGATTTTATGGGTAATGCTTAAAGGAGTTGGCCAAGTTCTCTTGTGCTGATGTGGAAATACTTTCAGGACATGAAACTTACAGCCATGACATAAGGACAAAACAAGGTCAGAATGTTCCCAAGCAACACATTTCAATGACATCCTGGGACATGAAATCAGGAGAGAAAAATCAAGCCGAGTCTGCCAGGTGTTTGAGGGAATAAGAACCTGAAAACAGTTACAGGATAGAGCCAAATGCCAGGAATTGGTCTAAAATGAAAGGTAAAGAGCTTCTTGTTAATAGGATAGAATACTGGAAAGCACCACTCTTCCTTTTGGTTTGCTATGGAGAGTGATCTTTCCATTGTAAACTCGTACGTTCTCTCAGGATGATGATAGCGAGGAAAAATTATCACACATAGTTGGCTCTTCTCTAAAGATTGTGCAACAGCTCACTGAGAACCTACCTAAAACAAGGTGTGGTACATGTCAGGGCTCGTAGAGTGCATTTAACTTGCAAATGATGTGTTATAGAAGACGTTTCTTCTCATGCACCTGTGCCAATTAACGTTCAAGCATGACATGACTCGTGTACTTTGCGGGTCAATCAATAACCTGAACTTGTTTTCTACAGTCGCTGTGCTACAATTTGCCCTTTAATTACATAAAAAAGACTAAGTGTTACCTGTTGAGAAATGCGTTTCCAAACGCGTTGAGTTTGCGAAAAGGCTTCTTTGGGTCGACAACAAGGGCATTACCCGGTATCACCCCATCCTGTTCGCCGTGCATTACCGCGATGAAAGAGTCTGTTGTCGGCTCGGGGCCGATCCGCATACCGGGGAAGTCCTGCTCAATAAGGTGTCGGATAAAGGTGGTTTTACCGGTGGAGTACTGGCCTACCAAAAGTACCATGGGCTTGTTATCGAAGTCGGCATCTTCGAGTGCAGGGGAGTGGAAGTCGTGGAATCGATACGTGTCCTCCAGTGGGAACAGTTTGGTTCGGTAAAGCCGACGTAACCCATCCGACACGTTTTGAAACAACTCCGGGTCCTTCTTGAGGGTTTTTCTAAACATTGTTACTAACTTTTACCCTTAGTTGACACAACTGTGTCAGTCTCCCCTAGAATAATGATCTAAATTGGTGGAGGGGGGTCTCACACACCGTTATGAGACTAGCTGCCCGCTGGAGTGAAGCAACGACCGGGGCGAGGTCTCAAGTTTTTATCCCCACCCTCTTCGCTAGCTAGCCAGTGGCCACGCACTACTAGTATCACTGAAAAAAGGGAGGACTCTCCTCGGCGAACTTTTAAGTAAACCTAACCGAGTTAGCAACACTTCACTAAAAATACTCAACTGTCACCGGACATTTACCGTCTAACGCGATCAATGGAACGACCGTCACAACCTTTCCAAACCTAGCTTATCGTTTAGCAACCGTGAGGAAACCACAAACGGCTGACACGCGGAAACCGGAAACGACATCACATTCTCAATAAGAGCCTTTCATTCCGACAGCGCACACCGTTGTTTCTGTTTTCTTGATATGAACACACACACACACACACACACACACACACACACACACACACACACACACACACACACACACACACACACACACACACACACACACACACACAGAGATTAATCTATTACCGCATATGTGTATGCAAATGAATTTAGTGTATTTACAATTTACAACCAATTCACAAGTCATCTCAAGGCACTTTACAAGCAAGCATTTCTATTGAAATAAACCTCCCACCCACTGCATTCCACTGCTGAGACCATGGATAGCTCCTTCAGAGGCAGACTGAGACATCCAGATGTAAAACAGAATGCTACCGTAGATCTTTCATTCCCTGAAACTCCTCAGTTTAAGCTGTACTGGCATTATCCTGGTACACAATAACATCAATGCAATATTCATTATGTGTTCAATGCTCGTTCAATACCAGATTGACATAGTATGTCTGGGTCTCTTGCAGTATGTAGAATAGTGTTGGAACCCAAGTTTTTTCTTTTTTATTTGTGGTTTTTAGTGGTCAAAGTGGTGATTACTGCCTATATGTATATACACTCACCTAAAGGGTTATTAGAAATATCTGTTCAGCTTCTCCTTAATGCAATTATCTAATCAACCAACCATCAGCTTGTTCGAGATGAGCCAGTTCTGGACAGATTCGATCATCAGCGATCGGCGCGCAGTGCATGCCGGTTAGATTTGTGTCCGACTTAACGTCGACTTGCTCTGACGTCATGCATATGTGGCAAGGTGGAAGGTGGAGAAACGAGGGCCCGGGCGGGATTCGATCCCCAGACTCCCGGGTGAGAGTCATACGCTCTAACCAGTCAGCCAAAGGGACATCCCCTTGGCCAAGTAGCCAGGGCGCATGATCAATCGGGACATTGTGACAGGATACTCACACTGTCACACACATGTAGGCAACGATAACCTCGTGAGATCAAGGCAGCCGCAGATTTTGGAGCAAGGCGCTGCAGTTGCTCTCCACCGGCTGCAAAACCTAGAGGATGATGGGAAACGCCTGGCTCTCACCTGATCTAAGACCTGATTGGTACACATTTTGATCCAAACATCCAGTGGTAGAATGCAAGTTGGTCACATGTATTCTGTAAATCATGTAACGTTGATGATGACAACTATACAGGCCATGTACAGAAATGTGTTTTGTGCTATTTGTCACGTTTCCTATAAGCACACTAAAACTACAGCTGATAACCTTTACTTATTATTACAGCCATGTCTCCATATGCATTATATTATATCCACGAGCATGTGAGGATGTGTTTCAGTTGCTAAAAGGCACCAGAATTAAAATAAAAAATTAAACAAGGTTAAACTCTAACGCGATATCTTCATCCGTTGTCACCCGCGAGCTACACATGTAGGGAAATCTGTTCGGATTAAACGCTGGCTTTCAGCCACTCCCCCTGCTGCGTCCGTCTGCTCTTGTCTGTTTTCCAGGCGAGGCACTGCTCAACTCAAACAAGCCCATCCTCATGAACGCCAAACTGAATGTCAGAATGGGAAAGAAAGGTGATTTAAGCAATGTTGAGCGTGGCATGGTTGTTGGTGCCAGACGGGCCGGTCTGAGTATTTCACAATCTGCTCAGTTACTGGGATTTTCACCCACAACCACTTCTAGGGTTTAGAAAGAATGGTGATAGAAGAGGAACCTTGACTGAAATAACCACTCGTTACAACCAAGGAATGCAGAAAAGCATTTGAAAAGCCACAACACGCACAACCTTGAGGCGGATAGGCTTCAACAGAAGACCCCACCGGGTACCACTCATCTCCACTACAAATAGGAAAAAGAGGCTACAATTCGCACGAGCTCACCAAAATTTACAGTTAAAAACTGGAAAATGTTGCCTGGTCTGATGAATCTCAATTTCTGTTGAGACATTCAAATGGTTGAGTCAGAATTTGGCATAAACAGAATGAGAACATGGATCCATCATGCCTTCTTTCCACTGTGCAGGCTGGTGGTGGTGGTGTAATGGTGTGGGGGATGTTTTCTTGGCACACTTTAGGCCCCTTAGTGCCAAGTGGGCATCATTTAAATGCCACTGGCTACCTGAGCATTGTTTCTGACCATGTCCATCCCTTCATGACCACCATGTACCCATCCTCTGATGGCTACTTCCAGCAGGATAATGCTCCATGTCATAAAGCTCCAATCATTTCAAAATTGTTTCTTGAACATGACTGTGAGTTCACTGTACTACAACGGCCCCCACAGTCACCAGATCTCAACCCGATAGAACATCTTTGGGATGTGGTGGAACGGGAGCTTCGTGCCCTGGATGTGCCTCCCACAACTGCAAGATGCTATCCTATCAATATGGGCCAACATTTCTAAAGAATGCTTTCAGCACCTTGTTGAATCAATGCCTCGTAAAATTAAGGCAGTTCTGAAGGTAAAAGGGGGTCAAACACCGTATTAGTATGGTGTTCCTAATAATCCTTTAGGTGAGTGTACATGTTCCTTTGTTACAATTTTTCTTCAAATTATTCTCGTAAGTGTTGATGCTGCTGTAACAAGTGAATTTCCCCACTGTGGGATCAATAAATTTATTCTATTTTTGTTTTTTACCATCTTGTTTGGTCACACTGAAATTTGCACTTCTTCAAATACATTTAAAAAATATATGTGTTTCTTTTCTGAAATATGTACATATAACAAACAGTAAGCCTGTTTAGGAAGTCTTTTAGACCTTAAAAGTTAGTTGAAACTGTCTACACACACAGATGAGTGTGTTATAATCCAAGCTCAATGTCAATAAAACAAACCTGACCTTAAAAATGGGTTTTATTTCCTTTCACTTTTAGTTTCAAGGTGCTTCATCAAATTACACTTTGGTGGAGTAATAGTTTTATTTTGGTTTCACTTTTTATGTATTGTAACTGTGGGATTTTACCAGCAATGCACTCAGTGTGAGTCAACAATCTTTAGATGTGAGATGAATAATAGGAATTCACTCAGGAAAACCCCCTTTCACATCACACCATTTCCCAGAAACATGTTTCCATGTTTCTAAAATGACATTTAATCATTAAATATTTGTAAAAATGACAAAAGAGAAGATCTTTTGCTTTATTTGCTCAACCAAAAAGCAGACAGAAGTCAAAATGTGATTCACAAATTAATCTTTATTTTATTGCAGCATCTGTTAATAAACATGTAAATAGTGTTGTTGATGAAGCAACATGCCACCACAGCCGTCTGATGGTGAGAGGTGTCCCTCCAGAGATAACAGCAGCTCCACTGGAAGTCTGAGTTTTTCCACATGGAGATGCTGTTACAGCTGGTGAGACCCACAGAAACAACACAGCTGACAGAAACCAGCCCGATCAGGAGGTTTTCAACCACAGCACCATCACACTCCTCAAGGGTTTCCTTATCCTGTATTATGGACATCAGTGGACCAGAGTGACTAAATGCTGAGAGTGAGAAGATATGATGCTGCCCTCTTTTGTTCACCTGTTGCTAAACTCATGGGTTTATATCATTTTATTGCATTTTTTTTATTTCAGGTGGAGAATCAGTAAAACCCCACCCTCCTAATCTTGGTTTTTATTGCTTTTAAGATTGTATTTTGCTCTTTGACACTAATAAATATGGATGATTTGCTCAATAACCACACACAAGTAGTCATTGCTGAGCTGCATCATAAATAAACTAAAATATTAAGTTTATTAAAAGTTCATGATTTACATTTAGGCACTCAAATGAACCCAGTAGCACACGGTATTGTCTTCAGCATAACTCATCTACCTATTTTCCTGTGACTTATGCTGATGAACTTTGACCTTTAGGCTTGTCCTCTATAAAGGAAAAAAGCTAAGCCATAAAGCAGTAAAGAATAGGTTAAAAAGACCTTTACCCCTATTGTGTCCTAGGACTTTGACCACCACGCCATTTTTTTTCTTTTTCATTCAGCGACTACATACACCTTGGAATCATCTTCCTCATAGAGATGTGCACTGAACTTGGTATTAATGTTTTAAACAAACACACATTTATTCAGTTCTGTTCAGAAAAAAACAAGAACATCTTTCCGTACCTTTGTGATACGTATTTTGTGTCACGCAGACATTGCACGTTTACTTTTTATTTTGTTTTGTTAATAAAAGTTAACCTAACGTTTTTTTTTAAAACAAACACAAATGTCCTGCAGCACAATGAAATCAACTGTGTCACTAAAAGACTATTAAATCCTAAGGCCTCACTTTTTTCTTAGTTATTTGCACAACACAATCCTTCTAGATTGGATTAAAATTGTTTAAATTTTACATAACGTCAACTTAACGTACACAAACATGACTGCACTCCCACTAAGAAAGCGTCTGTGAAGTAATGGCACCGATGTTAATATTTAAACTTACAAAAATACGAAGAAGAAAATTCTGTATTAATCTAAACTAAAATGGTAATCAGATAGTTAACAGTTTAAGTGAAATTATACAAAAAAGTTTTATTGCTGATATTTTTACAATGTGTGAATAAAGATTATACTCACCAGTAAATTTTAAAAATTCATGCTTCAAAATGAAAAATAAAAAATCTATAGAGATTAAACATGAAAAGCAATAAAGATCATAAAATAGGCAAACAAGAAAAAGCTCAAGAAAAGTTAGGGGACAGTCAGAGGCTTACTGAGAGAGATCTGAGTCTGAGTAATGGCAGATTCATGATGGAGGACTGCTTAAGACGGTGTGGGGGAGAGAAAAATTAATCATTACACTAACTGTAAATATGTAACAGAAGCTGCACATAAAAGTCAGCAAATTATTTTCTGTTTGAACACCATAAACACATGATAGTGACATTAAAATCATACAAGCACAGTGAAGACACAACTGCATTGAAGTCATATATATGCATAAAATAAAAACAATTCCCATCTGACCCATGGGTGGTGCCATCTTTCCAAGCTCGAGTCCTCGATACCAGAGAGAGATATATCTTAGTTGTTCCTAGAACTGCACTTTTCTGGACTGAGATGTCTGATATTTTTCCTGGGATCTGCTTTAGCCACTCCTCCAGTTTGGGGGTTACTTCCCCGAGTGCCCCGATGACCACGGGCACCATATCTTCACTCACCAGGCTTTATCAAGCTCTTCTTTGAGGCCCTGGTACTTCTCTAGTTTCTCGTGTTCCTTTTGCCTGATGTTGCCATCACTTGGTATTGCCACATCAACCACAACAGCTGTCCTCTGTTGGTTGTCCACGTTCCTTTTATTTGTATATATATATATATATATATATATATATATATATACATACATATACACACACACACACACATATATATATATATATATATATATATATATATATATATATATATATATATATATATATACATACATACATACATACATACATACATATATACACATATATATACATAAATATAATATATTTTTATATATACATATATGTGTGTGTGTGTGTGTGTTTAGTAAATTGTAGCTCATAAATCATTTTCAGAGTTTAAAAAAATCGCTTTTTTTGTTCATAACTATTTTTGACATGTTTGGCTTTCCGTACAGTGGAAGTGGCGTAAACTGATGTGTGAGTATCTATTTGACTAGCACCGCCTTCATGTGTGTTAACATTGACAAATATAGTCTTTAAAGCATTGATAATTCATGTTTTGTGTCCTTACATGTAAGATACAGACATGATTAGTGGTCTAAGGCACGGAAAGCATGTGAGAGCGTTTTAATCGGAGCCTAGGCTAGTTCGTTAGCAGCATTGATGCTAATTTTAGCTTCTAGCATCATCAAGGCATCTGATGAGCAGGAACAAACAGGCTTCTTCTCTGGAAAACGCCAGTGTTTGTTGTCATGGTGAATTATCCTGAAAGCTAGTGAAATATGTCATCTTTAATGTTAACCAGGGCTGAAGACATTAAACGAGCACATAACTAGTTTGGTTGTCGAGTTCCACACTTAGCCTTTAGCTGTAAATTGGAACTACTGTGTCAGGATGAATTGTATTTGTGAACTTACCTTTGTTGTTTCAGCTAATAATGGCCGAACTAAATACTCTAGAGAGCCTGCTGGAGATGGGCTTTGACAAAAACAGAGCGTGAGTTACACTCATCATAGACATTTGGGTTTTTGAATCAGAGCTACAAAGAAATTAAAGTTAAACTGGGTTTTTTTGTGTGTCTATTTTCTCACATTTTCAGAGAAAAAGCTGTGGCCAATACAGGAAACCAGGGAATAGAACAAGCTATGGACTGGTGCGTCTGACATACAAACTAAAAGCTGTGCTGTAATCCAGTCAGTTTACTGTCTGTGGCAACATTTATGTATTTTACTTTAGTGATTATTGGTAAGAGGTACTCCATTTATACCACCTTGATTCAGCCAAGGTGAGGTGATACTCAGTTCTGACAGATTCCTCACCTGTAGATGCATCTTTTGAGGAGCTCTGAAGCCAAATAAAGGCTCTTAGTAGGAACTGTTTTGCAAAAATGTTCTCATAATGTTACATTTCTAAGCGTTGAATGCAAAACACCGAAGGAAGAAATTGTGCATTAGAACAAACCATTTTCCACCCTGACCCAATCTCTATGACCTCCTTCCTCCAGGTTGATGGAGCATGAGAATGACCCAGATATCGATGAGCCCTATGTGCCTCCTGCTGAGAATGTTCTGGGAGGAACAACAGATAGTCAGTCCAGCACAGAGCAGCCAACTATCGAAGGTCAGGGCATGTTGGGATGTTTGGGGAATGAATGATGCCATAATATTGTGAACAAAGCACACCAGACAACATTTAAGTAGCTAGTAGAAATACGTTTACAAATAAACTATTAATGTGATGAAATTGGAGCCTTTCTAGACTGAAAGTGAACATTGTGTCATTACTCAACTGAAACAATGTCCTGCTAATATAGGAACAGAAAACTTAAGTGAAGAATTCCTCGACCCTGAGGACATAGAGGCTTTAAAGCGACCAATGACAGAAGAGGAGAGACGCGAACAAGTCAAAAGGTCTGGGCGCATTCATTTCTACTGATGGTAATGAGTTTGTCTATTTATCCACAAAAAGCAGCATGAAGTCATTGTTTATGCCCATGTTTCTGCTTCTCAGGCTAGAGGAGCTGATGCGGGTGAAACAGGCAGAGAGGAGAGAACGTGAGCGAGCAGAGGAGGTGGAGAAAGAGAAACAGCGACGGAAACAGGGCCAAGAGCTGCAGCAGATCCGCCAAAAACTGCAGGATGACGACATGAAAAAACTTGCTGATCAGAGGAGGAGAGAGAAGATGGAAGACAAACTTGCTAGGTAAGGGTTCAGTAATGCAGATAATCGATGAAGAAAGTTTAGTTTGGTGCTTTTAAGTAATTGTTTTTTTTTGTTTGTTTGTTTTTTACAAAAGCTATATTGATATTTTTCTTGAAACTTGAGGAAATTGGTTTCTGTTTTGAACCCTGTTCATCTTTATGTTTGTCAGGCAAAGAGTTAAAGAGAAAATAGCGAGAGACAGAGAGGAGCGTGCACAGAAGGTACCTTAGCCTGAAATCCTGTTCATGTCTTTAATTTCTTACTGATGGCTTTAATCCTGGTCACGTTTTTATTTCCAATGGTTTAGTTTGGAGGTGGTGCATCTTCAAGCACGGCTGCTTCAACACAGCCCACCCCACCCAGCCCATCATCGCCCACCAGTCAGGGCCCTCCTCCCACTAAGAAGGAGTATGATGAATCAAGGATACAGGTGAGGAAAAAACTGACAGCTTGATTTATTCTCTTGAGTTTCTCTGATCCACTGGCCACTTTTCCTCCACACTTCCTAAATGTTCTGATCCATTCTCAGGTTCGCCTGCTGGACGGCTCCACAATCACAGCCGTGTTTAAGGCTCAGGAGCCACTGGCGGCGGTGCGGGTCTACGTACAGATGAACGGCAACACACCCGAGGGTCAGGACTTCACGCTGCTGTCACCCTACCCCCGCCACATCTACACTGAAATGGACATGGAGAAGCCCCTCAAAGAGCTGGGTGAGTGGGAGACTAGTCTAAGTCCAGAACAAGTCTGTTTATCTTACCCTTTTTTTGTCTCAGGTTTGGTGCCTTCAGCCGTGCTGGTTGTTACCAAAAAGTAAGAAACGAGAGGATCTGCTCTGTGAGCCTACCTCACCACTTCCACTACGTCATGTCCAGACACCGGAAACCAACTGAACCAGAACCAGAGCTGCCATCCCATAGTGTTACACAAGGAGCCATCGAAGTGAGCTAAAGCACAGATGCTGTGAGGCTGCATTCAGACACGAGTGACTGGATTCAGTCTCCCGCTGCAGTTTGACTCACATATCGAGATGGATCTTAACAGATCAGAGAGAAGAAAGCTGGGTTCTGGCTGACACTTATTCTAAACGTTTAGGGTAAAGTACGGATCTAGGTTGTTTGTTTTTACCAGATTCTTAATGACATCATCTCAAAGTTCTTATAAAGGGCCTTAAGTTTAATTGCCATGATCTTCCTAATTTTGTGACATTCTATTTTTCAATTTTTTTAAAAAGACGTTCAGCTCTATTGACAGGTTGGTCTACATATTTACAAAAGATCCACTTACAATAAAACATGACTTTGAGCACTGACTTGGTGGACTGAATTTTGTTTGTCTTTAGTTTTACTTCTACACCATTACTGGAAAACAAATCCCGCAGCTAACTTTTAAAGTTTTGTATTCCTGAGATTAGACTGTCATCTAAAATGTATGATCAGACATTTGTAAAGATTCACATCTTTTTGTTCACATGAGAAAACACTATTTCAATTATATATACCATTAAAGGTGTTTTCCAGCAGTAAGTGAAATTTGGTCTGTTGCCATATCCCTCAGAGTTAGATAAATAGGGAAATGCATTTTGTAACCAACTCAATCATTCCATTCTGGCAGTGGTCTGTTAGCTTTAGCTTAGCATAAACAATGTAAGTGAATGGCAACAGCTAGCATTTTGTCATAAAAATAACTAATAATGCTCATTTTTCTTGATGACCTCAATCATATCAACTGCAAATAAAAAGTAACATGGAGGAATTACAGGTCATTTAGACTGGGAACTAAATTACGACAAAGCACTGCTGTAAGCCTGCGCTGCAAGGCGCAAGGACACGACGCAGCAGACCCAAAAGATACATCCTTCCATAAACAACAGTGAGCTGTGCTGTTCTTACTGACATAGTTTGAGCATGTTACATTTCCATTGCAAGAAATTGGTTCTTGTGTCACATCCTTGCACCTTCTCACAGCGGAGCATTGTTGTAATGTAGTCCCAAATCGAAATCGGCTCCTGTGATTCCTCCGTATTGCTTTCATATGCTATTGAGGTCACCAAGAAAAATTAGCATCATTATTTATTTTTATGACTTTGTCACATTAAATGCTTGCTGGTACCATTCACTTACATTGTTTATGCTAAGCTAAAAGCAAACCAAATACTGCCAGATCAGGAGAATGACTGGAATAAATGCTGCTTCTCACTTATGTAACTGGAGAATGTACACTCATCTAAAGGATTATTAGGAACACCAAACTAATACGGTGTTCGACCCACTTTTGCCTTCAGAACTGCCTTAATTCTATGAGGCATTGATTCAACAAGGTGCTGAAAGCATTCTTTAGAAACGTTGGCCCATATTGATTGGATAGCATCTTGCAGTTGATGGAGATCTGTGGGATGCACATCCAGGGCACGAAGCTCCCGTTCCACCACATCCCAAAGATGCTCTATCGGGTTGAGATCTGGTGACTGTGAGGGCCGTTGTAGTACAGTGAACTCATCGTCGTGTTCAAGAAACCAATTTGAAATGACGAGAGCTTTATGACATGGAGCATTATCCTGCTGGAATTAGCCTTCAGAGGACGCAATATCGTCTGTGAGGGTCCTAATGAGAAACCTCACATTCCGGTGACCCTGGGGGGGGCACTTGACTGTGAGGGTATCTTGGACTCTGGCTCAGACTTCACCATCATGTCCAGTTCTCTTTGGGAGCATGTCCGCTTGGCTGTGGCTGGACACGGTTGTGTCTTAAAGCTCACGCCCTGCACCGTGGACACCTGTCCTTACTCTTCAGGCCAAATGACCCGACACTGAAGAGGTGACCTGTAGATTACAATTTCCGGAGGCTACAGGTACATGGTGGTCATGAAGGAATGGACATGGTTAGAAACAATACTCAGGTAGCCCGTGGCATTTAATTGATGCCCAATTGGCATTAAGGGGCCTAAAGTGTGACAAGAAAATATCCCTCACACCATTACACCACCACCACCAGCCTGCACAGTGGTAACAAGGCGTGATGGATCCATGTTCTCATTCTGTTTGTCAAATTCTGACTCGACCACTTGAATGTCTTAACAGAAATCAAGACTCATCAGACCAGGCAACATTTTTCCAGTCTTCAACTGTCCAATTTTGGTGAGCTCGTGCAAATTGTAGCCTCTTTTTCCTATTTGTGGTGTAGATGAGTGGTACCCAGTGGGGCCTTCTGCTGTTGTAGCCCATCTGCCTCAAGGTTGTGCGTGTTGTGGCTTCACAAATGCGTTGTTGCATTCCTCGGTTGTAACGAGTGGTTATTCCAGTCAAAGTTGCTCTTCTATCAGCTTGAATCAGTCGGCCCATTCTCCTCTGACCTCTAGCATCAACAAGGCATTTTAGCCCACAGGGCTGCCGCATACTGGATGTTTTTCCCTTTCCACACCATTCTTTGCAAACCTTAGAAATGGTTGTGTGTAGAAATCCCGGTAATTGAGCAGATTCTGAAATACTCAGACCGGCCTGTCTGGCACCAACAACCACGCCACGCCCAAGATTGCTTAAATCACCTTTCTTTCCCATTCTGACATTCCGTTTGGAGTTCAGGAGATTGTCTTGACCAGAACCACACCCCTAAATGCATTGAAGCAACGACCATGTGATTGGTTGATTAGATAATTGCATTAAGGAGAAGTTGAACAGGTGTTTCCAATAATCATTTGGGTGAGTGTAGCACACAGGGGTGGCATATCTCTTAAAATATGCTAACAATTATGGGGGGGAAGCCTCGGCCATGAATCAATTAATACATTTTCACAAGACATCCAAGACCGGTTTATTTGGGGCAGCAGTAGCTCAACAGGTTGAGCGGGTTGTCCAGTAGTCGGAAGGTTGCAGGTTCGATCCCGGCTCTGGACAGAGAATTCTGCTGTTGTGTCCTTGGGCAAGACACTTAACCCACCTTGCCTGCGGAGGGACCGGGGGCGCCTGTGCACGGCAGCCTCGCCTCTGTCAGTGTGCCCCAGGGCAGCTGTGGCTACATCGTAGCTCATCACCATCAGTGTGTGAATGTGTGTGTGAATGGATGAATGATACACTGTAGTGTAAAGAGCTTTGGAGTCCTTACTCTGAGAGGCGCTATACAAGTGTGGGTCATTTATCATTTATTTGGGTTAATGTTGAATCCGATTAACTTTGCTGATACTGACGCAACTCTAAAAAAACTCATCGCCTGCTTGTCTTGGAGAAAATAGTCAAATATGTGGTTTTGGCTTGCAGCGCCTTACAACTACCTGATTAGTTAATTGCTTGTCCAGATAAACAGGACGCTATACCTCCCACCTTCTGGTGATAAAATCAGAAGCCAGACTGAGATGGTTTGGACATGTCCAGATGAAACAGTCATTACAAAGGTAGGATGCTACGGTTGGAGCCAGCAGTCTGGAGAAGATCAAAAAGATTTATGGATGTGGTGAAAGAGGACATGAAGTTAACTAGTGTGAGGGTAGAAAATGCAGAAGACAGCATTACAGGGAGTGCAGAATTATTAGGCAAATGAGTATTTTGTCCACATCATCCTCTTCATGCATGTTGTCTTAATCCAAGCTGTATAGGCTCGAAAGCCTACTACCAATTAAGCATATTAGGTGATGTGCATCTCTGTAATGAGAAGGGGTGTGGTCTAATGACATCAACACCCTATATCAGGTGTGCATAATTATGAGGCAACTTCCTTTCCTTTGGCAAAATGGGTCAAAAGAAGGACTTGACAGGCTCAGAAAAGTCAAAAATAGTGAGATATCTTGCAGAGTGATGCAGCATTCTTAAAATTGTAAAGCTTCTGAAGCGTGATCATTGAACAATCAAGCATTTCATTCAAAATAGTCAACAGGGTCGCAAGAAGCGTGTGGACAAACCAAGGCGCAAAATAACTGCCCATGAACTGAGAAAAGTCAAGCGTGCAGCTGCCAAGATGCCACTTGCCACCAGTTTGGCCATATTTCAGAGCTGCAACATCACTGGAGTGCCCAAAAGCACAAGGTGTGCAATACTCAGAGACATGGCCAAGGTAAGAAAGGCTGAAAGACGACCACCACTGAACAAGACACACAAGCTGAAACGTCAAGACTGGGCCAAGAAGTATCTCAAGACTGATTTTTCTAAGGTTTTATGGACTGATGAAATGAGAGTGAGTCTTGATGGGCCAGATGGATGGGCCCGTGGCTGGATTGGTAAAGGGCAGAGAACTCCAGTCCGACTCAGACGCCAGCAAGGTGGAGGTGGAGTGCTGGTTTGGGCTGGTATCATCAAAGAATAGCTTGTGGGGCCTTTTCGGGTTGAGGATGGAGTCAAGCTCAACTCCCAGTCCTACTGCCAGTTTCTGGAAGACACCTTCTTCAAGCAGTGGTACAGGAAGAAGTCTGCATCCTTCCAGAAAAACATGATTTTCATGCAGGACAATGCTCCATCACACGCTTCCAAGTACTCCACAGCGTGGCTGGCAAGAAAGGGTATAAAAGAAGAAAAACTAATGACATGGCCTCCTTGTTCACCTGATCTGAACCCCATTGAGAACCTGTGGTCCATCATCAAATGGAGGGAAAACAGTACACCTCTCTGAACAGTGTCTGGGAGGCTGTGGTTGCTGCTGCACGCAATGTTGATGGTGAACAGATCAAAACACTGACAGAATCCATGGATGGCAGGCTTTTGAGTGTCCTTGCAAAGAAAGGTGGCTATATTGGTCACTGATTTGTTTTTGAATGTCAGAAATGTATATTTGGGAATGTGGAGATGTTATTATATTGGTTTCACTGGTAAAAATAAATAATTGAAATGGGTATTTGTTTTTTGTTAAGATGCCTAATAATTATGCACAGTAATAGTCACCTGCACACACACAGATATCCCCGTAAAATAGCTAAAACTAAAAACAAACGAAAAACTACTTCCAAAAACCTTCAGCTTTAATGAGTTTTTTGGGTTCATTGAGAACATGGTTGTTGTTCAATAATAAAATTATTCCTCAAAAATACAATTTGCCTAATAATTCTGCACTCCCTATAGATGTAGACAGATTGGCAGTGAAGACTCCCTGTGAGCAGAACAAAAAACCCTCCAGTGACACACTATAAAACACCTTTATGTACATTAAAAGCAAGCACAGCCATCACAGTGGAATGGTACAAAAACATTCGACACTGAAAAGTAGGACAAAGAGGATGGCTCAAACTATGAGGGGCTGGGTGGCCAATAAATACAAAAATAGATCAAAATACAGAGAAAGTTTAGTGAAAATGGGCGTCATGGTTTTCGGGTGTCATCGTTTCACCATCTCCTTAGAAATTAAACAAAAGTACCAGATTTTAAATGAGCAACACTTCTGATTTCCACAAATCCAAGACAGAGAAGAGCCCAGAGGGATGCTGGGATATGTTGGGCCTTAAGAACTTTGTGATTATGTCTGATGGATCAGAGTGAAGCTTCCTTTAACAGGGTGGATAATAGGCCTGGTTGTAGTTCCAGGTGTTCTGGTAGCCGTAGCCCCCGTAGCTGCCATACTGTGGTTGCTGGAAAGGAAAAAGAACATCGTAAAAACATGCCAGAGATTTTAGGACGCAATTAATAAGAGTTTAAATATTTGGGGTGTACCTGGTACCAGCTGCTGTATGCTCCATATCCGGCCTGTGCGCTCGTGTCAGTGCCTATCACGGACGGAGGTGGATTAGTAATGGGAACTTGGGGCATTGTGGGTGGGACTTCTTCGGCTGCAGCAACAGTAGAACTGTCCTCGTTTTTGCTCAGTTTCTGAGGATCTTCATCCCTTTAATATAAGATTATTACAGATTAACCTAAAGTTATTTTACCAATCTGAGGATTGCAGAATGTAGGATTTCTTTATAAAAAAGATTTGATCTTTTTGCACCTGAAGGGAGATAGGTCTGTAATTGTGGAGCTCAGTTAGGTGACACAAAAGACCCAGAATGCTTTGTGCGATTTCAGAAATGGTGACTTCAAATATGAGGGGGGCAAAACTAAAACTTAACACATTCTATTAGCACCATATTTAAACTCTTCCCACACTCAGGTTTTTGTCTTTGTGGCCACCCAAGCCACATTCTGCTTAAACTGTTGGTACCTATCAGCTGTCTCTGGAGACCCACAGGCCACAAAGACCTGATAGGACTCCTCCTTTAGCTTGACAGCATCCCTAGCTGCTGGTGTCCACCAACGGGTTTGGGGGTTGCCACCACAGCAGGCACCGACCACCCTGCAACCACAACTCCAGTCCCTGTATGATTGGCGCCAGAGCTTGGTCTGCATTGGTGGCAGTAAGTTGGCCCGTCAAACTTACAACAACAGGATAAATATAAAAGTCTACAAAACACTGACCCTCTTCCACTGATTTACCACCTGTCTGACTTTGTTTTTCCTTCCTCTCTCACCCGTTCTCTGCTTCTCTCTTTGTTTTTCCGATCTCATTCAACAGTTTCTGATGCTCCTCATAGACAGACAGCACACTGCAGGTAAAAAGCAAACAGAAGAGGTCGACACCCGTGATGATGCTTTTCTAGGCACTCCCATTTATGTTTGTGGTTAAAACTCTGACCTCTTGATAGAGCCGCTGTACTCTTCTGCAAACTGAAGGCCTCTTTGTGACAGAAGTAATTTGGCGTGAGAGGTGAGAGGAGCTGCGAGGGCTCGCGTCACACACTCCTGCACTGCCTCAGCAGAAGCTCGGGGGTCTCCAGACGCCTCCAGCTCCAGCAGGTTCAAATGCAGTTTATCATTGTCCTGATGGAGAACATAAGACTAAATAAAATGCAGTGTGTGCAGGAAAGATTAATATAAGAACACACCAATCAATGTACTTTTTTTTTTTGCAAAGACTGACAGAAAAGTATTTAGACAAGTGGTTACCATGGAGATAAATCATCTCACCGGACTGATCTCCAGTGCTTCTTGTAATACACTCCGGGCTCTGCTGGGGTTGCTGCCCACTTTCAGCAGCAGACGGGCCAGCTTAATGGAGTAGAAGGCATGTAACGTGGGCTTCTCTTTGGATGCTGCTACTGCTTCAGTCAGCAAGGCCTCTGATTGGTCCAGCTGACCCGCTCGTCTCTCTAGAGCAGCCCGGCGGATGCGTACAACCACCAAACCAGGCACGTTTTTCTCCAGAGCCTCCAGCACTCGCCGAGCCTCAGTAAAGTTTCCTGGGGATAAAAGACATGAATAAATGCTTTAAACTCCAAGTGTTTTCATACCATGATTCTTTGATTACTTTTTCCTCATTCATGCTTTTTTTTTTCACATTAAAAAAAATAAAAATTTCCCAATTTTTATTACAACATTAAATAATTTTTTATTGTTAAGTGCCTCATGATTTTTATCTTAAGAAGCGCTATTAATAAAAATTGTTTCTTTTACTCCAACATGTTTTTTGTATGCATTTGCACGTTGGGTTGGCGTTTGCTCATACCGTGCCTCTCCTCAAACGTGGCCCACTGCATGTGGATGTTGGGTTTGTTGTGCAGGTGGATCTCACAGGCTCGTTTGTAAACAGCACGCTTTACGTCCACACTCTGAGGCTCCAGGTACTGAATATACTGAACCCAAACCAGTGTGTGTTACACATGATCACACACACACAAGACAAAAACTCTGACTAAACTGGGAAAAGGATGTTTTGGAAGCATTCTCTGGACCTAATTTATTACCCTGGTCCAGACCTCCTCGTACAGAGCACAGGCGATCAGACAGCGCTCAAACAGAATGCGAACTCTGCAGTCGTCACGAGCAACCGAATCACCCGTTGATGCTTCGTGATGCTGGGGGGTGACCTCGGATTCCTCTGTACCTTCCTGGTTTGGATCTAGTAGAAGGAAATATAGTTAGACTTTTGGGTTAAATGTATAAAAAAACATTCAACACGGGCAGGCCTCTTCACCACTCTGTGCAGCTGGGTCTTTGTGGTCCCCATTTAGCTCAGCTATCTCCCAGTCCAGGTAGGAGTGCCAGGCTTGGAGCTGAAGGCGGTCCAGAGGCTTAACGTGGAAATACGGACGCTTGATCTGTTGTAACATTAAAAAAAATTGGTTATGTGTGTTTTTTGAGTAAAGTGCAACATTTTACTTCCTGGCAAGCCGCCCCATATCAAATCTTTTGCTATCGCTACGGTTCATCTAGATTTCTTGGCTAACATTTTACATCAAACTTGTCAAAGATTAAAGGTTTTACTCCAGAGTAAAAAGTATAGTTATGTGTAAAACATAGGTGTAAAAGCTTCATAAAAACTCAGCTTCCATCTTCCGTCATTTTTATAGAAGCTTGTTTTCCTTTAGACCCTTTATTTTATCCACACATTTTCTAACAGCATTTCACATTCTTTGTAGGGTTTCTCAATGTTTATTTCTTTTGAAAAAGAAAAGCAATAGTAAAGAAAGAAGATGAAAGAAAAAAACGACAAAAACTCACAGCTTCTTCAAAGTGCCACCTCTTCCGAACTTCTGCCTCGTTGTCCTGGTACACTTTGTCTCTATGAAGCAGCGCCTGTTCTCTTATCTTCTGCATCAGCTCCTCCTGAACAAAATTAAAATATCTTTGATTTTTCTTTTAGGATTCGGTGTTAAAGAGACCATCTGAGATTTTTTTTTGAGCATTTCTGCCATATTGCTTGAAATACTCTTTAAATATCGATGGCAACCAATAAATTAAATATTTAGTCAAATAATAATTAATTTCAGTTGCCTCTGAAACATACAATTCTAGTAAAAAAAAAATTAATGAATCAATGATTGGATCAAAATCCATCCAAGAAACTGCTCCTCTGAATGTCTCTGCCCCATCTACACGTACATCTGTGTGCACAGAAGCGAGTTCTTGGCCCGGCGCAACCGAACAGGAAGAGAAGCTAGCTGAGTTGCCTAGTGTCAGGGAGGGAATGTCCAGTTCTGTTTGCAAATCTCATTTAAAGATGTTTTACGTGTTCTGTTTAGCGGCTGGTTCTCTTCTTGTTGATAAACGTTTAGGTGACAGGTGAGTTATTGTCTGGGAACACGGCTAAGTCTCAACTCTGTTGTTTGTGCAAGAATGAGTGTGTATGTGTGTGCATGTTGCCATGAGCAGGCAGAAAGGACGGATGTCCGATCTTGCTCTGGAGGTTTTGTTAGTGATGGGGATTCCCCGGATGAGCTGTGTGTCTGCTTGTGTGCCTCAAGCCAGTGTTGTACCATTTTCTATAAACATCAAATAGTGTGACTCTAGGAGGAAACCTGAAGAAAGGGGTCAAACCTTTGAAAAAAAAAAAAATATAATATATATATATATATATACATATATATATATATATATATATATATATCCCCTTCCAAAATGTAGCTCATTTCAACGAGCTTCTCTAGGAAAACATTCTGCACCTTTAAGTTATTCAAAATTTTGAGAAGAAATTCACCAGATCTTCACAGCCAGCTCGGTACCAGACATTGAACCCTTGAACCTCATTTACAATATTGATCAGGGGTCTCATTTTTCAAACATTGCGTATAATCCTTACTAAAACCGTACTTAAGCCCAGCAAAATTTTTTTTACTTACGCCAAGTAGGTTTGTGACCTATCAAACATGGAGTACGCACAGCTGCACACAATCTCCGCTTCATAAATCAGAGACTAACGAGAACGTTTCTCAGCTGCATTTTAGTCACATCGTGCCCTCACCACACCCACTTACTGCCATAAATAGTCAATGGAAAGTGCCTTGTGGATCTCATCCATATTCATAAGCCGGCTGTTGCAACGCTCCGCCAATAACGATGGCGACCGTAGATCAAGACAGATCAAGGAAGCACAATTTCACAGAAGCAGAAATTGAGGTACTTGTGGGTGAGGTGGAGAAATGAAAGGAAGTGCTTTTGCAAAACAAATAAGAGAAAATCCACGGAATGGCACAGCATTGCTGAAGCCGTCAATGTTGTGAATTCTTCAGAGATATGTGGCGGATATAAAAAAAAAAAGGTCCAATCGGGATTTGATCCCCAGACTCCCGGGTGAAAGTTACGCATGCTAACCAGTCAGCCAAATGGAGATCTCCCCTGTACAAGTAGCCAGGGCGCATGATCAATCGGGTCACAGTGACGGGACACACACTGTCACAGACGCATGACATTCTGTCTCAATCTGTCCCCCTGCTGATATTCAGCATTCCGTATTCTGCGCTTCAGGCTGTGTGTGTGTGTTTGTTTTTCTGTGTGCGTGTGCGTGCGCGCGAGTGCGGGGTGGCTTCTTCTGTGTGCACACGAAGCGGTACAAATGATAATGCTGCTGGAATTCATAATTTTATGATAAATGACCCGCACTTGTATAGCACCTCTCAGAGTAAGCACTCCAAAGCGCTTTACACTACAGTGCATCATTCATCCATTCACACACTAATGGTGATGAGCTACGACGCAGCCACAGCTGCTCTGGGGAGCACTGACAGAGGCGAGGCTGCCGAGCACAGGCGCCACCGGTCCCTCCAACCACCAGGCAAGGTGGGTTAAGTGTCTTGCCCAAGGACACATAAGCAGAATTCTCTGTCCGAAGCCGGGATCGAACCTGCAACCTTCCGATTACTGGACAACCCGCTCAACCTGTTGAGCTACTGCTGCCTTATCTTCTCAGCAGCAGCACTGCAGGTGCTCTCCGTGTCCAAAATGTGCATAAGCAAGGTCCTTAGTCAACTTAAAGTTGTGCACATTTTTCCGCTAAGTTTTCTTTCATAAATCCCAAAGTTTGTGTGGAAAGCTGCTTACGTAGTTTTCCGACCCCGTTTTGTGCGTAAGCAAGCTTGATAAATGAGGCCCCAGAACTGGAGGGCTGTAAGTGCTTCTACATGTATCACTGACCGAGTCTGTGCCTTCAGGTGTAGTGGGCTCTTCCTCCCCCGGAGGCCTCTCTTCCTCCACCTCCTGAGCCTGTTCAGCACGCTCTGCTTTCTGGCTCTGTCGGCATAATGCCCTCAGCTCCTCGTACTCCTCAGAGGAAAGCACCTCCTTAGGTGGATTATTATTCAGGTTCTCCTTAAATCTGTTGAAAGGAACAGGAGCAGACACATACTGACGCAATTAAAATATAATGAAGAACATTTTCCAGCTGACTTTTTACAACCAGGGACTTTTTGCAGTCATTTGTAAAGTTTAAAGTATGTTTTTATTAGATTTTTTTTATTCTAGAAGTCTTGTCATTTTTAGCTTGAGATTTTTTAAGCTGTATTTTTATTTAGATCCTACTGTTTTTTTTATTATGAATATTAACCTTTCATTAATATATAAAGCACTTTGGTCACCTTCCAGGGCTGTGGAAGGTGCTATATATATAATAAACTTGATCGATCAATTACAAAAACAGTAAGACTTCTGGGGCCTTATTTATCAACCATACTTACACACAGATCTGTGCGTAGGCACGAATTTACGCATTGTGTGGTATTTACCCATATGTACTTGAAAATGTTCCTAAATATGAGAACAGCTCCGACGATGCGTAGGAACAGCATCTAGTGGTAGAACGGGGGAACAGAAATACAGAAGGTCTCAGTCATCCACGCGTGTTCCTCATCCACAAATCATATTTACCCGGTTTGTAGTTTTGTCGATGGAAAAACAGTTTTTGTGACTGACGGGAATCTGACATTATATCATGACTAATCTGTGTTATTTGAAGATTTAACAGAGCGTGCACTCTGGAGGGAACGCGTTCTCCGTGAGGTAGAAATCCTTCTGCTATGCTGTGGTTTAGGACCCTTTGTGGCGCGATAGACAAACCTCGTGAATCCGATTCCAGTTCATATTTTATTTTACAACTCCGAGAACCCCCCAGAACTATTTCCTGCTCCCTGGTCATACTGAATGACAGCTCAGAAGAGACTGAGGCTGCACTCAGACAACATTTCCAAATAAAACTAACCCCAAACAGAACGACTCCTTAAATGTAAATGAGAACCTGTTACTCTACGATTTATCAAATTCATTTTTCACTCCTTGAACTGTCACCTTATCGTGGTGGAGGAGTTTGAGTGCCCTAATGATCCTAGGAGCTATGTTGTCTGGGGCACTTTGTGTCCCTGGTAGGGTCTCCCATGACAAATGGGTCTTAGGTGAAGGGTGAGACAAAGAACGGTTCAGAAGATCTTTCATGGATGTAAAAACAGAGTCGGGAGTAACCAGCCCGGAGGGTTACCGGGGTCCCACCCTAGAGCCAGGCCTGGGGTTGGTGCCCGTGGGCGAGTGCCTGGTGGCCGGGCTTTCGCTCATGGGGACTGGCCGGACCCAGCCCGAACCGGATATATGGGCTCATCCAACTGTGGACCCACCACCCGCAGAAGGAACATGAAGGGTCCGGTGCAGTGTGGATTGGGTGGCAGACAGAGGCGGGAGCCTTGGCGGTCCGATCCCCGGACAAAGAAACTGGTTACTGGGACATGGAACGTCACCTCGCTGGCGGGGAAGGAGCAGGAGCTTGTGGCAGAGGTTGAGCGGTACCGGCTAGATATAGTCGAACTCACCTCGACACATAGCATTGACTCTGGAACCCAAGTCCTTGAGAGGGGTAGGACACTCTCCTTTGCTGGAGTTGCTCCGGGTGAGAGACGGAGGGCTGGGGTTGGCTTTTTGTTAGCCCCAAGACTCTCTGCCTGTGTGTTGGGGTTTACCCCGGGGGACGAGAGGGTAGCTTCCCTGCGCCTTCGGGTCGGGGAACGGGTCCTGACTGTTTGTGTTTATGCGCCAAATATAAGTTCAGAGTACCCACCCTTTTTGGAGACCCTGGGACAAGTGCTAGATAGTGCTCTATCAGGGGACTCCATTGTCCTGCTGGGGGACTTCAATGCTCACATGGGCAATGACAGCATGACCTGGAGGGGTGTGATTGGGAGGAATGGCCTGCCTGATCTGAAATCGAGTGGTGTTTCGTTATTGGACTTCTGTGCAAGCCACAGTTTGGCCATAACGAACACCATGTTTGAACATAAGGATGCCCATCGGTACACTTGGTACCAGGGCAGCCTAGGTCACAGGTCGATGATAAGACTTTGTAGTTGTATCATCTGACGTACGGCCGTATGTTTTGAACACCCGAGTGAAGAGAGGAGCGGAGCTGTCAACGGATCACTACCTGGTGGTGAGTTGGATCAGATGGCAGGGGAAGATGCCGCGTAGACCTGGCAGACCCAAACGCATAGTTAGGGTCTGCTGGGAACGCCTGGCAGAAGAACCTGTCAAGACGGTCTTCAACTCCCACCTCCGGCAGAGCTTTAACCGCGTCCCGAGAGCAGTGGGGGACATTGACTCCGAATGCGCCTTGTTCCACTCTGCGATTGTTGAGGCGGCTGTTGCTAGCTGTGGTCGCAAGGTGGCAACCCCCGTACCCGCTGGTGGACACCAGAGGTTTGGGGAGCCGTCAGGCTGAAGAAGGAGGCCTACAGGGTGTGGCTGGTCTGTGGGTCTCTGGAGGCAGCAGACAGGTACCAGATTTGCCAAGCGGGGTGCAGCAGTGGCAGTTGCCGAGGCAAAATCTCTGGCGTGGGAGGAGTTTGGTGAGGCCATGGAGAAAGACTATTGATCGGCGCCAAAGAGGTTCTGGCAAACTGTCCGGCGCCTCAGGAGAGGGAGGCAGCAACTCGCTCACACTGTTTACAGTGGGGATGGGGAGTTGCTGACGTCAACTGGGGCTATAGTCGGGCGATGGAAGGAATACTTTGAGGAGCTCCTCAATCCCACCTACGCGCATTTTGAGGAGGGGCCAGAGCCGTGAGACCTGGGGATGGACTGTCCAATCTCTGGGGCAGAAGTTGCTGAGGTAGTCAAACAACTACACAGCGGTAGAGCCCCGGGGGTGGATGAGATTCATCCTGGGTATCTCAAGGCTATGGATGTGGTAGGGCTGTCGTGGTTGACACGTCTCTGCAACATTGCGTGGTCATCGGGGGCGTTCCTGTGGAGTGGCAGACCGGGGTGGTGGTCCCCATCTTTAAGAAGGGTGACCAGAGGGTGTGTTCCAACTATAGGGCCATCACACTCCTCAGCCTCCTTGGAAAGGTCTACTCCAAGATACTGGAGAGGAGGGTCCGACCGATAGTTGAATCTCAGATTGAGGAGGAGCAATGAGGTTTTCGTCCTGGCCGTGGAACTGTGGACCAGCTCTATATACCCTTGCAAGGATGATGGAGGGGGCATGGGAGTTTGCCCAAACAATCCACATGTGTTTTGTGGATTTGGAGAAGGCTTATGACCTTGTCCCCAGGGGCACCCTGTGGGGGACGCTGCAGGAGTATGGGATGGGTGGCTTTCTGTTAAGGGCCATTCAGTCCCTTTACCAGAGGAGCGTGAGTTTGGTCCGCATAGCCGGTAGTAAGTCGGACCTGTTCCCAGTGAGGGTTGGACTCCGCCAGGGCTGCCCTTTGTCACCGGTTCTGTTCATTACCTTCATGGACAGAATTTCTAGGCGCAGCCGTGGTGTGGAGTGTGTCGAGTTTGGTGGCAGGAGAATCTCGTCTCTGCTTTTTGCGAATTATGTGGTCCTCCCAGCTTCATCCAGCTCTGACCTTCAGCTCTTGGTGGGTAGGTTCATGGCCGAGTGTGAAGCGGCTGGGATGCGGATCAGCAACTCCAAATCTGAGACCATGGTTCTCGACCGGGAAAGGGTGGCTTGCCAACTCCGGGTAGGGAGAGGTCCTACCTCAAGTGGAGGAGTTTAAGTATCTCGGGGTCTTGTTCACGAGTGAGGGTAGGAGGGATCGGGAGATCGACAGGCGGATCGGCTCAGCGTCTGCAGTGATGCAGACGCTGAGCCGATCTGTCGTAGTGAAGAGGGAGCTGAGCCAGAAAGCCAGGCTCTCAATTTACTGGTTGATCTACGTCCCAATCCTCACCTATGGTCATGAGCTTTGGGTAATGTCCGAAAGAACGAGATCGTGAATACAAGTGGCCGAAATGAGTTTCCTCCATAGGGTGGCCGGGCTCAGCCTTAGAGATAGGGTGAGGAGCTTGGGGAGAAATTTTGACACGTCTCTAAATAAAGTAAAATTTTCTAGTGCAGATTGGAGACAACCCATAGAAGCACTGATTTGATCTCATTTCAGAGAAAAATAGAACAGGTCAGATGCACCTAATAAATAAAATTACTAACAAACTCAAGAATCTTTCTTTGCTTCACTGTTCTGGTGCTGAGAATATCACTAATGCGGATCAAAGGAGATACACAGATGAATGCACCTCTTATTTATTATTTGGAGACTACATTTACTGCAGCTGGCGGAGGCAGAGGTTTTTTCTATTGATACACGGAATTTACAGAATCATTTTAAATTGTAATAGGGGAAGACTGCAGGAGGGAGCGGTAAAATACAGGGGGTCCCCAGCAAAAACAAGAAACTTTACGAGTCTGATGAAACCCGCTGGTTTTCCATCAGGCAGTCACGGGGCAGCTCCAACGACCCAGTGGCTGTGCTGGGTCAATGTTATTGAGCTCAGTGCGGCTCGGCCGTGAACGAGCCGAGGCGACGTCGTGCTCTGCTTAAGAAGAAGTGTTTTGCCCGCTTTAGAAGAAGCGTCCAACGTGTTTTTACACTTTCTCCGAGACATGTCACATCGCTAAGTTGTTAGCGCCGCGCAACGTAGCCTGCTGGAGGTTACCTCTCAGGCTGCTCACACATCGATCTTAAGTTGTCGCTGTTGCGCTCACGCCGTACAGTATTAGATGCGGTTAAAGTCAGACATGAAAAAATAAATAAATTTTACATGATTAAGTGATGCTTAGCCTGGTGGTGGTGGTGGTGGTGGTGGGGGACCTGGCCTGATAAGCACTAGAGGAAACCCTGTCAAGATCGTCAACACTCGTTTATCTTAATGCTATTGAAACATGTAAACCAAAAGGCATTATATCCACTGCTACCTTTCTAATTTTAAACTCAGTAACTTATAATGTAACTTCACCTTGCCCTGCCTGCTCCTTGCTGCCCGCCGGCTGTGATCACAAGCGACAACATAGTCGTTCCTGCTGCTTCTTCGGGAAACAGTGCAAAAAATAAAATAAAATAAAAAATCTTGGGATCTTGTAGGCGTGGCGGTGGGATTTCAGCCATGGCGGGCCGCCACGGCTACGCCTATGTAAGGGAAACCCTGTAAGTGTCTAAATGACGGTGAATGGACAAAAGCACCTGAGTGAACACAGGTGGGATTTATCATCAGACGATTGCGGAGGAACATGTGCACGAGAGGCCAACGCAAGTTTCATAAATCAGGAGTACACACATCCTAAATTTCATTTGTAGGAAGGAATATAGGAACGTTCGTACGAAAGTTTAGATAAATGGGGCCCCTGGACTGAAGATTTATAGAAGAGGTGGTTGCTTTACTTGTCGTAGTGGGTGTTGTAGAGCTGCGTGGGGACTTTGAGGACCCTGTCCAGGACAGCTGCTGCTTTCTTCATGTTTCCCTGTTCCTTTTCCCACTCGACGTACAGATCCCACAGTCGATCTGAGTGGAAGTCTAGTCCAGCTGCTACAACGGCATCCTCAAACACACTAAGGGTTGCACATTAAACAAGAAAAGCATTTTTAATGTCCTGTATCAAATTCCACAAGGAAACTTAAGAGATTACAAAGCAAAAAATACTGAGCAAACTGCAATCAATTTCAGAAAGCTGTACTGTTGTAAAAATGAGTCTGCTAAATAATCAAAGCTTTGTTTGCCTCCGTATCCGCTCAGGTGAATCAGATAGATTCATGTCCAGTGTTCCCAGTAATAGATTGATGTAATGAATCCACAAATCCACACTCAGGGAAATCGCCTTAAGACCCCGAATGCACACCTGACACAGCACAAGAAAACCATCAGCGTTAACTGATGTCAGTGGAAAACACACGTTTAGCACACTTCAGTTGGTGCAAAAAAGAAAACTGCAAGTCCTTCCTGTTTTACCTCCTCTGCTTTACTATTGTCCCCAGCACGGCGCTCCAGGTCAGCATATTTCTTCCAGTAGCCGTAGCACAGAGGATAACGAGCTAGAAAGGCCTCCAGAGCTCTGCGGGAGGCTGTGAAGTTACCCTGAGGAGATGCAACAACGTTCTAATTTTCATGTAATGTTATCTGCTCAAACCATCAGAGCAAATCTGGATGAAATAAATAAATTCACCTAGATCATCCAAAAACAACACACACCTCTTGCTCACAGTATTGAAGAAGATCCGTCCAGCTGGTGAAGTCTTGAGGATTGTTGTTTGCAGCGGTCCACAAACATTCAAAGTCTGAAGGTAGTCCCGCCCTCTCTGCATTATCTGCAGCAGGGGCCTCTGAGAGAGAGTCAGGGTCTGCTGGGGCCTCAGGGACCACAGCAGCACCACCGTTTTCCTCTGAGATCTCAGGTGGAGGTGGCGGCGGATCCTCAGAGACATCCATGGCTTCAAAGGGGAAAAATGAGAAGTAGTCTTTAACGGTTTGACTAAAGAGCCTTGTGAGGGGCATGTCTAGAATTGTTTCAGGGCTGCAGAGTGTGTGAGACAATGGATTGTTTCAGCAAGAGCAGAAACATCCCTAAAACAAGAGATGCACAGATATGAAAATGTTGGGCCAATACCGATATTAATATTGCTGTTATGGCCGATAACCAATATTTCCCGATACTGACATAAACATACTCGCTGACATTCATGCTTCTGAAATCATCAGTTTTTGTATAGACTGAAAATTATGCAAGCTGAATTTTTGGATGTTTTGCTTTATTTCTATAGTTTGCAAACTATAAATGTGGGTGTGACCACGCATCTGTGTGTATAAGTGTATACATTTGCTTTATTATATTAACACACCACACACATTTTTGCTTCTGAGGTGATTACCATCACTGTCCCATGACTAAACAATTACACATCATCATCCCCCTCACCCTCTAAAACAGATACACAAACAGAAACAAGATGGTTAATATTGGCCCAGTTTTACATATTGGACTGATGCCAATATGTTAAAAAAATTACTAACATCGGCCGATACCGATATTGATGCCAATTTATTGTGCATCCCTAATTAAAGGAGTTTTTATCTTGACCTGGGGTCTCATTTAACAAACATTGCGTAGAATGCTTACTAAAACCGTACTTAAGCTCAGCAAAAAAAAAAAAAAGTACTTACGCCAAGTAGGTTTGTGATCTATAAAACATGGCGTACACACAGCTGCACACAATCTCTGCTTCATAGATCGGAGACTAACAAGAATGTTTCTCAGCTGCATTTTTGTCACATCGTGCCCTCACCACGCCCACTTACTGCCATAAATAGTCAATGCAAAGTGCCTTGTGGATCTCACGCATATACATAAGCCGGCAGTTGCAACGCTCTGCCAATGACGATGGCGACCGTAGATCAAGGCAGATCAAGGAAGTTCAATTTCACAGAAGCAGAAATTGAGGTACCTGTGGGTGAGGTGGAGAAATGAAAGGAAGTGCTTTTGCAAAACAAATAAGAGAAAATCCACGCAGAAGCACAGCGTTGCTGAAGCTGTCAATGCTGTGAATTCTTCAGAGACATTTGTGGCGGACATAAAAAAAAATGGTCCAATCGGGATTCGATCCCCAGACTCCCGGGTGAAAGTCACGCGCTAACCAGTCAGTCAAACGGAGATCTACCCTGTACAAGTAGCCAGGACGCATGATCAATCGGGTCACAGTGACTGTCACAGACGCATGACATTCTGTCTCAATCTGTCCCCCTGCTGATATTCTGCATCCCGTATTCTGCGCTTCAGGCTGTGTGTGTGCACATGTGTGTGTACGTGCACGTGTGCGGGCTCTTGTTCTGTGTGAAAACGAAGCGGTACAAGTGATAATGCTGCAGGATTTCTTAATTTTATCCTTCTCAGCAGCAGCACTGCAGGTGCTCTCCATGTCCAAAATGTGTGTAAGTCAGGTCCTTAGTCAACTTAAAGTTGCGCACATTTTTCTGCTAAGTTTTCTTTCATAAATCCCAAAGTTTGCGTGGAAAGTTGCTTACGCAGTTTTCCGACCCCGTTTTGTGTTTAAGCAAGTTTGATAAATGAGGCCCCTGGAGAATGTGATCACAGTTCAAAGTCTACAGAAAGTTGCTGTGCTTGTTGAACCCTAAATTTGACATTTTTTACTTAAAATCTATTTTTGAATATCTACCATTTATAGAAAATTATTTTTTGACAAGTGAACCAAAGCTGTGCTCTATTGAAACACGTATATAATTATTAATTGTTAGATTAAAAAAAAGATTGTTTTTATAAAACACTGATCATAAAAAAAAATTCACTTACCTGCATATTACTGAAAAAACATTTTTGAAATTGAAACTAAAATGACAAGATTTTATGTTTAAAATTCAATAACGAGAATTGGTTGCTGTGCATTGGATTTTTTTTCTTTGAAATAACAGAAACTTACGTTTTCCATGAGGTCATGAAAACAAATGTCACTCAGCCTTCATAAAAATTTACATTATGATAAATAAAAACAAATGTTATTTGAAGTTACTTTTAAACCAGGGGTACCTGACATTATTTACCTTGATCAACATAAAAAACAAAAGGAAGTGGTAAAGAAAATACACTGTAAAGTGATAGCAACAGCGAAAAGATTTTAGAAATGACTGGTTCTTGGATAATAATTCAAGTAAAACACACATTTAACAATGAAACGGTTAAATGTGAATAGGTTCCAACTCTGTTCAGATCAGAGCCGTGGTGTGTAGTTAGCTTAGCCTAGCCGGTCAGGATTTGGGTGCAATAACAAGTCCCGGTGGGTGACTTTATTCAGTAAAAGATTCACAAATGCTGTGATGTGTTCAACAGTAATTAACTCTAAAACTATAAAATCATTCTTAAAAATACCTGAAGTCTGTTCGAGCTCTCCGTTACCACTCATCTCCAAAACCTCCGCCGCCATGATGAAAAAGTGAGGGTTTACGTCATTAGTGTGCGACAAAATATCAAAGTTAAAAATAACCCGCATTTTACAATATTTTTACGCATTAAATTGTCGATTCCCATGTTATTAGTGAGCATTTTCTACCATCGAAACTCATTTATTCACGTATCTCTGAAGAAAGCTCGCATTGAGGTAGATTAGTCGTTTTAGATAAACTTATCTCGCTTTTCTTTTTCCTAAATATTCAGAATGCAAATAATTTATTCATATTTTACTGAAGTATGCTGTATTAATATAAATCCTACCGTTACATTCAGTTCCATGTTTATATTTCCTTTAACAAGTAAATATCGTCACTGATAAAGTTTTATTCTATTCTAAACTATTCAAATTGATCATATCTGCTTTGAAATATAAAATGCCATTTTTTTTCACTCGTTATATCTTTAATGCCTAACAAGTTTAGTCATTTTTTCCTGGAACAGTTTTTAATATTAAAAATATTCCAACAGCATACAGAAGGGGAATTGTGGCATCAACAAGTCATCTCCAAGACGTGTTTTTCTTCAGTTCAGCAATTAAACCAGGTGATTTCAATCAGCACAGCAGAACAAAATCACAGCATGGAGTTGACTTGATGCCACAACTCTCATCTCTGCAAGTGAACCCATAAACCATCTCCTCATTGCATTTTTCAGAATAAGTCTCAAAATTTCCATCTCTGCAGCACATACACTTACATTAGGCTGAAAATTCACTGAAAAGAACTTCTGCAGAATAATGACAATTTAGGTAAAACACATTTTCACATTTGATCAACTTTATTTTCACTTGGTCTCATCTGTTGGACACTTGACAGCTGAAGTGCAATTGTTTACTTCCATTTTCACCAGTTCAAGCCATCAACAAAAATACAGCGACATTGATGATCATTAAAAACAATCTGAAAGAAACCTGCAGAACAAAACCTCATTATGTCACAAGGTTTGACTTGACAGCAGGACTACAGTGAATCCATGGCATTCATGACTAACCCCTGCATTCATTCTGGACAGGTGTTTAAATTAACAAGTTGATCTGAGCGATTTACCTGGATCTAGTCAATAAAACCTAACCCACATGAGCTATCATGAGTTCTACAAATACTTAGTAACACATGGAAATCTAAAGTTAAACTCTTCATTGAGTGCATTAAAAGTCCGGCACACCCAAAATAGGAAAAATACAAAACAAAACATAGAAAGCACATCAGCAGAACAATCCACAGTGGTTGTTCAGTCCCCTGAAGTGATTTTAGATGCCGAGTTTGCTCAAATCAGCTAAAAAGACACCTCCAAATTTATGAAGGGGTAGCAATAATCATTAATATTTATCAATCACAGAATCTAATCAGAGACTCAAAAACAGGCTTAACACAAAGAACTGGGCAGGACTGGTATAAAGAAAGATTTGTGTCGCTTCAAGATAGTTAAATGAGTCGAACCTTCCCTAGATGTTTGGCATGACACAAGACAGAAGGCTTCTCTTTCAGCTGATTTCAGACGAGGCTTTAAAAATGGAATGATTGAGATTTTTCTGTGATTTTAGGGGACCAGAAGCAAGTTCAGCACGACATTTAAACATGGAGCTTCACTTTAAATGATAAAAATCCCCAGTCTTTTTTTTTTCCTGAGGCAAACAACGAGTCAACTGAGGAATAACCCAAAAAGATGTTTTCATTCTTAACCCAAAGACATGGCTTGAACAAGTGTTGTTCCTCATCTGAAATGTAATAGTTATCTATCTAGTAACCTTAGATCATTGTCCTGTATTACAGTGACTTAAGAGAGAAATGAAGAGTTTCACCTGGACTAACATGTTTACTGATGTCTGTGTGGATGGAAAATGTAATTGATGCAGTAGCTTAGTTATCCTTTCCTAGTTGGTTCTGATCCCTCACCCCACCCTCTCTATCAGGTCAGTTTAGTCGTTTACTCCTCCACTCTCGTTTCTATGGTTACTGAAGGGCCATGCTCCAGTCTTCCCCTGCGTTCATGCTGGGCTTACGGATCGTCAGAACCGACACGGAAGCATCAAAATCAAAGTCTAGCTGGCTCTTGTGACCATCTGCAAAAAGAAACAGAGCAAAGTAAATCTTTACCCTGAAAACAGGAGCCTCCTTCAGACACTGTTCATGTAAAACAGACAGTACAACTTGGAAGCCACAACCCACATTAAACACCTTATTTTCTTTATTACAAACTGCTGTTTTCAACTTACCAGCAGTTATAAGAGTAACCTTCCTGGGTTTACTGGCTCCCAGTATGACGACACGTTCAATCCAGGATTTGGTTGTAAACTGGGCTTCAGGTGCAACGTTACTGTGGAACCAAGAGACATGGGTTTACGATAACAGGGTTGTTTAAAAATAGATTTTAAAGACCAAGTTCACTTGTTCTATCAATCCATCTCCAGTGGTCTCTAGTATAAACGAATGACTTGTGAGCCGATCTCTGTGGGGTAAAAAGCTCTAGCTCTTCTGTTCTGTTGACATTCGAACACCACCCCTCTGGATAACAGCAACACAACTCTACCACTGACTGTTTGCTCTGCAATGTTGATGTCTTATTTCTACAAATAACACAAGCCTGGAGGAGTTCTGCTGTGTGGTGGAGTTGCTAATGCTAACGGTTAGTTTCTACTAGTTGAGACTCTACTCTCTCCTGGATGCTAAACAAACAACATTCCCCGTTGTGAGTCAAGATGGGTGAGTCCATGAAGGCTAAGTGACAGTGTGATGTAGATCTGTCAGTATTATCAAATCCTAGATTTTCACCGTCTTATCACCGTCTAATGCAGGAGATCAGTATGGGAGACTATTTTCACATTCAGCCTGCATGTCAAACCCAGAGTGACCGATCGCATTTCATAAATAAACATTAAAAATCGGTTTCAGTGAAGCTGGTTTTTATTTATTTATTTTTGTCTTCAGCAAGAAAAGTTGAGCTGTTAAAAGTTGACCTTAAAGCTTGTTTCAGGGTGAAAAAATAAAGAAAAGGAAGTTATTTGTTACTCACACTGAGGAAAGCACGTTGTTAGAGAAGAACAGCCTCCTGTGGATAAACTCCTTGTTATCGAAGTTAAAGGTGTGGCCATCGTCTATGTAGAGTTCACCCTCTGCAGTTCTCTGTTTAAAAAAAGGGTCCAAAGTTTAAATCAGGACAATTCTGAAGTGCACATCATGTCAGGACAGGAGGCGATTGGTTGTGTCTCACTAATGCAGCATTACCCGAGTATTAAGAGCCACAAAGAGAGTGTAGGGGTCGTGCTCCATGCAGGCGGAGGATCGGCGAACTCGAAGCTTCCTGGGAATGATGGAGCCACCTCGCTGGAACACCGGAATCTTAAAACAAAACAGAAAACCCATCAGAGAAATGGTGCCAAGAACACTGAACGGTTTGAAAATATCACATTTGATAGCTTATACACAAGTCTTACAGAGCTCATGGTGACAGGGATGTAAAGGTTCTGGGCCCCATTGTGCTTCTGAAAGGTGTGGATATCAAACCAGACCTGTGGAACACACACACACACACACACACACAATGAAACACCACCTCAGCACATCAGATACATTCATAATGAGATTTCGACTCAGTGTCTGACCTCCTCTTTCCCAGGCAGGAAGGCGGTGACTCCTCTGGCTCCCTCTTCAGTAACAGGGTGCACCAACAAATCCCGTCCTGTGGCAGATTTAGGATACGTTTAATGGTGACAACTAAACCGACTCAGGATGTTTACCTGGATTGTTCTTTTAACCAGAAAAGTCTGAATGAACAAACCCGTCCCTGGTGAAAGCATCAGAGGCTTGGGCTGCTTTTTGTTAAATCAGCAGCTCAGACATTTTAAAGCATGTAGTTTATCTGTTGGCCTCATGGTGGCAGCAGAAACACGTTATGAGAACTGGTTTGGCTTTAGAGATTTAATAAAACACATGAAGCATCACAAGGTAGCAGCATGTGGCACCCGGCTGTTCAGCAGTTTGTAACAACTGTTTCTGTTCACTACTGAGAATGAGCAGGTTACGTAAATAACCACGGATATAAAATATGTTTCTGTGGGAAAAAACAAACAACCTGAAGTCACTGAAAGCAAGGAGAGGCAGATGAAGCAGGAGTTCTTCACTTTTCTCTAAATACCAAATTTTTGTTACCATTTTATTCGTTGGTACATTCGGTATTTTCCTACTTGTTCTATGAAAGGATTTTTATCAAACAGCAAATCAGTAAAAGAGAAGATTTTACCATTTTGTGTCTTACCGATCAAAAACTCATCATCCACAGCAAACGTAGCAGGATCCTGAGGATACTCCACCCACAGAGCTCTGAAACGGACGTTTCACTCGCATCAGCACATTAATGAAATGCTGCGATTTTAACAAAGAACAAAAGCTACCGTATGCTTGAGAACTGAGGTATTAGGATCATTTAAATAATATTTAAATGATAATTATAAATTCAGTTAAGTTACATTAAAGTCGATTATACGGCCTTATTTAAGTTTGTAACACACACCTCACTGTTCTGTTGTCTAGCGCATGTAAATATTAAACAAATCATTTCTTGATCCGTTTTAATTTTTTCTTCAGACTTTGTAAGTCCAACCCATTATTTTAAATTATAAATAACAAAAACCTGCTTTTAAAAACAGAAATTAATCTGGTTATCGTTGCTTCCTCCTCACCCTCACCTCATGACCGGCTCTCCGGTGCGATATGCATGGTAGAACAGCTGGTACCAGTAGGGCAGGAACGTGTAGCGCTGGCGTATAACTTCACGGATCAGGGCCGTGTTTTCTGGACCAAACAGCCACGGCTCACGACGAGGAGTGTCCAGGTGGGCGTGAGCTCTGAAGAAGGGCTGGTAAGCTCCCGTCTGGTACCAGCGCACCAGCAGCTCAGGGCTCGGAGACTTGAAGAAACCACCAACGTCAGCTAATAGACAGAAAGGGCAGCCTGCTGGTGAAGTCTGGACAGCAAATGCAGCTTATCTACCATTTTACACAAAACTAGAAATGAGTTCAAACTGGAATTTTTATTTTAAAAATAAAAATGATAATTTTCCTAATGATAACCCACAAGAAGCCCCAGTATCGTACACATGAATGTAAAATGGAATAGAACACAGGTTACCAAGGAAACAATTGTTCTCGCTATGGTAACACCTCAGGCATGTTTCCATGACAACACTAAACACTGCCAGGAGACCCATCCACATATCTAACGATTCCTCCGAAGCCAAAGTGAGACAAAGAAGCTCACCGCCGCAGAAGGAGATTCCGACCAGACCCAGACTCAGACACATGGGGATAGAGATCTTCAGGTGGTCCCACTCAGCAGCATTATCTCCAGTCCAGACAGCACCTGGCCACACAGGAAATAACCTTCAGAGCTGCAGCTGAAAAACTGTGCGTTCACACCTGAAACCAAACTGGAACATTCAGGTGATCTGGGTGAGAACGGCTCACCGTAGCGCTGGGAGCCGGCGAAGAAAGCCCTGGTCAGGACAAACGGACGCTCAACTCCTCCAGACCTTTGGATCAAACCCTCCATCGTGGCCCTGTGCTGTAGATCACAAAGACAAGATTATCATCGGTTAAACATTTTAGAGCACCTTAGATAAAACCTCCGGTTTACACACAGAGTTCATTTCAAAGAAGTCTCAGCTGGTTGGAACCATAAATGAGAAAACCTTTGTTTTTAACTTTTTCATTTTGAATATCTTCAACAATCGTTTCGGTCATCAACATTTAAACCACCCTAACGGAGAGGTTCGGTTCGCCACGTTTTAACACTCACCACATACAAGCCGTACAGGTTGTGGACATCACGGTGCTCCCAGGATCCGTGCACGGCATCTTTGTGCATGGTGACCTCGGGGCCGTTAAACACAGAGGGCTCGTTCATGTCGTTCCACGTGTAGAGGTTGTCCATGGAGCCCTGCAGAGAGGAGGAAACGCTTCTAATGTAGACATAAGGCTAAATGAGACCGTAAGATGAAGTCTCTCAGAGACTAACCTCATACTGATCATAGGAGAACATGCTGGCCCACCAGGCCCTCATGTCGGGTTGGGTGAAGTCTGGATAACCAGCATTACCTAAATTTCATCAACAAGGAGAAATGAGACAAAAAATAAATAAATAAAAACAATGAAGGCAGATCATTGTTGTTGAATAACTGAAAATGGGGTCTCAGAGAATACCAAATTCATAGTCAAATTTTATTTGGACAGCACCTTCCACAACCTTAACAGAAGTCCAAGGTGCTGAACACCGTATAAAACATACAAACATAACAAATAGAGGAGGATAAAAAAGCATAAGACCAATAAAAAAATAAATAAATAAATAGCATGACTGAGCATTAAAGGGGAAACACTTTTGACTTGCTTTCATCACCCCCTAGTGTCAGTTTGTAAAACTGAAAGCAAGACCCATCTCCTCGCTGTGCGTTTGTCTTTTTAACACCCTTAAAGTGACAGCGTGCATTTTGCCTGGCGATAGGGGGCAGTAGATACCTGAATTGTTACAATGCTGTATCAAGTCAAATTTAGTAATTTTTCTGTTTCTTTTTCTTTTCACGGTGCTGCTATTGTGCATTTATGGCTGTGGTCTATAGTCACCTCTGCTTATTTTCAGTTCCTCAGTTGGCACCAGTCTTGAGTGTGAGACGGAGAGGCTGATTCACAGACTTCACCAGAAACGTATTTACCGAAGTATCACAAAGTGAACTTTAAAGTGCAACTTCTTTTCTGCAGCAAACTGAATTTTTGTGATGGCAAAAGCTGTTGCGAACTCAAGCCGATGGTTTACGCTTCTGTACGGAGACACACAACGCCATTGTCCGTCATTGTGAAGGCTCTCCAGCAGGCTCGCAAGGACGGACGGAGTAGGGCCCACTTTTCTAAACATCCATTGAACGAGACGGAGAACACAAGTTTGTGATTGGTCAGGACACCGCTTTCGTCAACAGCACCACCAATGCACCCTCAAAAACACGGAGAACCGAAGATATCTAGCAACAGACACAGAAGCTTGAAGAATACCTTGCTGAACAGCTCTAAGAATATGAACGTTTTCTTCACCCGTGACTGGATGAGTAAAAAGATGCAGCAAGCGTTTTATCCATGGACGGAAATGACAGGAAATGTGGGTTTTGAGGTGTCGAGCGCATGAAAAGGTGGAGAAAGGGGACTAATTTGTCAGTGTTGAAAATTATCTGAAGTACAAAAAAACACAATATGAACACAAAAGGGAGTCTAAGACACGCCCACCTACTTCCGGACCATGGGTCCCCAGAACAACAAATAAATTAATGCAAGTCAATGGGGCTAAAATGCTATTTTCTGACTCCTTTGGGTCGTGGATCTCACACATGATTTCCGTGAATTTTAAAGAAGCATTTTTGATAGCAAGAACGTGCTTATTTTCAAACGGGGGAAACGTCATTTTAGGTTTCGTGTGAAAATATGTGCAGGACTACAAATGCTCTTCACGTCACCGAACACGGAGAAAACAGAGGAAAAATGGCTGTAAGTTCACCAAACTTCAAATCCTTCCTTCAGGAGGAAAGAACCATCATGAATCTGGCCATTTGGTTAAGCAGCAGCTATGCTAGGAGAGAACAGATTATGTGGTGACGTGCTGATGTCTGGTGGGTAGTCACGCCAATTAAACTTTTACAAGCTGATAAATCTCAAAGTACGTGACAGGTGTGGTCGAAACACACATTAGTTTTCATTTAAATATAAGTACAACATATGTCCAGGGCCTAAGGCAAGGCGGATTACAAAATAGCTCTTTTAGCTCCATCGACTTGCATTCAATTTTTCGTTCTTCCAGGGACCCATGAGCCGACCGGAGAGAGAGGAGACTTAGGCTCCCTACAGCAAATGCACCATCTTGGGCCGGATACATGACCGAATCCCCCAGAACAGCTCTACGCCCTCTGTTGTCCTGGTGGGGAATTGCTTTGCAACACTCCCCAGGAGACAAAACGTCTGTCAACTTGTGTGCGTCTCTCCCTTGTGGAGCTGACGCAGAAGCATAAACAAGGCTTTAAGGTAATAAATGAAAAAAGTAAAATCTGTTGGTGTTGACTCAGCCCTACAAAGTAAGACTTTCTGGTGAGAAGTGATGAGCGTCCATCTCTTACCAGGCCAGCACCAGCCTTCATAGTCCCCGCCATCTTTGTTCTTGACGTAGAAACCTCGAGAGCGGATTTCATTATGGATCTTGTAGTTACTGTCTACTTTGATGTGAGGATCTACAATTGCAACCATCTAGAGAAAATTACAAATAAAAGAAATGAGCCACAGGTCTTCAGAGTGAGAGAATGAAGTGAACTGCTGGCTGAATGCGCGAGTCACACCTACGTTGCGTTTCTTGTCCTTCAGACCCTGCAGCATGTCCTTCGGGGATGCAAACTTGTGAGGATCCCAGGTGAAGTAGCGCTTCCCGTCTGTGTGCTCGATGTCCAGCCAAATAAAGTCGTAGGGAATATCGTGCTCATCGAAGCCAGCGTCTACCGAGCGCACATCCTCCTGGTCATTGTAGTTCCAGCGGCACTGGTGGTACCCGAGGGACGATAGAGGGGGGAAGGACTGGGTGCCTGATGGTCAAAAACAAACAAGAAGTTAGATGGCTGGAAAAGCAGACACTAAAAGATCCAAGAGGTCAGTCACAGACTGATAAACTCCATAGACTTAAGAAGTAGGTCATTTATTTAGTCTAAAATGCATCATTCAAACATAAATGTTGTATGTTAACATGAACAGTTCAGGGTACACAATGAAACCATTGCTCTGCCGTGGCAGCTTTTACTGCCAATGAGCCGTTTCATAACCCGACATCTTACCTGTTAGAGAGGCGTACTGAGAGAAGATGTCTTTGGGAGTCGGTCCCAACATAATGAAAACATCGATGATGCCACTCTCAGAGATCCAGCGGACATCCGTCTGTGGAGTTTCACTGGAGCCTTGAACGTAATCCAACATTTTCCCAAACACAGTCTAAAGATAAAGAGACAGAGTTGTTGGAAGCCCAAAAATTACCACAAGTTTTTAAAATCCCCGTGACCATTAAAACTAAAACAAGTCCTTGCTGTTCATCTCTGGATGGTGAGAAAAGTGGAAACAAGAGGTACCTTTCCTGCCGTGTTTGAACTTATATCCACCCAGGTCTCTGCAGCATTGAGCCAGAAGATGCCTGTAGTTCGTTGGGTGTTGTGTGCCAGCATAACTGGGACAGCCCCATACAAGGCCATGGGGTTATACAGCTCATACTGGAAAACATCCAGGTTATAGAGCCGATATGGATCACCGTTACTGAAACCAATAAAGAAAGCTGTTTATTTTTTGCTTTCCAGCCAGTGTGGAAGACGACAGGGGCTTAAAAGAGGCCTGCTGCCAACACTCACTCTGTGGTTTTCAGCCTGAGTGTGTCTGCGTGTTCTGGGATGCCGTAGACGTGCTCCACGCCGGGCAAAGAGAAGTCTAAACTAACAGCAGATGGACCTGGGGGGAGACAACAGGAGACAAAGAGCTGAACACTCATGGCTAATCTACAAACACGAGACGTAACATAAAGCAGTAATATGGTGTACCATTAGGTTTGCTATCAGAATGTGATTTAAATGTTTCTTCCCACATCCCTTCCTCTACTTTCTCTTCCTCTTCTTTGGTAGTCTGGAGAGTACACACCAAAGGCACACATGTCATGTCCGATGAAGACATAAAAGCAGAGCACAGATGAACAGAGAGGCTCTTGTGTTACCTCAGCCTGATGGGCCGTATCCGCCTCCTCCTTGTTCTCAGCCTCTGGCTCTGCCTGACTGCTCAGTCAAAACGAAAAAACACAGACAAGTCACTTCAGAGTAAAAAAAAACCAGCAATGTTGTAATAATTAATTTGTGAGGGTAATTAAACTATGAATAAAGGAAAAAGACAAACAGGAGGGTTTGGCAAGTGCCCTCCACACACACCAAACTGGCAGCTCAACAAAACTGTGAGCTTTAATGACAAAGGAGACTGGGATCTAACTCAAGGGACCAAAGCTGCAGCCTGTAACACCCTCAGGGTTCTTTAAAAAACAAGCTAATGCTAACAAAACCCTTCACACATCTTCAGCTGTATGTTAGTCACCACCAGAAGCTGCATGCATGAGCGCATGATCTTCAGCAAGACTACGCAGCACACATATGACCCGAGCTTCACTGGTCACATTAAGACTAACTAGATCAGTGTTTTATCATCTGCATCCAAAGGCAAGACTCAGAGGTCTCATGTCCATACAGGATCTAGAGAAGCTCATTCATGCATTCATCTCCAGCAGGCCGGACTATTACACTGGCTGTTTGTCTGGTCTTCCCCAAAATGCTGTGAAGAAACTGCAGCTGATTCAGAAGGCTGCTGCTAGACTCTTAAAGGTGCATTATGTAATAATGAAGTAAAAATGACATCCTGTGGTTAAATGTGGTTACTGCTACGACTTTAAACAACGACTTTGCCGGTTGTCGTCAGAATACAATTGTCAGCGCTGCAGTATTAGCTCGCAAGAGAGACAGCAACACCACACTCACTGATGGTTAGGGTTGGGCATGATTTGAGTTTGAACGATTCTGGTTCCTATCGATTCCCGATTCTGATTTTTTCAAGTGGCGGAATCCAAAAACATGGAATGTTTTAAATGAGCCAGCTAACCACACTGAATAATCTGAACTTCAACATGAATTTTAATTCTATTAACAATAACATCGCCTTTATCTAGAAAAAAAAAAATAAAGAATTGCAGCAAAATCTGTGGTTTTGCTTCAGACCACTACCCAAGTATGGGAACTGAAGGAGCCTCTCTCTATTATAAGCAAAACGTGTTCAAACAACCAGAAGTCCTAAAACTCTCAAGGATGATCATGTCCAGGATGACGGAGTCTGCACCTACAAGCTGCAGCAGCCATTCAGTCCGAAGGCAAACTGAAACATGTAGCTAAAATCCACCCTTTTGACGCATTCTAACGAGCTTCATCCGCGCTGTATTTTTCGCTGCAGGATGCAAAGTTTACATCACGAGGTAGGCTTCCTCCTTATATGGGCAAAGGGGCATGGCTGTTGTAAGTCATGTGAACTTGTTGCTAAGTAAAAAATGCAGAAGAAAGTGTGAATGTTTAGTGAAATGTGTTTAAGTGTCCAAAAGAGTGAACAATGTATAAAGATTTGAGGTTATATGAAAGGCAAGGAAAAAAAGCCTTGTTTGTGTCAAAAACACCAAGTCCAGCTCTAGGTACTGTGTTTCATACCCCGGGTAGGCAACAAGCCTTCCCCACCGTCCAATCCCCGGACTGCCGTGTGCCTAACTGTGCCAACGCTGGACCGGGTAACTGAGAGGAATTTTGTTAAATTTAAGCTCTGCTGCGGTGTGTGGAGCAGACTCGAGTCGCTGACTCCCGGTAGCAACAACCTGACTCCAGGTAGATGCAGCGGTTGTGCTCCATACCGCCGCAGCAGCAGAGATCCACACACAGATTTTTCTTCCGCTTGTAGAGTTTAGTCATTGACAACATCACGTTTTTTGTGAACTCCCACTTGATCGTGAGCGCGCTACACTCTAGCTTAGCTTTAACAATGGTTTTTGTCTCATCTGGTTTCTCCATTTTCCTGCACTGCACCTAGATTACTGCGTAGTGCGCCAGTAAAATGTGTTCAGACTGTGGTGCGCACATTTAACAAAGCTTCGAATCAGTAAAAAAAAAAAAAAAGAATAGAGGGATTTAATTAATTGAACAATTTGATTATTTGTTTCAGCCCTATACTGTATTCTTACATACTGCACCTTTAACAAGAACCGAACACATCACTGCTGTTCTTAAATCTCTACACTGGTTACCGGTCAACTACAGAATCAAATTCAAAGTATTACTACTTTAGAAATCTCTCAACGGCATGGAGCCATAATACATGTCAAATCTCCTTCCTGTATATACGCCCAGCATGGCTCTGAGGTCCTTAGGAAGCAGTTGGCTGGCAGAACCTCGGGTCAAAACCAAACAGGGTGAAGATGCTTTTAGTTACTATGCTGCTCACAGATGGAGTCAGCTTCCTCATGGCATTCTGCCCCAACTCTGGTAACTTAAATCAAATTTAAAACTTCATGCATTCATCATCTTTTCAGTGACATTTATGTAGCACCTTCTGCACTGTAACTGCTCTAACTCTCCATTTTTATTTTGTTTCTAAAAAAAAATAACTACTTGTGCATTTTAAATTTAAATCAACAGATTTATGTTCTGCTCTTGCCTTGCACCTCTGTGTGAAATGTGCATTATTAATAAAGCTGCCTTGCCTATAACTGTTTATGATTCTCCTGAATTATGGGACTGACGGTAGAAAACTACAAACTGAAATCTGTCCATAGAGAGATCTGCTGCTGTGGTTAATGGGATTGAAGCCAATCAACTACACAGAGGGGACACAAGCTATATGTGGACGAAGAAAAGACGTTAAAACCTGCTGCCATAATCAACCAGTCATTCAACAGAGCAGCCTGAGAAACTAGTGATTATCCAGAATTACATCAGATTATCAGACAAGATGCTGGAGGGAGATTATGGGTGAACGATTCATGTAATCAGACGCTAATCAACAAAAAGATAGAGCTCATTCCCAGAGCAGAAGCAGCACTGGGGTGTAAAGGGGTTTCTGACAATCAGGTGAACATTCTGGAATGTCATAACCCCTGTTATTTAACAAAAATCTGTCCACTCCTTGTTCACTTCCCTTTATGACTCGTTATGCTGCCTCACTGCCACCTAGGATTGACTGATTAGTGTTTGTTAGCTTCAAGGGCAACCTGCTGGCTTCACTATCACTTGTAAGTCGCCTTGGGTGAAAGTGTCTGCTAAACACATAAACAAATTAAAATCAAACACCTTCTCTCTCTCTCTCTCACACACACACACACACACACACACACACACACACACACACACACACACACACACACACACACACACACACACACACACACACACACACACACACACACACACACACACACACACACACACACACACACACACACACACACACACACACACACACACACACACACACACACACACACACACACACACACACACACACACACACACACACACACACACACACACACACACACACACACACACACACACACACACACACAAATTTGAGGGTAAAACAAAACTTGGTGTGATGAGAGACCCTACATTTTAAGTCACTACTGGCATCATTAGCACAAGGAACAGAATACACACAGATCTTATGGGTCTTTACCTAGAGAATACCCTCTTGATATTATCCCACAGGCTAGCCACTGTGCTAGTTACTTTATAGGAGAAACTAGGATGATAGGGAGAAGAGGACAGAACAACCAGTCAGAGACAATACTTAAAAACAGAACAAAAACAGAAATCATCCCCCGACTTGAGGACGTGGATTAAAAAAAAAAAAAAGAGGGCTGGAATTTGTCCAGATGTGTGTGTGCACGTGTGTGTGTGTGTGTGTGCATGTGTGTGTGTGCATGTGTGGGATTCTCACGTGTCCTTGCGCATCCTAAGGTGTTCAAAGGCCAACAGGCCGCGAGAGTTCAGTGACATCAGCACATTGTGCCCCTCCACGATGTCGAGTCGGAAGGGCTGGGCGCTGACGATGACCCTTTGGGACTCCACCCCCAGGGACAGCACCACCCCGTTCTCATCCTGAGACAACACAGACAGGCTGAGAGAAGACAGGAGGACCATTAGTGTGAACACAAAAACTAAACAATGACATTTTATACACTGAATATCCATAGATGCGGGAATTCATGCTTCCATGTTGCTCTGTCGGTTTGACGAGCACCAAGGCCTCCAGGCGTGGAAAAACTCCCGGGACACTCACGGCTCAGTAGGTGGCTCCCTGACGAGTACGTCTGGGACTTCATAGCGAGGCTTCAGAGGCTTCAGCTCGTTAATCTTCACCCTTGTCATGTTTCCCTGGAGACGGTAGAGCTCCAGCAGCAGACGTACCTGAACATGGAGAGAGAGAGAGAGAAGACGGGTGAGACAGACTGATACCTTCAGGGGTCTGACTAGTCATGAGTTTTCCCTGTAAGGCAGCGTTGATTCAGAGACTGCAGCAAGGGTCTCAGATGCTTCTGGCAGTGCTCCAAACTTGTATACACTTGGTATATTCTTGAAGAGTGATAATGAGCTCTTTATCACTAGATATCTAAGTCCCTCATGCATGAAATGTCACTCATTTAGCCCTGAAGCATTTTTTACAAAGATTGATGACGCTTGCATTTTTAAAAGCTGCTCATGTTTATTTGTCAGCCTCTAAGAATAACAGGAATCCTGAGAGGTTCAACCATCTGCTTTTATCAGACCTTGCACTAATCAAAATGGTTTAGAAAAGCTAGAACAGCCTGTGGCTTGAAAAAGCCGACGCACTGTGAGGCCTCTCTGAAAGGTAAAAGCACACATGAGCTGCATCAGGGTGAAAGGGAGGCCTTATCGTGAACTTAAAATTACAGAACCCTGCACTTCTGACAGGTTGCACCACAACAACTCAGCAATCACCGCCCTTCAGATTCCTACCGGCCCACACCAGCCAGCTATGGAAATATTCTCCGGCATGCACATTTTCTCTTTGGTTTCAACTGAGCATGAGTTTTTCTATGTTTATGTATTTAGCAGACGCTTTTGTCCAAAGCGACTTACAAGTGATAATCGGCATGTTGCCCTTGAGGCTAACAACAACAAAAACAACAACAACTTGACATCAGTCATGGAGAGGAGGGAACAAGGAGTGGACAGTAGAGAGGGGGGGCGGGTGCAGGGAGGGTGCTAGTTTGGAAGATGCTCTCTGAAGAGCAGGGTCTTCAGGAGTTTCTTGAAAATTGAAAAGGAAGTCCCTGTTCTGGTAGTGCTTGGTAGGTCATTCCACATTTGTGGAACGATGCATGAGAAGAGTCTGGATTGTCCTGAGCGTGGTGTAGGCTCTGCTAGCCGACGATCCTGTGATGACCGGAGCGGCCGGGCCGAGACGTAAGCCTTTGCAAGAGGATTCAGGTAGATGGGAGCCGTACCATCTCGGACTTTGTATGCTAGTGTTAGCAATTTGAAATTTCTAGTGGGTTGTACAGTTGTTATGCCGTGTTTTTGTTTTCTTTCAAGTATTTGATCAGAATGTGGTTTGTACTAGGGATGGGTACCGAATTCGGTACTTTTTAAGGTACCGACCGAATTCCATAGTACCGACTGAGCACCGATTCACGTCATTTCAAACTGTGCCTCGTTTCGGTACCCGTCCATCATAACGAGAACTTGCCAAGACAGCTGCGCATGCGCAAGAGCGTTATGTCGTCGGTCCCTGCGAGCAAGTTGTAAACAGAGCAGCATGGTAGAAAGAACGCATGTTAAAGCTTGGGTCCACTTCACTAAATGTGATGGGCAACTGGGTGATGATGAAACCAGCGACAACGATCTAAGTGAGACATCCTTAATCTGCTCCGGTAGGTAAATATAATTAGCTTGATATGTTAGCTTCCGTTTCGCTAATGGTGCGTTCGCTTTCTCCTCGGAACTCCGAATTCCCGACTAGGAAGAACATGAACGCGCTCTAAAGTTTGGCTTCATTTTACTAAATGCGACGGGTGATTGGGTGAAGATGAAACCAGCGACAACGATCTAAGTGTGAGGCATCATCGTTTTAATCTGCTCCAGCAGCTAAATAAACTGTTTAAGATAACGTTAGCTTGGTATGTTAGCTTCCATTACTACCATTGTTATCAGCTAATGGTGCGTTCGCTTTCTCCTCGGAAATTCTATCTTCCCAGTAGGAAAAATCAATTGAAAAAAGACGGCAAAAGGAATGAAGATACACAGTAAATTTAGTTCACAGTAAAGATGTTTGCTTCAGTTTAATTATCAGCTTATAAAACTACAAGGACGACGTTAAAATACAAACAGTTGAATGTTATTTATCGTGATATATATCAAATATTGTTACATATTGAGAAAAATAAATATTTAATTATAAAAGAGAAAATAATAAACACTCAAAAGTATCGAAAATTGGTACCGTTAAGTACCGGTATCGATTCGTAGGTACCGGGAATTAGTACCGGATTGATTCAAATGTCAAAAGGTACCCATCCCTAGTACTGTTTTTCCATGCATTGTTGTTTTCTCATGTATTTGTTTTTACCTTTGTGTCAAGCACTTCGGTAAGATTTTCTACTGTTGTTAAGTACTCTATGAATAAGGTTTGCTTTTAAGAAACTTTTTACTAAGTTTAGATTAATTTTGAGGCTGTGCTCAAACACCAGCCTTCATAGAAATCTGTCTCACTTTAAAGAAGCTGATTTTAATCAGAAGCACACATGAACTCACCTTGTTGTTGTCATTGATGAGCTGTAGGGTGAGTCTGGTGTTTGTCAGCTCCATGGTCTCCAGCAGGGCTCGATAAGGGGACTCACCAGGCTTCAGGGCCCGCTGACGCCTGAGTAAAGATCAGAGCAAAGATACAAATGTGTGCTTTATTCAGCAGGATTGCTTTTATGCAATTCATTTAAACTGCACTTACTTGCAGAAGGAACTCTGGTCACATGTCTTGAAGTTGCTCCTGTCCACAGCCCATGTCCCACTGAGACACAAGGCCAGCCAGACCACCAAAACAGGCACCATCCCGCTGAAGTCAAGAAGAATAAATCACAACCTCAGACTCAACTAATGCATTGCGGTTCGTGCACCACTATGCCGGATGACTATCCAAAAGGACCGTAAACAAAACAGTGGGGAACTGGAGTTAAATCAAACACAACAACCACAACAACCCGGACTTTGAGCTCTCAGCTGCGGTAGGCAGCTAAATCATTTACAATTTTCGAGTTCTGCTGCAACATCCAGCTGAGGTTTCAATAAAATACAAAATTTCCTGCCATTTTGGTTAAGGTCCACAGCGAACACTTTCCTCCATCGCTGTCAAAACCACCGGATATGGATTAACGTGATTGGTTTTAGCTAACGCATCACCGAACGTACGATTAAGCGATTAGCTTACTGCACTCAAAGCTATTAAAACAGCGTGAAAACAGCACCGAAAATGAATTTACTGACGATTTAACACAAGTACTGTAGATATGATCGAAAGCGTGGCACCAGCGTAAGCACCGATTACCTTTTTGAATCACTATGCTAACCGCGCTAGCAGCCTGCCCAGCCGCCGCTAATTTAATTGAAGAGAACTCGACTTTTCCTGTTTGAAGAGCTCTCTGCAGCGCCGTTTAAAACCCAGAACAGCTATCGTGTTTACAGACTGTGGCCCCGCACTGACAAACTCTGCCCTCTTGCAAGTAAATAGTAAATGAAACCAGTGACAAATAGGCGATAAAAGAGCGAACTGCTTTTTGTCCTACCACTCCGTGAAGGTGGCCATCTTGATTATGCTGCATTGTGACTCCGCCCCTTTCACTCCGCAACAAAGATCGTTTAAAAACCAAGATTCTCACCAATTGATTTAAAATTGCACTTTTTCTTCCATTAGTGTTTTAATCTACAAGCGTGTTTCTTTAATTGCTGATCTTTTAATTATGGATAAATGAAGAACGCAGGTGAGTATTTACCCTCTTAGACACGTCATCGTTAAACTCCAGTCGGAGAAACGCGAACACTCATCCCGGATTTGTTCCTCCCGGTTGGTGCCAAAGTGGAGTACTGCAGTAATCTCACCCTGACTCACGCTGTGGTGGTAACAGTTTACAAATGGCCTTAGTTTTGTTTTTATTCCTGGGTCTGGAATAATACAAACAAATTAGGACAAAGATTTATTTTTATGAAATTGTTCAAGATGCAAATCACGTTTTTAATCAGTTAAACAAACAAAAATCTACAAATGACCAAAATAAGCGTTCAAATCCAAATGACACATTAAGGCTCTGATTTATCTTGAACAAATTCTGTATGAACATATAATACACACACACGAGAGGGTTAGGGCCACTGAAATGAAAAGTAAGATTTCTGACCTTAATTACTGAATTATTTTTTCCAGAATTCAGACTTTAAATTTTCCCAGAATTGAGACATTCCTCCAAAATTCTAATTCTATTCTTGGAAGTCAGAATTCTTTCTTTTTAGTGGCCCTAATCCTCTTCTGTACACACACAAGTGCCATTTCTTAAGACTTAACTCAGAAAACAGCTGTATAAAAGTAAAAAAAAAAAAAAAACATTTATACACACAGCCCTGTTTATAAAACTGTACTACAATTACAGAAATGTTGTACTCCTATTACTCATCACGTCTGCTGCTCAAAGCTGAAAGCGCCAGCACAGGTGCCCGAGTCTGTCGATGTTTTTATGGAGGACGCTGTGGATTGGTGCCACGTATCTTGCCACATCACCATCCCGTGAAAAATCCCTGAGGAACAGACCCTTATCTGAATTGAACACAAATTTCTGGGGAAGCGGCCCGTTGCCCCTCACGTACTCCCACACAGCCAGGAGCAGCAGCCTCACCTCGAAGGGAGTCAGAAGGGGGAACGCTTCATGGACGTTGGCCAGAACAGGAGGCAGAAGTTGGCCTTCACCCATGCAGGACACAAGGAGGCAGGAGGCCTGCAGGTGCCACGGGGAATCAGTAGATGATGCCTCACGGGACGCTTCCCAGTGGGCCAGCAGAGTGGCTAGCAGACCCCTGAGCACAGCGGAGCAGTAGCAGAGAGCCGGGCGTCCGGCTGCCACCACGTGAAGCAGAGGGAAGAGCACCGGGTGGGTCTCGAAGCACCGTCTGATGTGGATGTCTCGCTCCACCGTGGTGCGGGCGTGCTCCTCGGGGGGCCAGGACAGCTCCCCGTTGGCCACATCTGGACAGACATTTTCCACCAGTGTGACTGCAACAACTTTGGCCGCCTCGGCGTTGATGGGCAGCAGCTCGTCGGGGTCAGACGGCGATCGTGAGGTGATGAAACCAGACGAGCTGCAACACTTCACCACAACAGCCAGCAGAGTCTGGATATTCTAGAGAGAGAAGAACAGATGGTTATTGTTCCGTCCACTAAGGACATCTGTGATTTATTAGCTCTGAGAGCAGCAACACTTCTATCAGCTCACCTGGGTGACTCCTGATGGGTCCAGCACCTGAGCAGCAGTGCGAACCTTCAGGCCCTTTCCAATCACCCCAGCATGAAACACAGACCACACGCTGCCAGAAAAATTCACTGTTGTTCCAAACCGACAGTTAATGTCCAGCAAAGAGGCTCCCAGGTCAGCAGTGACAGACGGGGAGGCCACTGGAGCGCCGGACATGTCTGCAATCTGTCCTCCAAACAGACCAGCGTTGCCTCTGTGCAGCGCGCCCTCCACCAGCTGCTGAAGTATTGCCTTCAGAGTGAGAGGAGAGTAGGCTGCAAACCGGGACAGAAGCTGAACTGAATAGTTCACAGACTCGTACGCCTGCCCCCCATCTCTACCCACCTTCCCCACCTCTCCTCTCCTCTGCAGGGACAAAAAGAAATGAGTGACAGCAGCTCTGGAGAGCAGGAGGAGGTGAGCAGGGGATGAGGTTCGAGGGAGCGGGCTGCAGGACAGGAGGCGCACTGCAGCATGAGACACAGCTGCATCACCGTGGAGAAGAAGAGCACAAAAGTCATGGAGGTGTCCTGAGACCGCTGAGCCAACCTGGACAGCCATGGAGGACTGAGATCCTCCTGCTCCTCTTTTCCCCTCCTCCTGGCTCTGGATGGCTGCAGCCAGGTTCAGCAGCAGTTGCCTCAGCTGCCTGGGCCCCAGGGTGTGTGTGTGTATCTGGGCCACGCAGTGGGCCACACCAGCTTGAATGAGTCCTGCCATGCAGGATGAGAGTGTGGTGTGGAGCTGCCAGGCAAGGGCAAGCTCCTCTGGGTTACGGGCCTGGGTGAGAAGCTGACAGAAGGTCTCAGTAGCTACGCTGGGACCCCCGTACACTGACAGCAGACACAGCAGCTGATGCAGCCAGAGGTGACGCTTCCTCTCTAATCGGAGCGTTTCTGCACACAGCTGACTAACGTGTGAGCGCAGCTCCTCCAGAAAGGGGATGACTCTCTGTGGCTGAGTGGAGGCTGAGTTTAGAGGGCTGCTGTCGGCGCCATCAGAGCGGTTGAAGACCAATTTGTGGAGATGCAGAAGCAGCATCTGGAGGAGCCGGTCACAGCCTTCTCGCACTCCTTCATGAGGAGAGGGCGTTGGGCCAGAGATGATGACTGAAGCTGGAGTGGCTGTGTCTGCCAGAAACCGAAGGACCCGTGCCCCCCCTGACGGACTCTGACTGATCAGGTGGACAGCCAGCCCCATCATGTTATCCAGCTCCTCCCTGGGGAGGCCCTGCAGCAGAGCTTGCAGCTGGAGCAGGAGAGAAGGGCGTAACAGCTCCACCAGCTCTGCAGACACAGCACCAAAGAGGTTCGGGGACATTGCAGCTAGCTGCAGCAGAAATGGAACCGCAGCGCGTCGAAGCTGGGGCGAACTCTCCCAAGATGTGGAGGATGAGGTGGGAGAGAGAGGAGTCGACGGGGTCAGGCTCTCCTGAAACATACTGAGCAGCTCCTTCCTGATGCTTTCAGAGTGATGTGCTGCGAGATGTCCGAGGATTCCCACGACAGAGCCGATTTTAGGCACCCTGCTGCCTTTCTCCACCAGCAACCCCTGGTCCTTAACGCCATGAGAGCAGAAGTCCTTCAGTCCACATGCCAGCACCCTGCTTATGATGGTTCCTGGGAAGGCAGAGCCAATGTGAGCTACCACCCAGTCAAAGTGTGGCGAATGCTTGACTGAGGTGTCCAACAGTGCATCCACGCAGGCGTCAGGACACCAGGCCAGCATGGCAGCCAGGCACTGGGAGTAGGCCTCCATGAGGGACCGAGTAGCAGCGCAGGACATCCAGAGCTGCAGCAGCTCATTGAGGCTGGAGGAGTGGGGGGCCACCCTGCGACCTGCGTGCTTACTGCTCAGCTGTCCCAGGAGGTCCACCGCCCAGGCAGACACCAGGGGGGCCCAGGCACGGGGGTTCAGACGAATGAATTCTGACAGGACACCATGAACCTCCTAAACACAAGAAAATAATTTATGCTAAAATAATCCACAATACGCTTAGATACATTGAGAACATCAGTATTTTTGTATTAATTTCCACCTGTATGATGTCCTCCAAGTTGGAGCTCACTCCAGAGCTGGCATCGCCCTCCGTCTCCAGGCTGTGGAGAAAGGTGGACACATGTTCCTCGTACACACCCCTCAGATGCTCCAGAACTGCTGCTCGACAAGGTGGGACTGAGCGCAGCAGCCTCACAGCACAGCGGGCGTGTTCCCTGACGCTGAGCTTCCGGCCCTGAACAGGATCCACACCACTGATGAAGGACTTGATCTCCTGAGAGAGTTCCTGAGTGCTGCAGGAGATGAGAAATGAAAGAAGAAGAAAAAAAAAATCTGTAAACTGGCTTCCAAATGATCAATAAAGATGATACAAGCTAATAAAGTAGAACCTAGAAAATTGCATGTTAGATCTCCAAATAGTGACTTTCGTTACAGGTTTTCTCCAGATTGCTTAATAATAATCATCAAGTCCATGAAAAATTAAGACAAATGAGGGATGAAGTAATTCACAGCTTCAAGGAGTAGTTTGTAGACAGCTGTAGCTCAGGAGGTAGTGCGGTTTGTCCAGGGTTGTAGGAGCAATCTCGGCTCCTGGCAGACAACTCTGCTGTTGTGTCCTTGGGCAAGACACTTAGCCCACCTTGCATGCTGGTGGTGGTCGGAGGGACCAGTGGTGCCTGTTTACGACACACTCGCCTCTGTCAGTGAGCCCCTGGGCAGCTGCTCATCACCACCAGGGTGTGAATGTGTGTGTGAATACACTGATTGTGTTGTAAAGCGCCTTGGGAGTTCCAGGACACTAGAAGGTGTTATATCAAAACCAGGCCATTTACCATTAATAATAACAACAACAGTAGTAATAATTACCAGACTATAAGAATAAATGCAGTAAAACAAAGCTTCAGGATTTTATGGACCCTTCTATATTTCAGTGCCTGGGTCAGTAGTGAGCCAAGCTGGTTGTGATAACAAAAGAGGCATACTGTTAAATGCATCTCTACTATCAGAACCTCTGAAGATTTACGTTGTTTAATAAAATAAACATAAGATTAGCTTCATAAATGTAGAATCGAATATGGGGCCTAAATGTACCTCCTACAAACCCAAGATTATAAATGAGGGCCGATTTGAAGTGACTGAGCTGCTCCTGCACTTACCTCAGTGCAGTCTGCGCTGGGTGACTCTGAGTCTGCATCGCCTTCAGCGAACTCCCGTCAAAGACCACCGACATTTTCTGCTCGTTAAACATCTGAGGGTAACATTAAAGTCGTCTCTCGGGTTAGAAGCGTCCACTTGAAGGATTAAAACAGCTTTTTGTTGTTTGTTACAGTCAAAACTACAGACAAGACTCAACGAATGGAGCGGTATACCCCCGGAAGTCGGAGATTTATCGGTGTTACACAAAGGAAGTCAGGCATCCGGCGGAAGTCTATAATAGCGCCTCCTGGTGGTCGGAGCCATCGTGTTTTCTTTCTAAAAATAGAAAACCAATGAAACGTCATCCGTTCTTACCTTCACAACAATTTTCCACACACAGAGTATCACACTTTTCTATACACGTATATCATTGCTGTGATATGGGATTTAAAACACAATATATAGTATTGTGATATAGAACACTATATAGAAAGATCTTTAATGTTTTTAATGTATTGTTAAAATTTTCTCCAGTCTCAAATGAAAGCCACAGAAAAATATTATGAAAATATCTGAGTGTTTTGTGTCCCATTGGCCTGGCTGGGTGTGGCACATGATTGTGTTTAACTGCACTGAGCGGCTGCACCTGTGGGTTCAGGATAAAAGCCTGCTTGAAGGAGTTTTGCTGTTCGTAAAATTAGAACATCATGATAAAGTAGTGTTATTTCAGTAATTCCATTCAAACTGTGAAACTTGTATATTAGATTAATTTATTACACACACACATATATATATTTCTAGTATTTATTTCCTCCACGTTGAGAAGAGCCAGTTGAGGTGGCTTGGGCATTTGGTCAGGATGCCTCCTGGACGCCTCCTTGGTGAGGTTTGCCGGACACGTCCAACTGGGAGGAGACCTAAGGGAAGACCCAGGACACGCTGGAGGGAATATGTTTCTTGGCTGGCCAGGGAACGCCTTGGGATTCCCCCGGAAGAGCTGGTTCAAGTTGCTGGGGAGAGGAAGTCTGGGCGCCCCTGCTAAGGCTGCTGCCCCAGCGACCCAACTCCGGATAAGCGGCTGAAAATGGATGGATGGATGAGTGGATGTTTATTTCTTTAATTTTGATGAAACTGAAAACTAATGAAATCAGAGTATTAGAATATTGTGAAAAGGTTTATAATTGAAGACCCCTGGTGCCACAGTCTAATCTGTAGGCCACACAATCATGGGGAAAACTGCTGACTTGACAGTTGTCCAAAAGACAACCATTGACAACTTGCACAAGGAGGGCAAGACAAAAAAGGTCATTGCTAAAGTGGCTAAAGAGGCTGGCAGTAGCAATCGCCACCATCCTGTTCGTCACAATCCATAAATGGGAAAAGAAGTGGAGCTGAGAGTGGGGCTGTGAGGGTGGGAGCAAATGACTGACACCCATAAACTGAACTGATGTAGCTACTAAATAACCCAAGCAAGCCTACACAGAGCTTGGAGCCAACACAGGTAGCTACAAACTACCTGAGCAAACCCGAAGCTAACGGAGGTCATCGGGCACTTTTAGCCAGAAAAACGCAGTTGAGTTACTCAGAGGTGAAGTATGCATCAACTAAAATGTGTGTGTGCGTTTTGGTTTGTTTTGCCCCGCCTAACCTATCATACACAGACACACAGACATTTTCTTCAAAGTAAATTTGTGCCCCCTGCACTCTTCACTCTCCAGCAACAATATTATGTTATATTAAATAGACTGGCCGACCACTAGGACCAAGAGTTCAGCTAGAATCTGATGTAAATGAGCTCTATTGATCAGATATTCAAAAAATAAGTGTAAAATGGTGACAATAAGTGGGAATGAAAATGACTAAAAAGGTGAAAAACAAAGTTGAATTGAAATTGTTATGCCCATGAACATCTCTAATGAGTACACAGAGAGCTGCCCGGCCAGGCAAGATATGTTTCAGCATTTTCTACATTTTAGCACAATTTCGTTCCTGCATTTGTAAAAGAAACAAAAAACAACAACTATTTTTTCTCAAATCAAATAAAGGTTTCACAAATCACAATCTATGTTTAACAGATTGTGATATTGTTGTCATGATCTTGCCATGTCCTGACCTCCATGCACCATCATTCATCTCATCAGCCTTCATGCATCACACCTGGTCCCCTCATCAAGCTCATGCCACACACCTGCCTCACCAGCTATATATTCCACAGTCAACCATCAGCACTCTGCCTGATTATTGAATGCTTCTGCTAGTAAATCTTTCAGCCTTTTTCCATCCTACCGTACCGATCATAGCCTCCTGACCTCGTTTCCATGCCTGACCCTCACCAAGAACTCTGCCTGCCTCCATGACCTTCGCCTGTTCACGGACTCTGTCTCCAGCCTCGCCCACTATAGGTAACGCCACATCTTAGCTTTTGCTAATAAAGACTTTGAAAGTGCCTTGCTGTGTCTTGGTGTCCCCACAGGTTCTCAAGTTCTGGTCTTTACAATTGTAGAATAATCTGGTCCAGGTGTGAACAGTAGGTTTTAACCTTTATACAGACATACAGAATCAATCTTGGACTGACTTATGGCTATACTGAACATTATTGGGATTTTATAAATGTAATTTTTACAAATATAATCTTGTAATCTCAACTCAGCAGCACAGCCTAAATTGTAGGGACCCACGTATGGGTGATAGACCCCATTGGTAACTACTGGTCCGGGAGTTGTAGTTTTATAATAGGAGCAGGAGCTCAGTGGCTGGAACATTTAGTTGGAATTGCCCTTTCCTAAATGGAAATTAGGAACCACCTTCAGCTTTGTCTGAATTCCCACTATAGAACGACACTAAAAAAACAGTAATTTACTTACTTGGTACCAGGGCAGCCTAGGTCGCAGGTCAATGATAGACTTTGTAGTCGTATCATCTGACCTGCGGCCGTATGTTTTGGACACCTGAGTGAAGAGAGGAGCAGAGTTGTCAACTGATCACCACCTGGTGGTGAATTGGATCAGATGGCAGGGGAAGATGCCACGTAGACCTGGCAGACCCAAACGCATAGTGAGGGTCTGCTGGGAACGCTTGGCAGAAGAACCTTTCAAGATGGTTTTCAACTCCCACCTCTGGCAGAGCTTTGACTGCGTCCCGAGAGCAGTGGGGGACATTGACTCCGAGTGGGCCTTGTTCCACTCTGCGATTGTTGAGGCGGCTGTTGCTAGCTGTGGTCGCAAGGTGGTCGGTGCCAGTCGTAGTGGCAACCCCCGTACCTGCTGGTGGACACCAGAGGTTCGGGGAGCCGCCAGGCTGAAGAAGGAGGCCTACAGGGCATGGCTGGTCTGTGGGTCTCCGGAGGCAGCAGACAGGTACCGGATAGCCAAGCGGGGTGCAGCAGTGGCAGTTGCCGAGGCAAAATCTTGGGCGTGGGAGGAGTTTGGTGAGGTCATGGAGAAAGACTATTGATTGGCACCAAAGAGGTTCTGGCAAACTGTCCGGCGCCGCAGGAGAGAGAGGCAGCAACTCGCTCACACTGTTTACAGTGGGGATGGGGAGCTGCTGACATCAACTGGGGCTATAGTTGTACGGTGGAAGGAATACTTTGAGGACCTCCTCAATCCCACCTACGCGCATTCCAAGGAGGAGCCAGAGCCGACTGTCCAATCTCTGGGGCAGTAGTTGCTGAGGTAGTCAAACAACTACACAGCGGCGGAGCCCTGGGGGTGGATGAGATTCGTCCTGGGTCTCTCAAGGCTATGGATGTTGTAGGGCTGTCGCGGTTGACACGTCTCTGAAACATTGCATGGTCATCGTGGGCAGTTCCTGTGGAGTGGCAGACCGGGGTGGTGGTCCCCATCTTTAAGAAGGGTGACTGGAGGGTGTGTTCCAACTATAGGGAGATCACACGCCTCAGCCTCCCTGGAAAGGTCTACTCCAAGGTACTGGAGAGGAGGGTCCGATCGATAGTTGAATGTCAGATTGAGGAGGAGCAATGTGGTTTTCGTCCTGGCCGTGGAACTGTGGACCAGCTCTATACCCTTGCAAGGGTGATGGAGGGGGCATGGGAGTTTGCCCAACCAATCCACATGTGTTTTGTGGATTTGGAGAAGGCATATGACCATGTCCCCAGGGGCACCCTGTGGGGGACACTCCAGGAAGATGGGGTGGGTGGCCTTTTATTAATGGCTATTCAGTCCCTTGACCAGAGGAGCGTGAGTTTGGTCCATATAGCCGGTAGTAAGTCGGACCTGTTCCCGGTGAGGGTTGGACTCTGCCAGGGCTGCCCTTTGTCACCGGTTCTGTTCATTACCTTTATGGACAGAATGGAGTGTGTCGAGTTTGGTGGCAGGAGAATCTCGTCTCTGCTTTTTGCGGATGATGTGGTCCTCCTAGCTTCATCCAGCTCTGACCTTCAGCTCTTGCTGGGTAGGTTCGCGGCCGAGTGTGAAGTGGCTGGGATGAGGATCAGCACCTCCAAATCTGAGTCCATGGTTCTCGACCGGAAAAGGGTGGCTTGCCAACTCCGGGTCGGGGGAGAGGGCTTACCTCAAGTGGAAGAGTTTAAGTATCTCGGGGTCTTGTTCACGAGTGAGGGTAGGAGGGATCGGGAGATCGACAGGCGGATTGGTTCAGCGTCTGCAGTGATGCGGACGCTGAGCCGATCTGTCGTGGTGAATAGAGAGCTGAGCCAGAAAGCCGGGCTCTCGATTTACCGGTCGATCTACGTCCCAATCCTCACCTATGGTCATGAGCTTTGGGTAATGACCGAAAGAACGAGATCGCGAATATAAGCAGCCAAAATGAATTTCCTCTGTAGGGTGGCCGGGCTCAGCCTTAGAGATGGGGCGAGGAGCTTGGACATTCGGGAGGAACTCGGAGTAGATCCGCTGCTCCTCCGGATCGAAAGGAGTCAGTTGAGGTGGTTTGGTTATCTGGTCAGGACGCCTCCTGGACGCCTCCCTGGGGAGGTCTTTCGGGCATGTCCTGCCGGCAGGAGGCCCCCGGGTCGACCCAGGACACTTTGGAGAGGTTACATCTCCAATCTGGTCTGGGAACGCCTTGGGATCCTGCCGGAGGAACTGGTGGAGGTGGCTGGGGAGAGGACGGTCTGGAGCTCCCTAGTTGGGATGCTGCCCCCGCGACCCAGACCCGGATAGGCGGAGAAAGACGACGACAATGCAATGAATGGCATTGCTCCCTTGTTTGTTTTTATTAAAACACAATATGTATCCAAAACACTTCTCAATTTTGAGAAATAAATTTATTTTCTGAAATGTTATTTTTAAATGTTATTTCAAAATTTATTCTAGAATTTATTCTTTTGTTTAATTCACGTCTTATTTCTTTACTCGTTAAGTGTATAATTTTTTTTAATTGTGTTTTACTTTGCTGTCTTGAATAAGTAAGATGAATATATGGTTTAAGTGAACATCAATATGATTTATTAATGCTGTTTTTTTCCTGGGGTGCAGCAGTTTTCTAGGGGTGGCCCTTCTGAATATGTGTGTGAGTCAGAGGACAAAGTCCTCTCACCAAGCTGGAAGAAAATTCACAAACTGACCTCCAGGTCTACACTTTTTAAAGATTTCCTGGAATTATTTCAAGCTGGCTTAAAATAAACAACACTGTTACAAAAAGGAACAAGAGGTTGAGAATACATTTGATCAGAAGTTATTTTATTGAGAAGAATCCTGTAAAAAAAAGTCACGAAAACTACATTTCCTTTGTTTTCAAAATTTTCAACCATTTTCCTTCTTAAACTGATCAGAATGTGTGAACGGTGAATGAATGAATGAATGGTTTTATTTCATAACAATGCTGTCATACAATTATAGCTTGTGAAAGAGATCAGTTAGAACTGGTTGAAGTCGAAGCTTATTGTTTTAATACATAAAACAATAATGCAAGATAAAATAAAAACAAAACATGATATGAATGGGATTAGGCTGCCATAAAATGCTAAAAAAATCAAAGATTTAAAAAATGGATTTGGTGTAATAAACACGTTTGTTGTAAGAACATAACTAAATCATAGACATGGCGTCCCATCACACGCATCCGTTTAACACTTGTGTCAAGCCAGCCTCCAGTTTATTGCCGGTTCCCCGTCTATTCAAAGTATTACGGGAAGGGATGTGGAAACCGGATTTCAAAATAAAACTAAACTTAGAGTGAATTAACAGATATTTTAAGAACATAATTAAGACTCATTCATTATTAGCGGCCTGTCAACATCAAGGCCATCTTATTTTGGATTTCAAAGTAAAAGCCCTGTGAATTTAACTCAGTCTGATGTTGCCTTCCAAAATAAAGGCCTTTTTAAATTGCCCATATACGAGCAAACTTTCAGTGATTTCAAAATGCTTTAAAATGGAAAAATGCTGTTTCCACAGAGTAATTTCACTTTAGATCAACCGTATACAACCCCACAGTGATACTGTATCAAGTTGTTCTGATTTTGCTTTAAAAAATAAAAGCCCTTTCAACTTGTCCATAATTGACCTACCTTTAACGATTTCAAAATGCTCTAAAATAGCAAATTGCTGTTTCCACAGGGTAATTCCACTGTAGATCAACAGTATACAACCCCACAGTGATACCATATCAATATCAAGTCATTCTGATGTTGCCTTCCAAAATAAAGGCCTTTTAAATTGCCCATATATGACTTTTAACAATTTCAAAATGCTCTTAAATAGATTTTTGCTGTTTCCACAGGATGACTACATGTTCACTCAATAATATACAACCACACAATGATTCCATATCAATAAAGTCAGTCTGATTTTATTTATTAAAATTTACTGAAGTGGATTTCTTGTCTTTACATATGACACAATCTTTTCTTTGTATTTGTAATGTTATGAAATAGAACCATTTTCATAAAAGATAGGTAAATCTGTTTATCTTTGAAAACAAATCCCAGGAAAAGTGAACAGCTCAATACAAGGAGAGTAAATTGTAAAGTCCAAAAGGTGCAGTCATGATAACATAAAGGTAAATGACAACATCACGGAAATGTGCATTAGATATGTATGAAAACGTTTCGCCGTATTATGTTGCTCAAATTATCACTTTGGTGGAGACAACAGAGTACGTCTTCAAATATTTTGACACAAGCATTCAATAAGTCTGGTTTAACAGCACAGGAGACAATTCCACTCTCCTTTGCTTTTTTAAAGTCATTGTTGGTCCTGTCAAGGCACTGCTCATGGTATCATCTTTGACAGGGGTCACATTGTATCCATTTAAAATCAAACAGACAAAGCAAAATAAAAACATTTATACTCAAAGACTTTTAGACTTTTACACTTTTGAGAAATTCAAATACCCTCCAACTCACCCAGTTCGTCATTGAAGGTCCTGATCCAGGTGGCTTGGTCAGTGAACACATGGCACAGTTGCTGTTAGTGTCAAAAACTAAAATACAGAATCAAAACATATTAGATAGACATCCATTTGAAGGCCAATTTGTGCATATGTTAAACTGTGTACTTACAACTTTCTATCGATTAGACCACAGCTTAAAGTGCTGTTGTGCACCATACTGTGTTATGGCTCGTGTGTGTGTGTGACCCCATTTGTTACACTCCAGGCTGTCTAGGGGGCCTGGGGTAACAATTGAGGACGCATGTTCTTGTGGTAAAAGTAACAAAACAACATTTATTTACGTAAATAACACAGATTAACAAGACACATCAGCAGCAACGCAAAACGAGTAACAACTAAACTCTCATATTAACCAAATTAATACCAAAACTACAAAAGACCATCACATAATTTCCGAGTAATGTTTTATTTAAAGCAAGCGAAGGGGTAAAGTTTCCTCTACACCCTACACCTAAAAAAGGACTGACGGTTAAACACAGAGAGTTTTCTTAAGCACCCACCAAAGTTGTTACATAAAACTTAACAAAACAAAACAAAACAAACCAAACCAAACCAAACCAAACCAAACCAAACCAAACCAAACCAAACCAAACCAAACCAAACCAAACCAAACCGCTGCTGAGGAGACAACAGACCAGAGAGAACCTCCCTGGCCTGGTGCTCCCTGATCTTAGGGCTGGCTGACTTTTATGCTGCTAGAAGTCCTGATCATCAGGAACAGCTGGGAGAGTCTAATTGGGATGCAATTCAGTGAGATGGGAGACAGGTGCTGCATCTCCTCTCACACACACACACAGGGGAAATAAACCCAAATGGCCCTGGGCTGTAACATATGGTATCACTGTGGAGTTGTATACTGTTGATCTAAAGTGGAATTACCCTGTGGAAACAGCAATTTTCCATTTTAGAGCATTTTGAAATCGTTAAAAGAGTGGTCAAATATGGGCAATTTCAAATTGCTGTGGTTGGATAGTGTTGATACAAAATGCAACTACTCTTTGGAAATATGACTTTTGCTTTTAAGAGCATTCTGAAGTCATTGAAAGAGTAATTCAAAAATGAAAAATCACAGGGCTTTTACTTTGAAATCCAAAATAAGATGGCTTTGATATAGACAGGGCGCTAATAGTGAACAAGCCTAAATTATTTGTTATTGTGTTCTTTAAATATCTGATAATTCACTTGAAGTTGAATTTTATTTTGAAATCCAGTTTCCACATCCAGTCCCGTAATAATTTGAATAGACGGGGAACAGAAAACAAACTGGAGGCTGGCTTGACTGCAATGCTGGAATTGGAGGCTGGCTTGACACCAGTCCTTTAACGGGGTGTAGCTTGCTGTAGGATGGAGCTGGAGCTTTTCACGTTTTGCTCGTTGACAGGTTCACCGCGGAGGTCACGTGGTCCGAGCAGTCAGCTGCTCGCTGAGGTTCGGTGTTGATGTCACCGTTGGCGTCTGTCGTTTTAAAACCAGGCTGCCGACATTTTCGTTAAGGTGAGTTATAGACTCTCCGGGAGCGAGACTGTGTTATTGTGATCCTGCGTCGTGTTTCCGAGCTGATCTGAGACCAGTCCGCTGAAGATGGAGGCACTTTTATTCATAGGAGGATGTAAACACAGGTGGCCTCAGGCCAGCACCAGCTACAGCTCTGATGGTATCTGCTCAGCCTCTAGCTGAAAGGTTTTCTCCGTTCTGAAGAGCAAAGCCTTTAATTTACAGCAGATCTGCGTGCATTCCTACCAAATAAAGGGATTCGATTTTGTCACTAAATCAGATAATTAAATAACCTCAGAAATAGGCTACTTATATTCATAGGACGTGTTTTAATGAGACGTCTGAAGGTAAAATATAAATTAATTTAGGAACAAGCTTGTTTATGTGTTGTTGCAGGTGAGAGCGGGAAACTTAACCAGCAGTCAAGCCCTGACATGGCCCCAACTCTGGTGAGGATTTACCTCTCATTCCTCATTATTATTATTGTTATTATTAATGTTGTTATGATTATTATTATATATTATGCTTTAATTCACTGTAAAACACCTGTGTTTGACTGATGGTTTGTTGAGGACTCTAGTCTGGCCAAACGTCCAGATCCTGTTGAGAAAACAGTTGTTGCAACATGAAACATCTTTCTGTCTGCGTTCTGATCCCAGTACGATGAGAAACCAGAGCTGGGAGACATGATTGAGATCTTGCGTGGCTCTTATCAGCACTGGGCCATTTATGTTGGTGACGGATTTGTTGTCCACTTGGCACCACCCTGTGAGTCTCACACACACACAGTGTCTGTATTTTAGATCATAATATGACCTACTCACCCCAGCAGTCCCTCTCATGTTCTCCTGTTGTTTGTCTTTGCTCAGCCGACGTCCCGAGTGCGGGGTCCAGCAGCGTGATGTCCGTCCTGTCTGAGAAGGCTATAGTAAAGAGAGAGAAGCTGTGGGATGTGGTGGGGACTGACCAGTGGGTTATCAACAACAGCCTGGATAATAAGTACAAACCCCGTCCGGCCGATGTTATTGTGCAGGAGGCCTGTGCGCTGGTGGGCCAGGAGCTGTCCTACTGCATCTTCAGAGGCAACTGTGAGCACTTTGTCACTGAGCTTCGCTATGACAAGGCCGAGTCCCGGCAGGTAGGGTTTTTTATAGACACTTTGAGATGTAATAAAGAAGTATCTCTAAAGTGTGTGGACTGAAAGTCCCAGACTCCGACTCCAACAGCTCCATTTCCAGTCCTAACGTGGCGGCTCAGTTCCTAGTAGCCTGTTTTAGACATGGCAGATATTTGTAGTTCTTCTCCACCCTTCTCCTCTACAGGGTGTGTCCTTATTGAGACTTGTTCTGTAGGTTTGAGCTTTCAAGAAACCTTCTCTTGAATACAAGTGAACCTGTAAATTCTCCAGACACAAGAGCTAGCCTCACACGCAGCACATGGTGAAAGGTCACAGGATGCGGTTGCAAGAGCGAGCCAATAGGTGGTAAAAAGATCATCTCTTTATCACATGGTCGCCTCATATATCCTGGGCTTTGATCATCTCCATTACGGTGTTGAATTTTCATAAAAACTATGTTTGATCAAGATCTACCTTTTTCTTCATGGTTGCTCTTCTGCAGCGCAATAACGCACCTCCGGTTCTCTGCTGGTTGAAAGGTAGAATGCTCCATTTGGTTTGGGAGGAGGTATTTGCCTTAGAGCAAAGGAGTTAAATATTTTGATGTCAAGGGATGGAGGAGTTAGAGATGGATTGATACATCAAGGTTTAATGAGAGTGGAGCTCTGGAGCAACCGAGCCTCAACCCCCCGACCCTCACCTGTAGTCATGAGATCATGATGTTTGTTGGATCCTGATCAAAAGAACGAAACCCTGGCTGTATGAAGCTGAAATGAGCTGCTTATGTAGGGTGTCTGGGCTCTGTAAGGTCAGGAGCTCCAGGATCTTTAATAAGCAGAACAGAACAGATGAATTCAATAGCAAATTAAAACCCACAATATCAGTTTCACAGATTTCCTGTTTGAGATGCCATTAAATAGCTGGTTGACTTTTATTCTCAAACAGCAACACAATTAAAGAGCCTAAAGGATGTTTCCCTTCCAACTTTGGTGAGGCTCAGCATCTGCAGCGTGACTGGAAGCGTGGTCGGCTGGAAGGACCAATCCCACTCTCGGAAGGTCTTCCGTGACGGAAACGCGTCGGCTTTTTCTTGCTCTAATAAAAATGCCTCCCAGAGTGCCTCTGATCACCTATTTTTCTCCCTCATCTACATCCTGTGATTGACTAGATCCTGAAGAGCACCTGCAATACACACACACACACACACACACACACACACGCACGCACGCACGCACGCACGCACGCACACACACACACACACACACACACACACACATATATGTATATATTTTTTAAATATTCCCCACAGATGCACTCACTTTCACCAGTTTTTGATTAGAGTAATTTTTATTATTTTTAAAGGGATGTTCCACACAAAATTGATTTTTTTTGTCTGTTGACATATTCCCCAGCGTTAGAGAAGTGGGGAAAACAATTTGTAACCAGCCCAGTTCTCCTGACCCGGTGTCGGTACAGGATCTGCTCGGGTACAAGATCGGCTCTGGGTCCTTCGACTGCCGATGACGTCAAAGTAGTTGATTGGCTGAACATGAACCTTACGGAAGTTATGTAATCATATTACGTTGTTATCACGTTACGTTAGTCCAGGCAAATTTTTCTGTTGGTAAGATGGACAACTTATACCAAGAAATCCATCATTACCTCTTTGAAAATACACTTTTAGCACAGAGCTGCATGTATATTAGGGCTGAACGATTAACTGCATGTGCAATTAAATTGCGATGTGACAAAAGGAGATTTTCTAATCGCAAAGGCTGCAATTTGGCAGCGAGTGGTTAGTGCAATGCTAATATACATGGAAAAACCCATAGGAATGCTAATACTAATATCACCGATTACATTCTTACAAATTATGAATTAGAAACATGCTAAATGATTAAATTTGGAGTCTAATAGAAAGTAAAACCATCAATCAAATAAGTACAGACAGGTATTTTAGTAAAGCCAGAAAAGTTTTAACTCCAGAGTTTTGGCTAGCAGCTATGAGCATAACTGAACTACGCATGAACAAGACGTCAAAAACTCTAAACACAAAATACTTCGATAAACAGGACACACTTCTTTCCTGCAAATACAATTTCACAGGTGTTGCTAATACCTATGATCCTTCAAGGGATGTGCTCAAAGAGGAGTTCAACATTATGAATACAATATACAGGTGCTGGCCAGTAAATTAGAATATCATCAAAAGGTTGAAAATATTTCAGTAATTCCATTCAAAACGTGAAACTTGTACATTATATTCATGCAATGCACACAGACCAATGTATTTCCGATGTTTATTACGTTTAATTTTGATATTTATAGGTGACAACCAATGAAAACATCAAATCTGGTATCTCAGACAATTAGAATATTCTAAAGGCCAATGAAAAAATGTTTGTTTCTCTAATGTTGGCCAACTGAAAAGAATGAACATGAAAAGAATGTGCATGTATAGCACTCAATACTTAGTCGGGGCTCCTTTTGCCTCAATAACTGCAGTAATGCGGCGTGGCATGGATTCGATCAGTCTGTGGCACTGCTCAGGTGTTATGAGAGCCCAGGTTGCTCTGATAGTCGTCTTCAGCTCCTCTGCATTGTTGGGTCTAGCGTATTGCATCCTCCGCTTCACAATACCCCATAGATTTTCTATGGGGTTAAGGTCAGGCGAGTTTGCTGGCCAATCAAGGACAGGGATACCATGGTCCTTGAACCAGGTGCTGGTGGTTTTGGCACTGTGTGCAGGTGCCAAGTCCTGTTGAAAGGTGAAGTCTGCATCCCCATAAAGTTGGTCAGCAGCAGGAAGCATGAAGTGCTCTAAAACTTCCTGGTAGACGGCTGCATTGACCCTGGACCTCAGGAAACAGAGTGGGCCAACACCGGCAGATGACATGGCACCCCACACCATCACTGACGGTGGAAACTTTACACTGGACCTCATGCAACGTGGATTCTGTGCTTCTCCGCTCTTCCTCCAGACTCTGGGTCCTTGATTTCCAAAGGAAATGCAGAACTTGCTTTCATCAGAAAACATAACTTTGGACCACTCAGCATCAGTCCAGTCCTTTTTGTCCTTGGCCCAGGCGAGACGCTTCTTGCGCTGTTTCTTGTTCAAGAGTGGCTTGACACACGGAATGCGACACCTGAATCCCATGTCTTTCATGAGTCTCCTTGTGGTGGTTCTTGAAGCGCTGACTCCAGCTGCAGTCCACTCTTTGTGGATCTCCCCCACATTTTTGAATGGGTTTGTCGTCACAATTCTCTGCAGGGTGCGGTTATCCCTAGAGCTTGTACACTTTTTTCTACCACATTTTTTCCGTCCCTTCGCCTGTCTGTTAATGTGCTTGGACACAGAGCTCTGCGAACAGCCAGCTTCTTTAGCAATCACCTTTTGTGTCTTGCCCTCCTTGTGCAAGGTGTCAATGATTGTCTTTTGGACAGCTGTTAAGTCAGAAGTCTTCCCCATGATTGTGGTGCCTTCAAAACAAGACTGAGGGACCTTTTAAAGGCCTTTGCAGGTGTTTTGAGTAAATCAGCTGATTAGAGTGGCAGCAGGTGTCTTCTATATTCAGCCTTTTCAGAATATTCTAATTTTTTGAGATACCAAATTTGGAGTTTTCATTAGTTGTCACTTATGAATATCAAATTTAAATGTAATGAACATTGGAAATACATTGGTCTGTGTGCATTGCATGAATATAATGTACAAGTTTCACGTTTTGAATGGAATTACTGAAATATTTTCAACCTTTTGATGATATTCTAATTTACTGGCCAGCACCTGTAGTGTTTTATTTTACAAAAACCATTATAAACACAAACTTACGTCGTAAGATATAACAAAACTGCTAAATTCTTTCCAACAGTATGAAGATGTGTAGTGTATTTTTTCCGAGTGGGTTTGCCGTACTTTGATGTCATCGGCAGTCGAAGGACCCCGAGCCGATCTTGCACCCGAGCAGATCCTGTACCGACACCGGCTGTACCCCTTTAGCTTTAGCTTAGCATAAAACAGTAAGTGAATAAATACAACCAGCACTGTGAGTAAACAAACTCAGTACTGATCCCAATTCTGCTTGGTGACCTAAATAATCAGACTGACTACAAGTGAAAATAACTAGTAACATAAAGAAATCACTGGCACCATTTTAGACTTGGGACTACTTTATAACAAAGCACAGCTGTAAGCCTCCACTGGCAGCCCCAAAGACACCTGCTTCTGTAAACACAGATGTTGTTAGTGAACCGACATTAATACATTGTTTTCAGTTGGTCCACATAACTAAAAAATTTGTTTTTTCATTGGTCTTAATTGGTATCCTATTATTCTGAGATACTGAATTTGGGATTTTCGTTAGTTGTAAGTTACAATCATTGACATTAAAGAAATAAACATTTGAAATATATCATTCTGTGTGTAATGAATGTATCTAATGTACAAATTTCATCCTTTGAATGTACCGTAAATCCTCTAATATTAGCCTGTATTTAATTAACTGCTGGGTATCATATTTTGGCCGGTGTCGGAGTCGGAAGCAGAAACTACCGTTGTTAAAAGAAATGTGTTTAACTTTGAAAATGTAGGCGCAATTTTAATTGTCAAAAACTCCAGCGAACCATTAGTTCATTTTGCTCAAATAGATAATTCTGATCCTCCTTCCAATAAAGGCCCGGAGCTTGATGAGCTTGAGTCAAATACAGGCCCGGGCCTGTATTGGAGGATTTACGGTAAATACTGAAATAAATCAACTTTGTCTTGATATTCTAATTTCATGACCCAATACCACTTATAGGATCACATGGTTTCTTTTTTTTTTTTAAACAAAATACTAAACAAAAATGAGGGTTTTTGATGCACACATTTACACGAATGAAGGTGTGTTTGTTCTCCTGCAGGCGCAAAAGGCAGGAGAGATGGTGATGATTGCAGGCGTCGCTGCAGCTGTGGGTTTTGGGGTTGTTGCTCTGGCGGGAGCTCTGTTTGGAAGAAGCAAAAAGGAGAACAAGAACACCCAGTGATGGAGTCCATGTCGGCCTCTTTGAGACCAGCAAAGGCCCACGTCTCATGATTAACACTAATTATCCTAATCAACATCAAACCGGTTCAATCCCGCTTTTTCCGTCTCCTCTAACTGCCCCTCATGGGTTTGAGAAACAAAAGTGGTGAGTTTTTCCAATCGTCGCCCCTCAGCTTCAGGGTCTTTAGATTTTCTACACAGAATACAAAGCTGTTCACTGATGAAGGTGCCATGTTTATACAGACAGATGTTTTAAAATATTTTAAATATATAAATAATGTACACTGAGATGGATTTTTGTATTTATACACCTTTAAAATTTTAAATGAAAAACTGCTTTTGACTATATGAAGGAAAATATGAATCAAATTTAAAAGTAAAACAGTGAATTTCCAGTGACGATTTCTTAACGTTTTCATAGTTATTTGATGTTCTGTCGTATAATGAAAGCATGTCCACTACTCACAGAAAGGTCCTAAGAAGCCATTGTGTCTTCTGACATTTAACTGTATGCTAATAGTTTAATAAATGATGTAAATGTGTGAATCGTGTTGGTACTTTCTGAAGTAGCTATCAAAAATTAACATTTAATTGCAGGTTTAAGCATTCCTGAAGGGGTTGATTAAAAAACACATTCAGGTTATTTTTAACCTGGTTTCATAACTTCCTGGCTGAAGCAGGTGTGATGATATATTGTTTGAATTAAGGAAACAGCAACTATTATGTGTAAAACACTAATGAGGCATTTGAAGTGGAAAAGTACGGCAGATCATTGTAGCGTAAAATCAAACTATGCTCCCACTTTCACAAGATGATTTAACACTGGTCTCAAATGCTTCAGTTCAACCAGCAGTTCCCTTTAGTAATAATTTGGTAACACTTTACCATAAGGGTCCCTTTATTAACGTTACGTAGTGCATTATTAAGCATTAATAAACAAAGGATCCCTCTATTAACATGCCCAATATTAACTATTAAGTGTTCTTAAGGTTAGGACAAAGGGCCAGGGGGATTTGCTTATTAATGCATTACTCAATAAGCAGTTAATACTTTTAATAGGTTACGGATGCTTAATAATGCACTAAGTAATGTAAAGAAGCCCTTATTGTTAGGCGTTACTAATAATTTTGTTGCAGAAATTCACAATATTCACTTTAAATATGAAAAATGTGAATGTGAGCATGAACTACGTGAGTCACGAGTGTTTGAGGTAACTGGAGTAATAATTGCTGGTGGGGAAAAAGTTTTTCCAGGTTTTGGAAACATTATAACAACAAAAGAGAGTTGAATAGTATTGAATATCGTGGTTAAATGTCTGAGATTGTCATGAAGCATCTAATAAACTTTAATTTTATTTTAAAGATAAAACATTACTGCAACGGATGTAGATCTTCACCAGAACCTTAGATCTGGAGGTGTTTCCTACAGGTGTCTACCTGCTGCTCTTTAGATTGATTTTAAAAATAAACAATCATTAAAGATGGCTGAACTGGAAGAAATGTAATAATCTTGAGGTTTTTGGAAAAGAAGAGTTGTAGATTATATAAAAAGTGCCTCCCAAATCAGTTTTAACAGGATTCTCCAGATCCAAACACAACAAAAGACACCAGGAGTATCCCTTTAAGCTGTCGGGCCCTGATCCTCAGCCAAACAGTCCAACAAATTCATTGCATTTCCCATCTGGGGGGTTCCAGATACAGCTGCTGGGCTGTGAGGGATGGTTGCTGCTTTATGAAGAATGAAGACATGAATGAACAGATTCCATAAAACTCATCAGATTTAATCAGCAATGTAAGTTGCCAAAGCTCTAAGCACAATCGGGGCTAATTCTTTGTGTCCAATTCCTGACCATGACACTGATGTGCTCTCCTATCACTTCAGTCATCATGTCTGCAGTTAACCATACAACAATTTTTCTATTAAAACAGGCTTTTATAAGCTCAGAACACAGTTCTTTGCTATAATTACAGAGTGCAGACACCCAAAAGTCCAGTAAGACAAAATAAAAATGAAGAAAAAAAAGGAGAGTATTATTCATACATATAAATTATTTAAACAGAATTAGTTCTGTCTCTGACATCTTGACAGCATGGTAGCACACTGCTGGCAAAGCTGAGCGTTGAGCTCAGAAACTTAGAATCAGAAAGAAAGATCTTGGAGTTATAAATAGAACATGAAGTGAAGGAGGGGTGGAACGAGAGGAGGCGGAGGCGTACCTGTGGGCTCAGACACAGCTGAGTTAGCAAGGAACAGGTACCACGATGGGTACTGATGGGCTATAAAGGGCGCCATAGTGGGGGGCCAAGAGAAGTCAACAGAAACAGAGGAATGCCCCAAAAAATGAGGAAAAAAAGCAATAAAGTGAACTTAATATCAGATGGAAGACTTGCTGAGCTGGAAGAGGATGAAGGATGTAAAGAGGAAATGATTAGACAAGTCAAATTACCAAAAAAAAAAAGAGCCTGTGTTTAGGTCACAAACATGTTCTCAGGTTGAGAGCTGCTGGGAGTGAGTCATGCCTGGAATGAAGCTCATTCAGCATCTTGGTGTTTGTGAGTGATGGTAGGATGGAGGAAGATATGGAGTAATAGATCAGACCCTCATCTGCAGTAATGGGTGCAAAGCTCTGGACTACCATTATAAAGAGGGAGCTTAGTTGACCTTTTGGTCCATCTATTATACAAAGCTGAGCTACGATCATGGCTGGATCACGACCAAAAGAATTATTTCCTGGGAGAGGCAGCTGAAATGGGTTTCAATTCAATTCAATTCAAAAATACTTTATTAATCCCAGAGGGAAATTGATTGCTGTAGTAGCTCATAATAATATTAATAATAATCAAGTCATCAAATAGTTATTGTATATTACAATGGCTGTTGGCAGGAAGGATCTCCAGTAGCGGTCAGTGTTGCAGCGAAACTGAAGAAGCCTCTGACTGAAGACACTCTTCCGTTGTCGGACAGTCTTGTGAAGAGAATGCTCAGGGTTGTCCATCATTTTCTTGATTCTCTTCTTTGCATTATCTCTTCCAGTGGTTCCACAGTCGTCCCCAGAACAGAACCAACCTTTTTTATTAGGCTGTTGAGCCTTTTCAGGTCCCTGCTTCTGATGCTGCTACCCCAACAGACGATGGCTGAAGAGATTACACTCTCAACAACAGACTTGTAGAAGATCTGCAGCATCTTGCTACAGACATTGAAGGACCTAAGCGTCCTCAAGAAGTGCAGTCTGCTGTGTCCCTTCTTGTAAACGGCTTCGCTGTTCTTTCTCCAGTCCAGTCTGTTGTCCAGGTGAAATCCGAGGTATTTGTATTCCTCAACCACCTCAACTTCTTCTCTCATGATGGAAACAGTGTTTGACTCCACCCTGTTTCTTCTGAAGTCTAAAATCATCTCCTTTGTTTTGTTCACGTTCAAGGTCAGATGATTGTTTCCACACCATGCCACAAAGCGCTCCACCAGCTCTCTGTACTCAGCTCCCTGTCCATCTCTGATACACCCGACAACTACAGAGTCATCTGAGTATTTCTGTAGATGACAGGTCTCTGATTTGTACTGGAAGTCTGAGGTGTACAGGGTGAAAAGTAATGGTGAGAGTACAGTCCCCTGTGGTGCTCCAATGTTACTGATCACCTGGTTTGATGTCAGTTCTTCAGCCTCACAAACTGTGGTCTGTTTGTCAGGTAATCTTTAATCCAGGCGATAGTTGAGGCCCCCACCTGTGTCTTCTGGAGTTTCTGGCAAAGTACATCAGACTGAATTGTGTTAAATGCACTTGAGAAATCAAAGAACATGACCCTCACAGTGCTGCCTGCTTTGTCCAGATGACAGTGATATTCTGCGATATTCTTCTTCATCCTTGACCAGGCATCTCTGATATTGTTCCTCTGTAGTTTATTCTCCAGCTTCTTCCTGTATGCCTCCTTGCTGTCTCTGATCTTGGTTGAAGCAGCTGGATGATGGCATCTTCAACTCCAACTCCATGGCAATAAGCAAATTGCAGCGGGTCCTGATATGTTCTAGTTTGCTTATTCAAGTGGACCAACAGGAGTCTCTCCAGGACCTTCATGATGTGGGATGTTAGGGCAACCGGTCTGTAGTCGTCATTGACTGATGGGCAAGTTTTCTTTGGAACTGGAACAAGGCAGGATGTCTTCCACAGGACTGGAACCTTCTCCTTGGCCAGGCTGAGGTTGAAGAGGTGCTGCAGTATCCCACAGAGCTGCTCTGCACAGGCCTTCAGTACTCTGGGGCTGACACCATCTGGACCTGCAGCCTTGTTCCTGTTCAGTCTCTCCAGCTGCCTCTTCACCTGACTTCTAGAGACAGGTGGGAGGGGGAGTTAAATGTGGCAGCAGCATCTCCTGACTTGGTTGAAGACAGATTTATAGAACCAGAAGAGTCCATGACTGCATTAGAGGACGAAAGAGCTGGCGTGTGACAGGAAAATGTAGGATCAGTGGAGGATGGGATGTCTGATTGGCTGGGGACAGGCGAGGAGGATGCTGGGTTTGTTCCTGAACTGAACCTATTGAAGAACTTGTTCAGTTCATTGGCTGTGTCCAGGCTGCTATCTGTGCAGTCCTTCCTCTGCTTGAAGCCTGTGATCTTCTTCATCCTTGACCAGACATCTCTGATATTGTTCCTCTGTAGTTTATTCTCCAGCTTCTTCCTGTATGCCTCCTTGCTGTCTCTGATCTTGATCTGCAGTTGCTTCTGTATACTCCTCAATAATTCCCTGTCTCCCTCATTGAAGGCTCTTTTTTTCTCATTTAGCAGATTCTTCAGTTCACTGGTGATCCAGGGTTTGTTATTAGTGAAGCATCTCACTGTTCTGGTGGGTATAATGTTGTTCACACAGAAGTTTATATAGTCAGTGACACATCCAGTCACGGCATTGATGTCCTCTTCATATCCGTGGCAAAGAGTCATCCAATCTGTGGTTTCAAAACAACCCTGCAGGGCTTCTTCAGCATCCTGGGACCATTTGCTCACAGTTCTTCTTGTCACAGGTCACCTCTGAACAAGTGGTTTGTATTCTGAGCAGAGAAAAACAAGATTGTGATCTGATTGTCCCAGAGGGGGTCTTGTTTTGGACATGTATGCATTCTTTTCATTTGCATAACACAAATCCAGTGTCTTGTTTTCTCTGGTGGAGCAGCTGAAAAACTGGTAAAATGTTGGAAGTGTAGCAGAGAGCGAGGCATGATTAAAATCACCAGATATAGCCACAAATGCATTGAGGTGCTGGGTTTGTAGCTTAGCGACAACGGAACTGATGACATCACATGCATTTTCAGCAATGGCTGAAGGTGGAATATAAACGGATGCCAAGACAACACTGGTGAACTTTCTTGGCAAATAATATGGGCGACAACTTACTCTCAAGAGTTCAACATCTGGGCTACAGAGATGACATTTCACTGAAACATGACCTGGATGGCACCGTCTGTTGTTGACAAGCACTGCCACTCCACCTCCTTTTCCTTTCCCGCTCCTCTTCAGATCTCTGTCTGCTCGTACAGTCAAGAATCCTGGCAGAGAGATGCTGGAATCAGGGATATGGTCCTGCAGCCATGTCTTGGTGAAACACATAACACTGCACTGCCGATACTCTGGCTGAGTCCTTGAAAGGGCTTGGAGTTCATCCATCTTATTGGCCAGTGATCTCACATTGCCCATTATGGTCAATGGAAGAGATGGTTTGAATTTCCTCTTTCTCTGTCTCTGTTTTGCTCCTGCTCTGCACCCACGCTTCTTGCGTTTTTAGCTCATTTGAGATTGTGGCTTCAGTTGAGGTATTATTTCAGCCTTCCCAATGTTAATCAGCTGCTCCCGATTGTAAACCAGCTTGTTGCCATGGTTGCGCATCATAAATGCTCAAAAAGTGAAAAAATAGCAGTAAAAATCCTCCAAGCTTCACAACACCAGAAACAGAAAAGTAAAATGTCCAAAAAATACTATTCCTCCAAAGAAACCAGAAGAAAAAATGTCATAGAAAAGGCAAAACTTACACATGGTCAACAGAGCTAATCCAACATGCAGCCACCCAGAGTAGCGCAGTTCTGGAATGGTTGGGACTGGTTGGGAACAGTTTCCTCTGTATGGTTGGGATCAGCTTTATAATAATGAGAAGGTGAGACAAACCAAAGCTGAATCTGACTGTGTGTTTTACAAAAGAGAAATTAACGAATTAGAGCAGGGAGTAGATTACTATCAGCATACGGCAGAGACCCGTAATAAAACGGTGTAGACTTTACAAAACATGCTTCAGAGCAAAGAAAGTCTCTGTGAGAGTCTGCAAAAACGTTCAAAGCAGGAGTCACTGCTGAGATACAACTTAGCTCAAGAAAAACAGAAGAGTGAAAACGAATATATAATCAATATTAAGTTACAGAAGGAAATTGGAGAATTACACAAGGAGAATAAAAATCTTTTAAACAAGCTGGAGAATTTTTCCTCCATGAAAAAGGAGGCAGATGAGAAGATGAATATTTTCAGGTAAAATATGCTGTTTTTTATACATAATCTTAACATTCATGGTAACAGTAATGATAACAAATATAATATTGAATACATTTTGCAGTTTTAAGCTAAGATTTCTCTGGAAAATGGAGGAGATCTCATGCCACCACTCCAGCCAGGCCCAGTTTCCACAGCAACCACAACCAGCTCATCATCAACCTCATTCAAACCACCTGTCTCACATTAACTCATCAGCTCCACCTGCAACACTCTCACCAGGACCAACACCAGGCCAGTGCTGCCCCCTGCTGGTGAAATAAAACCAGACACTACTTCTCAGATGAGTTAAATCCAGGATGAGAGTTGTTCCCATCCTCAGGGCGGAAGGATCTCGCTCCATCAAAAAGAAGCATATCATTAAGACTTTTGTTCTGTTCAGTGCACATGTGCTTGAAGCTGGCAGGAACGGACGTAATGGCGCAAATACGGAAAGCAGCTGTGGACAATATCAATTAACTCAAAGACCTATTAGATACAAATTGACATGATTACATCGGATTTAATTACTAGCTTCTAGATGTTTTGAATTTTTGTGCTGTTGTTTAAATACAATGAAAATAGGTTGTGTTTGAGTTAAAAACGTAATTTTAAGTATTTATTTGAAAATAAAACAGTTGCATAAAACATCAAAAGTTCACTTCTTAGAATGTAGCGGCAAATTTACGCATGTGGAGAGGTGGGCTGGATGCTTTGCTTTTACTGGAAAATAGATTTTTTTTCCAAAAAAGTCAAAAGATTTTGCCTGGTGAATAACCGTAAAAACTACCAGTGTGCATGAAAAATGAATGAAAATTAAATTGTGAATTTTTTACTTTATATTTTAGAAATAAAAAGGACGGGGGAAAACATTTATCACGTCTTTTTAAACGCGACTTACCTGCTTCACTTACGTCACTGCTTATTAAGGCCCGTCCAAAATTACTGTGGCCCACCCAAAAATGAAAACCTGACGCCGCGCCTGAGGAGGCAAACTTTTACTCTCATAATTTCAGACACCGACAGCAGACATCATTTGTGACTCAAAACTGGACTTTGATTTTCCACCAGTGTGTCTCTGTAACCACGCTGTTCCTTTTACAGTCTGCACCCACTCACAAACAGTAAGACAGTGTTAAATGTGCAAAGTAAAGACAACGCCTTGGTGGGTTTTCTTTGTAATGAGGGCATGCACAGCCAGAGCTGAACTGAAACAGTCCTCTCCATGGTGTGTCTGCGTACGTATATTGACAACATTCAGCATCTTATTACATTTGATTTAGAACTTTGATATATGTCTTTTAAAAAACAACAACATATTTTAAAGACAAGATGCAACAGGTATATACATTTACTGTATAACAGCAGCTTTAGGTTCTTTTCTTCAGGTCTGTTGGATTTCTGTCTCCATCTTTATCTTCATCAGTTCATTAATGAGGAAGGACAGAAAACCCAAAACCATCAGTTCATCAGTGGCCAACAGGAACCTCTTTTTCCTCGTTTAAGGGACTCTCTCTTGGTGGACCCTCCATCTACTCCACCATGGTCCATGATCCAGCCTCTCCGTTCCCACTGGGATCAGAATCAGTCCAGTTTGCGCGCTCCCAGCTTTAGAGGACCTTTAGCAGCTTTCCTCTCCGCTCGTTTGGCCTCCAGCTCTTTCCTCCTCTCCTCACGTTTCTTTTTGGACAGCTCTGCTTTGCTGGGGTCTGACAGGAAACAGAGACGTGGAAAAAAAGTAGTAGATTTAGACTTGAGGATATTTTTTGTTGTTTTGTTTGGTCCTATATTTAGGACATCACATCCCATTTGCTCTCGCACTGCCTCCGACAGCTACCTGCAACTCCTGCACTCATGAACTGAAAACAAAAATAATCTAAGGACTTTTGTTTAAACAGAATCAGACTGCAGCTCATGTTAGACTGAGAACTCTGCTCTCTGAGATACTTTCACATTTACTGAGATGCAGCTTTGGAGGATTTACAAAAGTACCAAACATAACTGGGGCTGAAAAGATCTGAATCCCACAAACTAACAAGTAATAAACTGGGATCCCACACGATTCATCAAGTTAAAGTCTTTTAAAGAACTTTTCAAGAGCATTTTATAAAAACGTATGACCTATTTACAGCCCCATCGGCAAATAAAATCTAAATTCTTGAACTTGTGTTCATTTAATACTCAAAGAAATGTGGAATGTGTGAAACAAGCAGAGGTGTGAAAAATCTAAGAATATTTCAGCAGGCCACAGGAAAGTTTGTTTTGCAAGTTGTTTTTAACATTGGTTTGTGTTTTTTACGTTAGCTAGCTACTTATTCAACTCTGGGAATATGGGGAGTAGAGAGACTCTTGAACAATAAACAATTAAAATCACAACTCAACAGTTAAATGAAAGCCAACTCCTTGGGAGATGGACCTTCTGCGTTGCATTCTCATAATTGGTTCTGCCCATCTTTATTTAGGCTACATTATTTAAAGCAGTTGTGGTTGACAAATTAAACTTAAGGAGAAATGCTCTACTTGAAGTTAAAACAGTAGGGCTGCAGCTACCAAATATTTTAGTAATTTAATATTCTAAAGAATTTTCTGTCGATTAATCAAATAATCGGTTTGATAACCCTTTTTAAGTGTGGGGAAAATTCTACTGAGTTTTTTTTTATTTAAAAATCCACTCGTATGATTCCTTTTCAGAAAAGGACACCTTTTACTAAACAACAACAAACCGTGTGAAAACTAATCAGTGCAACTGCAATGTCCCAGAACAGGGGTGCCCCATCCTGGAGGGTTTGAGGTATTTCACTGCTCTCACACACCTGATTTTAATCAGCAGGTAATTGACACCTTTCTGCAAAACTTGATGAGCTGCTGAACATCAGGAACTGAATTGGGTGTTTTGGAGCAGGTAAACAACTAAAAGATGCTGGATAGAGGCCCTCCAGGACTGTCCTAGAAGGAGGTGTATCTGGGATTGAAGGTCATCTTCTGGGAGCCATCCTCTACCACTGAATGAGGGTGCATGTCTCTGATAATTATGATTAATATCCTGTCTGTCAGCTCAGCAGCTCAAACGAACACAGAGCCACACTTCTGACAAAGATGTCCCAACCAGACTGGTCTGCGATATGAAATAAAACAAGTAAATTATTATTATTATTATCAGACTCTTATTACATTAGTCTAGTTCCCTGTTTCACATCTGATATTATTGCTAATTATTATTCCACATACTAAATAGTTTGGAATAATATCACTCACTTTTCTCAAAAGAACATATCTAAATACATCCACATATGATCTGTAGACATGACCGTATGTTTTTAACACGTTCAGAAGTAAACTACTGGAAAATGTTAATAACATTTGGGGATTTTCCTTCTGCTTGAGGAGTTCATTCATTATTAGTTTCACAATGAACTTGTTTTTTTTTTCCAGCCTCCACTCGATTGTGAATGTGCTACCTGCTAGCATTAGCATTAGCAAACCAGTAAAAATGATTTGAGGAATTTATGCAAACTACGAGTATTTGTTTCAGGCCCAAAATACAGCACAACTACGGTCCGCCGGGCAACGCCTGCTAATGTAGCAGTTTTCAAAATTGATGTGCGAGTGGAGAAGAACTCTTGAGGCAGGGTTGACGATCACTTTAAGGCCCAAGATTTCAAAACTCTAAACTTTTTCAAGGCTTTTTAAGGTATTTCCAAATTCGTAAATTCACTGCTTGTGAAGCCTAATTTATACTTCTCCGTCTGCTTCGGGACGGAGACAGCCTTTATTCGTCCTTGCGAGCCTGCTGGAGCAACCTCGCAAGGATGGACGGATCTGTCGAGACGGAGAACGCAAGCTTGTGATTGGTCAGGACGCTGCTGTCGTCTACGGCGCCGCCATTGCGCCCTCAAAAACAGAGAGCTGAGAATATCTAGCGGCAGACACGGAGAAACTTGAAGAATACCTCGCAGAAAATCTCTAAAAATATGAAAGTTTTATTCATCCTTGACGGGAGGAGAGAAAAGATACGCAGCAAGCGTTTTATTCGTGGACGGAAATGATGAGAAACGTGGGTTTGGAGGTGGCGAGCACATGAAGAGGTGGAGGAGAATGAGACAAATTTGTCCGTGTCAAAAAGTCTATTAAATAAAAAAATAAAATATAAATACTATCTTGGACCAGATACATGACAGGATACCACAGAACAGCGCTACGCCCTCTGTTGTCCCGGCGGGGAATTGATTTGCGACATCCCCAGCAGACGGAGAAGCATGAGAGCAACACCTCTCCGCCTGTGTGTGCGTGTCTCTCCCTCTTGGAGCTGACGGAGAAGTATAAACTAGGCTTAAGACGTTTTAAGACCGTGTAGAAACCATGATAACGCTGTTTGCTTGATTGGTAAACAGACCCAGCTTTAGTGGGACTTACTCTGACTTCCATCCACCGACTCCCAACTCTCCTCAGCCCCCCAGTCTCCTACAGCCTCGGAGACCCAACCGTCACCAGTCTGTCATGAAGAAACAGAAAAACATAGCTGAACACTCATCTACTGTTGTAATTTTTAGTTTTAGCTGAGTGGAAATCTGAAGGATGACAAATGTAAACTAATTAAATGGAACAGCTGAGACCGTTTAATGTTTTACTGAACGAAGCAAACACAGACCAGAGAGCAGCGCTGTTGACTTAAACATCATAAAAATGACGTTTGAGACCGGTTTCCAGAAAGAAAATGATGCACCACTTCCTTACTGTGTTAGCAGCAGCGCTCCTCTGGGACACACTAGCAAACAGATCGTTCTGCGTGACTCCTTTCCCCGAGCTGTCCCAGTTGTACTCGCTGGCTAACCTCACACCTTCGGGCAGGTCTAGCATCGTACTGGTGGAGGTCACGTCTGTCTCCTCCTCCCCCCAGTCATTGCCCCAGCCCTCCTCGCCTGCAGAGCTCTGACCCTGGCCTTCTTTCTCATTGGACCAGCTATCATCAGCGTCCCAGCCTGAGCTGCTCCAGTCTGAGCTCTGTGTCTTCACTGCCATGGCGGACGACGAGCGGCCTGTCTGTGGATTGAAAGTGATTATTACCTTAAGTGAAACCTAACTAAAGCCGTTTTATCACTCATCTAAAACAGATCATCAGCTCCTACTCCTCTGCTGTTGCCCTTCTTCTTAGACGACGCTGTCCCCGGCCAATTGGTGTTCCAGTCATCGCTGAGCGTTTTCTCTGGCTCCTTAGGAGAAAGAAAGCACGACTTTATAATATCTAACAACTGGCCACTCTACAAAAACGTTCTCTCTCAAGAAATCTACCTCCAAACTCCCCCAGTCCTCCTCGTCATCCCAGCGCTCTCCAGCCGCCTCATCATCCTGGTCTGTGAACTGATGGGACTGGGACGTGTTTGTGCGACCAGATGCATCGTGGTGAGTCACGGAGGCTCGAGGAATTGTATCTTCTAAAACATGAGAGAGAGGAGGTGACAAAACTCACAGGACGGGTTTTATACCAGCAGAGCTATATACATCGTGAGGAGCCAGTTGAGATGGCTCTGGCATCTGGTCAGGATGTCTCCTGGACTCCCTGGTGAGGTTTTCCGGGCACGTCCAACAAGGAGGAGACCTAAAGGGAGACCCAGGACACGGTGGAGGGACTAGGTCTCTCACCTGGCCAGGGAACACCTTGGGATTCCCCCGGAGGAGCTGGCCCAAGTGGCTGGGGAGAGGGAAGTCTGGGCCTCTCGCCTTAGGCTACTGCCCCCGCGACCAGACTCCGGATAAGCGGATGAAAATGGATGGATGAAGAGCTGTATACCATTTTATACCTTTGTTTGTAGTTGATTCTTCATCTGTGGCACTGGCTTGATTGGTTGTACTGGCCGGCCCACTGCTGTCCGACGCTGACCCCCCGTCTGCTCCAGGAGTGTTGCGGATCAGTTTAGAGGTTAGCGAGGACATGCCGGTCACCGCCCAGCCGGCCCAGCTGGAGGAGGCTCCTGCAGGCTGAGCACACGACCCCACGTCCTTCTCTACAGGAGGAACAAGGAAATGGTTTCTGAAACACCCACAGAAAGCACATCCTCACGTTTCTCTACGTATTCTTCTATGTCCAATGTTTTTTGTTTAAAAGCATTTCTTTAGGGTGGCGGTATGATTCATCACTTCCACCCTCATCTAGCTCGCACGTACCGATCTCAGACAGCTTGTTTGGATCTTCTGAAACAGCCTCCAGTTTGGAAAGGAAGCTCTTGATGGCTTTAAATGTCTGACAGAAAACAGAACAGCAGATCAGACATCAAACAGTGAAAAGCGTCCTGAACATGTAATTAACTTCTCCCAAAGGTTAGGGCTCATTTCTCGATGTTTCTAATGTTCCACACCTGATCTCTGACGTTCTTGTTAGGGTCCACGGTTACAGCACAGAGGGTGGGCAGGATTCGGCCGGCGATCTCGGTTACGCTGTAATAGTTGTGTGTAGCAGCGAAGCCCAGCACACCAGCTGAGCGGGATGCAGGAAACGGGTCTTTAGTGGCTCGCGAAAAGGCTGAAATCAGAACTCGCTCTCGAGTCTGGGAAGAAAAGAGGAAGAAAAGAGCACGTCACCATTCTGTTCACATCGGCTACCGCTAGCTGCACACATCAAATTCAAATCGCTAGCACTAGCATACAACGTCCTGGATGGTACAGCTCCCATCTACCTGAATCCCCTTGTAAAGGCTTACATCGCGGCTCGGTCATCAAAGGATCGTCAGCTAGCACGACGCAATCCACTCTTTTCATGTGTCGTTCCACAGATGTGGAATGACCCATCAAGCACTACTAGAACAGAGGCTTCTTTAATTTTCAAGAAACTCCTGAAGACCCAACTCTTCAAAGAGCTAGCATCAGCCCTGCACCCGTCCCCCACTCTACTGCACGCTCCATGTTTAATTTCCTTTATGACTCATTATGCTGCCTCACTGCCACCCAGGAGTGACTGATTAGTGTTTGTTGTTAGCCTCAAGGGCAACCTGCAGGCTTCATTATGACTCGTAAGTCGCCTTGGACAAAAGCGTCGCTAATACATAAACATAAAATGAGAATTAAACCCCCTAACCTGTTTAAAACTAAAGCATCACACGCTAAATACGGATGTATTTTACCCCAGCGTTAAGGTAGGAGGCAATCTTTCCCAGACAAACGGTGGTATTGCAGCGGATGGGGCCTTGCTCGTCTCTGGCCTGCAGCCGGGCGAAGTGCCGCATCAGCTCTTGGTTCAGGTTGGTCTCGTTCAGTTTGGGCGCCAACAGTAACATCGACTATAGGAGTTGTATTGGGTTAATCCAGGTGAATACAACTGCTTCTGTTTGGTGTTTTTATTTATTGCACACTGCTCACCTTAACGGTCTGTTCTCTGATGGCAGGGTTGGTGTCGGTGAATCCGTGAACAACATGAGGAAAAATCTGGGAATTAACTGCAGCCTCGTTCAGATACTGAATGAACTGCTCCATCTGAGTAACAGAGAACAAAAACAAGCTATCGTTATTAAAAAAAATAGTGAATAATGTGATTTTTCCTCTGGTTTAAACACAAATGCAGTAACTGGTTGGAGTTAGAGCCCTTAAGCAGCAGATTCCTCCAGACTCCAGTGAAACTTCACTCTAATTTCCATCAAAACCAACGAGACAAGTAGGATGAGCCAAAGTACGTGTCGCAGACCTGCTGCAGAAGACGTATCCTCATGGCTCGGTCTGTGGAGGAGAACATCTTCACTATAACGGGAATGATTTTCTGTTGGTATTCTTCTGCAGACAGGAACTTCCCCACCTGGAACAGCACAAATCATCGTGTCAGAAGTAAAATAGGACACCTTATAGAAACAAAACTACATCGGAAACACAATCGCAGCTGCTTTCCCCCGAATGTTCAGCATCAGGACAGGCGAGGATTCACCTTGAAGAGCGGTGTGAGGATGACGGCGCCCGCGTTACCAAACTCAAAGGCGGTGAGCAGCTGAGGGAGAACTTTGTGCTTACAGAAGTTTTCAGGAAACGAGTCCAGATTTTCATTCAGGTCCTGGAAAAACTGCTGCTTCTCCGCAGGTTCCTTAATCTGCAGAGGGACGATTTAAACAGGTGGACTCTTGTTACAGGGACACACACACACACCTATAAACGTCATGGGGCTAAGTACTGTAGACTATACAAACAATAGCTCTTCCTTTACCAAACAAATACAATATATTAGTTTTCTTCCATCGTGGCAGGGCGCCACAACAAACAGCACTAGTTTGCTAACCTGGATCTCTTCCAGAAAAAGGTTGCTTTCCACAAAGCTGTTGCTGAGGAATCCTCCAGGTGCTCTACAGTTCTGGAGGAAGCGAGCTGGGTTTGGACGTGCCCGGGGATTGGCTCCAACCAGCTCACAGTAGTGGGGGACCAGTGATTTGGGGATCTGAAGACAAGAAAGATGCATTTTAAAGGTAAAGTCCCATTAGTCATCATCACACACTGGTGAATTTATATCTGCATTTGACCCATCCCCATGGGAAGTGGTGGCTGTGCTCTGAATCTATTTCATGATTTAACCCTCCTGAAAGCTGAGTGTCAAGTGGAGAGGCATTGGGTCCCATTTTAAAAGTCTTTGGTATGACCACTAGGCCACAGAGAAGGTTTCAGCCTTTAATGCGAACAGCATAACACACAAACCTACGATTCCGGTATCATTTATGTTATCCTAAATGTTGTAGACGACATAAATACCAAGAAAACAAACACATTAACTTCACATAGTATTAAGGTGGTTTTCCAGGAGCACTACTCAGAGCAACTCGGGCCGATGCAGCTCGGCCCCACCACGGTTTCCAAGGGCACAGTTTGGCATTTTCCCTTTACTTTCTCCCCTATTCTTAGTCCCTGCTCCGTTGAGGTACCTGCTGAGGCTGAGTTGGGCCGGCAACGTGATTCTGGCCACTGATTGGCTAGGGGGCGGAGTCACTGGTTGCTCCAGAGTTTTTTTGCTTTCTGTTTTTTTTTTGCCTGCGGCCATTTCCTGGTTCAGGGTCTGACAAAAAGCCATAAAACTGAGCAAAATGTCCAGCAACACCAACATTTTTCAGCTGAGTTGTGTTTCTGTGAAGCATACAAGTTACCTTTCACTGATCACCTCATGTCACTTTGTCACAAGCTGGCATGGGAACAAAACTACACTCAGACGGGCTGATTCAAACCAAGCTGTACAGAGCCGTTGTAGGCTGAGTAGTGCTCCTGGAAAACCCACCTTTAGTGATATTTGATTACAACTGCAGGCTGCTGCACAGTGGTTAGCGCTGTTGCCTTGCAGCAAAAAGGTCCTGGGTTCATGTCCCGGCCTGGGGCTTTCTGCAAGGAGTTTGCATGTTCTACCTGTGCATGCATGGATTATCTCAGGGTACTCCAGCTTCCTCCCAGTCCAAAAGTCAGGTTGATTGGTCTCTCTAAAATGCCCTTAGGTGCGAGTGTGTGTGCACTTGGTGGTTTGTCTTGTGTGTCTCCGTGTTGCCCTACGATAGACTGGCAATCTGTCCAGGGTGTACCTCACCTGTTTGCCCAAAGACTGCTGGAGGTAAGCATGGACAAGCGGGTACAGAAAATGGGTGGATTGATGACAACTGCAGAGAAGACAAACCTTTCCTAAAGAACGGAGGGCGGATGTTCGAGTTAGTGGCCCGTTGAACACCTCCCAGATCAGACAGCCTAATCGCCACACCTCCCCGGCCCTACAGAACAAAAAAAAAAAAAAAAAAAAAAAAAAAAAAAAAAAAAGCACAACCAGGTCAACACACCTTCCACAGAAAACGAGACCCACTTACAAACACCTTTCCTCACCATTTCTCGGCTCCGCTGTTGGACGTGTCAGGTGGGTCATACTTCTCCATGTCCGGGTTAACCGCTTTGGGGCTGGGAAGAGAAACCCCGCTGGGGTCGCCCTGCTCTGGGGTCACATGATCGAGGGCCCCTAGCTTCCACTCCCCGGCCCGATCCACAAACACAGCCCAAATGCCCAGGTTGTTATGAAGCAGGTGGCAGTCGTTGACCAGGAAACTCACAGCTTTCTGTGAGGGAAGACGCACAGAAGACAATGAAGGACAGCTTCCTAACAGAAACGATGAAAACGTAACAGATACATGCATCCCGTTCTTACCACTATCTGATGCATTCCCCAGGACACCTCCAGCTCTCCAGAGCCGCCCGTCTCTGCTTGGGCCTTCAGGTGAACTGCCAGAGGAGTCACCTGCTCAGTCACCAAGTAAAGACTCTTGTCCGTCTGAAACCACCAGCAGGATAAACAAGTGGGATCAATGGGATTCCTTCTAGTATGTTACACAGAACTGACCTTTGTGTACATTGGTTGAGACACCCTCACCAAAGCCTTTGCATAAGACTGTTAGACAGCAGGATGGTGGTGGACCTAAATAAATCTACTCAGCAGTGACTGAAGGTCTGAGATGTTCAGCTGTTCTCCAAACTTCTGAACATCAATCTGACAGAATTGAAAGGCAGCCACAGGAATCCAATATGAATGCTTGAGACAACGACAAAGGTGGTCCTATTACCTCCTTTTCTACAAAACAGGACTGGGCACAGACCCTCATAAACCACAGATGCTACCAACATCATGGACATTCCAGAATGTCCTCAGATATTCTTCCTTTAGGCGTTTCCCTTCAGGGATCGGGTGTCAGCACAGTGAATCACCAGGCTGCCTGGCTGTTCTAATCTTCTTCTGATATTCCTTATCCCTTCTCTCTACATGTCCGAACCATCTCACTCTACCATCTATGACCTCATCTCTACAACATCTAAAATGAGCTGTTCCTCTGATAAACTAATTCCTTTTTCCACTCCTAAAGAGAATTTTCATTTCTGCTGCCACTAAATCTGCCTCCTGTCTCCTCTGTAGTTAAATAAAAGAGATCGACACAGTCTGTCAAACAATAATAAATGTATTATTCTTGTTGCAACGAAAGAGACACAGCTCTGAGTTATGGGTCACAAAACATCCCTTAACTGAACTCACACCCCATGGAGTGTCCAGCCTATCTTGTAAACAACAGGAGATAATATGTCACGTGTTATGAAAGCATCCTTGAACTAGCGTCTCACTGATCCCTCTTTTTGTAAACATGTCTGCCTTCCTCACACACTTCACCCTCAGTTCTCCATTAGTGACTCGATGTTGGTCATGTGATTGTAATGATCCAGGTGATCAGTGTACTGCAGCTTATGCTATACTGCGTGTCCAGCACTAGAACGAAAAGCTAATTCACTCACCTCTCTCTGAATATTGGCATGCAGAAACAAACAAAACAAAAAACAGCAGATATTACATATATGATCACGTGACAGCTCCGCGGAAAAAAGACCTGACTGCCATTTTATTCATGAACTTGTGGAAGAAAAAAATAATAAATTCATTTTAATTAAAACGAATACCTCCAGTCCATCCACATAAGCCAGGATATTTGGGTGACGCAGGGTCTTCATTCGTTTGAAGGCAGCTTTGGCCAGCTGTGTCTGCTGCTCTGTCCCCTGAGACACCTCGTAGACAAACACAGACACTGGATCTCCTGTAGTCTGATAGGACAAGGAACAGGGAAGCATTTCCATTTAGGACACACATCCAAAGCTTTTAGGGTGGCCTTTCATGTGACTGGAGGTGATGGAGGAAGTAGATCTTGTGCTGAAGATGACGAAGACGATACAGTTGACTGTCTCAGTTTCTCACAGACAGTAATTCTAACAGGCTGTTCCAGATAGTCAGCTAAGTGTAAGAAAACGCCCAAAATGTGTTGGGTGAACTAGCTTTTAACCGATTAAAAACAAGCTAGCTAACTCGGATAAAAGGAGGTGACGTGGCGAGAAATACGTGTCAATGTGACACATCGAGCCGTAGCTAGCTCACGAAAGAGAACAAAGACAATAAAAAATACATTTGTACGTAGTTACTGAGTGAATCATTAAATGAAAAAAATAAATAAATCACCAACAGTCCTGACCAGTATGACAATTTCAACTCGGAATTATGCTGGTCCATAGGCCTCCAGAAACAAACTAAGGCTAAATGTTAGCCGCTTTTACCTTTCGTTTCCCGCGATGTAGCGTCCATATTCCTGACTTCTCTGGGCTGTCCGGGAGAATTTCATAAGCAAAGTCTTTTACGGGATCCCTGGCAAAAAACGACCACATTTTCCTTCCCTCCAAACCTCATCAAACACGCACAACACCAGCACAAACTACCGCTGCAGGTGATGCTAACTGGACCTAGGAACTGCAAATTGGCACGCTTGAAAATTAGTCCGTAGGATCCGTTTCTGCAGATAGGTTCCGGTTTTAGACGGGCCTCAAAACTTTGACATATTAATGTGAATTCCATGAAAATGAATTTCTGAACGAAAAAACATTAATACAAAAATAAAAAAAGCCTTCAAATCAAATTAAAAAGTTAAAATGTTGCACCAGCAGCTCTGGGTGGTAGAGCGGGTTGTCCAGTAATCGAAAGGTTGAGGGTTCAATCACGGCCCAGAGAATGCTGCTGTTGTTTCCTTGGGCAAGACGCTTAACCTACCTTTCCTGTTGGTGGTGGTTGGAGGTAATGATGGCGCCTGTTCTAGGAAGCCTCCACCTCTGTCAGTGAGCCCAAGGGCAGCTGTAACTACAATGTAGCTCATCGCCACCAGGGTGTGAATGGATGAATAATACTGTGCTTTGGAGTCCACTAACACAGAAAGGTGCTATACAAGTCCATATATCCACCCATATTCAGCCGCATGTTGGGTTGCTGGGGCAGAAGTCAAGTCCCTCCAGCATGTCCTGGGTCTTCCATTGGGTCTCCTCCCAGTTGGATGTGCCCGGAAAACCTCAACAGGGAGGCATCCAGGAGGCATCCTAACTAGATGCCCGAGCCACCTCAACTGGCTCCTCTTAACATGGAGGAGCAGTGGATCTACTCTGATCTCCTCCCGGATGACTGAGCTTTTCACCCTATTTCTAAGGGAGAGCCCAACTCATTTCAGCCGCTTGTATCAGCGATCTTGTTCTACCCAAAGCTTGTGAGCATATGTGAGGGTAGGAACGTAGATCGACCAATAAATGGAGAGCTTTGCCTTCCGGCTCAGCTCTCTTCACGACAGATCAGTACATCTGCTTCACTGCAGAGGCCGCACCAATCTACCTATCGATCTCACACTCTATTTTTCCCTTGCTCATGAACAAGACCCTGAGATGCTTCACTCCACTTGAGGCAGGACTTGATCTCTGACCCCAAGAAGGCATTCTACCCTTTTGTGATTCAAGACCATGGTCTCGGATTTCGAGGAACTGATTCATATGCCAGTCGCTTCACACTCGGCTGCGACTCACTCCAGCAGAAACTGGAGATCATTGTCTGATGAACAGGACCACATCATCTGCAAAAAGCAGACCTGATCCTTAGGCCACCAAAACAGATCCCCTCAACCCTTTGGCTGCGCCTAGAAATCCAAGCTGTCCATAAAAGTTATGAACAGATTTGGTGAAAAAGGGCAGCATTGGCAGAATCCAACTCTAACCAGAAACGAGCTCCAATTACTGCCGGCAACGCGAACCAAGCTCTGCCACCGGTCATACAGGGACCTAACAGCCAGTATCAGAGGGCCAGGTACCCTATACTTCTGAAGTATCCCCCACAGGGGCATGGTCAAATGTCTTCTACAAATCCAGAAAACACATGTAGATTGGTTGGGCAAACTCCCACACACCCTCCAGGATCCTCCTAGGGGTATATAGCTGGTCCAGTGTTCCACAGCCAGGATGAAAACCAAACTGCTTCTCCTGAATCTGAGGTTTGACAATCTGAGACCCTCCTTACCAGGGGTGTAATCCCTCTGTAGTTGGAACACACTCTGTGGTCCTTTTTCAATAGGACCACAAGTGCAGGTCATTTTTCATAATGTACTATATTAGGCCCATTGTAGAAAAAAGGGACATGTAAGTCCATTTAAAAAAGTGTAAGTCCATTTTGATGTCACTGTACTGTCAATACCTTTCAGGGCTCTACATGGTCAAGATCCTTGTACTGAACTGTAAAAGCCAAGCACTTCAATCTGAGCCCTCAGGTTCACAAACCAGAATCTTCTAGAGGTTCTTAGACTAGATATTAAAGTGATGCTTTTTCCTGTCGACTTTAGAATAAACTTCCTTTATTTTTACGTCAGTCTGGACATTTTCAACAATCAGACACGGTTTCTCTTATTTTTAGCTTTCTTTTTTTGCACCAATTACCGGATGTAGTGATTTTCACCCATATGGCAAGAGAACCCTTCAGATTCTGATGTTATCTTTATTCATCAATCATGTTGTGAAAGTTTTCTTCTGTAAAAGGTGCTATATAAATTAAGTAAAAACCTATAATTAAACAAAGGTTAGGAGCACTCCAATATCTAGCCTGGCAAACATCTGACTTTACATTGATTAAATGATCAAAAATGTATGAGGCCATTTAGACTGCATAGAAAATTTGGTTATATTGGCAGAAAAAGAAAACTACCAAGCTGCTAGTCATGTTCTTATAGCTGAAGTTTAACCAAACCAATTAAGCAATAATCCAAATAAAAGTTAAAAACTCATTGTCACTAAATGTTCTGGTGCCTACAGGTGATGGGTGAATTTAAAACAGGACAACAGCACATAGACGCCGATGAGACTACAAAATTCCCGTTACTGTACGGTCCCCCGCCGCTTGCTTGCCAAATCGATTTGCTTTGGCTACGGTCTAGAATACCTCAGTACAACCAAGTAGATCCACAATAACTTTGACTTTGTTTTATTCATTCTTAGCCAGGAAGAAAGTCCCATTGAGATTAAAAACCTTTTCAAAGGAGACCTAGATAAAAAGGAAAAAATGTACAATGAAAAAAAAGTATACATTTTAAAACCTGTGTATTGAGAATATAGAAATTAGGCATAATTTTGTGCAGCTGATGGTAAAAAGTGCATTTTATTTGTCATGTAAAAGGAAATCTGCATTTTTTGCAGCACACAACCAGCTGCATTAGGCTGCAACTATTTCACACTGCAACACTTCTACCAAATAATCTGGCGTTTGCTAAACATTGCTAAAAACCAAAATACAGCCGTCTCATTGAGAACTTTGAACATTCTGAAATCTTGATAAACGTGTAATTTGTAGAGTGGGAAAACTTTGATCATTAGAATAAATACTTTATTGATCCCAGTGGGGAAATTCACTTATTACAGCAGCACCAACACTTAGTAACAGAAGTACATGTATATACACAGACAGGAAGCCAGTACTCAAATCTTCAACTACTTTATTTTTAAACGGGTTCTAGAACAATGCTGCATTCCTTAAAGGGACAGTATGCAAATCTGGTATTGCACACATGAAGAGTATGATATTGATGTTAGTGTACCAGGCACTGGTGTCGTGTACCAATTTCTACTATTTATCCGAACATCTTGCAGGCTCAGGATCATTTTACACAGTCCCAGACTCTCCTTGCAGAGCAGAATTTTTAGCGCAACAGTGTCTTCTAGTGGCTGGTAGGCGTAAACAAACCCAGTCAAAATGAGTTTTTTTAATAAAGCTTTTAAAAGGAATTTTTTTAATTCTCAACACCTCTAAACACCCCATGGATATATTTTTTTTAAAACAGATAATGTCCCATATTACTACTTTTAAGACTTAGTTGTGATAGCCAGCAGCTTTACCCAAGTGGCACACCAAAAGCAAGACACCGCAGGGAATTGAACCCCGTTCTGACAAGTCAGAAGTGCCACCACCGGAGTCTTTTGCTTTTTTTTATAAATACTATTGTTGGGCAAAAGCAAAACCTGGGGGAACAAAGTTTGTTCCTCCAGGAAAAGAAAACCACCAAGGCCTGGCTGCTAAACATGTCACTGCGTTGACTTTCTCGATCATGGGTCTGAAACTAGAAGACAAAACAATCGGCAGTCCCCAATCCCAGCATTTCCCAGAACAGTGTTATATGGTCCACGAATATCATTAACAAAGCCGTGATACCAGCATCCCTGGTCATAAAGCAGTTTCCGTCTGCATTTCAGCAGGACTCGAGGGTGAACTGAGCACTTCTAGAGCTGCAATGGAAAGAAGAGGACAATTTAAACCACCCCCCTCCCCCCTTGACAACCCCATTCTACAACGGGAAATATGTCAAAATGGTCATTTACCACAGCCGATGCAGCATTTACCACCTCTATCGCTCCTCAGTGAGGCTCAAGTGCACATTTAAAGACCGATTGATCCCTAGATGCTCGCGGTACCAAAGTCATCCCACGACTTCACCGAAGACTAACTTGTATGGCTCAGAAGTAAGTTTAGCTGCATGAAAAATCTGAAAGGGAGAGAAAGACAAGGGTTGTACCCCCCCGCCCCATACCATACACTAATGCAATGCTTGACAACGACTTAATGAAAATTATATTGTTACACAAAATTAATGTTATGCAGAGCCGAGGTGCATGCAACATTTGTTACACATTAAAGCCATGATAGGATTAAGGGAAAAATAAATAAGGGAACCAAAAAAAATAAATCACTTAACTTGGCACCCACGAAACTGAAGTGATGCAGTATTAGAAACAAGCTTGCAGTGGTTGATCTTAAAATGCGGAATTCTCAGTTTTCCATCACAGGTTAGGCCATCCCAGATGACAAAATAAAGAAATATTGGCAATTTTGACCTAAGAAACCAGAAGAAAAAGAAAAAGGCACAAAGAGAGCAGGGCTTCGCGACGGACGCCAGGGGTTCAGATTTCAGCTCAAGCACACGGGGGATTGGTACGTCATTCAGGGTGTCACACTCATATTCGCGGACAGCTTCCACAGATGACTTTGCATTCAGAGGCAGGCGAGATCGGAGGGGACAGGCGAGAATGATCTGAAACAAAGTGATCTACACAACACACCCACCACACATTTGACACAATAGAGTTGTGCACTACTCGTGGTCTTAAGATGCAAAGCAATAGGGCCCCAAGGCCAAAGAGGAATATACTAGTAAAGCATTGTTACTGATGATTTTAGGTTAACACAGAGCCAGTTCCATGATGTCATTTTGTCAACTACACATTGCATTGATGTTCACAAGAAAAGCCAACATCTTACTACATGCGCCAGGCTGGAGGACTTCGCTTGTGCTTGAACCAGTCGTGTATTGCGATTTCTGTGAAGAGAAGTGTAGGGATATGCCCAAACAATATGCGGACTAGACTTAAGCAGCACATTTGCGCTGCATTGCAAACCAAATTAAAGCTGCACAATGCACAGCTTTCCTCAGCTCCTTCAATTTAGAAACAATGCACAGTTGCGCATTTATAAGTGAAATGTAATTAAACTGCCACATGCACAGTTGCACAAGGGCCAGAAGCTGATGGCTAACTATTCAAAAACTCAACAACCTGACCCTTCCTGTTCAAACTGCTTGTCAGTCAAGTTCAAAGGGCTGAAGACTCTCGAGTTGTCCTAGGAAGACTGCATTCATCCTTTGGGACCTTTTCTGTAAGATTAAAAAAAGATAGAGACCCCAGCCCCTCCCCACAGTATCGTAGAACTGACTGTTGTTATCCTTACCCAAATGCTTTACTGCAGATAATGTCAAGTTTAATGAAGCTCCATCAAATCGTCCTTTTAAGACTTAAGAAAGCTCAGATTTTTCTACTATCAAGTACAGCAAATGGCTTTCAAGAGTAAGTACACTTGACACAAGTGACTTGGTAAGAAAAGATTTTCTGCTTTCCAATATTCATTTGATGGATGCAACTTATCTGCTTTCAATTTCCGCTTTCAAAAAGGGTCACTGAGCCCAGGTCACATCCGTGCTCTACAAAGCTCCAAGCCTTAGTCAAACCTGAAAAAGCACAAGAAAAGCTCCCCACACAAGCCCCTCCCAAAAGAACAAATGCATACCAAAACTGTATTCAATCACAACAAAGCTATGCATTTATTATGCAAAAATAAAATCCTTTACAGATAGTTCACTCATTGTATTGTCAATACAAGGCACAGCAACTAATTGCAAAGGAATTGCAATGAAGGCATCTAGCCAGAACAATGAATGTTACGATAAATGTGAACACATTTAGTGAGCTTACGTGATGCTCGATGCGCAAGGAAACTTGTACATACAATGAGTTAGGAGTTCCTGCTGGTCTTGGATACAGGGAACAGCACACTGAAAAATGCAAAGAAAGAAGCCTTCTCCCCACAAAACCACCTTTCCCCAAACAATGAAGCTATACAGAACAAATACTTCCCTTATAACGGATAGAATACATTTCACAGAATATGGAAGCCATTTGAGAAATACCGCAAGCCTGAACGAAGAATCCTTCCTGAAGTCTAGGTGCGGACTTGAATGTAGATTTGTTGGTAGGGCCTTTATATAAAATCTGCAAAAGTCAAAAATACACAACCCCTCCCACAAAACAATGGAAGTTGTACAAAATTGCATTGGCTTCTAAAAAAGAGACTGGTTACCACAATCCCTTGGGCAAAAGGGGCCTCTGAAGGCTGGAAGACTAAGTGGGTTGCTATCTTGTTTGGAAAGTGTCCACTTGAATCTTGTCAGGTTCACCTGGATGCTTCCTATTCAAGCCATTTGGCATTGGGCAACGTGAAGCTGTGAAGTCTAGGAAGAGACTGATTAACGCCCCACAACCCACCCCTCCCAAATGGTATGTAAACGTGTACAACCACCCATTTTAAAATGTGCACCAAAATAGAAAGCTTTAAAAAAGTCCATTGATTTTTTACTTATACCTTCCTACACCTTGTTAAAGCACAGGAGATGCACACGATCCTGATCCAAAGCACTATAGTACGCAAGATGGGCTCAACCAGTACAGAGTAGCAAGAACCAGGAATTCTTTCCATGATCTGCTTTAGGGGGGTCAGGCCTGTGAAAAGAGAAACTCCAGACACATTTTAACACCCCTCCCCCCTCCCCAAATTTTCAAACTATTGCAGTAAGAAATAGCTTTAATGCTAGGACTAATGTACAGGATAGTTACACCACATGTACATTTCATGCATTAACTCACTGCTTTTGGGTTAAGAGGTAGATGTAGCTGATCTGTATCAATGTGGTGGTCCAAGAAAGGAAGGCCTGCTGAGTACACAACTTGACGAACAGAAGACAACTCCCACTCCAGTGCTGTAACCTCCTCAGCTGAAGACCTATTACATGACAAAGGACAGCCTCTCTTTCCAGTCGCGCCTACTGATCGCAGAGGGGGTTGCTTCGGATTAAGGGGCTCGTCTCGCCAGCACACTACCAAGGCATTCATCACAGCAGACACCACCATAAATCATGTCAGCGCACGAGATGCGACCACAAAACGCTTTACACCGCTTGCCTGTAAAGAGGAAGAAAAATGTGCGAGAAATTGTGTTCTACAACAGTTCATAAAAAGCCTGAGAACGTTACAGGGATACCTAAACCCAGTATACAAACCAAGAACCCGCTTTAAACTTGAAGCTAGGGAACCGAGAACCCATCCCACCCTTGGCGTGGCTCTGGCGCTGGCCTCTCAGCTACTCTGCCCTGTGCCTTTGGCTCCCTCTGGTGTAAGCTCGCAGACAGCCTGGCCTCCTCCCTCTGGTGCTGACAGCTCCTCATCCCTGTTCTCGCCTCCACGCCCTCTGGTGCCGTTTTGCCTGGACTCGGTCCTCCCACGCCCTCTGGTGCCGTTTTGCCTGGACTCGGTCCTCCCACGCCCTCTGGTCCTTTCCTGTCCTGCCTGGCTCGTCTCCGGTCCTCCTACGCCCTCTGGTCCTGTCCTGCCTGGCTCGACTCCGGTCTCCCACGATCTTCTATTTACTTTAGTCCATTCTTCCTCATATTAACTATGTCCATATCCCCCGCAGTAAAAAAAAAAAAATTAAAAATCATGTAAGCCCCCCCAAAAATGTCCAACCAGAATCAAATTTATCAGATCGTCTGCCAGAGCTGTGGTTTCTTCTCATAAACTCGGTTAAAAAAAAAAAAAAGTTTAACTGAACATTATATCAAAATGAACTATAAAAAGCCCGATACCTAAAAACTATGACAAATAAAACTAAATGTTCTTGCAACAAGAGTTTCTAATTGTCAAACCACTGTGGTCAAAATAAGTATGGCTTAGCATAATCAAAGTTTTCAGATAAGTTACAAGTTAATCACTTAACTTTTAAGTACTTAAAAGTAAATCACAACATATTACGTTGTTTAATAATATGATGCAATTCTAGTTCTGGTTTCTTTATCATTCGGCTTGAATCACCACCGACTTTTTTTTTTTTACAAAAAGCCATTCAAAAGCAAGTGATCAGCGGTTGCATAACGCAGCCATCAATGGGCATGCGCACTAGGAAAACAATTGGCCACTCCCTACAAGCCTTGCCGTGGTAATTTAACGCAACCAATGGCAACAAGTATTCACGTCACAGCACCCATATATGGCAGACAACCGTAAATGGTTAAAAACCAAACGTGATGAAACTCAACACATCGAAGGTAGTCATACACATACAAAAACTGCCAACGAAAAACACCGTCTAAAGTTAAAAATTTTTTTACATGACCACGTTATTTTAGCGTTAGCCAAACAACTGCCTCAACAAAGGCCCCAAATGATCTGCTTTGAATAGTTTGATCAGCCATTAAATACTTCGATAAATTACAAAAATACGAATATGTTACACCACGCTCGAAAACAAGCTCAGTTACTTTATCAGCGAAAACCTAACTAGGTACATCACAAAATAGTAATAAAAAAACTATTTCAAAAGACAAATGGTTCGAATAAATAAAAAAGCGGCAGCATCTAAAGACTCTTAACGATCATTCAATAATCCCTAAAGGAAAGGAAATGAAATGTAAGACCGCGTAGACCTGCACCGCTCTGCTGCCTTTCACGGGAATAGCGTCGCTGCAATGTAAGATGAAATGGCGTCGTCAGTATTTATAGTTTGGAAGCGATTCGCCCAACAGAAAGATTCGTGTTCATCCGACAAAGAATCTAGACCTCGCAGCAGACAATGATCCGTTGTTAAAATGACTCATAAATGAATCCATTTTATAAGGCGAAACAATAAACTATGTGCTGTTTAGAACATTGACACACTTAGACTGCCTTCTATTAAAAAAATGCAGAATCTGAGCAACGGATAAGCTTTTAACTGATTATTTCAGTTTATTTCGTGTATTCTATAAATAAAAGTACACACAGTGATGTTGTCTAGGTCAATATTGATTTTCAATGTGTTTCAACTGAAAATATGTATTGAAATTAATAATAAAACCAGTTTCATTACTGAAAAATTCAAAATAGCCGACGTCACCAGTAACGGCTGTGCGGATTAATCTTGAGTTTGTGAACAACAAGGTCTTGCTAAACCGGTTCAAACTAGAAACTGATGGAATAGCCGGATCTATTTTTTTCCTGTACTGCAATGACATGCAGTTTGTGATGAAAGAACAAAAGAACAGCTACTAGTTCTCGTTCAAATCACTATACATATGTTCATTAATGCTATGTAATTTAATCAATTGTTTAATGATTTCTGCTACAACTACTGGTGCCTGCAGGATTTAAAAAAATATATATTTTAACGAAAATATGCCTTTCCCTTTGGATAAAGCTTGCAAATATGCTGCATATTCCAGAAATATTAAAATACTGATTTTGTATTTACGAAACTGGAGATTTTGTGTTGTGGAAAACTAGAAAATTCCAGAAACACTCAGTGCTTGATGGAAAATTACCAGTACAAGAAGACTGAGGAGACTGTTTTTAACCAGCAGGGGGTGTTTTGAAAATACGTGCAGTGATTCACGTCTCTCTTGTTTTCCTCTGTCATGTATGTTTCTCTCTGTAGAACTGGCTTTATTGTTGACTAATGACCACATCAAGGCTTATCATTCCTTATGGAACTAGCTCACAATTGATCAACCTAGAGGCACTTTTGTCCTGATACAGTTTCAGCCCTTGATTTCTTTTATCTACCAGATGCAATCAAAGTTGTATATGTGATAATCAATCCAGACAACTCTTTATTTGTAGTATTTTTTCCTTATCACTTGGAAAATAATGGAACATAATGAAAAAGGCCTTTTCACTATGATCATCCAGGTTTACTTTCAGATAAAGGGCAAAATGAAGGACTACGTCTTCATTTGCCACTGATGAAATTGATTACAGAGATGGTCTCTCATAAACTAATTAATTTAAAAATATAATAAACAATAGCTCTAGATGATAATTTTGCTTTTCAGTCCCAACTGGATGTTACTGGTTTTGATTTTGGGAGCAATAAATTGTTACGAGGAGTCCTATTTTTTTATGCTTCCAGCTGTCATTTGCTTTCTCACAAAACTACGTATGATGAAAATGAATTGTTATCACAATGAAATTCTGATATAATGACATATCAGGGTCACAGCCTGTGAATGTGATTATACAGGCCTCAACTACAGGAAACATTTTTAAATCAATAGGGCAACGAAGGACACTTAAATAGCTTTGATTAGACAAATGTGTGATCTTTGATAAATTCTGACAACCATGGTAAAATACGCAACATCGGACAAATGCATGAAGTTTCATAATATAATGATATTCAAGAGTGGATAAACAAGAAAACCCACACTTTTTCTGGTTTATTTATTGGATTTAAACAAGATATAGATCTTTTGTCCTCTGTGAGGACAACGCTCTTTTTGCTGGTTCGATAAGCATCCAGCTGTTCAAGCGTAATGACACATCGTGGCCCCAATCCAGGAACTCCTACTTTCCTGCTCACACGATTTGATTCCCTTATTTTGCGGTCGGACGCCAAGGGAGACAATTCAGGGAGACCTATTCATAGATGAAAAATGTAACAGCTTCAATGTTGTTAAAAATTTGAAGAATGTTTTCTTTTTTTACTGCAGAGACCATTGGGAGGATTATTTCTTAGACCAAAATTAAGTCCTTTTATTGCTAAAACACACTCAAGTTCTCTTTCTGAATTTCAAATTTCTTGGCAGAATGACTAACAGTGGAGGATGTTTTGCCATAATGATAGTTCAATAAGTCCTGATCCTGTATGAGAAAATAGAGCTAAAGAGATAAAAATAAAAAAACATCTACTGAACATCGCTGGACGGCACTGACAGCCCCAGAAACGGACAAGTAATGGAGAACTTTTTCAGACCAGTTCACAGCCCTTCTCCACCGGATCAAATCAAACAACATAGAAACCATAATCGGCTTCATCACCACCAAGACACTCATTCACCAAGGTAGGATGTTTCTTAGTGAAAACTGAGAATAACTGTTTCAGCCAATTTGTTTTTGCTTGATTAAATATGGTTGAACATGTGCAAATCTTTTTATAATTTTTCCATGATGTAGGCATGCAAAGCTTGATGATTACGATAGAAACTCTGACAGTAGCCGAGGACATCATCACCACCATCGCCAATATCCCTATGACAACACTCATCAGAAAATCCATTCTCTTCATCAATTTCATCATGATGATGAGAGTGAAAAACTTTACAACCACCGCACTTCTGTAACTCTCTCCAGGGCTTCGTCCTCTTCCATTTCTTCCAGCTCTTCCTCTTCTTCATGGTTCACAGAAACGAGTGCGAATGACCCCATCTATCTTCGTCGTGCTGAGCGACCATTACATTCCTTGTCCTGCTCCAATATCTCAGATGTGCGCAGAACTTTAATGGAGGATGACAGCAGTGAACCTATTGTCTTTGCCACCATCAAACACAGCAGAAAAGGAAATGTTAGTCAGTTACAGGAAAACTCACACCAGAGCAGAAAGCATGACTTTTCTTGCCTTAACAGAGGTCACAGTCGCAGCGATGAGGCCCTTCTGCCAGGCCATAAAGGTAATGTTGAAAGTGAACGATCCACAGCGACACATTTGAACTATGGGGCTTTGTATAAAACAACTAGTCTGAACCGAAGCTTGGCTTTTAGTGAGGAAGACATTGTTTTAGGGGTTGAAAGTGGGCCCAAGAGGGCCATTTCTTCTAGCCAGCTACCCAGCAAAGGGATTCTTAAAAACAAGAAGAGCCGTACTGATATTCGCAAGGTTAAGTCAATGGAGGTTCTGTCCCCAAGAGTCACAAAGGGAGAAGGCCAGAGTGGGCAGAAGGGCAAAGGGGTAACTCAGGCGGAGATGGATCGAGCACGGGCAAATTTTGTGGAGGGAAAATTACAGTTTTCAGCATTTCTTAATGAAATTACAAAACAAGTCTTGAGTCCATCCGATCTTTCCAGACTGGGTGTGGGCAATGATCTAAGTTCTGGGAAAGCACCAACTCCGGCCCCTATGCTTGACAAGATCAAACCTCAGCTGCCACCCAAGAAACACAGAGGGATAAAGAGAAGTGAGACAGAACCACCTCTGCAGCAGTCTAGTAGACAAGTGAAAGACGCAGATTCCTCCAATCCTGACAAACTCATCTCATATGCAACCAGGAACCATCGTGGTAGCCCACCACCTCACCATTATCCTTCACCTTCCAGTCACGGCTGTAAGGACAGGAGACCCTCGCCTACTGGAGACTTCATGTCAGGGGACAGATACAGCAGATCTGGTCCTCACATTACTGATGGAACCAGCCCCAGTCCTACTCGGCCCAAACAACGTCAGCACCACAAGTACCAGCCCAACACCTACCACAATCAGCACAAACACACACAACGCTTCTTTCAGCAGGTGCACCAAGACTCGGGACACACAAGGCCAAACTTTTCCCCTTCACCCTCAGTCCAGGGTGCTGGACCAGGTTTTGGATCTGAGTCCTCGTCCACAAAATCAGACTCACCCAGAGGCAGAGAGACGGCCTCCACAGCTACCAGTCACAGCTCAGAGCAGAGCAGTCGACGCCAATCACAGCAAACTGGGATCTGTAAACAGCCGATGGTGAGAGGACTTCTGCTTTTTCATACAAAACCGCTGATAGATGTTTAAGCTTTAGATTACTACTAAATATAAGTAGAAACATTTGGGACAATCACATTGCTAATTATAACACAACTATACACATCTTCGCTTCAACAAATCGGGTTGATCAGACCCTAGTTGGAGTGAGTCCCTGTTATTTATCATATTTATGAGAAATAATCCAGGAAAGGTGACAATAGCTTTAACTCTATTTAATGTCACCAATAAAACCTATTTAAAACTAACACAAAGTCATTTTGAAACTAGATTATGAAAGAAATATCCTTTCATAACACGCTGATCCCATCAAGTCATGATATCAACACTATGGAATTTAATGAGCAATCAATAAATTGATTAACCAAGAGTTTTGCCCATCAAAAGCTTTTAGGTCAGTAAAATATTCACTGATTTATTGTCAGAAGTAAAAACAGCTCTCTGTGTGGAGAGAAGAGGATGAACGTAATAAATGCAGTGTTGCTTACGCAGGCCATGCAGCTGACTCACAGGCTGAGTGGGCTGTGTCAAATATTCCGCATTGCAAGCTGAGTCACTGCCCAGCAACACAGCATGGTTCTTTTAGAGGAAATTTCTTCTGAAACTACCTGACGTGTCCCAGTGTGTGAAGTTCTGTTTGTTCTCTGAAACGACTGTGTGTTCAGAAAAAGAAACAACATCAGTGTGACGAATCGGTGCATCTTGCTCCAGAAACCAACACCAAGTAAAACATGGCTCAAATTAGAGCTGATATCAGGTGCCCCTATGTAAGGATCTGGTCACACACACACACACACACACACACACACACACACACACACACACACACACACACACACACACACACACACACACACACACACACACACACACACACACACACACACACACACACACACACACACACACACACACACACACACACACACACACACACACACACACACATGAACAAAGAGAAAACCCCCTGCAGTGTTTTAGTCAGAACCAATCGATTCCTGTACACTCTGTCGTGATTCGATCTTTAATTGAATCTGTCATGTTAGTAATGTGGCGGCAGTTTGTCCCGGATGCTCATTTCATCAGAACTTTGAATCAATCTTATCTTTGTCTTTATTCAAATGGCTGTGCTGATCCGCATGAAGAACTTAATGGAGACAGATGATTGGCTGTGGTGACCCCCGAAGGGGAAAGCACAGTTGTGTTGCAGTAGTAACTTACTGCAGGGCATGCTGGCATGTTTTCATTCTGACGAAGCTCCCCCCCCACTGGAAGTCAAAATAAACCCACTGTGTTGACATTAAGCCTAAAAGTGTCCTTGTAGACTCACTGTTTTAAAGTAGAAATATAGCTATCCTGTTTATTTCCACTGTATTTTATCACATCCTTGTATTTCCTCTCAGCTTGTACTTATTGACTTTATTCTGTTTTGCTTGAAGGACCTGCTGTATGATCCTGACCATTTTCAGTAAGTATTCCGCCTGGATGATCGTCAGACTGATCTGCACACGTTTCTGTCAGGGTCACTCTGTGATGGGTCAGAGAATCATTGATCCCATTAACGAGCATCCTCTCTCTCGTAGTTCTGTCGCAGGAGGAGGAGTAGTTCTCATTTACGTAACAGTGGGATGTGTTAATACAGAAAAAATATTTGGGAACATGTAGACTGACTTTTATCTGCATCAGAAGTACAAATACCTGAATTCTGGTTTCAGCGAGTGCCACTCTAGTCTAGCATTTGTTGTGAGGACCGTCATTGATTTCCATTCATTTCAGTGACTGGACTGTGCCAACCCTAACCCTGACCAGTCTATTTCTAACCCAAACCTTTACTAAAACTACCTCGCTACATTTAACCAGTAGAGCTCTGTAACATTGTTTCAAGGTGAGGATCAGCAAAATGTCTTCACTTTGCTACTAATGTCAGTTTGCAGGTTAACACACACACACACGCACGCACGCACGCACGCACGCACGCACGCACACACACACACACACACACACACGCACGCACACGCACACACACACACACACACACACACACACACACACACACACACACAATATTCAGAATTTTGCATTTGGAGTTTAAACATATGATGTTTGGTGGAAAAAAGTACTGAAATAGCCCCAGTTAGCAAGTTATACAGGTTCTATTTTTAACATTAGCACAAAGCACATGTTTTCCATACATTTTAATCACAGACAGCAGCATTACATGAAATGCTGTGTTATATAAGCCCATCTAATTAGGTGTTTATGACATTCATTGATCAGTCACACTCAGTTCACCCCTTTTCAAATCAAAAGTAAAGATCTTTCTCTTTAGAAACAAGTGTGCAATGTTAAATGTTATATTGTGTTTAATTTACCCAATATTAACTTAAACATAAAGGACTGGAAAGTGAACAAAAGTTTTTAGTGATCTGTCTGGGCTTGTTTTTTCTGTCAACACAACCAACAAACATCTCTGGTGGAGATTTATGTTGTGACTCCCTCTGTGTTCAGGGCGCTGCAGGAGGAGAATGCTGATCTTCACCAGAATCTACTGCAGACGGTGGTTTGCATTGAGAGCCTGGAGGCAGAGCTGCAGAGGACCAGAGAGGAGCTGAGTCACGTCAAGGAGAAATATAAAAGGTGACTTGCCTGAACACAATAAATAAAGAAGCCGAGAGAATTCTCTGGTGTGTGTTGTCTGAGGACACATTAGGGCTGGAACCTGGAGGCATAAAATAAATCCAGAAGAGTTTCTATAGATTTGATCGATGGGACGTTATAGATCAACAGCAAAACCCCCAGTTGTTGTTGCTGCCCTGCAGTTACTAAAATCTCCCTCTCTAACCTGATCAGGCCTGGATCTGTTACCAAACAAACGGTCCTGCTTACCAAGCACATACCCATCATTCCTCAGCAGACTGGAGCAACTGGACTAAATAATGCTTCCCTCACACTGGGCTCCAGCTGGTGTCATGTGCTCCACATTCATTAGGAAAGCTTGTGTTTGCTAGCCTGGCAAGCCAGACTACATAAATGTATTATTTAGTCTGGCCACGCTCCATTGACGGCTCTCGGTTGTGGTGCGGGTTCTACCGTTGTCTTTCAAATGATCTCCGCATTCCACTGGACAATGAATGTGACATACTCTTCTTTCACTCTAGCCCCCTTCAGACAGGCCATGAAAAACGGAAATGTTCCGGACTCTGTCCGTAAGACCTTTGTGTCTGAATACAAACATCCGGATAACGGTTTCCGTAATTTAACCGGACGACGCCCCTAGTAACAGGTCCGGACTTGTTACGGACAGGGTGGCTGCTTCAGACTGGTGAGGTAGAGTTCCGGACAAGGGGGAGAAGGAGGGGACCGGGGGACGCTGTGCGCACCTAGATAGCTCGCTCCTGTAGCATGCGAACCACGGCAGCTCGCCTCCTACGGTACCGCCTAGACGCGCGACGGAGCGCTTCACACCGCTTCAGTGATTCCTTTAACCATTGAGCTTCATCATCCAGGTCTCTCATGCATCTTCGTGTGCGCAGATTATGCTTAACATGGGTCCGATCCCCTCCCCCGACATCTGGAACTTTTCCCTGCTGTGTGAAGGCAGCCGAGTTCCGGTACAAAAGTGGTGTGTCTGAAAACACAGTTCCGGTTAAAAACCGGATTGAATTGTCCACACATATCTGAAAAGGGCTCACGTTGCATCTTCCCACCCACCAGGCATAAGCAGATAAGCACTATGACTGGCCCACCATTATGGACCAATCACAGCTCTTTATGTGTTTGAAACCCCTATAGAGAGCTGTGATTGGCCAACCAGAATGCTGTTGGGGGCTGCTGAGGCTCCAGTGAAGCGTTGCTAGTTTGCAAAGCAAGAATTTGGTCTAGTTCACTAGGCTATGTGTTTGCCACTTGTCCTCATAAACAGCTGCTTTTAACTGTTCTTGTTAAAAGATTCATGTAATTAAAAACATTCTTGATGTTTTTTGTCTCTTTCTTTCTGCTGCAAAGTCTTCTGCCTTCACACACCGGGACAAAACAAGACCACAACCTTCTGGGGGAGCACCTGAACAAAGCGGTGAGAAAACCAAGGTAATCAGAGCTGCAATAAGGATAAAATGCAATTATTTTTATGCACCTTGCTGGCTGTGTGTGTGTGTGTGTGTGTGCGCGCGCGTGTGTGTGTGTGCGTGTGCAGTCAGAGAGCCTGAGCAGTGAAAGTAAGTTCCTGCTGAATCGTGTGTCTGAGCTGGGCTCAGAGGTGGAGGATGCCCACAGGACCATCACAGCCCTGGAGAACATAAATGTGAGCACACTGCCATCTAGTGGACACTAAATCACACTCCAACACACAATAACTCCACACGAGAGATAAAAAAAAAGATTAAAATTGGATAATTTTGCTGATAAGGACTTAGACAAACAAAAAAGGATGAAATAACCCTATATTTACAATTTTATCAACAGTAAAAAACAAAAACCTCCAAACAGTGATGGATCCCTTCAGCTCTCGCTGGGTGCTAAAACAAGTCCTCTCCACAGACAACACTGCATCAATTTCTCATTTATAGCTTCAGCTTTTGTCTCATACTCTCATTTCTTAACAACATGGAAGTCATCTGCAAAATACTTGTTTGACAGCTTGTTGAGAACGCCTCATGCAAAAACAAACAGATGCCTCACAATCTGCTACTTCTGTCTGATCAGATGATCTGGACCTGTTGGGAGGGAGGGGAGCCTTAAAATAAGAGGTGCCAAATCAAGATATTTACAAAATAAGCTGCTGGAGTGGCATGCTTGGTTGTTCAATGCAAAAGCATTTCTATCTACCCAAAATTAAATAAAATTCACAATTGAGCTTCATGGATTCTCTTCATTGAAAGCTGGGGTGAACTAATGTTAACATTTTCAATTCTTGTGTCAAAATGCATGTGCCAAATGTTTTTTTATACTTACTAGTCTATTTTAGCAAGAATTTTAATACGTTTTAGCTGGGCAGCACCTAATATCCTTATTTATGGAAATCAATTCAGATATTAAGCGGGAATGATTTTAAGAGTAATGAAATAAGAACATTATTAGAGGTGTTTTTAGAAGATATAAGATAGCCAATGTGAAATGTCTGGCTTAAAAAAAGACAAACTTTGATATTCATCACCCAAACATCTGACTCGAGTCTGCAGCTGCCTTAACATCTGGAGAAGTACGCATATAAAAGTATTCTTGCTGGATTTATTGTTAACGTTTCAATTTTTGTCCCTCAGGAGCCGTGTTTGATTAAGGAGCTCTTAGAAAGGCACTTTGGCTCCACTGAAGCCATTCAGAAGTTTCTTACAACTTCTTTCCCCATCAGCCAATCCCATAATGCCAAAGCAGAGGAAGTATCACATGATTGGCTGAACAAATCAGACGGAGAGTCACAGAGGGCCACAGCCTTCATGCCAGTTAAACAGGGTCTTCCTCCAAACAAAAGCGAGTCCTGTCATAGATCCTCCTTCCCTTCTGACATCACCACTTCCATCTATAAGTCAAGTTTCCCTGCCCGACCACAGCCCGTTTACCCACAGACCCAGAAGCAGTCGTCTTGTGGCGCCAACCAGGCCGACGGCCCTCCAGAGCAACAGCAGCAGGCCCAAGCAGGTCCTGACAGACGGGAAGGGAGGAGGGGGTTGAAGGTGCTGCTGTTCGAGGAGGACTGTAGGGATGTGAACTCCGTGTCAGCCCAGCAGATCCTGGATGATTTCATTCAGCATCTACAGGCACGGAACGAGGCGGATGGAGGGAAGACGCAGCAGAGCGTGCAGGAGTGGATGAATGGAGTGGAGCAAACTGGGAAAGTGACAGACTGAATGCTGAAAGTGTCAGCTGAGGATGTGTTTTCGTTCATGTCTCTTGAATTTCTGTCTGCTGTAAAAACTGTCAAAAGGTGCAGCAGCAGTGACAGTAATGTATGTTCTTGTGTGGATGTTAAAGTAGGGGCCTGAAGCTTTAAAACTCTAAAGCTGCATATTCTCACAGAAAGACAAACCTGTCCAGCTAAAATGCGTGGGTGGGCCCCCAATGAATAATATATGGGCAAACAGCACGGGTCCCAACTGGTTTTGTCTGCTGATTCCAAGGTGGCTCCACAGGGGTTTGCCCACATAAATCTTTGCACACTTAAACTTTAACAGAGGTTTTCCGAGGGACCCAGATGACTTGACTCCTACATGGGCCCATTAAAATCTTTGTGGACAAACCCGTGTGGGGCCACCATGGAAACTGCAAACAAGCCCAGTTGTGACCGTTATTGGGCCCACCTGGCCGGGTTACATCAATAAAATCAGATATTCAAAAAATTAGAAGACTAATTTATATAAATAAACATTTTATCCTTTTAAATCTGAAAATTACACACACACACACGCACACACACACACACAATTTTATTGAGTTCTAGCAGCAACATATTTCCTATTTGTGTAGACATAATAATAATTAGTGATCATGACTGAACTCTGAACTGGTTCAGAATGAATAAACAAAATTTCCCTGTATCCATTCAGTTCTAATATAGTTGGAATTATTTCCTGTATGTATTTAGTTTTGATTATACTGTGCATGCAAACACGTTTGTTAATACTAATTAATGAAATGTTATTAATTACTGAATGTGCTTGACACACAAAATGTTCCTGTCTTGAAGTGATGATGCCTGGAGTTGACAGGGTGCAGCTTAGGTTATTAGTGTTGCATTTTCACGGTAATTTCATGGTAATTTATCCCACTTTTCTCATCCTTGTTGCCAGTGTGAAAACATGTTTAGTTTGTAGTGGTGAAGCTTTAACTTCAGACAGAATGTTGCTTCAAGTCGTAACAATTATAAACTGTTTATTTGTCCTTAATTTGCCATACAATAATATTTCACAAAATCTTTCATAGTTTCTTCTGTTTCCCCTTTTAAAGTTTAAAACAAAGCAATAAGTCTGAACTTATTATTAGGACACAAATGTACAGCTCTGTTTAAAATACATTAAAATCTATTTATAACATAATAATATATTTAGGTAAAATAAAATCTGTGCTGTAATTAGTTTTCTTTGACTGTGTCTGTTACTAAGTAAATGATCCTTTTAGATGTGAACTTGCAAACAATTTCTAATCAAATAAAAGTGGTATATTTTAAAGATGATGCATCACTATCTTTTATGAATATTTAATAAGCATTTGAAATTAATGAAAAATAGCTGGGAAAAAATTAGTCGCTCTGTATCAAAACAATTGACACCTTATTTGACACTTTTTTTGGGTCATAATCCCCCAAATGTTTAGCCTGTGGTGTTTTTGAATTATGACACTAAACAGATCTGTTTCCTCCTAAACCTTAGCTCATCAGGTCGGGTGGAGGCTTTATATAAACTTGTTTACATGCAACAATTCCTGATTTTCAGCCTATTCAGGGATCCGCAGCTGTTTGTGTTGTAAACACAGTTCATAGTCGGGCTGATGAATGTAGAGCTGTCTGACCTGTGCTACACTTTCTGATGAATAAAGCATCTTTGATTCAAACCCATCTCTGAATCTGTCTCACTTTAATGGTGCAACACTTCTGATCGGTGGGAGTTATTGTCGGAGATTCTGCCTCGCAGAGCTCTGAGCTGTCACAAACACCCGTAATAACAGTTTAATCCAGCCAGTCAAACCCTCCCTGTTGCATTCATAATCCTCTGCAGGCATAACCCTTTCACCACTTTCCCTCTGCCTCCATACGACCGTGTGTAACACACTCCCTCTGATCTTCCTGGGAAAGTTACTCTCTTTGTTTCAGGTTTTGCTGATGGATTTAGGTCTGATTGCCAGTTAGTTTAGGTGGAAATCAGTCAAGAAAGAAAATTTGTTTTGGGGTTTTAAATGAAAGCAATTTTTATTTAAATCATATTTTTGCATTTTACAAAAAGAAAACATGTTTTAAGAAGCTTTAACTTTTAATTCTGAGTCCACCCTGCAGGTGAGGACATTGGTTAAATTATGTTCAACAGTCCCGCCCACAACATGCGTCCATCAGAAGAAGTTTGCTGATCAAACAGTGGCCTGCTTTCTAATTGGCCCCTGGGCTTTAATAGGATCCCAGGGACTCTGTTGGAGGATTACGCTTCCAAACTTGCAACTTTGGCCAGTCTCTTGTCCTCCAACCATGGCTACAGTGGTTTAGGGGGCGCCGCCGCACCGGAGACCCATAGGTGTACCATCAGAAGACCACATCACATCTGCAGGAAGTGATTCTCTATAAAGAGTGGACAACATCTGTGTGACTTACTGGTTAAAGAGGAAAACCATCCTTTCTGGGAGAAGGATTATCTGTTTCCTCTATATTATCTTAAATCATATATTATCTCGTGTTTTTCCTTCTGCTGCTGAACTGTTTGAGATTGCACCGAATCTTTTTCTGGACGATTTCAGCAACCAACTCCTCTGAGGTCGACTGCGTCCTTTGTCCAACTCAAGGATCTACCTGCTTATCCTCTCCACCTGGACCAACTTAGATGAGCTCAACCTGCTTATAGCTCGCCTAACAACACGGCCCACATCACAGGTCCCCTCACTCACCTTTGACTCTTTACACGCAGCAGCAGGCCACATCTGGATAGCCTTCCTTTCTCTCCGGGATCTCCCAGAAACAACTCCCTCTTTTCTCATTCCTCTCTGGTCTTCGCTTTGAGCGCTGCATTTAGCCATGACGCTGCTGAAGATGAAGTTCAACCAGCAGAGGCGGGTGCGTCTGGCCCAGGGCCTCTGGCTGATGTCCTGGCTGGCAGTGACGGGCGGGGCCTTCATCTTCTGTCTGGGGGTCTACCTCAAGACTGAGCTGCTCCGCAGGGACGAGGTAAAGTGACGTGTGTTTGCTAGAAGTGATGCTGAAGTCTCAAGGGACAATGAGCCAGCTCATTCAAAGTTAGACAAATATTAGAGTGTGTACTCAAACGCTCACCTTGGTGTATCGTTTGTCCTTCCTTTTGATTTAACTTTTGTTTAATCCACAAGCACAAAGCTCAGAAATCAAGAGTCAACATGCACAGTCGTGCATATTAATCCACCTTTAGTGCAGAATGCTAAAAGGCTTCTTTTAAACATCAGCACTTCTTTCCCTCAATCGTTAACATGCAGACTGCATTGATCTGTGGCATCACCAGCAGGTGAAGGTTGCAGCTTCTGCAGGAGTGTTCGTCTAACCCGACCAATCACTGCTCTTAATTGATCACTATTGGGTTTAGACAAGCTGGAAACAGTAAAATCTAGCTGGCACCACAGGAAAAGCTGCAGGGCCTGAACGTATGTCTTTAAATTCCTATCGATCTCCAGCGGGATAGTCCGATACTTCAGCCCCTCGGTGAGATGATGTAAAGAGCTGCTAAAGAGAGGGAAGTGACGGGATAAAACGTTGTCAGGAAGCTAAATGATTTAGAAGAATGATGGTTTGTTTTGCACTTTGCTGCTCTTTGTCATCAATAAAACTGACTATTTTACGTGGAGTGGGAACAAATGCCCCCTCAGTAGCATCCAGAGGAGAGGATTTTTGCTAGCTGGATGTAAAATACGCTTTTATCTTGTACTGAAAGATAAACTTTGTCCATGACTGACTGCAGGGTCAGTTAAACACACCCATGTAGCTAAGTGGACACAGAAACCTGAACCCCTTGGTGGTCAGGGGGATTTTCAGAACATAAAAGGTTAATATAAAAGCTGCTGGAGGTAATTAATAAGTGACCTGAGGTCAGCTGCAGACCTAGTATCAGATGCAAACATCGACTTTTCCTTTCTTTCCCCCGAGGTGATGGAAAACGCAGAGATCCACGTGGTGCCCAACATCTTGATGATGGTGGGCCTCGCTTCCATGGGAACCAACTGGGTTGCAAGTCGAGTTTGTCAGGATTCCCTGGATGTGAGCCGCTTCCCCCGATGGAAGGTTCCGCTCCTGGCCTGGTTTGCTATGGCTGCACTGCTGTGTTGTCTGCTCCTCACCGTGGTGGTGCTCAGCTACGCCCTGCAGGGAAGCCTGGAGGACTCCCTGAAGGTGAGGGTCACAAAGCTGGAGATGGACCTCAAATGAGCCAGAGAGATCACAGGAGAAAAAAACAACAAAACACACCCCCTGAGCTGCTTCAGCTGGAAGCAACTTTGGAATAATCTGTTAAAAAACAGGAAATGTTCACTTATGTCCAAAAATTTACCAAATAAATCACAGCTTTCAGTCTTAACAATAAACTTCTTCATTTATTTCTCACAATTCAGTTATTTTCAAGATAGATAAATGAATTTGATTACTGACACGTGTTACTGTAACTAAATACTTCTTCTTTGCTGTCAGGTGGGCCTCAGGAACGGCATTCGGTTTTACAAAGACACGGACGTCCCCGGACGCTGTTTTCAAAAAGAGACCATTGACCGTCTGCAGATGGAGTTTCGCTGCTGCGGAAACAACAACTTCAAGGACTGGTTTGAGGTTCAGTGGGTCAGCAGCAGATACCTGGATTTCACCTCCCAGGAAGTGAAGGAGTGAGTGAAAACATGTGGAGGTGTAGAGAAGCTGAGGGATGAGCAAACTTCAGATCAAAAAGGTCAAAGGATGTGCTTCAGAGAGGGACGCGAGTGTAGAGGAGGAGGACAGAAAATGAAAATAGGCCTG